GACAACGCGCTGTGTCTCCAAGCAAGTACAGCCTCTCACCCGAAATGCGCAACTGTGCAGCGGCACGCAAAGAATTCTGGGATACCAAGGCCACGAAAGCGTGCATAAATGCACATTCGAAAAAGGGGAGGGGGTAGTGTGGTTTTGAGACCGAATTTGAAGTGCACTCAGCATTTCGAGCCAAATGGGACACCGTTCGCGCTGGTCTCTGAAATGAGACACAGCCTGATACTAATGTTCATGAATTAAAGCTTCAAATTACAGTTATTTCCTTCTTACCTCAAAGAAAGGATCACCCGAGGTTACAAACCAACAACATTATGCAGATTGAACAGTTAAATTTTTTTCAATCTCTTTATTTTATTCTTGGCGTTTTTTTCTCAGGAATACAATTTTAATTTCATTTAAAGTAGTAAATAAACAAATCAATGACATCTAAACGTGGATTTAGCAGTCTAAGAAATTGTCTGCTGGAGCACATTTATTGAATATTATCACAAATGTTCTGTCTTTATTACCATTTTGGTGGGCTTTTCTTCTGAAAATTAGTTTCCAGTTTGCAGAAACAACTTAAGTCTATTGTTTCAAGCTCTAGATAGCATCTTTCATTTTGAACTTTAGCTGAGTTTCAGTTGCAGTTGTAAGCTAAAATGTTAGCATTTTACTTGCTCCTTTCACACTCCTAGGTGGAATTTGAACGTTCAGCCTGCTAGAAGTAATAAATTAAGATGACATTTGTAGGAACATCTATTCTAATAACTATATATCTGTCTCCATACCTTGAGTGAGACCTCATAAAAACTCTTCCTTTGTTTATTCTAACCTGAGGAATGATGTTTTGGTGACACAGGTGTTCATAACATTAAACTTGAGCTATTTGCACGTGGGCATGGTGTCACTGTAGCGCACAATTATAGTTCTTAAGTTTATAGTTGCTGAAGACACATGTTCCGTGTAGCAGCAGCACGTTGAATTACATCTATAGTCTGTCTATGGACAACTGGTTCCACCTCCCATCATTATAAGAATTAAAAGCCGAATTGCTCTCAATATTTCCGTGATTTTCTCCACTTCCTGGAACCACTGCTCATGCATTAGTATTGTATGCACTCCACCACTTGCACAGTAGCATTGTACACATTCGGTGGGAGAGTCTCTGTGATGACGCATGACTTAAACAGCGTATACCCCGGGTGAGCTACACAATCTTTGTATGCCAATAGACTGTATCAAGTGTCAATCATAGAAAACATGAATCCCCTAATAACTTTTAAAAGTGGAGCTGCACAGAAAAAAAAGCACTTGAGCACAAACCAGTTTTACAGTAACTACAGCTCCACAAGCAGGGGGGAGAAAAATGTACAGTACAGGCAAAAGGTTTGGACACACCTTCTCATTCAATGCATTTTCTTTATTTTCATGACTATTTAAATTGTAGATTCTCAGTGAAGGCATCAAAACTATAAATGAAGATGTGGAATCGTGTGCATGAGAAAAAAAGTGTGAAATAACTTGAAAACATGTATTATATTTTAGATTCCTCTAAGTAGCCATCCTTTGCTTTTTTGATAGCGCTGCAAACGTTTGCTGTTCTCTCAATGAGCTTTATGAGGTAGTCACATGAAATGGTTTTTACTTCACAGGTGTGCCTTGTCAGGGTTACTTGACTGAGTCAGTCACTAAGTACTTCTGTCATCAAGAGCAAAGGGTGGCTACTTTAAAGAAACTAGAATATAAAACATGTTTTCAGTTATTTCACACTTTTTTATAAGTGATAATCTACAATGTAAATAGTCATGTAAAATAAAGAAAAGACATTCAATAAGAAGGTGTGTCCAACCTTTTGGCCTGTACTGTATATTCTGTGTAATTAATTTCTCCAGCAGTAGCCCCTCTTGGCCCTCTCAAAATTTCCCAAAAGGAATTTTCTGGTCATCTTCACTATGAAGTTTTCTTACTTGGTAGGAACTTAGTCATTTCATTTCTGACTTCAGTGGGTAACTGTAACTCATAAATGAAGTTTGCATTGCCTTGTGGATGTAATATAGCATATTAATGCATAGGCCTAACGCACAAAATTATTCATCCTCGCATTAAACATTTAATGCACCTTTCAGTCATATTTCCAGGATAAGTGAATCTTAAAGAGAATCATGTGTGTTTGTTTATGTCATCAATAATTAGCAACAGCCACGGGCAATCTTTACCTATCAATGACAACTATTTCCTGGGGTCACTATCTTCAGGTCCTTCCTGATTGCTTAAGGTTCTGTAAGTTAAATTAAACAATTCTGATTTTACACATCAGCTGGCAACCCCTAAATGCTTTTGGTAGACTGCTTATTCTACTTGTAAGGGATCAAGCAACCAGGCAAAGGACAAAGGTTTGGAAAAAGATCTTCATCCTTTAATTTCACTCAAAAAAGCAGAAATTAAAAACAAAATATCAAACTTAATGCTGTAGAAAATCAACAAAATCTGGATCCAAACTAAAAAGGTCAACTCAGCAAAAAAGAACTTAAGTTACAATCATAATAAAACAAACCTGCTAAATGATATACACTACAGGCCAAAAGTTTGGAAGCAAGATCAGATTTGTACAAAAAGAGATCATAGTTTCATATATATAATTTGCAACACAATAAACATGACTATTGTGTAAAGAGTAACTTATCAGAAGACATTTTGACTATAATTATTAGGTATATGAGTTATTGTTGCTTAGACTTTGCTTTCTTTAAAGTAACCTCATCTGGCTTTAACAACAGCTTGGCATATACCAGGCATTCGTTCCACAAGTTTTCTAAGGTATGTTCCAGGGATTGCATTCCAAGTTTTCTTAAGTTCATAAGAAAGATACTGCTGATTCATGGGACACGTTTTTCTAAACTATCGGTCCAATTCATCCCGCACAAGCTCAGTTGGAGAAAGTTCTGGAGACTGAGGGGACCAAACCATCTTTTGAAGAACACCTTCCTCTTCTTTTTTTGTCTAGGTAACCCTGACAGAGCTTGGCAGAGTGCTTAGGGTCATTGTCTTGCTGCAAAACAAACTTATGAGCCACAAGTCTGAGTCCAGATGGAACAGCTTGGTGCTGGAGGATGGAGTGGTACTGTTCCTTCTTCATGATACCCTTTACTTCAAACAAATCTCCTACTCCATCACCTGCAAAACATCCCCATACCATGGAACTACCACCTCCATGCTGAATTGTGGGTGTAACACATGGTGCTTTCAGACGTTCACCAGTTGGTCTGCAGACATAGACTCTGCGTTTTGAACCAAACAGTGCAAACTTGTTTCTAGTCATCATAAGTCCAATATTTGTGAGCTTTTGCCCACTCATATCTCTTTTTCTTGTTCTGTGGATGAAGTTGTGTTTTTTTGCAGATACACAACCCTTCAGACCAGCCTTCCTCAAACGTCATTTCACGGTTGTCACAGATATGGGTTTTGACCATATCATGTTGATTTCCTCCCTTATTCATGGTGCTATCTTTCATTGCTTCCAAACTTTTGACCTGTAGTGTATGTCGGGGTTTAAATAGACAAATGACTAGTCCAACGTAAACACAAGGGGGGAACTAAGGTGACTACAAACTAAGCATCCAACAAACCAAGAAAAAACACCATCAAATTATCCAACCCAGCTATTTACAGGAGAAAAAAAAACTAAATCTCTGTTCTGACTGAAAGAATAAAGACAAGAGTTTTATAAGGAATCAAAAGTCCAAGCTTTTCCTTATTTTCCCTTTGATGGTCTGTCCCACTTGCTGTTGGTAGGGCTGAGGAGGCCATCTTGGAGCTGTGGACAGCTGTTAGTCAGGTGAGCTTGTCGCTACCTGGTTTGTCCCAGAAACTAGATTTGTACTGCACATATGCGAAACGTATATCGCTTCCTCTACAAGCCATCTTTGCGACAGCTCAGCAATTCTTTGCCCCTCACAGTTTGCAACAGCGTCAACATCAGGGAGCTCACTTCAGTCAGAATGGATGCTTCAGTTTATCATCAGCCAAATGCCTTCCTTTTCTCCTGAATGGAGTGCTTCCCCTGACTAGAGCAGTGCTTCCCCCCACACACATCCAAAGCATCCCCCCGTGATACTTTAAAAAGTCAGACAACCATACTTTTGACTTGGACCAATGCAGAGGCACTCGCCAGAGCTCCTGCCCAGCACGGTGAGACCTTTTGGGCCACAGGGAGCGTCGGCACCTGGCCATAATTCTGAATGGGTGGCGGCGCTCCCTGTGGCCCAAAAGGTCTCACCGTGCTGGGCAGGAGCTCTGGCGAATGCCTCTGCATTGGTCCTGGAGCCTCCTATTAGCTCGCCTGTCACATCACCGGCTGGTTTCTGAAATCGATCAGTAGTTCAAATAAAGTTTTTAAGGTTAGCACTTGCGCAGTACGGATTGGGTAGGAAGCAATAGTAATGACTAACTGCTGAGAGAGGAAGTGACGTACGTTTCGCACATGCATTGTACAAATCGGGTTTCCGGGACGGATCAGGCGACAGAGCAAAGACAAACAAAAAGGTAAGTATTACTTTGAAATGACATCAACCCAAATTAAATCATGATGTAGAAAATTAAACCATGTGACAGTTTGTTACCTAAATTGTGTGCACCCAAATTCGAAAACAACTACCATAAATGCAATAAAAGGGAATTTATTTCAACCAAAAAAGCGTGTCACGTGATTTTTCTAAACTGAAACAAATTTACTGTGGTAAAACCCAAATCCAAGAAATACTAACACGAGGTGGTGGTTAAGGCCATCACACATCTGTTTATAAATAAAGGCTTCAAATTACAGAAAGGGGTCTCCAAATCGCAACAGGGGCACTCTTTGCCTCGTCCCAGTCTCCCTGTGAAGGCCCACAGCAGGCTCTTGGTGGATTGGATGTGAAGGGACTCTGCTCCTGCATGCTGAGTGATGACGATAGCCGACATAACCAAACCCACCCACAGTTGATTTAAATGCCCGCGCACGGCTCTCTCCCAGCTCGTCACAGTGTCTCCCGTTGCTCTGTATTTATAAAGCGCCCCGGTGCGCGGAGAGGCACAAGCATGCCTCGTCTCTAGAGAGGCAGAGCGCGTCGCTGTGACTTGGAGACGTTTTTTTGGATGAAAGACTTGTGCAGCCGCTGCTGAGGAAGCGCAGGAGTTTTATCCCAAAGTTCACTGCAGCAGGTCGTTGTGACAGCGACCTTGTTCTCAGGGGTGAGTTTTTGAATGTTTTATTGCACAGTTTCTCTTTATTTCTGTCTCTTTGTGGTATAAAAAGATGCGCATTCCCTTGCTGGATGAGGGTGCGGGAGAGCTGTTAATGAGAACGGCTGAAGCTCCGCAGAACTACTGTGCAAACCTTTGGCTAAGATAAAGATAAGATGGTCTTCATTAAAAATAGACCTTTTGCATACAAAATATGAGTTATTACTTTTGTTCTGTTGAGAAAAGATGTAGCCAGAACTTGTTGCTTGGTGAAACACGACCAGTTAAGGCTCGGTGGGAACATGTTGTGCATTTATTTGCAGATTGTTATAATAAGGAAAGCATTTTGAAATGAATCTTATCTTTTCTGACACATCTATTGAGTTCCAGCTGTTTGGCATTTTGAAAGTTTCTTTAGAGGAACTTAAAATAAGTCTCTGGAATTTCTTTGCATCCTTGATAAATAAACCGTTTAAATAAAGACACTCATAGATTTCCCTTAAATGTAACACAGGTGTTTTTCTGTTTTGTTCTTTTTGGCTATATTGCTCTTGGGGCTTTTTCACAATAAAAAATATAGAGAAGGGAGATGATGGTTCATACAATCAGGGACTTGTAGCTATTTATAACCACCTGTTTTTTTCAGATCTTAATCATTTCAATGCTCGTAAAAAGTAGAAATCAGTTTTCCTAGATTGTTTTATGGCTCTTGCATGTTAGTTTCTAACCGCACCTCGTTTGAATGGCGAATTGCCAGATTTACCTGTTGGGGAAAAGCAGGGCTACTTTCTTACCAAGGTATAACGACCAACCAGTTCCACAATCACTTAATGCAGATTTGACACAGTGCACGAAAGAACAGACTGAATAAAAGATCCCATTATTTGTTTTGGTCTGTAAGGATACAGCTGTTCTTTAGAGAGGGAAACTGCAGTTCATATTTTCAAATCGACAACACAAGAAAAGCAGTTCAAAACTTTGTGCAAAAGAGTTGGGAAACCAACAAGTTTAAAGGTTTGACTGAGAATGTATTTATAGCTGGGTGTCAGATTGTCAGCATTGTGTAATGGTGCATTTGAGAGCACACTAACAGAATTTGTGGAATCTACATGAAGTTTTCGTCATCAAAATGTAGACTGCTGTATTTTACTGTATTAACCATATTCAGTTATAGGAGAAAGAGAATCATCACGGACGCTGCAGCAATGTAAGAAAATGTTCAGACCTACATATTTCAATCAGTATTCACATCCGGTTTGACTTACATCTTATCTTAGTGGGGTGCAGCTACAAAGAGTTGGGATTATAGGGTCAGTCTATGTAAAGTTATTCCTGCGCCCGGGGACAGTTTAGTCAATATTTATGACCGCGCGGCACTGTTACCTACACCCACGCGCATAGGATCCGACCCTCTCCTCTGAATGTGTGATTTCACTGCTTATGCTAAGAACCAGAGGATACAGAGTAAACCTGGTTGAAATACGGGACTGTTAACACTGCTAAGACAACAGAAAAATACTTAGTGATTATCGTGAGAGTTAGAGTTTTTCTTATTTGGCTGAAGTTGCTTTAACATATACGCGTCATGACACCTGTGGCAGAGGAGCAGACGTGACTAAACCTTTACATGATCGAGACAGCAGCATTCAGACACCGAGCGCTGTCCTTGGTCCTGAACTATCCCCTTTGATTGCCGTGTGCCTGCCCCCTCTTACAGACGGAGTGTTTTTCCCCCCACGTACTGTACATACTAAACGAAGCCACCCACGCTGCCAGATGAAACGATTTCAAAGAAAAACTAACACGCATCAGAGGAAATGACGGATTATTTCAGCGTCTGGTAAAAACGGGGCCAGAGGAGTGCCTCTTTTTTTCCCCGTAAAGTTTCATTTCAAGTGAAGAGACTATGAGGCACACGGTGGAATAATAGCGCTTGGGGACCCGAGGCGATGGACTTGAATCGCATGCTCTGTGTGATTTTCGCAGAAGAGTTACAGAGTTTAGCGTTTGCTCCTCTAATTTTTATTATTTATGTTGTAGGATTATATGCAATCATATAGATATGGAAAGTTATAGTTTGAAAAGACTTTGAACTCTCTACAAGTCTTTGCCTTCCATCTTGAGTGTGTAAAAACGGACTAAAAAATGTATTTGACCTAGCTTTTGTTTTTCGATTGATAAAACTATACTGGAGGAAGAATTCAGGAGTAAAGATGGTCTTATTCCTGGTAATAATTCTTCATTATTGTGGAAGTCCCGCACTCAAGTTTGCCTATACACAAACTGTTCAGCATATCATAATTCCATAAACTCCAAATGGAATTATGATATGCTGTCTCCAAAGCTTAAGGAGTTTTTTGACATTCATCAAATTGACTGAAATTCATATTGATGCCCTTTTGTGATTTTCAATTGCAAACAAGACCATGACAAGAGTGACAGTTTTGACATTGTGAATTTTTATACCTGAAACTGATGTGAGCAGGGAAGGCACTAGCAAGCAGCTGAAGAAACAGGCTGTTTTCACAGTTTCTGTATAAATTATTCACAAAAAAAGGTTTACACAAGCTAAAGGTTCCTAATAGGAACTTGAAAGTGTAAAAACTACTGCAATCAAAGGGAGCTCATGACTTAAGATGTAGAATTGGCCCTTTTATGAAATGAAATACAAGTGAAATGTTATTCAAAACAGAGATAGAAACAAATATATCCCATACTTCTGTAAATACTCTGTACCAGTGGTACAGAGTATTTACAGAAGGTGTAGAAACAGAGGTGAGCTAGTGTTTGCCATCGAGAAATAACAGTGTTTAGTCACTGTTACATTACTATAGGAAACCAGAGGGCCTGACTCGTTTGATTATAGATGTTCACATCTGTGACAACTTTGCGTTCATGGCTCAACTGTGCTTTGTTATCCTTTTTATATTACCTTATGAACGCATTTAATGACTCATGTACCCTCTTTGACTTATGTAAAATTGACACACTGTGTAAGCAAATGATGCAGTCAAGGTAATTTCTTCTAAAAGTAATAGGACTTCTGCTTCCTTTCCTCTTCCCTCTCCTTCTGTTGCTTTTCAGAAACATCCCTGGGGACTCACGAACACTCACACGCAACCACACATTAACAATCACACACAGGCACCATGCAGGAGTCAGAGCCCACAGTGTGCCAGCTGCAGCCCAACATCATCTCTGTGCGTCTTTTCAAGAGGAAGGTTGGCGGTCTGGGCTTCCTGGTGAAGCAGAGGGTGTCCAAGCCGCCTGTCATTGTATCTGACCTCATCCGTGGTGGTGCAGCGGAGGAGTGCGGCCTTGTGCAGGTGGGCGACATTGTCTTGGCGGTCAACAACAAGCCCCTGGTGGACCTGTCCTACGAGCGAGCCCTGGAGACACTGAAGAATGTGTGCCCCGAGAGCCACGCAGTGCTGATCCTCCGGGGGCCTGAGGGCTTTACCACCCACCTAGAGACTACTCTGTCCGGGGACGGCCGGCAACGCACAGTGAGGGTTACACGGCCCGCCTTCCCGCCTTCAAAGTCCTATGAGCACTGCTCCCCTCTGAGTCCCTTCAGCCCTGGGCAGCAGCAGCAGGTCAACAAGGAGCCCCAGCTCAGAGCCATTGAGAACCTGTCCTCTCCGTCTATCACCCAGTCCCTCCTGCAGAGGGGAGGCGTGCAGACCCAGGACCCCCTGCTGCTGAGAGATGGGGGTCGTGGAGCCCTTCTGTGCAATGGGCTGGAGGAGAACAACGAGCTGCTGAAGGAGATCGAACCAGTGCTGCGCCTCATCAAAAACAGCAAAAAGGAGATCAATGGAGAAGGCCAGAGGAATGCGGGAAGGAGAGATGCCCAGATTCAAGTGGCCTGGTAATTTGTGATGTGATACTACTTTATTGATCCCTCAGTTTAAGTGCCTTTGTGCTTTTCCACCTCCATATGCAGGCAGGAGTTGGAGAACAGGTAGATTAGACTCAAGATATAGGTCAAGGACACTTCAACAAGCTGGTTATGAACAGACATAAGAGCCTGCACCTGGTCCCCTTATTAAAATAAAGTCTCTCTATACACACTTTGTCAGCCTGTAGTCCCCAAACTACGTGACCCAGCTGGGTCGTCTGAGCAGACTGGCTCTCATTCATCTTATACGACTCACAGTGCCAGGTAATTACTGTCTGTACACTGGCCTCGAGCAAACCCCAATTAACATGATATTGGTTATCAGTGTTTTTGGTGCTTTTCGTTAATGTAACCTGCTTAACATCAGTTCATGTAAAAACAACGTTGCTCAGCTTTGGGAGTTATTCATCATTAAAAGTAAACTTCTTGTTTGGATTAGGTTTAAGGTCATTCAGCTTCATCTTTGTCTGAGATTGCTTTCGAAATCTGCATCTGAAAAAAATCGCAACCCACCCAGATTTGAGGAAGTTCTGCTGCAGTTCATATTTTAATACTTGAGGACATTAGCTTCATCAGTATTGATGCCAGCTTCCATATTAATGTGACATTAATAATTAGACCCCAATTAGCAGCCTGTCACACAAAGCTTATCACAAACCCTTCATTACACTGTTTTAATAAGCTCTGCGAAAACAAAACCTCTCCCGGTCTCTCTTGTTCGTGGGGGTCAGCTGCAGCAGTGTCTCAGCAAGCAAGATGTTGAATCATGAAGTTTTATAGATTTGACATGTACTTTAAGTACCATTCAATGAAGAAGACTCACAAAGGTTTGTTTGAAATATTTACTCCAGACTGTCTCGTAATGATCCCTCAGAGTCTTCCCGTCTCTGTCTAAATGCTCTGCGCAGCGTTCTGTTGATATTGGCGTCTCAGTTATCTGCTGTTCTCCTCCCACGTCCAATTGAAATCTAATTGAGGCTACAGTCTCCTTGAATCAATAGCCAATCCTCCTCTCCTGTTTATAAATACACTTTGGGTGATACACTATAATCTATGGAGACATGAAGCTTTAAAAAAAAACCTCTAAATATGATTGGTGAAGTAATGCTAAAATGCCTATTTTAAACAGGACAACCTTTGTACTGTAAGGATGAGTTTGGAGCCAAGCTAAAATTACTCTGACATTTGTTCAGCATCAAGACGAAAGCAACTAACTCAATTTCAACTCCTGTTTCAGCTTTGGATGTAGGCTTCCTGAAGCCCTTGTATGTGGGGACAGGTTGAGAACAGAATATGCTCCTTTGTCCCTATCCCCTCTGTGCAATTACATATCTGAGGTTACTTCTGAGGGACAATTTAGAGAGCAGAATACAACTCATAGCTTGTTTTGAAATAGGCGGATGATGCTCAGAGTCTGTGGTGGATGACACATACTACTCTTGTTGTTTCTGCATATCTGAACTCCACCTTTGATTAAGAAGATTGAAGGGATAAATATGCTCCCACAAATTGCAGCAACTAAAGAGATACAGTGTGAAAGGGAGTGTGAAAGAGGGAAGGGATGCCTGCAAGGATTCACAATTAACATGGTTGTGTGCACACGAGGAAGACTGGAGGAGGGGGTGACTGTGAAAGACAGCGATGGGTGATATACTGTATGTGTGGGCGTTTTCAATAGGAAGGGAGCGCAAACTTGAAGTCACTCATACGTATATCAGTTTGCTAAATTTATTCATTTCTCTTGTGGTTTGCCACAGCAGGAGAACAGAGACGTTTCCACCCCCTAAATCTCCAAGGACTGAATAGTTACAGCTCAGAGTGAGATCTCTCATTTCACATCTTGTTCCTCTTCATCTTTGGGGCACGAATTCAGCTGTTAAAAAAATAAGAGCTGGATACTCATCAGCCATATGCAGACCCAACTCCATAGGAGTTAGGATGTTTTGAAAGATGTTTTTAAAAACTGATTTTGATGACATGCAAATATTCTAAACTGTATGCTTAATTTCAAATTGTGCAAATTCATCATCAAAAATTGGTTTAGATTCCAGCAATATATTTCAAACAGGTCAGGACAAGGGCATGTTTACCACTATGTTGTATCAACTCTTCTTTTTACAACACCAGACCAGTTCCTGTAGTTTTGAAAGTCTAATCTTGTCCTGATACAGGATTGCAGCTGTGTCATGTGTCATGATATGCTAAAGATTATTAATTGGTTACAATTCAAGACTACAGGCATGCCACTGTAGCACCTAAACTCTTCTATGAGTGAGCTGTGCTGTTGTAATATGTGTGGACTGTAAGTTGACATCGTCTGGCTGAAATATGAAGGTCTTCCCTGAAAATGGAACAGCCTGAATGGCAGCAGATGTTGCTCCAAAGTTTGTTTCATGCAGCACTAATAGAATAGAATAGAATAGAATATTCCTTTATTGATCGCCCATGGGGGAAATTTTTTTGTCACAGCAGCATCACAGACAAGCCAAAAAGTGCAAAAATGCAGTTATAACAATGGTGCTTTCCCAGATGTGTAAACTGGTCATATCATATGAACTCTTTCATACCATCCTGGTTACTAGCTACGCAGTCTCTCTCCTCTTTAGAAAATCTTTGACTTTTAGAAGGAGTGTCCATTTTTGTTTGATCAGACCACCTGACAGTCTTTTGCTTCACCTCAATCCCCTGCATTTATGGATAAAGTGACAAACTGTTTCCAAAGTCAGCAGGTTTTGGATGGGTGTTTGAGCCCATGCAGTGACTTCTACTCCAGAGTCGTATCTGTTTTTAATGCAGTGCCAACTCAAAGATCACAGCCATCTAGAATCAGTCAACAGTTTTGTCCTTATGGAGCAGAGATTTCTACAGATTCTCTGAATGTGTTTATGTTATGTGTTTACTATTCACCACTGTTAGTGAAACCCTCAAGTTCTTTGTACTGTTACACTCAGGAACGTTGTTCTGCATTTGCTGGACTTTTCCCTTACTCAGTCTCTTGGAGAGTGGTAAACCTCTACTTCACTTCTGAGAGACTCAGCCTCTCTGGAGTGCCCTTTTCATACCTAGTCATGTCACTAACCTGTTGCAGAATAATACCCCGCTCCAGTGACCTCAGAAGTTGAATGTCTGAGTTGGGAATGAAATTACACTTGAGTTGATGGTGTTCCAGTTAACAAGTCTGAAAACCAAGATAGGTGCCTGCCATTGTTAGCTGTTTTTAGCTGTTGTAAGCTGTATTTAACTGTTGTTAGCTGTTGTAAGCTATTAGCTGTTGTTAGCTGCTTTTAGATACTTTTAGCTGTTCACTGCTTTTAGCTGTTGTTAGCTGCTTTTAGCTGCTTTTAGCTGTTGTTAGCTGCTTTTAGATGCTTTTAGCTGTTGTTAGCTGCTTTTAGATGCTTTTAGCTGTTGTTAGCTGCTTTTAGCTGTTGTTCACTGAATTTAAATGTTGTTAGCTGCTTTTAGGTGCTTTTAGCTGCTTTTAGTTGTTGTTGGCTGTTTTAGCTATACTACAGGTTGAAAACAGCACATAATACAATATTACACCCATACAAACACCACAGTACCATGTCCACAGTTAGACGTTGGGCAGTACTACATATAACACTTATTTGATGTAAAAAATCAAAATAAAACAGAAGTGCTGATAAATAATACATTATGAGAGCTTTCACTGTTATTCTTTACCATTGATGCACTGCGCTGCCATCTTTGACTATGACATTGTCGTCAAGCTGGGGTTGGTGAGGATCATCTGACTTTCTTTTTCTTTTTTTTTTGTCCGACTTTCCGAGTCAGAAATCCGACTTCAGTGGGGCGTTCCAGATGAATTTCCAACTGGGAACTCAGAAAATCCAACTCCCAAGTACAAATGGAACACAGCAGAAGCTCATGAATCATGTTCCTCTAGGTGTTTTTTTTTTTAGCGGTACACAACTTTTCAGTGTTTGTTGTCCCATGGTCAACGCTTTAGTTAAATTATACTGGCATAAACACATGTTGTTTTATAAAACAGAAAAAAAATTCAGTCTCAACATTTACTCTACTGTTCACTTGAAGATAGGGTTTAGAAGATTTGCAAACTATCAAAATCTACTTTTAAGATTTAACACAATCGTCAACCGCTCATTAAATTGTAAGTATTGTATATCATATGTGCAGCTGTGTTTCTGCCAAAATGAGTGAAGTTGTCTGAATGAGTACTGAGCCCTGTTATTAACTACCTCAATGCTGAAAAAAAAGGCTATACAGCAGGACTAATCACAAGAAAAAAACACATATTTTTTTGTGATCCTGAATTAACTTGCCACATGTTGGCAGGAACATTGATGGGGTGACGCTTTTTCATTATTTGCAGGAGAACAAAACAATTAAAGTGGCTACCGTGATTGAAAGAGTAGAGGCAAGGTCAATGCACCTTTTCTGATTAAGTTCCTGTCTCTCCCTCCAGACTTGAAAGTGGTGTTTTCTTCTGAGGTTTGTAGCTGTTTCGCCCACTCCGTTTCTGTTTAAAGCTGGAGCAGAGCTGTGGTGGGAAATTACTGGTGCCAGCCTACATGAAGGAGGAAGCTGCCCCACTGCAGCTCTGCAACAGGTGCAAATAACATGAGACGCGGGAGAACCTGGTGGGTGCAGCCAAGCTCTGTCTGCACACCCACTACATCCTGTGGAGAGGAAACACCTAAGTGGGTGTTCAGAACCTAGAGAAATTGTGCAGGGATTCCTGATTTGACAACATTTTGGAAGGTGTACAAGACTGTGACTTAATGTGTAATGGTTTAAGACAGGCAGATTCCCCACTGTGTGTGTGTGTGTGTGTGTGTGTGTGTCTGTGTGAGCGTGTGTCTTAAGGCTCTAACATGAAATGGATGAGACATTCAGCACCGGATGTGATCATGCACACCTGACAGAAAATTGTGTGTGATTTCTAGGGACCTCGGCGTGGGAAATGGCACGACTCCACAGCTGGCGTCAGATAACAACAGAATGCTGGAAAACACGCCGGTGGTGCTCAACAACGCTGACACTGACAAGGTAAAAAGAAATTAACACTCAACCCTCGAGTGTCAGAGGAATTCTTCTCATTTCTGCACTCTTGGAAGAATAACTTGAAAATCCTTTGCCCTCTTGTCCTTGTGTACATGTGTTTACAAGTGCTCCTGAGCAGGCGCCCTGTAGCTGTATAATGCATGTGTGACCATGGCTGCCTCTGCCTGTCTGGCTCTTTAGACTTGTTCAATAATCCGCACTATTTGCACTTTCCATGCTTTCAAAAACTGAGCACGCACATCTGTGTTGCATCTTTGCACACAGTCCTTAAGCCTTTGCTTAAGATCCCATCACCTAGGCATTAGATCTTTTCGGGGGAAAGCTGGTGCAGCATTAAATCCAGCTTATGCCTTCCACACAGAAGGGTCTGGTCACAGGTCTAAGTGTCTGTGACAGGGATAGTGTCGTAATCTGCACATGGTCTGCGTTATCCACCCACTTGTGTGACGTCACTCAAGCCTCCATCAATGGGACCGGATGGGGCGAAACGATTCCAGGAGGCATAATGAATGCATGCAGCTGCTGATCCGCTGCTCTCCATCAAATGTGGCCCCTGTTGAAATGATCCAGCCCCTCAGACCTGCAGAAAAGAGATTGTTAATGTGCATGTTTGTGAGGATATTTGTTTGAGTGTTGGAGAGAGGGAGGGATGAGAGAGAGTGGAAAGGGCATGAAGTGGTGGTTTTGGAGGAGGTATTTGCATGAGCTGATGAGAAAACTGTGTGTTTTTCCTGGTAGGGTAGTGTGTTGTACCCTAGTAGGGTAGTGTGTTCAAGCTGAAGTGCCAAGAAGACACTGATGCAAGTGTCTGCACAAGTGTAAGTGTTTGATTGACTCGAGTCAAACACTTGGATTATGCAGTAAAAGTACAACGGTTTCATATGGTCTCAAAGTTACTCTATGATTTAATACTGGGACTTCCAGTGACATTGTGCTGGCCTGCAAATGAGTTTTCTCACTTTAGCAAAGGATTGTCCGTGAGCCTCAAGCTTGAGCTTCTGCTTCTGCATAATTTAATCTTTAATAAGCCCACTGAAAAGGGAAGGTGCCAGAATGCTCTGAAAGATTTTGCCAGCTAGTCAGATGTGAATGATCAATTTAAAGCAAAGATTGTGCCTCCTGTTGTGGAAAATAATGACTTAATAATTTCTAAATTTGGCATTTTATCAAAACATAAATGTAACTGTATAAAAACCCAGCTAAACTTTATGAATATTTAAAAAATACCATGATTTTCCTCTCAGTGAACTGTCAGTCTCACTTTTTCTCTCTCCCCATCAACCCCCTGTCTTGCTTTTATCTTCATTTCCCATCGGAAGTTTTAATTGATGGGTTAATGAGGAACTTTGACAGCTTAACTGCATTAACTGGAAAAACTTTGGTCATTATCCCTCTTCATGTAATTATCTTCATCAGATTAGCTTCAATTAGCTTCATTTGTAGCTCCACATATGCTCGCCATTGTTACATCCACACCTCATTCTTGTTGATTGATGGATGATGAGATTCACACTTGTTGTGAATGTTTATCTCTTCCTGCAGCCGCCTGCAGTAATGTGAATTGCCTTTGGGGTGGTGTGCAATTTAATGTCATTAGTTTAACATTAGCCAGTGTTGTATTTTATTTTTAAAAAGTTGGCCTCACCAGTTGGCTCAGAGAAAATACTTCAAGCTGAATGAAAACTTTCCCAGAACAAATAAAACACCAAACAGAGTTGTAAACAGCCTCTGGCCTACTTTCCTCAGGACAATCCTACACAGTTCATGTTTTCTGTGTAAGCTGATAGTGTTTTTATATTACTTAAAAAGTAGACTGCATTTGAAATGTGGACAAGTGAAATCATGTACAGTACCGTTAATTATGGGTTTGTTCACAAACGTTATAAAGCCTTGGATTGGCTTTTTTTCAGACGCCATTTTAGTTTTCTGATCTACCTCTGAAAAAGATAAGGGCCAAGGGCCTGCAAAACTGAACAGCTTATACTTGATGCTAATTTCTTGGGTGGATAATTAGCTGGTGTTCAACCAGAGTTGTGATTTTTCAGTAACAGTGCAAAGGTTTACTTTCGTACCAACCTGCATGGTTTGAACAGCATGTGATCAGCAGAGGTATGGAAATTCATTGTCAATATGTGCAATGACAAGTTGCATCTTTATTCATTTGATGGGGAAAAATGATGGAGATATTGCTTCATAGTGTATATAAACAGGTTGCTATACATGCAGTTGTCTAGTCAAGGCTAATTTACAATTCCAGTCCCTGGTTAGGCTTCTATAAATGAAAACAGAAATAACAGAGTGTTGAGTGCAAAACTTGATCTGTTTCTTAAAGTTCTAACCTGGTCATCACCGGCTCCTACAGAGGCTGCAGGTAAACACTGGTGGCAACAAGTTGATGGCTGTACAGTCTGCATAATAAGATTTCCTGACAACCCTGTGTACCTCAAGTACATTTTATGAAGTATACTGAAGTTCATTTTGGTACACTTCCCAAAGAATACTTTGTACACTGATACAAATATATTTCTAGTGTACTTACAAGTAAACATCTTGTGACTAAATTGGCCCAGTTTAGTTCATTACACTACAGTTTTGGTATGCTATCATTTCAATTGCAGTACATATTTGTATACTTGGCTAATACTGCTTATCTTTTAAATAGTGTACTCTATAAAAGTATACTCTCAGTAAGATATATGGTAGTATTCACTGACCAAGTATACTTGAACCCAAGGCACAAATACATACTTAAGTTTGCCTTGATCAAAAGTTTTATGTATAAGTATAGGATAAATATATTGAGACTTTTTGGTACAAGCCAAGTATACTTAACATTAACTGTTAAGTGTATCTCTGAGAAGTCCACAAAAAGTAAACTGAAAGTATACTTAGTTTAAAAACAGTTAACTTGAGGTACACTTACACACACTTCTTTTTAGTAAGGGAAGCCATGCAAGCACTTATGAATCAGATAATCAGACAGACAGTCTCACCATTTCATGATACAAACATTGTGTTCCTTCTAGTGGACACAGCAAATAAACTGAGTGAAAGTCCCTAAAACACTAGCAGAGCAGAGACACGAAGGGTTTTAGTTCACTGTGACATATAAGGGACACTCAAACTGACCTGCTACTGCAGACAGCAGGAGCTCTGACACATTACATGTTGCGTTGATTACTGATTTGATTCAAGTGATTTACCCCGGTTATTTAATGGAGGCACAGCATTTAATAGGCCTCTGTAAAACAACTTTGTTGAATGATGTTGGTGGAGAGCCCTGCTATTGAGATGCTCTGCCTGGACATGCATGGTTAAAAACATGGCTTGATCTATGGTATTAACTATGAGGTTTTTGATCTGTTTAACTCCTGTTATCAGACATGGGATGTAACAGTTTTTTGAAGCAAACTGTGAGAAAACTTTGAACCTTAATATTGTAAGAACGGGTGAGTTTGATTGAAATCCTCCCTTTTGTAGTTGTCATTTATGGAGGTGTTAGTCACTTGCACCATGCTGTAATTTTAACCAGCTGTTGAGTTTAACCATGTTTCTCATTTTCATGGAGGCGGCTGGCTGCCCTTCAAACAACGTGATATATTAGCCTCCACACAGTGGGCTGTCACTTCTTATCCAAAATTCAAGTGCTGGTTTGAAATATACGATTTATTAGCCCGTTAGGCTGTCTGAAGTAGCTTGCAATTTGATCCACCAGATGGTGCTCTCATCGTAACCCGATCATTGCATGGCACTCTTGACCTCAGTAAATTAATACGTTGATGGTTTTTGACTAAAATAGAGGACACGTGCTGCAAATCAAAGCCACCCTGAGCAGATGATTTGCAGAAGTATTCTGGGTTCTTCAATGCAGATAGCAAGATAAAGGACAAAAATAGGGCTGTATACAATGCAGCTGTTTCACTCTTCAGTGACAACAAATCTGCGGGCTCTCCTGTGAGGCAGGAGAAGAGGCATGGCACTAACAAGCTGTGTCCCTTAAACAGGACTTGAAATTCCTAGTCTGCCTGATTGCATCTGTTAAATTCCTACAAGACAATCACTGTTTGTTGGAGAGGGTTAGCAAAGAGCAGCTGGATCATTTGTGGGCAGTCATATTTGACCCATGGTCTCTTCTATTAACCTCTCTTAACTTCTTTATTTTTCCTGTCTGGATAATCACTTAATGGTCTTTCCGTATCAGAACCCCCTTTAACATTTGTAAAATATGTTTGTCTTTCTCCAGCGACTCTGACATTTAAGACTCAACATCAGAACACATGTTTAAATTACTTAAATAAACTGACATTTAGAAGTGCCTCATAAACCACAGGCCTCTCTTAAAGTCCTAATGTAAATGCCAAAGCTGAAACTTCCAGTCAGTGAGCTACAGCCTTAACATTCATGTTCAAACACACAACTACTGTGCGTTTTATGTCAACAAGCCTTAATTCTCCTCATCTGATTTTCTTCACCCATTTGACTTGGAGTCTCTTTACGGTACAATGATCTTGCCTGCTGTCCACAAACGCACTGTTAGTTATGTGTCATATCTGAGCTGCACAATGAGGGTAACTGCTGTAGGAGCATGAACACTCAGGAACTAAGCTCTTTACTCTCAGTGTGCAAAATCAAACCCAATCCAATCCTCCTCATCCCCCTCTGCTGTTAGAAAGGACAAAAAATGACAATGAGACTCAGCTGGCGTGGCACTGTTGGTATTCGTCTTGCCCAGCAAGCACAGTGATTATGTCAGCGCTGTTCAGAACCTCCTCCTCTGTGCTCTAACAATGCAGGAGGAGTTGATAATACAGCCCACAAGGTGTGGGATTGATTACCCTGATCATCGGCAATCACTCTTCTCGGCTGTTCTCTGGAGTTAAATTGCATGCATTCATCAGTCAATAGCTACAGTATTGGAAAACCCGGTGATCCAGGAATTAGCTTTGCAACAACCTGCTGTTAAATGCTGATTGGTTTTATCCTGGTGTGTGAAATAAAGCTGTAGGAGAAAAAGGAGAATGCATCTGATTCATGTGCACAAGTCTGCATGAGATACTTAGGGCCAATGACAGAGAAGCTGAGAGTTTACAGAGAGAGCTCTTTGTTATGTCAAAAACACTTCCACATTCTTGTCATCCTCGTTTCAAACTTACCAATCGATGTCAGATTGTGCCTTTTGAATCCACCCCCCTGAAGTGGAATAACTGTGTCTCTATTCAGCTCTCCTCAGCATGACTTCCAGTTTAAACATCTTATCCAAAGGTGTCTCACACCGCACAAAGGCATATTGTAATGACTCAAGTGTTTGTGCTCTTTTCAGCCCCCAGCCCAGGGCAGGACCTCCCCCACTAAGACTCTGCAGAACGGCAGCCCGTCCAAATGCCCTCGCTTCATAAAAATCAAAAACTGGGAGACAGGCACTGTCTACAGTGACGTCCTCCACCACAGCTCCAGCAAGGTAAGACATGTGGAAATCAGCTCAATTAATGGTTGGATAAAGCTGTCTGCCGCAGGATTCAGATTTGAGGCTGAGGCAACCTGGCAGGCAAAATAAGAAGGATTTTAATGTCATAATTCAGACTTTCCATCCTGTTGGTGCAATTGAGTGAAGGCTGGGAGGTGAGGCTGTCTTTTCACACCCTGACACCCTTCCCTAAGTTGAAAGAAACCAAAACTGCTGGCACCATGCAACCAGAAATATGGAACCACCTGTATGATGCAATTTTGATGCAATGCAAAAGGAGAAATACTTGAGAAAACAAACAGTTTTATCCAAACTATTGTTGAAACTCTGAGGCTTTTGTTTTTAGCACAAGAGCTGATTTTTGGCTCTGGCTTTAAATGTCTAAAAATCAAAGGAAAAAAAATCTAAACTTTGCATGTGAATTATAATTTAAAGTCAGCCATCACACCTTTAACATTTGTTAAAACCTCTGCCACCATAGACTCTTTAAGACATGGATATAGTCACAGTGATGTAACCTCTGGTCTCTGAAGATGGTGCATTATTGGAAATGTTATCTCAGCTAACTATCGTTCAATCCAGAAACAGACTGAGAGGTGGAGTTGAGGTGGCAAACAGCTACCATACTTTTACCTGTCCAACAACAAAGCAGTGCCCTCAAGTGTGCAAATTCATGTAACTCTTAGCCTTTAAAAAAATCAAAACAGATATGATAGAACAAAAACAAACCAACAATAACTGTTTTTTACCTTTTTCAGGTTTAGATTTGCTGGCAAAAAATGAACACTTTAGAGTAGGACCTGATGTGGTTTTCCTGGCTTTTGCAGCCTGCCTCAAGTGGACACTCTGGGAACTGCAGTTTTTGCCTCTGCAGTGGCTTCATTATATTTGTTCATTTTATAACACTAAGTTATTAAAAACAGCAAGAACAGATTGAACAGTCCAATTAGAGGCTCTAAGATAAGTGTGAACCTGCATTTGTAAAGTTTTTACCATTAAAAATGTTCATCAGTGCAAATTTTTTCCAGGCAAAATAATCACTCTCTTCTCCTTCATCCAAATGGTGCAGTTGTGCAGCTTCATACTACACACTAGAGATGCACAGTATGGTATTTTTGCAAACATCTGATATCTGACATTTTTTAACCCATTTTGGTCAATAGTAGGGCTGCACGATTTTGGCAAAAAATAAAATAAATCTTGGAAAACTCGATTTTAGATTTAGATTTTTTTATTTAGTGACAACTTCACCAAACTTCACTCTAAAAATACAAAGGTTTTCTATCATCTCTCAAAACGAAACCACTAAAAACGATGTGCATATGCCAAGTCAGTAAGTGGCGCAGGAAATGCACAAAAGACAGAAGAAGAGTACAAAGCATATGTTTAAAGGTTGTTTTGACAGGGCACACGCAGACGTCATAGAAGAGTCATGCTGTCTGTCACATAATCGTTTCAAGAGAAGCAGATAGGCATCCACATGGAGGTGAATGGTAGTCATTTATGGATTTATGCACTTTTGCACCCGTTTTCAAGTACTGTTTACAGTCACCCGAAACGCCATTTCCGTGTGGATAAAACACGTTCGTTTCAGGACCGGGGACATGTGGATGGGTTGATACCATCTTCAGACAGACTTTGCAGCAGGAAGTGGTTTGCTCTTCGTCCAAAAGTGCGAAGCTGTATCAATTTCACACGATTTGTTCTTGCCCTATTTAGCCACAAAATGATTGCCTTCTTTTGCAAACGCCATGTTTGTTTACACAGGTGTGTGTAGGAAATAGGGAGCGCTCTCGCTGGAATGGGAGCCTACGGTGGCCTGGAGGTGCTAGATATAATAGAGAGGAAAATTGATTTGATGATTTGAATTTTTTTTAACATCGTCATAATCAAATAATCCAATCACAATTTAAAATCGATTAATCATGCAGCCCTAGCTCAGAGTTCTTCCTGTAATAGAATAATGTGTTACTCCTGTTGTGATGGTGTCTTCATTTTAGAACCAGACATTGTTAAAGCTTCAGAAGTCTTCATATCTGCTGATACAAATATGACAATGCTTTGCATCTCGCAAAGATAATTGCAAGTTGTCAGCTGTTCTTGGCTTCTGTTATATGACCATAATAGGTGCGGCATAAATCACTTAACGGTACAAATGCACAAACCCTGTGAGTCAGCCTGTGTGTAATCTTCCAGGCATGCGATGCTTTCAGGTCAACTGATAAAGGTGACGTTTAATATCTGCAGCTTTAATGATACCTTGAAGGCACTAACGAACATAAAATGTATACATGGGTTGACTGGAAAAAATTCACCTGCAGGCCCAACAACACCTCATTTGCAAGTCAAGTAGATTGAAGCATAACAGCACAGTGCGGTGTGTCTTTTCTCTGCTTCACACATACAGTAAAGGGCTCCTGCCTGACATGTTGGTGATTCAGCTCGTTACTGTTTAGCCAGAGAGCAGGGAGTTACAGAAACCTGAGGAAGCTTATGAAACGACAAATCCCTCAGTGAGAAAAAGACAAATGTATGAAGACAGCTGACATGGTAATACAGTGACTGAGGTGGTCATGTTGTGACTCAGCCTTTTCTGTAAGCTGAGGAATCAAATGTGACGTTTGATGGATATTTTTATCCAATATGCTTGGTATTTATGATTCCTTACAAAGACTGACTGTTCCAACAAAGCTGATTCATACAGCCACATGCAATCATCCATCCATTTGAGTCATTTTTTCTTTTTTAATATTTTGAAAGCTCAATTTCAACAATCTTTGCTACAAAATTGCCAAGACTGTGTCTGTTTTAACCCATAAAAACTCCACAGGTCAAAGGTCACTACCGATTAGCCTGTGCGTCTGTCAGGACCTGCTGCTAGTCAGGCTTGCCATCATGCAGAAAAAGAAGTAAATTTTCCCCAAAGAGCGATCAGGAGAGTTACAGCTTATTTTGAAAAGCAGCAGGCAATGAACAAGCTGCAATTTGCATAAACTCCAAGTGTTCATTTTCAGTCGCCCATGGTCAACATGCCAACAAAGCCGCAATAAATCAAGCAAGCACAAAACAAAGTAAACAAAACAGCGGGTACAGACTGGGAGTAGCGCTGCTGCAGCCTACTACAGCGAGGCAAAGAACCAACTTAAACACACAGCTCAGTAGTCCCTGTGTTTTCTGTCCACTTATGTGTATCATTAAATTTTCTGTTGCATTTTGTGTTGGGAGACATCATTTTTAATGGGTGAGGTGCTCTCCAAGGTGCTTAAAATCCAATTGTACCATGTGCTCACACATGTGGGTTTGCAGTAACATTTAAGTCTCTCTATGTAAAGGTGGAATAAAATAATAATAAAGAAAAAAAACAGTCACAACTCAATCAAAATATGATCCAACTGTGTCAGGGCACAAGATGCCATTTGTCAACTGTGCTTGTTTACATCAAGCTATAACCACCTAGCTGGAGAAATGGAGCCAACACTGGAGTGCTAAAAACAGCAGTTCCTTGAATGGCCACTTGAAGTTGGATGTCGAATCCCCAGAAACCACAGACAGACTAGGGATGGGCGATATGGGCTAAAAAATTTATCACAATAAGATTTGCCATTCTGGCGATTACGGTAAAAGTCAAGTAAAAAAATATTGTAATTCTAATCTATATTTTTGACTCATTTTGTTTTGAGAACACCAGTTGGAGTAGTCAAATAAGATACTCAACCATAAGGATGAGTGGTAGGTTATGGAGAAAACTAATGACATCAAACAAGTCTCAAGTGTGAAAACATTTTCAACATTTATTGAAAACTCTTATTGCACAGAGTGAACAGATCTACTGTCAGGCATACCTGATTGAACTCATCCAAGCCCTGATCTCGAAAGAAATCCCTCATGTGGAGCCTCGTTCAGTAACGAGCTGCTCAGAGACGTCTTCTTCATTACCTTCGGCCATGTTTGTTTGTTATTCTGCTCTGTGTGGGCTACGGCTGCAGGTCCACCGCTCACACTAACGTCATCAACTTGCATTTATTATATTTATCATGAGTTGGCAAATATTTATCATGGAGGATTTTTTGAAGATTTATCGTGAACAATAATTTATCAGCCATCCCTTATACACACCCATTTAAAGAAGCTCATCTTGACAGCAGAAATAAACACATTTAGAGTCTAGTTCACAGATGAGTTTAGTCTGACTAGCTCATTTCTTTACCAACACTTTCCGTGTTACAGCCAGAGTCCTTGATGCAGCTATTGCAGGTTTGGCCACAACCTTTTGCTTGATGTCACTTTCCACTCCTTACATTTCCTGTCTGTCCTCAGCTGTCCTACTTAGAAAAGCCTTGAAAATTTACCAAAACAATGAAATAAATAGAACATTGACAAAAAAGAGCTGATACATGTCCTGAAACACAAGCAAGTTTTTACAATAAAACACATCCACAATATCATAAGGCCAACAACCTCGACATCAGTGATTGATTTCAGCTTGTTTGTTAAAAACAGGAAAGTCTGTTTTGTTAAAGTCCTTTTCCTCTGCCATGAATGAAGTGCTCATTCCCATAGAAATGTCACTCAGTGTGTTTTTTGGGGAATGGGGGTTGTGTTTTTTCCTTTTTTTTTTTCTTTTTAATTTCCCTTGAGCAGTCTCTTGCTTCCTTGTGGATCTGAAATGCTAAACATGGTCATTTAAAAACAGCAACAACAAAAAACTTTGAGGCTCAAACCCCAAAAGTCATCATCTAAATGCAAGACTTTGGGAGGAAAATGTATTCCTGTGGTTTATTTCCATCCCCTTAAATCTATCAACCCCTGGTCCATCCATTTTCTCCATTTTATCATGCAGACAAAGTTTCCTCCTCTTGTTAGTAAGCCAGTCCTGCAGGCACAAGGTGAACCCCACTGTTTAATAATTCACCCCCCCAAAACCACTGCAGTCATTCGTAAACAGCAAACAGCCGCCTAATTACTTTGGTGACTTATCGGACACTCTGTGCATCCCAATGAATGGCCTGTAGTAGCTTCTCCAGAGTTATTATTTATCACAGACGCTGCTGTATTGGAGGATGATCCGTCTTTTTCCAAAAGGACAGCTGGCTGGCATGAATGCCCAGAGCGGTATGATGAGCGGACGTGCTGAAGCACAAGTGATTCCTTTGTTTTATTTTTAACACTCCCTGCTCTACTCATCCATTTCCCCATTTACCGTCCCACTTTGTGTTCTTGATTTTCTGTGTTAGTGTTGTTGTCCTCTTACAGTCAATAACCTTTTCCAAGCTTTGGTTTACATCCATACTTATCTCTGTATTTTTATCTTGTCCTCTTGATTCACTCACTCACTCACTCACTCACTCAGTTTCCTTCCCTGTTTCCTTGTTTTGACTGGCTGAAATTGGGTGTTTGTTGACTTGTCCAACAGTTTTTGTCGAGTGAGTCTTGAAAGGACACGCAGTGAGGTTTATTTTGGACAGACTGCCAGCCCACGTCGAAGTGTTTGGACAGTGCAAGTGTGTGGTTCAGAGTAACAAGCCAATTTTAGCAGCTTTAGGGTCATTGTCAAATTTCCTCTTCGCCTGCATGCCTGGGCTATCGTTTCTGTCAGCTGCTTCGGCCCGTTCACTGGATCTCTCTTTAAGCTGATGAAGACATTTAGGCAAACCAAAGTGACAGCTGACTTCAGCTCTAATCACATTAAACTGGCCACACAAGGTTGCTCTCAGCTATGAGCCGTTCTCTCTGTGCATCTGTCTGTGTTCGTATTTTCTGTCTTTGCTCTCCCTGCTCTTTCCGTCTTCCTGTCTCCACTTGATGGAAGGATACCAATCTGTGACTCACTGACTTACTCATTCACTAATGTTTGTGCCAGTCATTTGGGAGCGGTATAATGACAGAAATTGTAAAGCACTTGTTATCTTTTAAATGCGTGCGGGGTCTGGAACCCAACATAAAAAAAATGACATTGCCTATGCAAAAAAAAAAAAAAAGCATTTTATGTAGAGCAAGACCTAGAGGCCCTGTGCAATGGTTAAACCTCAGATTTGTTTCCCTTTTTGTATTGTATCTTAAGAAACCAGGAATAGTCTACTTATTCAAATGCTTTGCACATAAAATAGGGACAGCACCGTCTCAGAAAGAGCGAAGAGGAGCAGACTGTGGTTGTTAAAGGGATATTCCAGTGTAAATTTAAGTTATGGTCAAACACACCATGACACTGAGTTAGACACCCCCTCAAGAGATGAATGTTGCTGACCGCGTGCTTCTCTAGTTATACCAACTACAGCAACGACCGCACGATTGCAGTACACAGCGGTTTACGTCTCCATGCACAAACCTCAACCAAAAAGCCACAAATAATGCTCAGAACACCACCTAACTTCATCAACAGTACATATAGGGTCCCAGCTATAGTACTAGCCATCAAACATCTTTTTAGCTTTGCCTGGTTTCTTTGACAAAGATAATAAACACAACTCAACCACTTTCCTCCAACAGCTGCTTGTTTGTAGGGGAGCCCTGATGAGTTGATCAACAAGTGCAGTGGAGTTTCACAGCTCAAGGAGGAACATTTATGATCATTCCTTCATGGAAATGCAATCAGAGTTCTTGTGTTTCTTGTATGCACACTGCAGACACGGTGGTTCTTCTGTCTTAGCGTCTTGGTCTGATTGCATTTCCATGAAGTAATAATCACAAATATTCCATTGCACTCGGTGATTGACTCATCTGCGCTCCCCCACAACAGGCGGCTGCTTAAGGAGAGTGGATGGGTTGTGTTTAGTTACTTTGCTAAAGAAATCAGGCAAAGCTAAAAGACGTAAACCGCTGTGTATTGCTATTGTGTGGTCGTTGCTGAACTTGGTATAACTACAGAAGCAAGCAGTCAGCAACATTCATCTCTCGAGGGGGTGTCTAACTTGGTGTTACAGTGTGTTTGACCATAACTTAAATTTACGCCGGAATATCTCTTTGAAAGTAGTGATGTGTCATTCATGAACGATTTGTTCAAAAGAACTGAATCTTTTAAGTGAACGTACTGAACCGAATCACTTCCTCAGGTGATACGTTTGTTTCTCACTTCAGTTGAGCTGAAGTGAGAAACAGCATTGCCAGCCGAGCAGCCGGCAAACGAAGGACTGCATGCACCAACACCTGAATCACTTGGGAAATGAATCATGCATTGAACTACACTCTCTGGAATCATTTTTGTCAGACAAAATTACCTTCTTTTTTTTTTCATTTACTGCTAAATTGCCACCACAACAACTTGCATACAATAGGACACAGCATGTAACAAGTAGTGCATTAAACCTGCAGCATCCTATCATTGCAGTGGTTTGCAAGGGAATGGTGTATGTTCAGTTTCAATTCTTCTAAATGTTCAGTGAACGAATCACTCACTGACCCCAGTTTACCAAGCAGACCTGATAGATAGCATACCATAGGACAGTACACTTAAACATCATGACTTATAAATAAGTTCAATTTTAAAATCCTGTTTTTCAAAGCAACAGAGCCAAACACTCGTGTCTCCAAGTCCCGGACGCTTTGAACTGAACTGAATCCTGAACCGTTCAGCTGTGTATCAGTTCAGGAGGTCGGAGTCACAGGCTTCTCCCACCAAGCGCTACATGGTTTGGTGATTTGGTTAATGAATCTTTTGAACGAATCTTTTTAGTGAACTGAGTCTAGTGCTTCAGTACATCTAAAAGAACTGCTGTGCCCATCACTACTTCAAAGTGGAACAAGAGACATTTAACTAAATACTTATTCTGTTTGTATAATGCACAATTTAAGCATCTCATCCGTTCATATTAAGAAGAAGAGAGACTTGACAGGTAAATGTAAATCGGATTAACGGACAGTAATGTGAAGCTCTGTGTTTTATGAATTAAAAGGATGACAGGCTGCCCTCACAGTAAAGAAACGGATGCAAAAATGGTAAGTCAGGAAACAGAAATCCTGATTTCCACTGGAATAATTTGGAGAAAAGTCAGTCTAGAACAGAATTTATCCCTGTGCCAACACAGGTCTTCTGTTATTGTTATTTCTCATTGTAAAGTAAACTTTGTGGGTATTTGCAGATATAGTATCAGTGAGTTGTACCATATGCCTTGATCCCCCTGGCTCTTTACAGAGGAAAAAATCAACACCCTCAGTTCATCTCTGAAAAAGCTCCCTCATCTGTCTCCTTATTTGTCTTTTCAGATGCCAATCTGCTCCGAAAATGTCTGCATCGGCTCGGTTATGATGCCCAACCAGCATATCCGCAAGCCAGATGAGGTCAGAACCAAAGATGAGCTCCTTCCACTGGCCACTGACTTCATAGACCAATACTACACCTCCATTAGAAGGTAAGGCTGAGTGACATTCACCAAGAAGGGGACAATTTAATATGAAGTGAAAAGAGTTTGAAGTTTATGTAATTTTATTCTAAGACAGGATCTAAACTCACCTTCCAAGAATAAACAGAATAAAAAAGGGAACAATTCACAAAAAACCCAAACAATCAAAAGATCTGGGTTAGGACAGCATAATAAAACTTTGTGACTTTTGTTTTAAACTGGACATCTTGATAAGCTTTGAGAGGGTTCTTCTAAAAAATAACTTCACAGTTACTTCAGCCAAAAACACCCAAGACGAAAGCTGTACAGTTTTCGCTCAAAGTGGAGGGCTCACACATAACACTGGGTTGCTTAGCAACATTGATGTTCTCCTCTGGAGCGAGAGTTACAACCAGCAGAGACTTTTATTGTTGTACTCACCTATCTGATTGGCATTTTGTGAGCTTTATGGCCCTTCACAATCTGCTCCCAATTCAACCTCACTGCTTGCTCCTCTGTGGCCTGAAACAACCAGGACCCTCAAACTCTCTTTTCAACAGCTCCCCAAAAATCCTGCAAAGTGTTTTCAACAAAGTGGAGGAAACACCACATGAAGTCAGAAGTACAACAGCTGTACAAAGAGGATTAAGGCTTCAGGATTCATCTGAAACACTTGAACATTTTTCAGGCCAGATGACTGTAATTTGTTATTCCCACACAAAAGTGAGATCAACCTTGTCTTAATTTTGACAGTCTTCCCAAATAAATGAGAGTTGTCAATGATGTCTAAAATCAGTTTTATTTTGATAGTAGCTTCATCTTCTCCCTTGTTTCTGATGCACTAATTCTGTATTTAAGAACGCTGACAAAACATGACAGTTTAATGAAAATGCCAGTGGTGTTGTGTTTTGTGTCTGTTATTGTATACTAAGAACCTGTTCGGTCTGCAGGTACGGCTCCAAGGCCCACGTGGACAGGCTGGACGAGGTGACCAAGGAGATTGAAGCTTCGGGAACTTACCAGTTGAAGGATACTGAACTGATTTATGGAGCCAAACATGCATGGAGAAATGCTGCCAGATGTGTAGGGAGGATCCAGTGGTCCAAACTACAGGTAAAGACCAGGGACTGAAAATCAGAGAATGGAGCGGTTACTACTGGGAGTAGACTGATTATCTCCAGGGCTGATAAACAGGGCCGATATTTGGCTGATTATCTGTATCAGCATCTTATTTCACTAATGTCACATGGATAAAGGCAGTGTGTGGGGTTTTGACTGGTCGAAACAATTACATGTGAACTGTCAATGCATATTGGTTTCAAATATCTGTTATTGGTTTAATGAACTAAGAATAATTCGTATCAGTACCAGCCCTGAAGAACCAATGTGGCAGTACTGATCCAACCCTAGTTCATGCCTTATTCTCACTACATTCTGTTTTGATTATTTGACAAGATTTGTAGACGTTTCCTGCACTCCTGCTGTTTTTTCTCCATTTTAGAATAAAGCTCAATGTCCTGAGAGACAAGAAAATGGATGCAGCTCCTGTCACATCCCTTGTTGGTCCATGAACTGCCATTTTTAAGTGTTAAATTTAGCATTTTCAGCAATAAGTAATGATTTGTAGAAAACAAAAAGGGCTGGGTATGTATTGCTTCTCTTCTATCCTAGAGTCATATTTGCTACCTGGAAAGAAGTGTGTCTGGATTAGCTCCACTTTTGAAACCAAGATCCAGTTTTGACCTCTCATGTACAGTCTACAGTGTACACCAGCTCAAACCAAAATGTACATGCTATGTTTATGTTAAGGTAAGTTTGAATCACTCCGCTCTGTGTACATTGGGTTCTGAGGTTTCACTTTTGTGTTTGCACTCCAGGTGTTTGATGCCAGAGACTGCACAACTGCTCATGGAATGTACAACTACATCTGTAACCACATCAAATATGCCACCAACAAAGGCAACCTAAGGTAAAAAAAAAAACGAACAAACAAAACCGAACAAACAAACAAAAAAAAAAAAAAAAAAAAAGAACACGCACTGCTCAACTGTTGTCTTATTTCTTTGTTGTTGTTCATCGTTTCCTTTCATTCAGCTCTGCTCGGGTTCCTCTCCCCATCTGTCGCTCTCGATCTCTGACTACCCTGACTTGACCCGCTGTCCCATCTGTCAGTGCGCGCTCTGCGTCTTAATGCCTCTACTGACACTATCTGCTTCCTGTCCATCTTTATGTATCTTTGCACCAATCAGTGCCCTGTCAGCCAAGCGCTGAACCCTGCTAACAACGGGCAGTCATTTATCAGACCTGCACAACGTTCGCTCACTTTCCGCCAAGCCCTAACCACATGTGACACCTCATATCTACATCCTGGATGATGGATAGCTTCTGAATCATTACTAAACCTAGCCTGGCCTTCAGAGAGACAGCCTGGATACACATGTTGATCAGAGCTAGCTAAGTAGCATCCTGGCTGCAGCTCTGCAACCTTGAAACAGAGTAATTATTCTTTCTGTAATCCATAGCTTGCAATGGCAGAAAAAGAACAATGTGTTCATGATAAAAGATGGATTAAATGGAGAAAGTAATGGCACCTAAACTCTGTTTTAAATAAACCATCAAGTGGGCATTTTCAAATGTTAATGAGACATAAATGGACTTTGGGTCTGGCACACTAAATTACTTAAGCACATTTTTAAACAATCTGGCAGTTTATACCTGCCAAGGTTTAAGACTGATCTTGAAAGCAAAAGGAAATGATTTATGAAACATTTATGGAGCAATTAGTTACAGCTTATTACTTACCATTAGTTACAGCTTGTAGAGAGGGTAAGTAGTGGAAGGTGGCATAAATATTGATATAGAAAATTGGATATTGTAGCTGTTGCTTAATGGATGTTGTATAATGTATAGGGTTTGACGTCACTATCCCCCACATTATCCAGATATTGAGTAAAGACACTGAATATTGATTTAAAGATGATTTATTTAGACAGCAGAAAAAAAAAGAAAAAGGCCTCTTCTGGAGAACCCAAACACGAGTTAATGCAGGATAGGAGGGGTTCATAGTGTCATTGCAGTCTGTTTACATTAAACATGGTTCAGGTTGACTTCATTGTGAGGATTTGTGTAAATAACTGACTAGATAATCCTACCTCCCCACTTACTAATTTTTCCTGTTGTAATATTAAAATCAAGTCATCACCTGTAGCTGTCTTGTAGGTTTTTATTATTATGTAACTTGTTCAATTCAAACTATCTGCATTCCCTTATCCACTTATCCTCTCAAAACTCACGTCTAATCATGCCTTTACATGTAACTCAGTTGTGCAAATGATTTTATTGGTGTGAACATGACACAAGACTCTCAAGTTGTGGTTTGCAGTTACATCATGTCTGTTTTCTTCAATTTAGTGGATGTCTAATTAACTGAAGCTCATCCTGTGCTGTTTCCTTGCTTCTTGTTTTCTCTCTCTGCTGTTAACTGGTCAGCTATTTTCCACTAATATTAAAGCGTTGTGCCCTCCAAAAACAACTTGAGTGGTTTCAGGAGTTTCCTCTGTGTTTTTCTCTGACCCTGTTGGAAAGTAGTGGTTTCAGAAAAAGCTCCTCCTTGTCCAGGGCTGCCTGTTTGGTCCGTCACTCACAGTAGTTGACACGGGGACAGTGAGACTGTTTCCGGCAGATGTACACAGCTAACACAACTGGCCCAGATTCACACAGCTGCACTCACTCCTCTGTGATTTATAACCAGCTTAGCAGTATTACTTTGACCCTTTCACTTTTACACGGTCATGGCATCAAAACGTCACTGCAATGTAGAGCAGATCAAAGGTAGGCTTTGATTTTCATTTAAAAGTGACATTGCTTACATTAGCAACCACGTCTTAGCAATCTTAGTGATTAAAATCCTTTAATACTGATCTGATATACTCAATCCACAATGTTTGACTCTGAACGCAATGTGCTGTTATTCTATAACACTGTTACTGTGACTTGAGCTGTGCTTTGAAAGTGAGAGACAAAAAAATCTATATACAGGATTTCATTAAAAAAAATAATAATAACATTGATAACTTTTTTCTACCCATGCAGGCTAAATAAAAACAAGGAGAAATGAATGAGTGAATTTAACAAGATTATATAAAGCCAGTGTCTGTTGATATCCAAGAACATCTTTGACTCTGTGAATCAATCGTTTGTGTTCTGCAGGTCAGCCATCACCATATTCCCGCAGAGGACGGATGGCAAACACGACTTTCGGGTGTGGAACAGTCAGCTGATCCGCTACGCAGGCTACAAACAGCCTGATGGAAAGATCTTGGGTGACCCTGCAAATGTTGAATTCACTGAGGTACACAGAAGTAGAAGCTTCTTCAGTTTGAGTCTCACGCACCAAAGCTGCAAAATCTCCTCTCTTGTTCTCTTAGCTTACATGTTGCTTTTGGTCACCAGATCTGCATGCAGCTGGGATGGAAAGCTCCAAAGGGTCGATTTGATGTCCTCCCCCTCTTGCTCCAGGCTAATGGGAATGACCCTGAGCTGTTTGAGATCCCTGAAGACCTTATCTTGGAGGTGCCAATCACACACCCAAAGTGAGTAATGCTTTCTTTCTGAAGCGTTCAACAAATACAGAGAATCAAGAAAAACAAGAAGCAGAGGGGGCTGCACAAAAAGACATCCACCTACTCGCACATCTCTTTACAAACACTTTTCAAACAATGAGGAACTGTGGAGCCAAGAAGTTTCCTGGGTTATTGCCACAATCAAACTGTGCCTAACATTCCCCGAGAACACAGCGAGCCATGCTTTATCTGTTGCTATGCCAGATTTTTTGGTAACCATGGGGCTCGTTAGTGAGGCTCATGCTTCCTCCTGTTTTTCTTTCCTGCGTGTTAACTTTTCTCTCAAGGAAACTTAGCACACTGTGGCAGCTTCTCTGCAAAAACCATGAGAATTCAAGCATTAAGCCGTCATTTCTAATCCATCTATTCCATAATCACTTAATATTATCGCTCTGTTGGTTTCCACACATGCGGACCCAGCTGCACACAGAGCTATCACTGTACCGCTACAGAGAGCATCTCATAATCCCTTGACAAAATGATGTCCCTGCCAGACTCCCCCGAAAATTGGCATCTTGTGCTCCAAACACTGCATCAACTGGCCCTCAGCTCTGGCAGCAGCTTGGCACAGACCAAGACCACCAACAGAGTCTCATCATTACATCAGATTAGACCAATATAACTGCAAATAACGCACTGAAAGCAGCGTGATCAGTCCCTCCAGAAGGTGTGAGAAGGCATATTTAGGCCCCGGATGCTCTGTCCAGCTCTAAAAAGCTGTCAGAGGGAGTTTTTTTTTTTTTTTTTTTTTTCTGGTGTTAATGTTGGTTTTGGCCGCATCTATTTTATCTTGGGGATGAATCACTTTACACAGAGCAATGCAAGATAATTATTAGAATAATTGGCTGCAAAAACTACAGATCCTGGACCTTCATCAACATCATTCCCTTGTTTCCTCCGCACAGGTACGAGTGGTTCAAAGACCTGAACCTGAAGTGGTACGGCTTACCGGCAGTGGCTAACATGCTGCTGGAGATTGGCGGCCTGGAGTTCACCGGCTGCCCCTTCAGCGGCTGGTACATGGGCACGGAGATTGGTGTGAGGGATTTCTGCGACAGCTCACGTTACAACATGCTGGAGGTATTGTGTCTTTTTCTAAATGCAGTCATAGTATGTTAAAATGCAGGATAAGATGCTGAGGCACAGACTGAGAAAAGCCTTGAGCAGACATGAGCATGATGCTTTCCAAAAAAGAGCAGGTCTAGACCACACTAATTTTTTGATGAATTACCAAGACCCAACCTTAAGTTGGGACAAATTTGATCCATCTCACCTAACATGAGTGACAGTGGCAAGGAAAAACTCCCTTTTAACACGCAGAAACCTTGAGGAGGACCAGAGAGAGAGCGAGAGAGAGGAGTAGGAGGGAAGGAGAGCGAGAGAGAGAGAGACAGGAGACAGCAGCAACATTAACTGCTCTCAACCAGAACACCAGTTTTCTTTTAATTGTGCACACTGAGGAGAAAACTGGATCTCTGATTCTGATTTGAGCTGTATTGTATGCATGAAAGATATGTGTTCATTCATTTACTGTGTCGTGCACCAAATCCTTAAGTGCATTAAGAGAAACAAATTGAGTATATGAGCTATTCGGGAGCAGAAAATGCTGATTTCTCCAAATGCTTTCAAGGATAGGCAATTAACTCTAATGTGGTATATTAAATTTGGGGGATCAGACTGTCTGCTTCATGTGCATGAGAGTGACAGAGCGTGTTTTCCATCCTGATATACAGTGAAGATCCAAGTCATTTTTCCATCAGTTGTTAATCACATCAGCTTTTATTGTTGAGTTCTGTTTTGTCTGGTTTGTGCTTTTTCATCATTTGCATGTATTGTCTGGAGAGGAATACTGATTTCAGCCCTTTTCACAAAAGCTCTTATTGACTGTGAAAAGAAGAATAAAGGCTTCTTTACTAATGGTAGACCATCCCTATAGGCTTCAAACCATGCAGAAAGTGCCTCTGGTTCTTTTGTTTACTAAAAAATGATCATTTGCTGGATTTACAAAACAAAAATGAACATTCAATAGTTACAAGATGTTCCAAACTTTTTTCTTTCTCTCTGAATTTTGTATGCAGTCAGTTCAAATATTAAAACAAAACTAAGATTCATGGTTATTTGGCTCCATAGTTCATTAAAAATCAGTGCAAGGATTTCAGACGTCTATTTGTTCAAGGTCTCTTAGGCTGTAGTTTCTGTAGCGTTGTGCATTAAATATTTTTAATCACTGACATGTCTCCAGTCAGGCCAGTCTGGCACCCAGACTCTTCTCCTACAGAGCCATGCTGTTGTAATGTGTGCAGAATGTGGTCTGACATTGTCTCGATGAAACTTACCTTAAGAAAGACAGGTGTTGCTCCAAAACCTTCACATACTGTTCATCTATACTGGTGCCTTCCCAGGTGTGTAAACAACCCATCACATGGGCACTTACCAGTGTTGTTTTTGGCAGGCATTTTAGATTTAGTTTTAGTCTTAGTCATTTTGACGAAATGCTTCTTCGTTTTAGTCCCATTTTAGTCATTTCTATCCTTGATAGTTTTCGTCTAGTTTTAGTCCGAGGAAAACTCAAAAGGTTTTCGTCTAGTTTTAGTCGACGTAAAGGTGCCTTTTGAGGTTCGTGGTGTTCTTTCCCGACAGTTTGAAGCATGAGGAAGCTGTGGCTCCACAACTGTCGTCTGTCTCGTCTCCCCGTCCCGTGTTTTATTGTCACTTTTATTTTATTGTCACTTGAACTGTATCTGAAATAGGACCAAAAATCATCCCTCTTTTTTCGGCCACCGGGCACCGCTGCTGTGCCTGCCGCCACGGTGTGTGTGTGTGTGCGCGCCTCGTCCACCTGCCGCTCTGTGTATGTGAATGAGTGTGTGCGCGCAGCTGTGCGCGAGCGAGGCTTTTGGTGCGTGTGTGATGGGGGCGTGACTGTTAGGACAAAAAAAAGCATGTTTTGAAACTTTGTTTGTCCACCTAATAACAATTTAGTCTCGTCTCGTTCTCGTCTGACGAAAATGAATACAATTTTCGTCACATTTTAGTCTTTACAGAGCTTTGGTGACGTTCGTCTTAGTCTCATTTTCGTCAAGGAAAAAAGGGGTCTGACGTCGTCATTTAAGTTTTCGTCCTGCCTGACGAAAACAACACTGGCACTTATACATTCCAATACCACCACAAACGCTGGCTTTTGAACTGTGCACTAACAAGCTAGGTGGTTCCTCTCCTCTCAGCAGAGGATGCAACATCCGTGATTTCCAATAAGAATGTTGACTGATAATTTTTCAGACTACAGCACAGTCTTCCACTTCTCCTCAGTCCATCTCACATCAGCTCAGGCCCAGTGAACTCTCAGGTGTTTCTGTATCTGGTGTCCTCTTTGTATATCTGAACCTGCATTTGTAGGAGCAGTAACGAACTGTGCTTACTGACAGTTGTTGAAGTGATTTTGAGACCATGCAGTGATTTCCACTACAGAGCCATGCCAGCTTTTGTTGCAACGCTTCCCGAAGGCCTAAAGATCATAGCCACTCAGTATTGGTTTTTGGCTTTGTCTGTTTTGTGCAGAGATCCATTGTTGAACTACTCTCTCACACAGTTTCTCACAGAGTGGTAAATCCTCTCCTGTCTGTACGAATCTGTTGTAAATTAACCTCATTAGTTAGGAGATGTTGACTGTTTTTTGATACATGTTTTTCTGACATCTCATTTTAAAAAAGCACTTATTTTTCAGAAAAAAACACCATGTTTTAGCTCCAATATTTGATGTAGAGTATTGCCTTTGCACTTTTTTTTCAATTTAATATAGAATTTTGTTTTTTATCTTCCTCTCTTTGTAGGAGGTTGCAAACAGGATGGCCTTAGACACCAGGAAGACTTCCTCCCTGTGGAAAGACCAGGCACTGGTGGAGGTCAACATCGCTGTTCTCTACAGCTTCCAGGTATGCACCCGCAGTTGTGTTGTTCATTTATAGAAACACTTCATCTGTGTTTGGAAAACTTACCAAACATCCCTGCAAACAAGTTAGCTCTCTTCTGAAGGGTAATACACAGCTGATGTGTGTACTTAATCCTATTCCTGGTGGTCTCTTTTCGCCTTAATGTTGTCAAATGTGTTTTTAAGTTGTCTGCTTATGTCTGTCACTCATGAGAAAAATAATCACGCATACAACTTTTCATCAAAATTCTGCTTTAGACTTAATTAAAAGTTATTACCCTTGGTTGGTTAATGACTTGTCACATGGGATTTTGCTGCTGAATTCTTTATCACTGATTGTCTCATTGGTTGTGCCTCCTTTTTGTAGACTTGCAAAGTGACTATAGTAGACCATCACTCAGCCACAGAGTCCTTCATGAAGCACATGGAGAATGAGTACAGGGTGCGAGGAGGCTGTCCTGGAGACTGGGTGTGGATTGTCCCCCCCATGTCAGGAAGTATTACACCGGTGTTCCACCAAGAAATGCTCAACTACCGCCTCACCCCTTCTTTTGAGTACCAGGTAGGAGGAAGTGGTTAAATTTTTTATCAGATCTGCACTCTGTCTGCAAAATTAGACCATGAATACCCTTGAGAATCACAGATACAATAAGATATATGATACAATACAATACAATACAATATGATATATGACACGATATACGATACGATATATGATATACGATACAATACATGATACGATACGATACAACACAATACAATATGATACGATACAATATACTATACGATTCACTTTATTGTCCCCTTATAGAAATTTATCTTGTACTCCAAGAGCTGCACAGATAAAGCTGCCAACTGATGACACAAAGTACAAAGATACAGTCACACACACAGTCTTAACATGGGATTGATTTGAACTTTAAATAACAACAGCCTCTGTTTTCTTCCTTCATGCAACAAGCCTGACCCCTGGAACACCCATGTGTGGAAAGGAGTCAATGGGACGCCCACAAAGAAAAGAGCGATCGGATTCAAGAAGCTCGCCAAGTGAGTGTACAATCATACAGAAATACCAGAAAGCAACAAAGCTTTGTTTTCTTGTATTTGTGATCTGCACCTGCATTTATTAACTCAAGGTTAATTTGGGGCCTTAAATGTCAGAGATAATTTACTGTAGGATGTGTGTATGATCACCCAACCTGCAACAAATAATCACCTTCCTGACAAAAGTTAGACACATGGGAAGGAAGCTGGTGTACTCAGAGGTGAAATTCATCCAATCAACCCCTCAGGGAGTAATCAAAGCTTTGTCTCAGTTTTTCTCTGTACACGCATCCACTAGTGCGTGTGTATTATCTGCCATTAATATAATTACCCTGAGGTTATGACAAGCCAGCTAATCACGATTGTCATCCATCTGCTACCTTGACGTGAAGTCTGTTGGCTGCTGGAGTGAACCACATTACCGTCAATAACAGATGTTTTGTCAGTTAAGGGAGATCAGTGGATTGAGTGAGGACTAAAGTGTTTCAATCAGAGCGGCTCCAAACTAAGGCTGCATGATATTTTTGCAGGTTGTACTAAGATATGAAAAATCCAGGAGTTTGTACCAGATTAATGCAGCACGTTGTAGGTGCCTAAAAATGTAGTCTGAGTTTGTGCCTCTTCAGGTAACCAAACAACTGCACATTTCTACTTTCTTACTGCTCCTTCAGCTGTTTTCATTCAGTTCTCTAATTTACAATCTGCCAAGGATTGCATATTTCAAAATAAAAGCATAGTATGACAATATGGGAAATAAAGCAACCAAAAACCCAAGGTAGAAAGTGTTCAGAGAGTTATTGTCTTCTCCACAGAAGTTTTGGTCACAGGGTTAATAATAATCATACATTTAAATATGATAAGAAATAAATAACGATGAAATTTGTGTAATAGTAGAATCATTTTGAAGTTTATTCAAAAACTTTCTTTCATATATTGATGCTTTTTGAATTTATCGGATCCTCTCTTTTACTATCTTTGATCACATTTATTTCATTTATTTACTTATTGATTCATAAAAGTATTGGTTGGTGTATTTGTACACCACCGCCCCTGATTCCTTAAATGCCACTATTGTTGTTTGTTTTCTTCCCTTTTATTTTCTATGATTCTGGGTTTACATCTCCTCTCCTGTTATATTTGTTGTTTTTTCTGCTTTGTCTGTCAAAGCACTCTGTCGACTTCTGTTTTGAGAGGCGTGATATAAATAAAATTCTGTCTGTATGATTGGTGTACTTTCTGCACAGCATCTTGTTCTCTGCCTCTGCAGGGCTGTGAAGTTTTCAGCCAAGCTGATGGGCCAGGCCATGGCCAAGAGGGTGAAGGCCACCATCTTGTTCGCCACAGAGACGGGCAAGTCACATGATTATGCCAAAACTCTCTGTGAAATCTTCAAGCACGCTTTTGACGCAAAGGTACGCTTGCTCCTACCTTGCATCACCTTATCTGAAAGTTAAGCAGAGCTCGTGTATCATTGTGTGGATATCTAATTGAAAAAAAGAAGGAATTCAAAGACATCAGTCCTTCCTCTCTCTCTCTCTCTCTTCTTCACTCCCTCTGTGAAGCCAAGCAGATGCCAGCTGAGCACAGGCGGTGAGAGGTTCGAAGAAGGCAGTGTGTCTTTTGTCACATTTCCTTCTTCTCTCATGCAGCAAAGTGCCGGCGGTCAGAGTCAAGCTTTAACCACTGAAGCGTTGAGCTGCGCAGTAGTTTAAGACAAGATCCTGAAGCACCCCTGGCTGTGCAAATCTGTTTAACAAAAATAGAGAAAAAAAAACTCAACATGCTGCTCTCAATCATGCACAGTGTGCTTTTTCTTTCCTCTAGGTCATGTCTTATTTTCCCTTTCCGTTTCCCCCAGTGTGATCAATCACACAAGAGGAGATTTGTGCATGCAAGTGTGCGCATGTATATATGTGTGTGTGTGTGTCACTGAGAGTGGGTGTCTAGAGATGGATGGCAGGGCAGATGTGACTGCCGGGGGCAAATCCTTGTGTTCGTGGGGCTAAAGCCTGTTTTCTCTTCACGCCTTAGATTGTGTGTCTGTATGTGTGTGTGTGCGTGTATGTGTGATAGACTCACACCATCATGCTGAGCGGTGTGCATCATGGCTGCTTGTTGTGTGGCAGCAGCGTGTTATCATCTCGTTAGAGGCGAGGACAGAGTGGTCATTACAACCTCCTTCTCTGCCAGCGGCTGTGTGTTCAGCCTTGATTTACACGCTCCAGTCATCTTTCATGTGCAGAGTGTGTGTGTGTGTGTGTGTGTGTGTGTCAGAAAGACAAGAGCAAAATCAAGACTGCACCCTGAGAGTCGAGCCTAATGCTCACCATGATGCTCGCTTTCTTCTCGCCGTGTCTGTAGGTCATGTCGATGGATGAATATGATGTGGTGGACCTGGAGCACGAGACTCTAGTGTTAGTGGTGACCAGCACGTTTGGTAATGGAGACCCACCTGAAAATGGAGAGGTGTGTATTTCCCTTGACAGTTAACAAAGCACAGGATGTACGCAGAGCTTACTAACAGCTTCTCTTTGGTTACTGTAGAAATTCGGAGCTGCCTTAATGGAGATGCGCCACCCAACATCCAACACAGAAGACAGGAAGTGAGTCTGAGCTTCGTGCTTGTCAGTTTCCATCTTTTGTTTCCCTTGAGTTACACATCCATGTGTCTTATCTCTTTACTCTCGACTCTCCCTCAGGAGCTACAAGGTCCGTTTCAACAGCGTGTCCTCCTACTCTGACACTCGCAAGTCCTCCAGTGACGAGCCAGAAGCCAGGATCAACTTTGAGAGCACAGGACCTCTTGCTAACGTCAGGTAGGACACAACCAGACAGTCGTAGAGACACTGAGATTGAACTTTTTAGTACGTTAAAGGAAATCTCAATATAAAGAAATTAAAAAGCACCTATTAAAAATGATTTGATTTTATTTCCAGGCATTTTTGTGCTTTTGTTGGTGAGTATGAGACTGTGGAAAAGAGAGGAAAGTGGGGGGAGAGCAAGAGAAAGGAGGGAGGAGGGCTGCAGGCTAGAATTAAACCCGTCCACGAGAGGCATAACCTCATTATATGGAGCACAGGCTGAGACTGTTGGGCCAGCAGCGTCCAGACAAAACCTTATTTATTTGGGGTGTCAAAAATACTGCACTTCTTAAAGGTCCCATATTATGCAAAATTCACTTCAGAATGGTGTTCTAACAATAATATGCATCCCCAGCCTGTTCCACCTTTCAGAAAATGTCTGCTCAAATGGGCGGATTGAAACTATTGCCGTCCATGAAATCCTGGACAGTGATAACTCCTCCCCTCCAGGTTGGTGACCATGCCCAAGATTTTTGCTCTGCCCCCCCAAAAATTTCCACTCCGATACTATTTTTGTGAGGGAGAAATGGCGAAGGTACGAGCAAGGCATGGCAGTTGCTCTGTTGTTGGCTGCACAAAGCTGCACAGAAGTGTGTTTTTGTAAAGAACATAGTCACCAGAGATAACTATACTAAAAATATTGCCCATTCACCAAAACAGCTCCAAGTAACAGGAAGACAGCAGAGTTGTAGCCGTTAGCTGGATCTAATGTTACCTAGCTACATGTAAGTCATTGTGTACCAACACACGGATAAAGTAAAAAGAAAAATATCGAGACACATAATTTTTGTGACTAACCATTCAGAAACATCCTGAGACACAGGGCTCTATTTCAGTGCCTCGCCGGCAACACAGCACATGCGCAGCGTAAGTCCGGTCCGCCGTGCCGACAAGGCGTTCCCAAGCACAATTTGGTATTTTGGTGAGCGGCGCAGCCCAGCATAAGTATCCCCCCTCCCTAACTCAGCTCCTCCTAGAGGCGTAAGTCGTAGCGAGGGAGGAGAGAGGGCGTGGAGTGAGTTTAACACAGCCAAGACCTGTTTTCAACAATCACATAGGCTCCTCTCCTCGCCTTTAAAACCCGCCACCGGCAAGGCGTATTACTATTTTTGTGAAGTAGTCAAGGAGATCAAGAGATGTCTGAAAACAGTAATGCCACACGATGGTGACAGAAGGCAGCTCCCCAACAAGTGTCACTGTAAGCGCTGCAGTGGGCGTCCCTCACACTCTCTCATATGAGCACAGATGGATTTGGTGTGTGTAATGTTGGACCCACTGGTAAGACAAACACCCTGTTCCACAAATAAAGACACTCACATAAAGTTGCATATATTCAAACCTCACGTGACAAAGGTGGGTTGTGCGCACAGATCACATCATAAATTCCAATAATGGCATTAAAATCGGAACTATCTGTGCGTAATGACCTATCCCGCTCCATGGCCTGGCTCTTTCTTTCATAGATGTTGGCATATAAAATAAATTTGGCTCACAAAACTGAGTATAATATTCATATACTGTATTCAGCTTAAAGTAAATAACTCATCTGATCACTGAAACAAATCATCTGTTCAGCCGCCGCAGCAGCAGCTGCAGCAGGACGGAGAGAGGACACGGAGACATGTCCAGGTCCAGAGCTGCATGAGAAATAAGAGGAAGAGGAAGATAGAAATAGGGGGAAACAAATTAAATATCTTGTTAACTTCATCGTGTGTGTCTATTTACTAGATATTTAATTAAATTTAATGCGGTTTCAGCTGTGTTAATTCGGTCAGGTTGAGTGTCCAAACGCGTGCCAAACACGCTCATCAGTTCAGCTATAGATCAGAATATATCAATATAGATCTAAATGTATGTGCTGACTCAGAATAATAGTCGTTGATGATTATTTATTGCACTGAAATGTGCCTGACACTGTGGAAACCTGCCGGTGAGGCATCAGTGACGTATGTCGATACACCGCCGGTCTAACAAAATACAATTAGACCAGCTGTGCTCCGCCTGCGCTGAAAGCTGACCAGGTTTGAATTGGCGAGCTTTCAGCGCACTTTATACGCCACCAGCAATCACAAAAATGTCACTGCACCAGCTGATTCTGTCGACACCTCCCTCTGCCTCACCACCACACCCAGCTTGGCGGACCATGGTGCGCCTCAGTCCACGAAAATACCAAACTGGCTGTACGCCGGGCTCTGCCGGACGAAAATACCACTGCGCGGGGTCAGCCACCCTCCGCCACCTAACCGGCGGACACGAAAATAGAGCCCACAGAGTTGGAATTTCTTCAGGAGCCTCTCCTTCTGGGTCAGACTCTTGATGAATCTGGTACGGCTAGCACTAGCACTCTGTGTAAACATTAGCACATGGTACCGTAGCGTAAGCCACGACCCTGTCTTCCAGAGAGACAGGTAGGGGCGTGGCTTGCGCTGAAGGAGTCGTGGACAGGCGCAGCCCACAGAAACAACGTGTTCTCGGTAGAGCTCACTGTAGAGAGTTTTTAGGGTGGCTGAATTCCAGGGAAAAAAAAGGGGGTTTTAGACAACAAACTTCAAATGGGCTTTTCTGGGAACTCTGAGACCCATGAGAACCTGCTGAAAAGGAGTATAATACGGGACCTTTTCATAAGTATGATTAATTGCAGTCTTGATGAATCATATTTTGAATCTCATGTTTGAAAAATCTGTTATTTTGTGTTTCATTACAGATGTATGTTCGGCCTTTTTGCTTGAAATAGGAGAGGACAGAACGACAGTGAATACAACAGAAAAACTGTCCTTTTAATCCACAACAACATTATAATGCAGCTCTTAATCTCTGATCACTCTCTGATGTCCAGTGATACTTGCATTACTAAGGAGTTCCAGTCAAGTTGCCTTCTCTGTTTTCCAACATGTCTGCAGAAAGTGCAGAGCGATGCTGTCATGTCTGAACTATGGTGTGGTGAAAGGGAAGGAAACTAGCATCATGTGTTGATTTTGGCTTTAATTGCTTGACAAATGAATGCATTAGCACTTGTATGGGGCGGCAGTAGCTCAGGAGGTAGAGCAGTCGGCCAATAACTGGAAGGTTGGCGGTTTGATTGCCTCCTATCCCTAGTCTGTCCGTTGTGTCCTTGGGCAAGACACTTAACCCACCTTGCTCCCAGTGTGTGTCCTTCACTGGTGTATGATTGTGAGTGTTGTGTGGTGGTGGGCGGAGATTATAATCCTGTTATTATACCGTATATTTTCTGTTAAGTTGTCTATTCATCAACAGTGACCTTGGTAAACCATGTCCATATCATTTCAATTGTCAGTGAGTTTCATTTTGTGTGTTTTTTTTGCATATTGTTTCAGTTTGGCAATGCAGAGGAGCAAGCAAGACAATTTGGAAAACGGAGCAGCAGCTTTGCCTACAATTAGGAGTCAGTTATTGACAAAGAACTTGGCAGCAGGGGCTGAAACTCGACACTTTTGTAAATGGTAACTGAAAAGTTCTGAGCAAAGTTAATCTGAAGGTTTGTCTGGTTTTGCAAACACACGTGTACAAGATTTACATTTCCCCTCAAGCTTCCATCAAAATCTGTCCAGCACAGTAAGTTTCTGATATGATGCTCCAGTGGAAATTGAAGTCTCCTCCTCACTGATATGACATCCTCATGAAAGTGGCCTCCACTTTCAAATATTCTGGAGATGACAGATCTGATAGCAGAGGACATTTTTCAGTTGAGTAAAACACGTAAACTTGTCCAAATTGAGCCTGATGTGGGCTGACTGTTTGGAGGCACAGCAGCGGAAGCATGACCACTCTTGAGGACGTGATGTTTTCCATGTTTACATCCTTCTAAAAGTATACAGAACAAGCATTTGCTAATAGGTCAGCTGCTTTTTGAGCCTCTTGAAAGAGAAGGAAGGCCAAGTATCTATCCCGGGCTCTGCTGAGATGTTCTGGTTGTGGATGCCTGTGTTTGTGTTCAGTTGTTCAACACTACCTTTCTCTCCCATCTCTTTCTTCGTGTTTGTGTTTCTGCTCAGGTTCTCAGTGTTTGGCCTTGGCTCCAGGGCCTACCCACACTTCTGCGCCTTTGCCCACGCCGTGGACACGCTGTTTGAAGAGCTGGGGGGAGAGCGCATCCTACGCATGGGAGAAGGAGATGAGCTGTGTGGCCAGGAGGAGTCATTCAGAACCTGGGCCAAGAAGGTTTTTAAGGTTGGTTTCTGGGGGCTCTCGGGGCTTAATTAGGTTAATTTTGTTGATCATTATGATGTGGTGTGCTTGGAATGAAAGCCCCTGTACATATTTTTACCACTTAAGCCTGTAAATGGCGCGTAATTGGCTTGGCTTTGATATGAACATAGTTTTTCTTTCCAGTCAAATTGAAACCAGAAATGCCTGCCACCCCTTTGAAACAACCTTGATGATCAAGGTGACTCTTTTAGGGGATTTCTGCCTCCTTGAACACATGAAGACTGCAACTAATTAGAGTGCAAGAGGTTGTGTTATTAATCCTTTGTTGATTCTGTGTAGGTGTTCTTTGAATAATAGTGATGCTCTCTGCCCTGTGCTGCTCCAACAGGCTGCCTGTGACGTGTTCTGTGTCGGAGACGATGTGAACATTGAAAAAGCCCACGACTCCTTGATCAGCAACGACCGCAGCTGGAAGAAGAGCAAGTTCCGCCTGACATACACGGCCGAGGCTCCGGCACTTACAGACGGTAAATAATAAACCTGAAGTGAGCAATGAGCTGGTGCTGGTGTCCTGATATTACCAGTGATAATGAACACCGCAGCATGAATGAGCATAATAGATCCATCAAGGAATGGTAATGTGATTGATTAAGACCAGTGACTCATCGGTCATAACTCCTTTAGGTGGCGGTGTGCTGTGAAAAATGATTATAGAGAGTTTGAAAACAGTTCTACCTTATTGAATCAGCAATTACAGCACCTTACAAGTTTGCCCATGCTCACTGTTCAAAAGTTGAAACCTTATATTAAGGTGAAACCAGTGTAAAGTCATGTTCAAACTGGAATATATTGTTCCTTTTATGAAAAATTAAACATGATGCAAGCCACACATTTGGAAAAAGTTTAGATGGGGCGTGTTTTCCAAGATGTTGCATCATCTCTTCTTTTGAGGTGAAATGTTGTCCCAGTCTTGCCTGATACAGGATTTCAGCTGCACCCCAATACAAGGTCTCCTTTACTATATTTTACGTATCATGATGCCCTAAAGATTTTCAATAGATGACTAGTCAGGACTGCAGAAGGCAAGTCAAGTTTTTGGGCGGTACCACAGCAGGTCTATGCTGATGTAATACTTGCAGAATGTGGTTTGGCATTGACTTAATGAAACATTTAAGGTCTTCCCTGGAGACTTCCAAAACCTGCCAATCATGCCATCCAGGATGCATGAGCTACCCCTGTGTCTCTGAGTGCTGAGAACTAGCTGGGTGGTCTTTCTGTCTTTCAGAGCAGAGTGTCTATAACTTCCAAAAGGAATGACAGATTTTGCCTGCATTGAACTATGTTCACAAACAGTGAAAGTGGTTTTGAGCCTATGCAGTGATTTCCACTTCAGAGTCATGATTTTTTAATGCAGGGCCACCTTAGGACCTGGAGATCACAGCCTGGTTTTTGTCCTTGGCCTTTGTAGTACAGCGATTGCTCCACATTCTCAAAAATTTCAATTTACTGTAGATGATAAAATCCTCTTGGCAGTTTTACGCTGTGGAACATCATTTTGAAATTGTTATTTTCTTACTTGGTCTCTGTCAGAGTGGTAAAACTCTATCCAACATTAAGTCTGAGAGACTTTGCCTCTCTGCGATGCCCTCTATGAGCCCAGCCATGTCACTTACCTGCTGCAAATTAACCTTTTTAGTGTTTTTGAAGATACAGACTTCCTTTTGTCCCTGCTCCAACATGTTACTGGCATCAAATTTTAGGTTTGAATTTTCTTTAGGCAATAGAAATGTTCAGTTTTAACATTTAAAAAGATGTCAGTTAAATATGGGATTTATCTGATTTGCAAATCATCAATCCATCTGTTTCCATCCAAATTTACACAGCCTCCCAACTTCTTTGGTGCTGGGGTTATAAAACTAGTACTGGAAATAGAGAAACCCAAGTTTATGTGATACTGTTTTGCTTTTATCTGCCAACAGCACTATACACTATTCACAAAAAGAAGGTCTATGGAGCAAAGATGCTGGAATCTCAAAACCTACAAAGTCCCAAATCCAAGTGAGTGCCTCCTGTTACAGAAGGTGTGAGTCACACTTTTCTGGGAATCTGGTGAAATAATGTTTGTTTGATCAAATACTCTCTTCTCTTTTTTAACTCCTTCATTCAATTTTATTGTAGTGCACATACTAAAAAAGATCAGACCATAATTCTTGCAGCATTTTCCCCTAAAATCTCGGATCTCTTTTGTAGTCGCTCCACCATATTTGTGCGGCTCCACACAAACAACCACGACAGACTGAGCTACCAGCCCGGCGACCATCTGGGCATCTTCCCTGGCAACCACGAGGACCTGGTGACAGCTCTCATAGAGAAACTGGAGGATGCTCCACCTGTCAATCAAATTGTCAAAGTGGAGTTTCTGGAGGAAAGGAACACTGCCCTAGGTGGGTGATGCTATTAGCAACGTCACGCTAATTTACGAATGCAGTGGGCGTGCGGTCAGGAGGGTTGCAGGCTGAAATGTGGGAAGGATGTCAAAATCAAAACATGAATAAGAAACGGTCTCACTGCTTCAACATGAAGTCACACTTCAGTGAGGTATCTGTGCCCAGAAATCGCTCAGTGAAGCTGCTCGTTGGCAAACAGTTGTGCTGACACTCTCTGACATAAGTGTGATAATCACTGTGACTGTGAAGCAATGCGTTTCTTAACCACAGTGTGTGTGTTTTAAGACCAAGCTTGATAGATTAAACCTTCTTTTTCTAACAGGTGATAAAATTTGCGGCCTTCAATTCTGAAATATTTCTTTTACATTTCATTTGTATAGATAAGTCAATTTGTTTGAACTTTTCAAAGTTTGCTCTGATTATTTTCTGAGTGACTTTCCCTATAATTCAGTGAACATGTTAAAGCAGGATTTGAAGGAGAAAATAGCCCATTATCATACTTTATTTAACTATCTTATATAACTATAAACAATAACAAAGAGTTTTATGAGCTTATTTAGACACTTCACTTTAACTTCAGGTTTTCAGCACCTTTCATGTATTGGAGCATGCAGCCCAAAGTGCATCACAATTTAACAAACATGAGGAATAAACATAGAAAGTACAGCAGTTATGTAGACTACCATGATAATAATTTGGTAATTAAAAGAAGATAAATATAACATACTGCATAAATTAGATAACTCATAAAAACCAATTAAATACATTAAGAAATGAGTAAGAACTTGTATAAGACCAATTAAATTCTAAAGTCTCCTGATTAAAAGCCTAAATACTGTGCAAATCATAAATGCATCTCACTATAAATATGTAAAAGTGCAATTCTTATGCATGTACCACTGAGCAGAGTTATGTTCTGATTTTAAGGGTGACATTGTGGTTTTTGTGTCCAAACAAATGGGCTTTCTGATGGCAAAGTTACTGAGAATTTCTCTGTAAAGCGATGCTGAAACTGGGATGAATGTTTCAGTTTGGGTCTCTTAAAACAGCTGAATCATGTCCACAGAGCTGTGTCTTAGCTGGGCTGCTGGTTCTGATTATAGTTGATCAATAAAAGGGCAGACCTGACTGGTATATATTGTGGCTTGTACACTCAGAAGTGATATGTAACTCATAAAACCCCACTCAACTCAAAAAACACAAACATATTCCTCCAAAGAATTCAGTGTAGCAGATTTACATGTCCCCACTCTTCTGTATAAAGTAAAGAAATAAAAGTAAGTAATATCGCAGCATTTTGTATTTCCTTGAAGGAATATCAGCTCTTCTTTCATTTTGAACCCTGAAGGTTCAAATCTATCTGCTCCTCGTTCTCGTACCAGGGAGCAGATTTCATAAGAGCTGTGAAAAGCGAAAAGAAAGTGTTTATGGGGTCTTTTCTACAAGAGCAGCCTGCAAACATTGTTTACTTGTGGATGGTGTCAAATGGTGTTAACATTTCACAAATGATTGTTTTTCACTAATTACAAACACACTGATGAGCTCCACAGGGCTCATGTGTGGGTGTTCAGAGCGTACATTTTCTTTTTTTTTGGTGATTAATTAAAGAGGAGAGAAAATGATCTCATGATATTATGAGAGTAACATGGTGCAAACGTGGCAAAACTGTCACTATGTCATTTGATGGATGCGGTTTAGCAGATAAAGGCCACATTATGTGTGCTTTTTACACATGTTTCAACAGGCCAAACCACAACACTGACAACGTTGTCCCCTTGGAGAACATGTTAGACACTCACAGTAGACACATTATAATTGAATACCTTGTCAATAACTCCTAATTGGCTAGATTTTTAGCAGCTAAAGGCAAAACCATGTTGATACTCACAAAATATGGTGTTTGCTGTGGGGCAAGTTGAGAACAGCACCTATCTCTAAGCTCTCTTTTTAATGTAAATAGCTTCCTGCTAAAGCTTGGAAAGAGAGCTGATAACAGCTCGCAGTCTGGAAATCACATTTATCTGGTCCACTGTTAAAATGAGAAATCAATTACTGCACTTTCTCTCGCTCTGCAGGTGTAATCAGTAACTGGACAAATGAGACACGTATCCCTCCATGCACCATCTACCAAGCCTTCCAGTACTTCCTGGACATCACCACCCCACCCAGCCCTGTGTTGCTGCAGCAGTTTGCTGCTCTGGCAACCAACGACAAACAGAAAAAGAAACTAGAGATCCTCAGTAAGGTAAATGCACTTAGTTTGCCTTCCTAGTCTTGCCACTAACATTGACCTTTGCAATTATTGAGCTGCAGCAACCGCATGTTTTGGTTTGTGACCAGACATATAAGGATGCCTGAAAATATGGTTTGATTTCTCCACATCCAAGCCAACTGTATGCAGGCAGCTTTTCACACAGTGCATCTTTCAAGGCAGTATCCTATAAAAAGTCACCATAATAAAAAACCTACACATCCACCGTGTTTGCTGTCAAAACATGTGAGGTGCTTCTTCACGTCTGAAAGCCGGTTTGATGCTCCCTGCACTGATGGAAATACGCACAGTAGGAGGGAGCTGGCGCCAAATTAAAGGCACTGATCGTTCTAACAGGAGCCGTCCCCTCTTGCAGTGCCTCCCACAGTTCACTCTCCATTTTTGTCAATGTGAGGAGAAGGCTTGCTGAGGCCAAGCAGTGAGTCATATGCTCATACATCGAATCACTGTCGCTAAAGGGAGAAGGAAAGGAGAAGGTAAGGCCTTGGAAGTCAGATCAGGAAACAGTACAGTAGAAGCAACACTGCAGACAGTCTTTCTATGGTAGCACTGTATCTGAGGCTTATTAGTGTGAGAGCCGAGGTTCTCTGACTTTTCAAATCCCTCTTTTGATATCCAAAGAGCCTCATACCAAGCATTAGAGACTGTGCAAGCAAAGATTTTTGTTTGTGCTGTTGAGAAGTATTCAAAGGCTTAGACACGGATATTTCAAATGCATGAGGCAATCATGAAAAGTCTCCGACCCCCGCTGTGCATGAAGGTTAAAAACCAAGGCCTAAAAGTCTTTTGTCTGTCGAAATGTTGCTAATTGTACATGCCACGCTTCAAGCAGTGCTGCAGGCTGAGAATAGAGACCACGTCCAGCTTCGTAATTGGCACTGTGTGGCTTATTAGCAGCCGCAGAACAAAGCAAAAGTGGGGAAAACATCAAAGTTTTTTTTGTGCCCTGAATTCATTGCATCCAAATGTCAGTGATGACACACAGAGACAGTTGGGCAGTGAATGGTGAATGACTCTGCTTGGGGCTACCTCCTGCTCTAAAGTCAGCGGTGTTTACAGATCTAAAAAAGGAGACCAACCCCAATTTCCTCTCTTCTGTTTGCACTTCCTTCAGTTTCGTTATTAGAGTAACATTGATACAGAAAAATCTAAATCTAATAACTTCCTTTCATACGCCCTGCACAAAGCCTTTTGGGCTGCATCATGAGAATTTTTTCACCCAACACAGTTGTCATTTTTACACCCAGTGCCTTTGTTGTGTAGATAGCAAATGAGCTTGTGTGTCGGTCTAGAAAGAAGGTAGGGTCCTCTCAGTTAGTACCCAGATTGTGCGCTGCTTAAAGGGTAATTTTGGTGTAAATTTAAGTTTGGGTCAAACACACCGTAACACCGAGTTAGACAACCCCTCAAGAGATGATTGTTGCCGACTGCTTGTTCCTCCACTTATACCAACTTCAGCAACGGCCGCATGATAACAGTACACAGTGGTCTATGTCTTCAGGCACAAACCTCAACCAAAAAGCCACTCTGTATCGACAATTGATGCTCAGAACAGCACTTAACTTAATCAACAGTACATATAGGGTCCCAGCCATAGTACAAGCCATCAAACATCTTTTTAGCTTTGCCTGTTTTTTTTTTTTTTGAAGAGACCAAACACAACTCTCCCACTCCCCTCCAGCAGCCACTTGTTTGTGGATGAACCCTGACCAGTGGCTCACCGAGTTTCGCAGCTCAAGGAAGAACATTTATGATTATTACTTCATGGAAATGCAATCGGACCGAGACGCTAAGGCAGAAGAGCTAACGCGTCTGCAGTGCAAAATGATTAATTTTGTGATTATTACTTCATGGAAATGATCCGCTGCACTCGGTGATCGACTATCAGGGCTCCCCAACAAACAAGCAGCTGCTGGAAGAGAGAGGCTGAGTTGTGTTTAGTCTCTTTGCTAAAGAAATCAGGCAAAGCTAAAAAGATGTTAGGTGGCTACTACTATGGCTGGGACACTATATGTACTTTTGATAAAATTAGGTGCTGCTCTGAGCATTATTTGTGGCTATAGAGTGGCGTTTTGGTTGAGGTTGGCGTGTAGAGACGTAGACTGCTGTGTATTGCTATCGTGTGGTCATTACTAAGGTTGGTATAACTAGAGAAGCAAGCGGTCAGCAAAATTCATCTTTCAAGGGGGTGTCTAACTCGGTGTTACGGTGTGTTTGACCATGACCTAAACTTACGCAGGAATTACTCTTTAGCAAAACAGGTAACCTCACATTTCTGCCTTGCACTATGAGTCATTTAAACAGAGCCTCTCGTCTTTCCCCCTCTTTGCCCAGGGCTTGCAGGAGTATGAGGAGTGGAAGTGGTACAACAATCCCACACTGGTGGAAGTGATGGAGGAGTTCCCTTCCATCCAGATGCCCTCCACCCTGCTGCTTACCCAGCTGCCCCTGTTGCAGCCTCGCTATTACTCCATCAGCTCCTCTCCAGACTTGCACCCAGGAGAGATCCATCTCACCGTTGCTGTGGTCTCTTACCGAGCCAGAGGTGAGGACCTAGCTACTCAGTGCGCGCTCCGTTTGAGCGGAGCATTAGCTAACGTCTCTCCGAGGATTTAAGGCTGTGTAGGTGTAGCTGCAGGTCAGCTCAGTGTTAAATTGGTTCCTTTTTTCTGCCATTTCTTGCAGTCAACTTTTTGACATCTTAGCAACAAATAGAATCCTTGCTAGAAAACTGAAATGACAAAGATGATCGAAAATGTTCAGAACACGTACTTTATTTACAATTTTCTGCAGGTCAGTTAAATAATGGTTTGCTGTGATTTTTCAAGGTTGCTTCAAATGACTCAGCTTCCTGAAAAAAAAAAAAAGAAAACACTGGTTAAAGTGAGGAGGTATCATGGGCAGCCAGTCTTCTCTGTAGGACAGCTACACCATTATTATAAAATTATTATGCTAGTCTGTCTTTTCAGTTTGTTTCAGTGCAGAAAACACCATAAAGACCCTCATAGCTTTCTTAGTTCAGTGGTCTGCAGACACTTCAAAATGCCATCACTTCTTTATTTCTGCCACACATGTAACATGTACTGTAGAAAACATGTTACAGTGATTGTAAAAGCCAGGGTTGAATTACTGTAATTTCCCCTTTAGAGAGAGAAAGAGAACAGCCCTAGCCTCTGAAAGTGTTTAAAGGCCACTCTCCTCCTGTTAGTTTGTGCACTTTAAGTGAGTGGGAGGTGGAGGTGAGAGGAAAAAAAGGTAAAGTGCTTGCTTGGAAATAATCCTTTTCAGATGGAGGAGGACCCCTCCACCATGGAGTGTGTTCATCATGGCTCAACAGGATAGAGAAGGGGGAGATGGTGCCGTGTTTTGTCCGAAGGTAAGGTTTTTTTTTTTTTTTTTTCAAGGGATTTGCTGAATGCAGGTGAATAACTGCATGTCATGTTCAAGAAAAAACTACCGTGATTACCTTCCCTTCAGACTGACATTAGGAGATTCAAGCTGAGTACAAATCTACATGCTGAGTATGAGCAACCACCACACGCATGCATTGCTTTTTTTTTTTTACACCTATTTAGCTGAAAATCCACAGACGTACAACATGTACCAATGCCAACACATGTAAACTGGGCAACATATCCAGAAACTCATCAGTCAAAGCATCAACAACCTGATACATCTTTCTCTCCCTCCTTAAGTCTACTTCTGAAATCATTTTAAAGAGGACAGCGTCAGACCCAAATCCTCCTGCAGCTCCTCCCAAGCAGCAGAAGCAGCATTACTATTTTTTCTTGATTCAGGATGCGCTTTGGGGACAGAAATAAGTCTTGTGAATCACAGAGCGAAAAGTATCATCTTCTAGCATTTTTCAAATTAATATAATTGCATAAATAAAAGAGAAGCCTAATAAATGAGAGCACACCAGTGATGTGGCCTGTGGGTACACAGTGCGCTGGATGTGACTAATCTCCCAGCCATTCGACAGAAGTTCAAACTCCCTCTGACTGGCTTTTTTCAAGGTACCTCAATACAAAAAAAGGTCAAAATTTAACACAATTTATCAAAAAGCAATGTGTAGCTGGTTTGCCAAGTGTGGGTAACTTTAAGAGAGCCTTTGGGTCCTCCTTGTAGGTTGATGTCAACAAACCTGTGCTGATGACACATTGCCAGCTTAAATGGATACAGGCAATATACTCTGTCGTTCAAGTCCCAACAGACCTACACTCACTATACTATTAATCATCAATCATTACCCCTAATAATGACCTGTTAAGACTTAAGCCTTGTGGGATTAAAGGTGTCAGCTAAAAGCAAGACAGTGTGCAAGAGATTGAATCACTGATTCTGCTTTACTGTCCACCAACACGTGTAATGCAGTCAGCTGTGAAGAGATAAAAGGAGGTACTGCAAAAACATCCCCAATCTGCAAGATTCCGTTTGTTTTCTGTGCTTGTTTCCATCCGGGTTGTAAAGCATTTAAGTGCTACAGTTGAAGTGTCAATTGTGGGTTTAGCCTCAGCTGGTGGGTGGAGGGTTGGGCCGCACCTATGTCTATTGGGCTCTCTGACCCAGGTTCTGTCTTGTGGTCTCAAATAGTAGTCAAGCAGTGCATGATTGTATGTTTGAAGAGGATTGTCAGGATTGGATTGTTTTTAGCACTCTTGCTTGTTTCTCCAAAGTTGCATACCCTAGCTTTAATGTCTTCATCATTTAGCCTCAAAGGGAGTCTCTGAAGAAGATGTTGTTTTTTTTTTTTTTTTCCTGAGTTCCCAATCTGATTGCCTCATATATGTTTACTTTACCCACCGTATTGTTTTAGTGCTCCATCATTCCAACTTCCCAAAGACAGCCAAGCGCCGTGCATCCTGGTGGGTCCAGGAACGGGAATCGCCCCATTCAGAAGCTTCTGGCAACAGAGACTATATGACCTTGAACACAATGGTAGGTTTTCCTTCTTGTTTATCACATATGTATTTTCCACTGTCCCGTACTGAGGCTTTGCAGCAGATTTTCTCTGCTGCTCATGAACCTGCAGACTGGATCTGAAATCTGATGGCAGATTTTCAGAATATCCAAGACGAGGTGTTAAATTTATTCATCCAGTTAGAATGCTGTCATACGCACCTCTGAGTAATAATGGGAGTCAGAGCAAATCCCTGTCAGAGATTTTGACTGTCACTCCTACAGCAACATCCAGAAGGATGAAGACTCTCTGCCTGTCACCTTTAGGGATGGAGTTGTGCCCCATGATCCTGGTGTTTGGCTGTCGGCAGTCTGAGATGGATCACATCTACAAAGAGGAGACCATCCAGGCCAAGAACAAAGAGGTGTTCAAGGAGCTGTACACGGCTTACTCCAGAGAACCCGGCAAACCAAAGGTACGAGAGCTAAACTGTCCACAACTGTGGATGAGTCAGCCCGTCACAACTCTCTGTGGACAGCTGTGTGGGCTTGAATCAAATCACTGAGAGAAGAAGAGGCTGTTTTGTAGAAATCGGAGTGCACACTCACTCAGATAAAATGTTGCTTCTGTTTGGTGATTTTCTAAAGTTGTTTTTTGTTGTTGTAATATCATTCCCCGCTCATTCAGTCTCTGACAACCCAAAATGGTTATAGCTTGTAGTTTGGAAATTCTGCTTCATTTTATTTAATTCCCTCTCTGTCAGTGTCTCCTAACTGCTTTCCACATTGTTCCCTTTCTCTCAAAATCGACTCCTTCACACTCACACATCATTCCTCCTCTGCTTCTCTGTCAGAAATATGTACAGGATGTTCTGCGCGAGAAGCTGTCAGAGACGGTGTACCAGTGCCTGAAGGAGGAAGGGGGACACATCTACGTCTGCGGGGATGTTACAATGGCCGGCGATGTTCTCAAGACAGTCCAGCAAATCATCAAACAGCAAGGCAACATGACCCTGGAGGATGCTGGCTTCTTTATCAGCAAGCTTCGGGTGAGAGGAAAGAGTCAGTGCAATTCTCTGTGTGGCAACTGTGCGCTGAGCATGAAGCTGCTGAGGATACAAGACAAATTGAGACAGGACCTCCCGAGAGAGAAAGAGCGATAGATTCTCTGTCACTGAATTATTTTTGAGTCACTAAGTCCAATACTTGTTAGTTCAAATCCACCACTGTGAGCCTGGCCATCAGACCATGTATGTTCAGATTTAAACTTAGAAAGCTCAGCTCCTGTGAAGTATTGGTATTACACAGTAAAGTTTCAACAGTTCATAAAAAAGGCCTGAACATGACGCTGATCATCACAAAATACATTTATAGCTCATGTTAAGAGTTTTTAACTGAACTGAAATCAATGCTAATAGTTTGTTATGCCTCTAAAAGCAAACTAGATGATCAGCAATGCCACAGAAAATTTCTGTTGTTAAGTTTATATTACTTACAGCTGCTGTGATGGGTAGGTGCACTGAAACAAAACAGCCTCTGTTACTTTTCCCACAGCAAAAATTCACAGTGACTGATCAAGTTAACCCTAAAATGGTGACAGGAGGAGATTTTTTTCTATCAAGGGTTACCACTTTGTCCACAGGGGGCGCCAGAGTCAACACAGACAGAGAGTTTCTCACTGGAGCATTAAAAAATTATGTTTAAAGTCTTTGCATCTCTTAAAATTTGGAGCTAAGCCAGCATTGCAGTTTTCTTTTTACACAGATTTTCTGTGTTTGTTCAACACCGTAGAAACGTGAGTCCATGATAATTCACCCTCCAGGAACTGTTGTTAAAGCGCCACTTTCAACCACCAGGTGAATTTGTATCATAGAGAGGACGGTACATGTACTGTGAGCTGGTAAGAAATAGCAGGATGTTAGGAATTACATGTAAAAGTGGTGCAGTGTTCTGAGGTCTCTTCTGTGTGAGGGCTTATTACTGCAAAATGACAGCCAAATCTCACCTTTCTCTTCCTTTCTTTCTCCTCTTCAACCACCGGCTGGTTTCCAGGATGAGAACCGTTACCATGAGGATATCTTCGGTGTCACCCTGCGCACCTACGAGGTCACCAATCGGCTTCGTTCAGAGTCCATCGCCTACATTGAAGAGAGCAAAAAGGATTCAGATGAGTGAGTGGCTCCCTTTGTCGCTATTCAAAGATTTTTATTCAAAGCAATGTTCGTGATAGGTTTTCTCTCATGGAAGATTTTTTAAATCCACAACCTTTAAACAGAATAAAATCTGAACTAAAAGAGAGAAAAAAAATCTCACTGGTTGAGTTAAACCTCAGCAGGCTGGGCCGAATCAAGCATTGATTTACAAGTTTTAAAATGTCAGCAAAACATGGATTCTTCCTGTTTTCATTGATAAATGTGTGGTCTTCAGCCTTGACACAAGCTGACTCCTCCAGAGTTATCCCAAACTTTTATACATAATGGCTCAGGATGAAGAGGTGCACAGGGATAGCATACGGCACATGTCAGCATGTTATAATAATAAAGAAGGAAGATGACAGTAAAGACAACTATGAATCTATGTAAGAAAGACAAATGAAGAGCAGAGTAAACATCACTGATGCAGAGCTTGATCTGTTTGACATAGACCTACATTAATGTTGCTGTGTTGACTCCCCTGCCTGTACTATGCCAGACGATTCCCCCTGATTGAGGCTGACTTACCCTCAGGCCACTAACACCACTGCTATGTTGCTAATTTACTTTCCATGCTAATGCATGTCAATGATATTTGAAGGCAGGATATGAGTTATAGAGTCCTATCATATTTTCTTTCTTTCTGCTCTGACTCTGAATCTGTGTGATCTGAGTTTCCATCTCTCTCCTGCTCTATTTTGAGTTAGGAAACAGTTGAGAGTTTTTTCTAGGGGTGGCTGTTTTACAATCAAACCATCACAAAAACAAAACAATTAGGGACTTTTGTAGTGAAAAGTTGGTCCAAAAGGAAGTGATGCTAACCTTTTACCGTTTGGTAGCCTGCTGACTCAGAGCCATGATTCATATGATACAATTTTTTTCTCATCCTTTAAATAAAACCAGAAAATAGAATATTTCCTCCTTTCGTCATTCAGACATAATCCGTTTTTCCTGTCTGGTTAGTTCATTTTCAGTCTTTTTGTGTTTGACTGGATTTTGGAGGCATGATAATGTTTAATTTCAACACACAAGACTGGAAAATTATTCATCTGTACCACTCCTGAACTGTGTGGGACTACCTGTCATGTGTTCAGTCATTTATTAACTTTCTCTTTTTTTTCTGGCTTTTGTGTCACTTGACTTTCCCAGCTGTTAACTTGTATTTAAGAAAAAAAAAAAAACAGTTCTGGCTCAGCCCATTGAGATTTATCCCAGCCAGTGGGATTACAGCAGCAGCTTTATCTCTGAGAGACGCTTGTATAAACCCAAATCCAATCTGCAACCTGTAGTTGTTGGCGTTGACTGATGTGTTATCAGCCCCACTTTGAGATGAAAACAGAGTTGGTAACCATGGAAACCGGAGGAGAAGAGCCTTTAAACTAACAGGATTAGAGTGAAAGCGAGTGGCCCTGTTCCATTTCGGTTGTTGTTTCTGCCGTTATTTGCACATATTCAAGATTAGACACTTCATATACCCTCGCCACAAGAGCTAAACAAGGGCCCTACATCGCCACTATGGCTCATTAAGCACCAACATAATGCATCACAGTTGATGGTTCCTGTGTGGATTGTCACTTGAATTTCACATTTGGCCATCAAAGCTCTTGCCTGCTGGATGAGTAATGACTGTAACATGACTATTCTTACGTCTCTGTTTTTCTCTCTGTATGTCTGTCTCCTCTCTCAGGGTTTTCTGCTCGTAAGTTTGGGAATTGGAGGCTCTCTGATGAAAACCAGTCTGGAAGACGCAGCGACGCTGGCTAAAGAATACTGTGCCAATTTTTTGTACTGTAAAAAAATGGGTTTCTTTCTTTTTTATACCAATTAATGTTTCTGTTGGGCTCTGCGATTTTGTCTGTAGCAAGTTGGAAATGTTCTGTTCTCTGAGACTCTGTTCTTTGCTCGTTGATGATACTTCCAAAAATGATAAATTGATCATTTTGATTCATAATGTGTGCACCTAGTGTAATGACCTGCCTCATTGTGAATGCATGACCAAGACAAGAATATACTCGAGAAATATAATGTACTCTGTGTTATTGTTACAGTTAAAAGGCTTTTATTGGGGTTTTATATTTATGAAGAAATGTGTGGCATTGATGACAAACCCACATACGGTTCAGAGGCGTGGTTTAAGTGGAGTTCAGGGCTGTTTTTTTTATTTACTTATCACAGGCTGTGGTTTCAGGAAAAGTTAAAAAGGGAGATTTATTATCTGACAGATGTACAGGCATGCAGATAAAAAAAAAAACAGAGACAAACAAAACCTGGCGTGTTGACAGCTCACCCTGAATTATGAAAACAGCGATTCTGTCACAGCCTCAACAAACACGTTATCTAGCTCTTCATTTGGCAATCCATCAGAATGCATCAGCCGCTGTGCCAGCTCCGTTTTTAGTGGCCTGTCCATCCTCTCATAACATTGTAATGTTCGTCCCAGCTGGTGCCACTCAACCCAGCAGCTGCATAGGAACACGCAGGGCAGCCATTAGCCGGTCTGTACATACTGGAGCATTATCAAATTAATAACAAATACACACTGCTTTGAACTGCTCATGTATATATACTCATGGTGAAGGGAAAATCTGTTACTCAAATTTCATGATTATGGATGATTCCTCATCACCTAATCAAGGAAGCTTTGACATTTTGAGATGAAACTCATTCTTTCTGAACTAGGTGAGAATATTGATACCACTATCACGTCTGTACGGGATACATGTGCAACATTCAACTCTTGGCCATATATTAGCACGATGATAGCAGAAACTATATTTGAGAAAGATGTGCTTGACCTGTATTTGGCTTTTTAGACTTTGGCACATGTCCCATCTGTTAACATGGACAAGGCCAGTCACTAGGGGGAGCTCCATAGCTTTTTGTAGGTTGCTACTAAGCGTAGAGTCTTGTGGGTGAGGTCCTCTCCCATCTTTTCTGCGTACAAACAGGATTGTGGTGTCAGTTTACTCATTGAACTCTTAGAAAGAAAGAAAGTATTGTCTGTTTTCTTTTCAGCAGATCAAACTTGTAAAGATACAGAATCTCTAAAACACAATGAGCTTTTAGTGTTAGCAGTGTCAGCAGCATCAGAGCTCCTCTGCCTCTTGCCTTAGCTTTACTCTGCCTCTGCCTGCACACAGCACATTCATTCTCTCTCACGTCTCTCTGCATGATTATGCACAACCCTGCAGCTCATGCGCCACCCTTTCACTGTGACCCGACACCTGCTCAGTAGCATCAGCATGCATGTGTGTGTAAGTGTGTGTGTGCGCGTGTGTGTATGTGTGTGTGAGTGTGCGTCGTCATAATTGTCTGCATGTCTTTAAGAGTGGGTGTAAAACACGCATGTGCTCAGGTGTTTGATTTTACATGATTACTCTGCTTTCATCTAACTGGTCAGATTTGAAAATAGCATGTTGCTCTATGAGTCACACAAGCCTGCGACTTTAATCTGATTTTATTTTGGCGACAGGAAATCTGCCCACATGGCTTTAATTTTTGATCTCTGCGGTTCAGTTTCACTGTTGAAGTTTTTTCATTCAGGTATTTAAGGCGATCACACTGCCACTGTGGTCATTCGCTGCTTTTCAATGAGTCAGGGTTGTAATTTGAAGTTCTAGCGCAGGGGGCCGTGTTGTTTATTGATCTTACACTCTGCAGTAACTTGATGCTTCTGAGTCTTGTTTGTTCCCTTTCTTTGTCTTTCAAATTAGAGATAGCTGTCAGCATGATTAAAGAAAAAAGGTCTCAATGTGGTTTTTAAACGTCCCTAAAAGCTGACGGAAATCTCTCAGTTGTTTTTTTGTTTTTGTTTCATATTTCCTGTGTCGACTACTTTTACTGCCGGGATAAAAATGGGAGATTCTCATTGTCCCCACTGTTGTTCATTCTATATGAATGTCTCCTCTGTATCATTTTTTAAAGCAGATTTAGTTGAATTGGAATGAGAGCCGTCAAGAAAATGTCTGTGATGTAAAATGTGCAACAAAAACAATTCGTACAAAACATAGCTTCTATATATAGCTTCTATATATAAATATAAATATATATATTCAAAGAAGAAGTATGAAATATAAAGAGTACCACTCCGATCTTTTCTAAGAATGTATTTTGATTATGTAAATGAGCACTATGACTCTGCTTGATTTAAAAAGAACAAAAAAAGGCATATTTCACGGTGTCTCTCATACGGGAGTGAGGAGAAAGCAGCAGCAGCAGCAGCAGTAAATAAATGCATGGTGATTTTCTGTCTCCTGTTCATATTTAAAAAGCTCTGTCTATTTACCAGCACTGTGTCACTCAGTCAGACTGTATTCGTGGGGTTTTTTCAGCCTTTCTCACAGGGCTCGGGACGATAAAAAAAACATTCCAGAGGGGTTTCTTTTTCTGTGTTTGCGTATTGCTGCTGCTACAAACAAATCTGATCCAATCAGCCTCTGCTATAATGACCTTTGTCGTGTTATTGATTGAGGATTTAATGCATCAGCTGCGAGGTCTTTGCATTTACTTACAAATAAAGAGAAACATTTACAGAATATGTCAACACATTTGCTTGTTTTGTTTTTCTTGTTTGCATGAGGAAGGTTTCTTGTTTAAGAGCAAACTGTTTTAGTTTAGAGGTCAGATTTAGATGTTGAAACACAGTTTTGCAGCAAACACTCCACTTACTTCCCCCTCCTTTTCTGGTCCGTACTCACAATGCAGAGCTGCCTCTCGGTGCCATGGCAACGTGACAACAAAACCAGCCACCCAAACTTTATTCAAGGATTCTGATTGGTGACTAGCTGTCACATAATGAAGTGGTTTCCAATTGCAGTCAGCCTAAAGAGCTTGACCCTCCTGTAAAGCAAGATAGGTTGTATGAATACACACTGAACTACCTGCTGGTCAAATGCAGGGCAGTGATTTCATTGGCAGTAAAAATATTTTAACACCACTCTGAGTCTTAAAAAAAAAATCCCAGCAGAATTCAGAGGGCGATTATTGCATAAAGGGAGCAAAATATATCTTCCACAGCATCGATAGCACCATTACTCAGTGCTGAAGTCATGGTTCACGGGAAGAAGTTGGCCAAGGAGACGCTGCTGCCTTCTGTGCTGGAAGACGATGACGCAGGAGCACAAAGTGAGAAGCTGCAGCTGTGGGAGGTAGGAAGCCGAACCATCTAGCCAAAGTCTTCAAACTCTAAAGCAAGGGAAGAGTCAGAAACCAGGTAGGGAGGAAAGTGTTTATGAAGTTAAATAAGACCCAGTAGGTGGCCTTTTCATGAGTGTGTTAGACTGCAGCTCTTAGCACATCTGAGCACTTTTCCTTTCCAAGGACAAGGAAAAACAGGCTGAAAAATACAGACTATAGACCATTTGTCTTCAATATGGGTTTTTCTTTTGACCTGTGCAAGCCGCATGAATTAACTTAATGGAGGATCTCACCCTGACAGTACATTTTAATTACACTTTAATATCATCTATTCATTGAGCTGCATGAGGTGCATAACAGCAAGAGAAAAATGATATGTTAGTTGAAATCCTGTAGTTAATTAAAAGAAGTGCAACATGAATGCTGCAATTCAGACATGGGGTTTTATGATAAAAAATGCTCATTCTGAATTGGATGACAGCAGCAAAACTAACAATAACAGGAGGAGCATCCTCAACTATTTGAAACAGGCTAGTAACATGGCTGGGGATAAAAAGAGTATCAGAGGGAGGCTCTGACAGATACATGGGGAAAGATTTAACACTGTGAGAGACTGCATTAGCAAACAGTTAAACAACTTTAGTATTTGGGGATGTCAAGATCTGCAGTTCATCATACTAGTAAACTCTGCCGAAACTCTTCACTAAAGAGTCAAGGCCAAAAAGAAATACTGGATGGTCATGATCTTCAGTCCCTCAGATGCTTCTGCATGAAAAAAAAAAACTGTTACTCTGGAGTGGAAATCACAGCATGGGCACAAAATCAATGGGTCAGGTCCTGGGTCAGATCCATACCCATTTATATATATGGGTAAAAATATATATTTTAACGCTATGGCCTACCTCATAAACATGAGTGTGTACCATTGAATGCCATACCGGCTCAGATTGTACAGCTTGTAAAAGCAAAGCTCCCAAAAAAGACTCCCCAAATGCTTATATCAATTTAACCCAAGATCATGAGTCAAATAAGATCATAACTCAAAGCTTGGGTTAACTTGACCCTTTAAAGGGGTTATTGAGTCAACTCAAAATTTGGGTTAATTTGAATAACCCAACATTCTGGGTCAAAATAACCCAATAAGTAGTTGGTCCCTTATCAACCCTGGTGTTTTTAGAGTTTAAAGGCCACCGTCTGTTAAAGTTCAACACCACATCCTAGAATGCCGGTGAAAACTTTTCAAGGCAAAGAATAAACTGCAAACAAACAAAATCATTTATAACATCATCAGGCACCAAGACTCTTCTACTACAGAGCCATGAACCCCAAGAAGTCAAAGGCATTTCTAGATCATGTTTGTATATAGTTTCCTCTATGTACAATACTGTTTTAATCTGCATTTGTTGATATAGTGACAAACTTGAGTTCACAGACTTGTTTTTGGGTGTGAGTTTGAGCCCATGCAGTGAGTCCCACTTCAGAGACATGTCTGTTTTTAATGTGGTGCCATCCACATATCACAATCATCTCTTGTCCATTTTGTACAGAGATTTCTTTTGATTTTTTAAAGTCTACAAATTCTTTACAATTTTAGACTCTGGGAACATTATTTGGAATCACCCACCTTTTTAAAGAGCCCACCTCTACTGAACTTCCCAGCAGCTCTGCCTCTCTGGCATGCCCATGTATTTTTTTGTAAGTACCCTATCAAGTATAAGATGCAGTTGTCTGAAAGTGAATCACCAAAAGAGGGAACTCTAAATGTGTTGCCTTCTTTTTTAAAAGCTTTCATTTGTCCATATTTTTTACAGTCTTCTTCATGGTTATTTTCAAAAGGCTGCAATGGATCAAGTTGATGCAGACCAATATTATTTTATTATATTGTAAACTTCAAAATCTAAATACCTTTTTTTTTTGTAATGACTGGGTCGAGAAATGGGAGTGAAAAACAGCTTAAACCTCCTCTGGTTCAAAAGTTTAAGACATAGAGGAAAACAATGGAGTAACAATAACAGCAAGGACAAAAGGATGCAAGCTTAAAACAGGAAGTTAAACAAGTCCATCTACATTGTTGGACTCTGTTGTACAGTGTTGGTATTAGTTTTACTCTCCTGGCAGCAAATCCATCTAATCTCCTCACTCAGGCTGCCAGCTGCAGCAGCAGCAGCAGCAGCATCTGAGGAGTCACGATGTCTTATTGTGTCACTCTCCTCCCAGCAAAGAGTGAGACGGACAGAGGTCAGCGTGCGTGGGCTAAAGGACCGCTGCTCTAGCCCTGACGAGAACATGATAGATGGAGGTGAAAGAGAGTGTGAAGAGGAGGAGGAGGAGGAGAATGAAGAGGAGGAGCGAGTGATCTCTGATGAGGACTACGACACCGATTTGGAGCTTGGAGGTAAAAATGGAAGTTGTTTTGGATAGAAAAAAGGAGATAAGTGGGTGGGAAAGGTATCACATGGTAAGATAAAGGACATGATGGCCCATCTTATGAAATAAAACAAACATTTAAAACATTGCAAAGTCTTACAATTGTGACTAAATTAGATTATTGTGTTGTGAATTGATAATATACCCATCCCAAAAAGACAGACCAGACCCCAAAGAAGACATGAAAGTGGAAGATAACAGAAATACAGAACATGACATCCTGTCTCATCCAAGCTTTCCAACACAAAAAAATATTTCAGGATTTTGAACAAACATTAATCAATCAAACATGTTCATGGCTCACCAAAATGAGGATGAAGCCAGTGGTGTGTCCAGACTTTAAACAAAGGGGGCCCTGGACTTATTCAGGGGTGGCCTGAAGCAAAAAAAAAAAAAAAGCTCATACTTGACATGCATCACAGGAACTGCTTATCTTTAAAGGCCGCTGTTACTTATAGAACTGTCTTAACAAGAGTCTGACTGCTAAACATTGTGACATACTACTATTTGTAAGAGCTGTACCTTTAGGAAAGAAAACAAAGATCTTGTTTGGGGGGAGTGGAAAGCTGAAGCTAAGCAATTAAGTTGCCTTGCCACCCCTGGCCACCCCTCTGGATCCACCTCTGGATGATGCAGAACAAAATACAGTTTATGCTTGACTTCATCAGAAGATGGATTCCTGATCTTCAAGTAGGTTTTCTTTAAAAGGTTTTGTACCATAATTGTGCTGTACCAGGGTGTACAGTATGTTCAGAATCTGTATAAATCAGCGCTACTGTAAAGCTCTACCACCCAGTCTTTAACTTTCCTCTTCTGCCTCTATGAATTCTCCATCTCTAAAGCATCTCAGAAAAAGAAAAAGCAAAACAAAACAGAGACTCCTCCACATGCCTGCCCACACATGTAGAGCCCCGCTTTGCATCTTAATGATTTCATCTCAGTCTTTGTGTCAGGCTGAAGTAGAAACCATCTGCTATGAATGAGCTCCCCTGACAGGACCAGATCTGCCATGGGGGACTTTTCAATATCACACTCAAAAGGTTGTCGTCAGGGGGGGAGTGCCACATCTCTGCTTTCTCAAAAAGGTATTGATAATGAACAATTCAGACAGACAGAGCAGGCGGTGTCTTTGTTCATTCTGCAGATAAGGAGGAGGGATATGACCCCACGGGGCAGACGTGCTACATGGAGGCGTGCAAAGCATTACAGGTGGTGCCTGCCTCGTCCTTCCTGAAGCACCTGCAGGACAGCGAGCTGAACATGATGCACCGTGGTCTGGGGCCTCAGGTACTTTGATTGTGTTAGGGACTCTTTAAAAATGACATGTGGAGGAAAGAAGTTACTGTCCATAGGTGCCGATGCATTTTTTCCCAATCCATGGGAGTGTGAGTCTTTGGGGGAATGAAAACAAGGTTTTTTATTTCTTTATTTTTTAGCCCAAATTTTAGATTTTTCTAATCAAGTTTGACAGTATCTGTCACTAAGATCCAAAGCAAAACCATGGTGAAACCAGGGTGACCAGCCCATGTCACCCTGGCCACCACATGGATCCACCCCTGCTTCCTGGCCTAATTACCTAAACTTGTCATGCAACATTTTGCACACAAAGGTGCCTTTCATATAACTTTATGGATGCAAACACAAGACCTCCCAGACAACTAGTTTTGCACAAATGCATGTTCAGCCCACCATTAACTTTGCTGCCAGTTAAATACAGACAATGAATGGCTTACCTGCCGCATCAAAGGGCACCTGAGATTCCAGCTGGCATATGTTCAAGTCTCAAATATTGATTATTTATATTACTTTAAATGCCTGAAGCCCCTGCTGCTGGGCAACCATCATACAAATAGAGTAATCCTCATATAGGAACATCAGGTGGGGTCCAGTCGCTCACTTAAGGAGACAACAGCATGTGGGCAACCCTGGGATTGAACACACACACACACACATATATAAATATATACCGGTATATACATATATATATATATATATATATATATATATATATGTATACAGTATATAGTGGAGCGACAGTTTAATACCATTCCCCTCTAAATAATTGCCACACAGCTCCTAAAGTCATTCCTTTTCCGTTTTTTTTTTACTCTTTTGACAAATTTAATTGAATGAACTTCAGTTGAACCATCTTTCCTGTAAAAGACGCACAAATGTTTGAATGCCTCTGTCTCTGTGATGCTGTGTCAGATCAGCGCAGACCTCTAATCGGTGGCTCACTCATTAATTCAAAGTCACACTCTTCTTCAGGGCGACTGAGCTGATCATGACAAAGCCTGTGCAAAACACAGAGCAGCTAAGATTCAACGAGTTTCCAGTTCCCTTTCAGGAAATAATCATGCATGCTCACATCTCTGCAGTGCACTCTACATGAACTAAAAATGCATGAGTACAGTCTTACATGAACACTCAAATAGAGAGTCCTTAACATGTTTAATAAAGTCAGGAGGTTTGTGTTTGTGTTGGTTTGCACTTGCAGAGAGTTCATAAACCCAGACTGAATTTAAATTTATGTTTTAGGTACAATCTCATTTTTTACTTGATGGCAGTCTTTGACCCCTTTTAGCTTTCAGTAATCTGGTCATGTAAAAGTGTTAAATGATGGTTTCTGACATACACAAAAAAGAGAGTACAGAATAAGAATTCACAATGAATTCTGAAAGAAACAATATCAAAATCTCATGATACGATGCTACATTAATAATAAGTCCATGGTACATTGTTTATTGTGATATTCAACAAATTAAACAAATAAAGACATGGGGGGAAATGCTAATTATGAGGGTTGGTGTGTGTAGATGATGGTGTCATCAGCAGAAAGGTGTATTTTGCTTCACTGTCCTAACCCAAGTCATTTACAAAAATAGAGATCAGAATGGCTCCAAAATAGAGCCCTGTGTGACTCCTGTAGTGATCTTAAAAAAATCTGATTTATGGCCTTCTGCAAAGACACACTGAGTTTGATCTTGTTGTAGGTAAACAAGCTTAACTTAGTTAGCCACCTTCCCACACTGCACAATCTAATCAGTATGCTCGGCATTTGTTTACCTGCACAGTGGGAAAGGATGCTATGGTGCAGGTTATGAGGAAATTCCTTTGACATTGTGTGTTATAGCCTGCTTTCAATGTTGCAGAGTGAAGACAAAAGTCCCAAGGTAAAAATCAGACAATAGATAATTTTATCATCTGAATCTGTAACTTTATCTACTGCATTAGGCAGGTTTAGACCTAGAAGATGCAATACTGCGTGTTCTGCATGTTAAATTTGACCAGTATATATCTTTGTGTGCAAGTACACAACATTATGTTCTGTACAACTTCCATATAAATCTCAGGCATCCATTTGAAAAAAAGTGTAAAATGCATATCTAGTCATGTCTCCCGATAAATCCCTATAGCCTCAATTTAGCCAAGAAGTCAATGACAATTTAATGTGTTATTGACAGTCAATCGATGCAAAACCGCTCTGCACATCCTCTGCAAATGCAAATATGCATCCACATCTTCTCTTAGTGAAACATTTCAACATTTTTACAGGCTCCCACTACTCGATAAAGCTGCAAAGGCAAGTTGGAAAAGTAAATCCATTTCATAACCAGCCATTTCAGCTTCAGATACATCATTAAAGCAGAATTTAAATGTTTCTTCTGCTGCCAATCATAGAGTGTGGAAGTGAAGGAACTGTGTGCTGCCACCAAAGGGGTTTTATTTAATGTCTCAGAGGTTGAAAGGCTTCTCCGATGATACTGAAAGACCTTCTATATGCATTGAAACACCTTTGATATGCCTTTCCCTGCTCTCTCTTTTTTAAGGATCAAGTTAACATAAAGCTGCATGCACTCAACTTTCTCATTAGCAAAGCTAGAAACTATAATTTTCATGTTCTGCATGCTTCATTTCTGACCTACGCCTCCACACAGCTCCCTTCTGCTTCATTTGTCTCACACAGGTTTAATACTCCTCTCTCTCTCCATCTCTCTCTCTTTCTCTCTCTCTCTCTGCCCACCTGCATCAGTACATGAACTCTTTTGACTGAAATACAGATAAGAAAATATACTGCAGTGAACAAACAGGAGAATTTCACTCGAGGGGGGGTTGGTTTTGTGCTTGCAGGGCGCCAAAGCACTGGCGGTTCCCCTGGCAACCAACACTTCAATACTGAGGCTGAACCTGCGAGATAATTGGATGGAAGGAATGGGCGGAGCTGCTATCGCTGGGATGTTGAAGGAAAATTGTTACATTACAGGTGGTTTCACTTGGCACTTAAGCATGCACATATTGTGTCACCCCCACTCTGTTTCACCTTTCTCTCGCAGGAGAGCCACCCCCACACCCACTCTTATGGCACAATCACCTCAATTATATGCCAAAGCACAGGGTTTAACATCTGGGGCTCCTGTTCAGTAGGAGTTAAATGTCAGGCCACTGTTCAGGGGACCTGAAGGGGGGCTCCATGGAGAATAATCCCATCGAAGAATGATATAATTCCTGTGAGTCATGGAGGATCTTCAGTTTGTTTTATATTTAAACACCATTTCTCATGCATTACTTTCGAGGGTAATCCTGTTATAAGATATATAGAGTAACAGATGAGTTGCAAATGTCTGTTTTGCTGACGCTACAGGAGACGTTGGCTGACACAGGAATTCAAGTCAGGTTTCTGATTTGTCATGAATAAAAACACAGCAAATAAGAACTCAAACTAAGAAACCTGTATTAAAACAGCGCACTGATAAGACAAGTTATACAGATTAATGCTAACCAATCTTTAGCCATATAGCACTAATTCACAGCAAATGCTATCTCAAGACAAATGCCTAGGCAGTACTCTGTTTTATTATTCACAAAGACCTAACATCAAGTTGAGATAAAACTTATTACTCAGCTTTCCTACCAATAACCTGCCTATGTTAAATACTCAATTCCGATTAGTCAAACCCACACAACAATGGTTACCGTGCTGTTGCTCCAGTTACCTCAGAAGTCGGATGTCGGAGCGGGGAATGACGTTACACCCGAGTTGACGGTGTTCCAGTTAACAAGTAAGAAAACCAAAATAGACGCCTAATGTTAGCCGTTGTTAGCTGTTGTCTACAATTGTCAGCTGTCGTTAGTCGTTGTAGCCAATGCATAACACAGTATTTTACTCTTACAAACACCATAGCACCGTGTTCACAGTTAGACATCGGGCATTATAACATATACCACAAAAAAAATAGAAGTGCTTATAAATAATACATTACGAGAGCTTTTACTGTTACTCTTTACTGTTGATGCACTGCACTGCCATCTTGGATTATGACGTCATCAAGTCAGGGTTGGTGAGGATCATCCCACTTTCAGAGTCGGAAATCTGACTTCAGGGGTGCGTTCAAGATGAATTTCCAACTTGGAGCTCGGAAATTCTGACGTCCGAGTACAACTGGAACGCAGCATAAGTTCTAAAGCCTGATCACTCATGCCACACCTAGAGAAATAATCTGCAGAAAACAGACGCCACACAAACATTACTTTCTGCTAGCATTGGAGACAACATGAGGTCATTTCCAAAAGTGCTGATTTGTGGTTGATGCCTCACAAGTAAAAAGCAGAAGAAAACAGACAAGAAGTAGGTCAGCAGTGATGGAATTTGCATTCAAGGGTCATCCACCAAATTGAAGAAAACACAAATTATGAGTGAGGGGGGGAACTCACTTCCAACTGGTCAAATTTAGCAGAAATTAACCTGGTCATACAGATATTGTTCTTACAAAATTGTGCATGTTTACATACATATGTTATAAATCCTGCATATTTTGTTTGTTTGGTTAATAAAGTAGGTTTACCTATTACAATACTGTAAAACTATGATCATTTTGCTTGAGGTTATCATACCATCAGAATCCCATACTGGCCCATGCCTAAATGAGAAATGGAGATTTTAGGTTAGATGTATGTGGACAGATAGCGAAGCCCAGTAAAGACAGGGGCTCAGTGTGCCAGCCTATAGCTAATAACCAGGCTGCTTTAAACCTGAGCGAGATCTAACGTTAAGCTTTATCAAAAGGGGATGTTTTAAGCCTACTTTCTCCTATATGTACAATAATTCGATCACAATTTCATGGCAATCCAGGCAAAAGTTGCTGAGATCCACATTATCATCCACAAAATCATGTTACTGTCGCAGCGAATATGACCTCTAAATTCTTATTCCTCTTATCGGTCCTGAATCAAGTATCCTCACAGAGCATACTCCTTTTGAACTGCTCAGGTTGGAAGATTTGCTCAGATTTACCCTCTTCCCAGCGGGCATTTCTTCAAAAAGGAGGACATGATGTTAAGAGTCTTGCCTTTCAATACTCAGAGCCTTTTGTTGAGATTGACCTTTAACATGAACAAAAGAGGAGGGTGGTGTGTCTGACAATTTTTGATATAATCTTAACTTTGTGAAGAAATCTCGAACTGTCGGAAAGCTATCATACAAGACAAACAAGACAAATAACATATGCTCAAAACTGCACCTTTTGTTTCAATGTAAATCTTTACTTCTTCCCATTAGACTCTCTTCTTTCCAGCTTTTCTTGCTTTCTATTGTTTTATTAATCTGCTTTTCTCCACCACACATTAATTTATTTTTACTGGTGTATCAATCCCAGAGGTGGACCTATCCGACAACAATCTTGGGGATTACGGGGCCAGAGCTATTGCTGGTATGCTGAAGGAGAACAGCTCTCTTTTGAGGCTTAATCTGTCAGGAAACCATTTCACGGACCAGTCTGCTGAACACCTCGGTCCAGCGCTGATCACCAACACAAAGCTGCAGCACCTAGACCTCAGCTACAACGCCCTGGGAGAACGTGCAGGTACAACAGCAACTATTCCAACATAGTTTAGTTTCTTAGTTAATATTGGGGTCAAGCATAAAGCCTGACTGATACTGTGATTTAAAAAAGAGAATCTGGAATAAAGGTGATATCTGACTGGAGCTGTCAGGATATCACATATTCAACTCATGGCTATATAGGCTCAAATATTATTTTCTGTTTTGATGCCCCTGTGGGTCATGCTGCTGTTGGAGGTGTGTCTGGTTGGTTTCTCTCTGCACACCAATCAGAGTAATTATGTACACCTGGGCCCTGGGTGCTAGGGGTATTTAAGATACCAGAGTTACTTGCAATCTCACCCCAGCCACCCTTTTTCTCCTGGCCTCCTTTACAGGTACTTGGTTGGGTTTGCTTTGGTTGTTTTGGTTTGGTTTGGTTTGGTTTAGTTGTAGTTTATGTTTGCTCTGTACAACACCCTCACACACATACACCTACCTTCCACTCATGCACACCTTACACACTACTGATTTTACTGATTTACATACCTCATTTCTTAAATATTCTAATTTGGTTTAATTTGATTTAATAAAGATTTGTTTTGATTCTTATACATAGTGTGTGTCTCCCCTTTCTTTGTTGTAACCACCTGAGCCAGGTCATGACACTGTCCACAAAGACCTGGGTCAAAAAGGTCGACAGGAGCTGCTTTTGTGAGCAAGAAATAGGGTTTTGAATTTGGTGCAAGCTGCAGCTGTCAGCCAGTGGAAAGAGAGAAAGAGCAGAGAGCTGTGCTGATCTGAATGTGCTCGCAGGACAGTCTGCCAGTAAGGAGTTGCAGCAGTCAATATACAGCAGAGGTTCTCAAGTCCAGTCCTCGAGCCCCCCCGTCCTGCATGTTTTGGATGTTTCCCTGATCCAACACACCTGATTCAAATGATTAGCTCGTTATTAAGCCATTCCAGAGCTTGATAACGAGCTGATCATTTGAATCAGGTGTGTTGGAGCCGGGAAACATCCAAAACATGCAGGACAGTGGGGCTCGAGGACTGGACTTGAGAACCACTGATATACACCATTACAATCTGTGCCAAATACTCTGTCAGGTAGGATTTCAATCTGTGGTTGTATGGAAGGACTGGCTAGAATGACTAGAAATTCAGTTTTGGACAGGTTTGGCTGAAGATATAGTTTCTTCACCCATGTTTGGAGTCCGGAAAGGAGGTAATAAGAGTTGGTGGAAAGAGAAAACCATTTTCATGCATCTGTAGCTGCATAGATTTTGATGAAATGCTTTTTTGTCAGTTTCATGGCTGCAAATAAGTCAACTCTCAAGATTTTGCCCGTTTTTCCTGACGCCTGAGCGAGGAGGGTGTTTTTGAGCTGGTCAATCTGCAGAGTTGGTTCAAGTGACTGTATGGTTATGATGTTTGTACTTTACATGTAAGAGGAGGCACAATTTTAGATAAATACTTGAACTCTTATATGGGTCTACTCATGCTTGAGGCCACCCCTGCTGAGTCTGTATGACATTTGGACCACCCAGACACAGGGGTCTGGGTGCACCCTTGACTGAATACGTACTGAAGTCTTATATGAGACCCAATTACAGAGAAGAGTGCAGCTAAATTTGATATTCTGACTGTATATGATAAGACGTATCTACTTTAATAGAATTTAAAAACCATTCTCATAAAACCAATAGAGTTTTGCTATAATGGTGCAGCCTTATCTCTGAGCCGACACAGGACAGCAGGCAGCAGCAGACTGTGGCATTCAAAGGTCAAGAACATATCGCCTTCATTAAAAGCTCTTCAATTATGATCTGGATGAGCTCTACGACAGGCAGTCTGTGGTAGAGCTGGGGGCCCAGGATGCTCTGAGCACCTGACGGAGGTAATAGAAAATAAATCTGTCTGTGGGAACGAGGGCACCGTCGTGTCTTATTGCTGTTCGTGTGTCTATGAATCATCCCCACATGTTCAATTCTATTTCCTCCGCCACTGAACTATCAAAGCTCATCCTCATCGGTTTGGAGTGTGCACTCCCATATGGAAGGTCCCTCAGAGAAAGTACACCAATCTAACACTCACTGACATCCATGCTATGGTGTTATTGCTTTCTCCGCCAAGCGCAGTTAAAGCGTCTTTGTCTCTGATTACGAACTGCTGAGGGCCGTGCACTTTCTTATCATCAGGATAAAGTGGTGAGATAATATCGGGGAGCTCTCTCTTTGTGATCTCTGCGTCAGGCCTTACTCTGGTGCTTTAAGGCTATGAAACACACAATCACACCATCTTAGCGGAGATGAGATAAGTTGCCAACAGAGAGTGAAAAAAAGTGAGTGTTTGAATTTAATAAGGGCCTTTGATTATACTTTCCATCACTACAACATCAAAAGTTCCTCTGTCATGTGATATATATTTTTTCCGCACTAGTCTAGATACGGAACAAAACTGCCACAAGCTTTTAAAAGCTGAGACTGACCCTTGTGTTTGTGTAATTTACCAAGGTTATTAGTCATTTTCTGGAGTTTTATGTGATATTACTGAACGGAAATGTTAAAATTTTAATGGAATCATTTCTCATCCAAAAGGGCAAATCTTGGGAGACTCTCTGTCAGAAAACACTGGGTTGGGATCGTTAAATCTGGCCTGGAACGGCATTAGAGGGAGAGGAGCGGTGCTGTTGGCCAATGGCCTCCAGGTAAGCCTTCTAATGAGCAATGATTTTAGAACCCTGCCATTACAAGTTCCACTTATAACACAGGAGATGGTCAAAAGCTATGACTGCACAAAACATCAGCACAGTCTTAGTGCCACCACCTATTGGTGTTCAGTGTTGTATGAAGTACTAAACAAATACACTTGAGTTGAACTATAGTTACCTTACCAGAAAATGACTCCAGTCAGAGTGAAAGTCTCCCATGAGAATTCTACTCAAGTCAAAGTCTTAAAGTATATCACATTCTCTCTATTTAAGTATTAAAAGTACTCAAGTAAATGTTCTCCAAGTTAAAGTAAAATGTAAAAGTCAAAGTACAAATAAATGTATCTTTATTTTTTGCAAAAGTCACTTATACCCAAATAAGCACATATTTCAGGTGGTTGCAACCAACAGCTTAGAAAAATAAATGGACACACACACACACACACACACACATACACACGCACACACACGACACAGATCAGGAGAAACAATAGTGCATCCTCCTACAGTCAAGAAGGAACTTAGAACAGAAGTTGGACATGACGAGAACCATCAAACAGACACTGAACATTTAGGTGGGTGCAAACAACTGCGCAGCAAGCAGCTGCAGACATGCCAAGGCTTGACTGACTGATTGACGATGATCAAGTGCATTGCAAATCAACGTTAGGTAAAAGGGAAGAAAAGTTTTTTTCCTCCTACCCGCTGTCATAGTAATGAGGAGAAAAAAAGTAGTAGCAAAGATGCTTCTGTGAAATGTAGCGGAGTAAAAGTATACTTTTATTTTTAGAAATGTAGCCAGGTAAAAGTAAAATTTAAAAAAACAAACAAACAAAAAAAAAAACTCAAGTAAAGTACAGATACTTCAAAATTATACTCAAGTACTGTAATACTTAAGTATTAATATTTAATTACTACCCTCTGACACTGTTGGGGCTCTATTTTCGTGCCTCGCTGGAGACGTGCCGCAGGCGCAGCGTAAGTCAGATCCGCTGCGCATTCCCAAGCACAATTCGATAATTCCAACTTTGAAAACTTGAGCAACTTCAGGAGCTTGAGCTTGAAATCCAAGATGGTTCCCCCATGAATCATCAACAACGTTCATCAGCAACTTATTACTGTGTGATCAAGTAAATGACACTGATAGTATTATGTCGGTTCTATATGTAGACGTGTTGTTGGGGGGGGGGGGGGGGGCTGCTTTCACATGCAAATCATCAATTAGTATCAATACTAACAGCATCAAGAGACAATTTTTCAGCCCTGTCAACTGAAATGTGACATTATTCCCAACTCTGAGGTAAGGACTGTATTCTAGATCCTGAACTGTGTCTTGGTGAATTGTCAAATTATGATCATTTCAGCTTTCTTAGGTTGATAAGTAGCCACAAGATCAAAAGATAGTGAAAATAAGAAGCAATAGTTTAAGTGAAGTATCATATTTGACAGTCTGGGGGACAGAGTGATGATGATCAGTGAGAGGCTGTAGTGATCATGAGCGTGCTCAAGCTCTTATCCTGTTAGAAGACAGGCCCGTTGCTAAAAAGTTTTTCAAACATTTAAAAGTTCTTAAGTGTTAAAGAGGTTGTCAGCTGCTCAAATGTATGTGCTACACATCTCAAACCATGAGCTAATCTATCAATCAAAAAATAATGATTATGATTTATGCAGTATTCAAGCAAACCTGGTTGCTGCATAATGAAAGTACTCAGTTTCTTGACAAAGTAACAGGAAATTATTCATTCTGCTTGATACTTTTATTACTCTTGACTCTGTAAGCTAATACAGCCGGATAATAAGATAAACTGATATACTCGAATAACAAACTTTTATATTCAATTTGATTTGTGATTCAGTTATGCAGGTTGGTAGAGGAAATTACTGTACATCCAAACTTGGCTAACTTATTTATCCTGTCTGTGCAGCAGCCTTCTAGTCAAGGCATCATTAAGTAACTCCCAGCAGGACAGACGGAGACGGAGAAGCTTCCTTAATGACCAGAATGGTCAAGAGGACCCTGATCAGTGTGCTGCACTGACAGCTTTGACTGATTCAGGCCTTGAGAGGCTTATTGCCCCAGGATCTTTACTGTTGCTCTCTCACTTTAAATCAAGGTGTTCCTTTGGTTTCCAGTCAATTGTTTGATCAAGTTTGAACTTCTTATTGTGTTTTAGTTGTTATTGTCTTCTTTCTTTGTAGGAAAACATTTCCCTCAGAAGTGTGAATCTGTCGTTTAACGGATTTAGTAAAGAAGGAGCCATTGCTTTAGGACAGGCTCTGAAAGAAAACACTGTTCTGGAGGAGCTGAATGTGAGGTATGGGTTTTTAATCTCCATGTCTGATGATCCTACAGTGCGTAAGTGAAAACAGGGCAACTTTTTCAGATTATTCCTCCGTAAATCACAGTGAGAGGACGTGAGCTTGATTGTGTTATCTTGTTTGGTTCCAACTCCAGGTGGTCAAATTTCTCTACCAGATTATCTGTTTGGACAATAAATCCTCAGCAGTTGTCAGCCTTTGTCTTAAACTGCCTCTTCTTAGTTTTCTCAAGCGAAATAGAGCTTTTTCTTCACAGTGTAGAGGTGTTTGAGCAACATCAATAACAAAAATGTCTTTTTAAAGCTAACACTTTTTTGATTGCTTCACTCACACTCCAACACTCTTTCTTTTTTGTTGTCTTCTGCATTTTGTTTTCCCCCACAGCAATAACCTAATACCCCCTGAAGGAGCTATCCACCTAGCCATGGGCCTCAAAGCAAACAAGGCAATCAAATCCCTGAATGTAAGCTGCTGAAAACAGATTGGTTGGAGCTTTAAAAGCAATGGGGGGCATCGGGGAAGAAAAAAAGATAAATAAAAGGATAACTGTACTTTGCTTTAATGTTGATCACTCACAGAGACTCATCTTAATCCTGGGATGAGTTGATGTTCGAGTTTCACTGAAGCAGTGTCACAGCCTCAGAGTTCGTGTGCAACAATTTAGGAATGAACAAAATTTGGAAAGTCAGGTCAAAAAGTAGCTTTAAAAGGCCACATTTTTTATTCAAACCTTCTGTTTGGATCTTGGTGAAAAAAAGTATGTGGAGGATGGGTGACTAATTAAAGGAAAACTGAGAAAATATGGCCACAGTCTGTGTAATGTTACCCATTGATTACTGGAGGGTGATTCTGAAGCCCAGCTGGCAGGCAAGCCTGTCCTATTGGGCGCATAATAAAGGAAAATTACAGCTGCATGCAGCAATGAACAGTTTCTCACACTTTTTGTCCATGCCGTAACTGCCAGGTGCAGAGTAGCTGTGCTTGTGCCGCAGCTGCAACAGTGCAGCCTTAGATGGTGCTTTCACCATGGACTGAAAGTATGTGAATCTGCTCAGGTTGAGACTGTCAGCATGCAGGTTTGATTTGAAGGATATAAAACAGTTAAGCAATGGCTGTTTCCTGCAGTAGGGCTTTAACTCTGGCCATGATAGTATTGTAGGGATTAGGGAATCTTCTCAACAGGAAATCAAAAGTGTAAGGGTTGAGGGCTTATTCAACTGTGAATATCAGGATAGATACCCTCTGTACCCAAAAGGGGGCAGTATCGTGGCAAAATCTGTTATGGATTGGATATTGTATGTTAACGTTAGTAGGCCTACCAAGTATTCGCAAAGTAGTCACATTGATGTGTTTAGGGGTAAACCTTGATTATGTGTATGAAATATTAAACAGATTAAATGCTGTATAAAGGAGTAACTTTAACTTCATAGTTGTTGTTGTTAAACATCATAGTTGCATGAAAGCTACAGCTGAACCCTTCAACGTCCAGAAAAATAACTCCATTACTTTGAATCTTTAATACATGGACAAAACACTGACCACTGTTGGAGATGATCAGGCAAAAAACCTTTGATTAAATATGCACTGTATAAAGTAATAAAATCTGAGATCTTTGGACTCCTTAGTAAGATTAGATTATGGGTCCACAAGGATTTTTGGAGGTTTTGGCCACAGCTCCATAAGCTTTGCTGGCGGAAGCGGATTTATGACCTATACTGCAGCCCATCAACAGAGGGTGCTGTTCTCGGAGTGGCTTCCCCAGCAAGGAGGCAGACTCTGTCCACTCTATATACAGTCTATGGGCTGAACCTATTGGAGGGGCTTATTTCGGGGGTTGTAGGGGGCACTGTAGAGGCAGTGGTTATCACAGAGAGGGATTATTGTGAGACAGTGAAGAAGTTGAAGTTAATTTCTTTGAGACATGTCTTTGAAACCTTCTGTTAATCCTCTCCTTTTTAAACATATTTAAACATCTCTCTCTCTCTCTCTCATGTATGTAGGCTGAACCTATTGGAGGGGCTTATTTCAGGGGTTTTAGGGGGCACTGTAGAGGCAGTGGTTATCACCATTTTTTTTTTATTTTTTATTTTTTATCAGACATACTTTTTGTGTGAAGTTTGATGGGTTTTGGCGTGTGTTTAGGCTGCAAGATATGCAATCATAAAGTCTTAAGAAACAAAAAATCCATCCCAACATTCGTGGAGTTAGAATAGAGAATTAAGGCTGCCTTGCAAAGGACAAAAAGACCCACATACCCTTAAATGTTTTGCTTTAGACATCTTTGAGCCATAGGACACATATTAAGTGTCCCTTGGCTTTTGCAGTCTGGCTCTAGTGGACACTGCAGCTACTGCATTATTTTGCATGTCTATGTTGCCTTCATTTTTTAAATTCTGAAGGTTGTATAAAACAAGTACAGTTCTTATTAAAACCAGTAATTAAGACAATAGTTTTGCTAATCAGTTGCTAGGCAACCAGAAAAAAATCAAGGGTGTTAGCAGTGCAGCTAAGGACTAAACAGGCACAACATCCCTCAAAAGGCGTCGGCACCTTCCTCTGCTTTGTGACTATTTTGCATATCACTTCTTTTTAACTCCCGGGATTTTTTTTTTTTTACCAGGCAATGGTTTCATTTCATTAGCCTGTTATGTTTTAAGGCCGGAGTCGGACAAAGGGCGTAAGTAGGGCCTGAATATTATGTGAAGATCATCGAAATCACAGTTGGTTTTTGTAACAGAAAATAAAGACATCACAGCAATGAGTCGACTTGGACTTTAAACCACATTTTCCAATTAGGGATACCTAGTTTTGCTTTACACTATGCATGGTGAATACAGGATGGTTTTTGCAGGCAGGAGAGGTGCTTAGGGTAGATTTAGTTACAGCAGGACAGATTGAGGTCAACTTTAACCCCCTCTTTCTAACCTCTTTAAAGCTAAGCGAAGCCTCTGCTAGCTTTGGACTTAACTTACTCAGAGAAGTGTGACAGTAAAATTGATTTTCTCATCTAGCTCTCCACTAGAAATCTAATAACTTTACTTCTCTAAGTACTAGATTATTCCTTTACAAATGCAAAGTCCAGAGAAGGATTATTGTGAGACAGTGAAGAAGTTGAAGTTAATTTCAAATGCCAGGAAGACTTTGACAACATATTAAATCAAATGCAATGACTACAGCAGAGATGCTGGTGCCATTAATGCTATTATTTCATTTGTCCTGTTTGTGTTTGGCCAGATGGAAAGGAACCCCATTCAGAGTGCTGGGTGCTATGGGATCCTGAAGTCAATACAGGAAAACCCAGATTCAGCCATGGAGACGTTACGCTTTCCAGTGAGTCACACATATTACATGTCTTTGAGACTTTCTGTTAATCCTCTCCCTTTTAAACATATTCTCTCTCTCTCTCTCTCTCTCTCTCTCTCTCTCTCTCTCTCTCGCGCGCTCTTTCTCGCTCTCTCACTCTCTAGGACATCACAGTGAACCAGGATTTTGAAGATTTGTATGCAGCCGTGAAAGAAACATTCCCTTCACTTAAAGTAATTCATAGTGGTAAATTTGGAGCATTCAGCAAAGCAAAGGCTTGAAAAATGTTTTTTAGTCATGAGAAAAAGTTTAATTGCTGTACTTTTATGCCAGAAAAAGATGCAAATAGTCTCGTCAAAGCCCTGTGGACGACTTCGTCGACAGATGAAGGAAAGGATTGATGCATGCAGGGACATAATTATAGCAGAAATAGTTCTTGTTAAATGAGTTGTGAGAGAATATCGCACCCTGAAATGTTTTTATATCAAATAAATCTTGTTAAATACCCAATCAAGTGAAAATAAAGATGATTCAGAAGAAGTTGTTTCATTTTTCTAAAGAAAAAGCATATCAAATGCATGTCTGCATGCTTCAAATGTAATGTTGTTAAAGCCATTAAGCGCAGGCTTACAATACAGGTATTGAGTGTGATTCTTTTCAGGTATGATCTGATTTGATGTTATATAATGTCAGTGGGTAGAATGATAGAGAGGATCAGAGAGCAGCGCATTGTGTATGAAAAGAAGTGAAAGTGGGTTGCACAAAAAGGATTAAAGTACTGCATGACTAGTCTAATAGAGAAAGCAGCTTTGAAAGAACAGTTCACTATTAGATAAGAGACCTGTTTACTGCAGCAGGACAACTTCATCAGTGTTACTGATACAGTGAGCTGTCATTTGGAGACATGTGTCCTTCCCACACAGACTTGACAATTACATCAAGCACAGCCTCTTATTTCACATTATCTATTAAAAACATTATAAAACAGAATTTATTTATTTGTGTGTTTGTTAGATCGTATTGTTTGACTTAGTTGGGCTTTTATTCTGAACAGGAAGAATGAAAAGTGTAGCTAAACATTTTTATAAATCTTTAAGCTTTGGATGCTACGGTGGCCTTCATGATACTCCCTTTAAGACTACAGAGCTGAAAGAAAAGATTTCATGAGGAGCTGCAAAACTAAAGTTATATGACTCAGGGTATAAATTCAAATGTTTTAGTTGCTCTATAGTGTTTGGAAACCTTCAAATACAAATCCTGGTTGAAAAAAAAATGTCAGAAAATGTATAAATCTGCAGGAAACCTCACAGAATATATAGACAAAAAAGCTTTCAAGTAATGTTGCAGTCCCGCTTCCCAAAATAAGACACATTCTGAATCATCAAGTGCTGCATGTTATTGTCCTCTGGTTTTGCCTTATCTATCTGTGCATGAGCTTTGAGGTAACTCCTTCAAAATCACCCTACAGGCAATATGCATATTACAAAAAAAGAGCAAAAAACAATGAACACAGTAACAACCTCAGTTACCTACTGTTGAAATTTATAGGTGCATTGTGCTTAAAGAAAGAAATTATTTACTTTTGTTCAATACTCAAAATACTTAAAACATGGTGGTGGTGGTGGGGGGTGTCCTATTTCAGGGGAGAAAAAAATGGTTATACTTCGGTGTAAATTTACATCAGAGTTGTGAAAAATAAATAAAACATCAGATAAATTAAGAGTAAATTTCAACCTACGTGTTTTTTATGTATCTCCTTATTTTGTTGATATGTTTGGAGTAAGAATAACGTTAAATTAATTTTAAAAAATCCATTAATCAAACTATCTTACAGGTACCACCAATAATAAATATGCCACTTCAGTTCTGTCCTCCTTTCTTACTTTACTTTTACAGGCATACTCTAATTTAAATAAAGTTTTGTCAAATTAATAGTTATTGTCAATTGTATTGTATATTCGCTAAGTGGTAGAAGGGTTTTATAAAGTAATACAAGCCGCCTCTGAATGGAAAACAAGAAAGGCCCTTCTTCTATGCATCTTCATCCACAGGAATACTAGGTCACTCAAATGGCCAAAGCATTACTTATTTATTTACACGATTATAAAGTGACATATAAAGCGCAGATTTCATACATTGCGTTATGTAAAAGAGTCAACCAAAAGTTTCATTTGTATCGCTGACCGGTATAATCAACTAATCAGGTCTGATCGATTGTGCGTATTGATCCCTGCGTCCTACGTCACACAGTCACGCGTGCAGTTTAAATCTCCGGCGGGCTAACTACTTAGCAGGTTTGACAGGATTAGTCGTCAAAAAGCACCACAGAGAAGGGGGTAAACATTAACCAGAGCAGTGTGTTTGCGTGTCAGGAGAAGTTTTTACTCCACGGGGAATCATGGCGACGAACAGCTCCGTGTGGCTGAAAGGGAAAATGTTGTTCAAGTATCCCGTCAATCTGCATCGAGCCTCCAGGTAAAACGCTGTTTTATAAGGAAACGTTAGCTTGCTGAGAGTTAGGAGAGGCTTGGGTACCGTTGTGTAAGACTAGCGGTAAAATCTGACTTATAATTGATCTTTAATTCATTATAAAGCACTAATTTATTCCAAACATTTTATAAGAGACCCTTTAGTGGTTGCACTATGTCAAAGTATAAAAAAACAACAACCGTTTGTCGTTTTTAACCGTAATTTTTCCTGCTGTCTCGCGTTACTTTCTCACCCCATATGTCATACTTTTACCACAGAAATCTATGGTTAATTATATTTAAACTTGCTTTATCTTACTCATTTAATTTAAGAATCAAGGGTCATTATTAACAAAACAACAGGGCAGATTTCCAGACCAGCTTTAATCATTTGCTGGGCTTCTGAACTTTGTCCTGTAAAGCCTCACTAAGTATATCTCCCTCTTGTAAACTACTTATCTCTGCTCACACACTGTCTACATTCACTCCGTGTCTGGCTGCACTGAAATGCAAGTTGTTGTTGTTTCTTTCTTCTTCTTTTTTTTTCTTCTTTTTAACATATAAATAATGCTATTTTTGAAGAGGGTGCCATGGGAGTTTCATTTCTAATTATAGTTCCCAATTAAAGCCATTTGCCTATGAGGTTATTAAAAGAGGCGTCCCAGTAACCTTCAAAGTTTGTGGTTGTAAGAGTAATAAATTACAGCCTCACTCGGAGAGTGTTTGTGATTGACAAACTGCCTCTAAAGTGCTGCAAGTGTACAATATATCTCCCTAATCCATGAGTGGGCATTGCTATTCTCATTGGGCTGTTATTGGTTTAACATTTCATGTCCTGAGGAGGAAAAAAAACACAGAAATAGAGGTTATTTTTGACAATTAAGCAGCTTTGAAATGGTCTCAGACTTATGACTAAATAGGTTTATAAATAGCAATGAAGTCATAGAAATGCCCTTGGATTGTGGAGAATGAGGACTCTCTTTAACTCAGCTAATGAGTCAGCATTTTTGTGTTGCCCGTGAAACAGCGGATGATTTTCATTTTTAATCAATCAACTTTAGGGATGCTGAGTTTTATTGGCATAACATCAGTATCTTTAAAGGATTGCGTAGAAAGTTTATCATTGGTAGTAACAGATATAAATGTTTTGCCGGTATGTAGTCTGTAATGCATTAATTATGTGCGTGCAATGACAGCTTAAACTCAACAACAACAAACTTCAACATGTCTGCTGTATGGATGTATTTAGCAGTGCCTGAACCAAACAGCAGACACGTTAGTGAATGTTTTTAATAGAAAAAGATGGTCAAATCAGAATTTGTTTGTCTTATTTTATGTCTGTTTCCTGAACAGACTCATAATACGAGTAATGGGTAATAATAGTAATGGTTTAATTCACAGGCAGAAACCTCAAGCTGAACCTGAGTCTTTTAAAAAGTCATTTGTGATAGTGATAAGCTTGGGATGTGGGATGGATGGAGATGCAGACTAGAGACCCAACAACAGCAGATACAGCACAGTAATAAAGAGCCAAGGCAACAACCTTAGTGATTAAGTTAAGCTACTTATCACCTGTCCGTCTGAACTCGTTGATTCTGATCGGTCCAAACCAAATAACATTGGTTATTCATTCTGAAGAGTAAAAGCTGTGGTAGGAGCACCCTGGTCACCCATGCCATATCAAATCAATCCATGGAAGGAAGTTTTAGTGCATCTAGTGTAATGTTTAAGAATTTACCTCTTACTGTTGACAATCTGACAAGATCAATCTGGTTGTCTGTTGTAAAACTGTACCATGTAAAGAGGAAACAACAATCTGCTGCAGGTCTCAAGCCAATTTTAGATGGCGTGAGATGCATCTATGCTCTAAAGATGGGATCTCTGATAGTATGAGGTTGCATCGGTGCCCATGGTATACAAACTGATATTCAGGGTTTGGAGTAACATAAGCTGTCACCCAGGCACTGCCTTCTTCAGGGAAGATCTGATACTACAGCAAGAAGATGCCAAACTTCAAGTATAAAACCAGTGTGGCTCTGTAGTGGAAGAGTTGGGGTGCCAAACAGGCTGACCCACAGTCCTTGCTTGTCACCTTTTTGAAAACATTAGATGCATCATGAAATGAAAAATAACTGTTGAGCAGCCAAAATCCTTTATCAGGCTTTCAGAACTCTAAAAACTGGACTCCTTACAGCAATGTTCAAAGATGAAGTGATGCAGCACAACAGTCAGTATACTCCTCCCCCACCTGTTGGCATTCAATTCAAAATGAGCATATTTTTTTTTTAAACAGAGACACTTTCCATATTTGATATGTTGTCTTTGCACTTTTTTTTTTTGTTTACAAAATTTTGACTGTAATTGATTTGCAAACTAATCTTCAAATGGCAGGGTGGCCCAGTGGTGTAGTGGTTAGCACTGTCGCCTCACAGCAAGAAGGTCCTGAGTCCAAATCCAGCTTAGGGTGTTTCTGTGTGGAGTTTGCGTGTTCTCCTTGTGTCTGCGTGGGTTTATTCCGGGTACTCTGGTTTCCTCCCACATCCCAAAAACATTCAGAAGTGGGGTTAGGTTAATTGGTCACTTTCAAATCGCTCATAAGTGTGAATATGAGCGTGGCTGGTTGTTTGTCTCTGTTTGTCAGCCCTGCGATGAACTGGCGATTTGTCCAGGGTGTCCCCTGCCTTCGCCCGAAGATGCTGGGATAGGCTCTAGCCCCCCCACGACCCCAGGAACTGGAATAAGCGGTAGAAAATGGAGGGATGGATGGATATTCAAATCGCATCCCAGCTCTTACAAAACTGGGGCTGTGTATTCCCCCCTCGTTTCTTGGGAACAACCTGAGCACACAACAGATTGCACTCTCACCTCTCCTCTTTCTGACTGAGACAGTTATTTGTTATCAAATAGTGATCTCAGCCTCTTGGATTGTGACAATAGCTCTTAAAATGCGCGATATTCCTCTTTTATCCACTTCAGAGGAGTTGACAAGAAGTTCTTGCTGAAGACACAAGCTTTGGCATTCAGCCCACTCACTCATACAGTATGCATGTTTTTCACATCAAAGCATATTAGCATGACTATCTTTTTCACCCATAAGTCACGCACATCTCCATGTGTCTTTTAAGTTTGTCTTCCCAGCATCGATAACTTCTCTGTCTTATGTGGTTGCTTTGAGCCTTTGTTAAACTTTCTTTTTTATCTGATTTCTGTGTAGGAGGTTTTCAGAGAGCAGCGACAAAGGCTGGTTCCGTTCCTTATTTGTGCACAAAGTGGATGCCAGGAAAGATGCCCACTCCAACCTGCTGTCGAAGAGAGAGACCAGCAACCTCTACAAAATCCAATGTAAGAAGACAACCTTTTACTTGTTTTCCCGTAAAGGGACTCCAGAGGGCAACATGCAAGTGAATGTGATGCAATTTCATAATGTTTTAATGAAATGGGTTCTGGTTTGAGTCTCAGCAGCCAATTTGTTTGAGGAGAAAACCGCTAAATGAATCACGTTGATCAAATTTAATCCACGCTGGCCTCAGTGACCTCTAGAGAAAAGGAGGGTAACATGAGAGAAAGCATTGTTCCAGGTTGTTTGTGCATCATACAGTCCAAACAAGGCATCCTACATTTTGATGTGGAGTTTGATGTGCTAAGCCTGTAAAGTTTTATAAGTGACATCAATATAATCTGTCTGGTTTTCTCTTTGTGATAACTTTTTCGTGTCTGTCTCTTGAAGAGAAATCTATCATCCACACCGAGCTTTGATCTTTTTCTTTTTGTGCCGTACATCTCACCATGTGGGGATTTCAATTTGAACACTCTATCAGCCGTAGCCTACAACCCATTGAAAGCAAATTTGTTTTTTGTGTATAGAAGTCTTTGTTGAATCGGAGTGTGAAATTACTTTGTTGAAGAATTTGATTGTTGCTTGTATTTTAAAGAAACACCCATTTCTCATAGGCCTGGATCTTTTTTTTTTTTTTTTTCCCCAGTTCACAATGTCAAACCAGAGTGCCTGGAAGCCTACAACAGTTTAGAGTGAGTGTATGAAGTGATTTCTCCTTGTGTGTTTGATTAGGTTTCTGTCATAACATACTCTTTAGAAAAACTTTAATTTATATCAATATTTCCAACTTAGCAACTTGGATGACTAATGTTTTTTAAAAAAAAAGCAGGGTACAACTTCAGACTCCCAGGATCATAAGATTAATATAGCTTTAAATCAAAGTCACAGGATTAATGTCTTCAGAGTGTATCAACACCCTTAGATAATTGTGGACTCGATTCTCTCAAAGTGCCCTCTTGGTAGTCATTGTTGTGAAGTGACGCTGCTATATATTGAGAATATGTGAGGATTGTTTTTGTTGTTGTTGTTGTTGTTGCTGTTGGTGTATGTAGAGCTGAAGTGCAAAACCGGCTCCATCAGGACCAGGACTACCCTTGCGAAGTGGTTGGAAGCTGGAACACCTGGTATGGAGAGCAGGACCAAGCAGGTAAGCAGCAGTGTGTCAGTAAACAGAAAACATGATGAGAAATGTTCTCTGTAAGCACAGATAGGTGAGTTCATTTTTCTGTCTCAAGGCTGCATGAACAGCAGAGCTTAATTTGAATGGCTGCCATGTGGCTGCAAAATGTTTGGCAGAGCATCACAGAAAAATGTACAGACGCTATTGGATGACTCATCGGCAACACTTCTCTTTTTATAACTGATCCTTTACAGTGTTATTGTACACATAATGAGTGCTCAGTGAGAGCAAAAGGTGGTAAGATGTCATGCAGGTACTGTATCTGTTGGATGTGTGGGTGGCATGAGTTCTTATATGGAGCTACAGTGACATCTGCTGGTGTGTTTTTGCAGTGCATCTGTGGCGGTACAGAGGAGGTTACCCGGCTTTGACTGAATGCCTGCAGAAGCTGAACACTAACAAGGTCAGCAGTGATCAGTTTTATCATTTCTATCCATAAATCTGGTACAGAGGAGGGAGATTTGAGCAAAAGCACAAGACAAAACTACAATTTTAGGTGCAACATATATTAACTATCCAGAGTTCTAGTTTAACTTTGTGGTTATAACTCACTATTTCGATCAGGTTTGTGAATTTCCCTCCTCTCTCTTTAGGAGTATTTGGAGTTTCGAAAAGAGAGGGCAAAAATGTTGATCTCAAGGCGAAATCAGCTCCTCCTGGAGTTCAGTTTCTGGAATGAACCCCTGCCAAGACCAGGACCCAACATCTATGAAATGCGTACCTATAACCTCAAGGTATTCACATAACACACACAGCTGTAACAAAATCTCACATTTGTTTAAAGATTACTCAAAAGATTACATGTTAGTTCCTAGTGACTGCGTATGAGTGATCAATCAGAGCCGATCTTTCAGTTTGCTCTTCCTTTTTTAAATTGAATCTAAATTTACATGAAAACATCAAAGTTTAATTCAAAACCTCGACTGTGCTGAGTGAGTACAGATTCACAGATTAGATATCTTACAGAGTCTATAAGAAGCAAAGTGTCTTCTAAGAAAATCAGCTGAGAGAACTCTTGTGTAAGCGACAAAGACTTGCGGGAAGATCTGACGATGATGACGCAGACTTTCGGAGAAACATGGCCCATGTTAGGGCGACGTGGCACACTTTATTCTCAGCAAGAGGCCCAAAAGAAGTCATGTTGAGGGGGCGCTCTGAAATCTACCCTTGTGTGACAAAAGACTCTTTGGTATACAAGGCTGATTTTAAAGAGCAGGAAGGATGTGATGCCCTCAGCGTGTAAATTACATTTCTTGGAATTTATTTCCACAGAAAATTTTGGGTCGAGTTAAAAGAAAGCTGTGACAGCACAAAAACCAATTTGCTAAGCTGTGCTGGAAGCTTTTGCCCTTGAGGAGTGGGTTAAGAGAAGGATGTTGTTAGAGGCTACTGGACTTGTTTACTGGAAGCCATAAAAGTGAAAGGATGACAAACATAAAAAATAATGAGAATGAAGGAAAAACGGCCTAGTGGGCTTTTTGGAATAAAATTTTACACATCTGTTTTTACTGGTACAAGGTAGATGATAAATATCACATTTTCTTTGACTGTTTACTACAACCAGAGTGGATAACCATTCATTGAATTATCACTGTGTTCAGCTCAAGTCACCTGTGTTAAAGCATCAAAACATCACTTTGTAATTCTTTCGATCAGCATTTAGACTTAAAGAGCGAAGCAAATTTCTTATCTTTCATCACCAGCCAGGAATTTTTTAGCCCTCAGCTCAGCTACTAATGGAATGTATTTTGTTTCTCTGTGGCTTAAGAGTATTTTACTAACCCTCATATATATGGACGACAGTGGGTTGTCCACCACAGGATCTGAAAAGTGGCTGAAAACATGCCTGTAATGGTCTGTGTAAAGCCAACTCTGAAGTTCCTTCGGTTTTCTTGGCATGTTTAAATAAACAAGCTATGAATGTGCTGTTGAACTGGTTTGTCTGCAGCATTTTTGGCTGAACAGGCTGCATGTACACAAGGAGAAGAAGTGACCTGTGTGGAGGATTGCTGCTGCAGTTTAAACTGTTTAATTAAAGTTATAAAACTGAGTTAATGCTCTACCTGCTTTTGTGGTTTTTCAGCCAGGAACTATGATCGAATGGGGAAACCACTGGTAAGGATTAACACTTCTTAAATCGAGTCACTTCCTTCCCCTAGTTTGAACATAAATGATTTTCTCATGTGATCAATATAAGATGAAAATAAAATGTCCAACAACAGGGCGAGGGCTATCAAGTACAGACAGGAGAACAATGAAGCAGTGGGCGGCTTCTTCTCACAGATCGGTGATCTCTATGCTGTTCATCATCTGTGGGGTGAGTATGTTACAATAACTTGATGTTCATCGCTTATTATACACATCAGACTGATATTGTTTTGGTGTTTGAGAAGTCTGAAAGGACAAACTTGGGTATCTGTTCAGAGGATACCTGTCTGAGATTATCTCTGACTCTGTCAAAGTTGGTGCTGCATGTTTGTTAGAAATTGTTTTGAGGTTATGTATTGTTAATTTTTTTTTTTTTTTTTTTTTTTTTTTTTTTTGGGGGGGGGGGGATTTTCATGATTAGTTTATATATAGATTGACCAATTTTGTTTTTTCAGGGCTGATAAGGATATTGAATATGAGTTGGTAATGAGACCAATAGCCAAAATTTTGAACCAATATGTATACACTGTAAAAATAAGAAACTTTCTAACAAAGTTTAAATCTTTGAATATTAAAACCCCAAACAAAACTGATGCCTGTGATAAATGTTGAACCAAACCTAAAACATTTCACATTATCCACAGCAGTTAACAGTTACAAGTACAGTTAGGCCACCTAGCCATGTGACATCTGGCCAATCAGATAGAGTTTTTGGGCCGGACATAAGAGGAGACAAAGTGATACAGAAAAAAAAAAAGAAAACAGACCCAGAGGAGGAGACACACCAGCAGCAGAGCCGAAGTAGAACACTGATTCAACTTTGTTGGCCATCAGTTCATTGAAAGGCTGATACAGTTATCAGAAGATGCCAAATATCAGCCCTGATGATGAGGCAAGGTCAGAAAAAATGAAAGTTTTTAATGAATGACAGATTCACTTATTTAAAAAGAACAGTTTTTAATTTGTGAAATTCAACTAAAGTGGCTTTGGATTAACTTGACTCACTTTGTCTAAGAATTAACAACCTTAATGGAAAAAAGGTTTAGAAATAGTACACCATGAAGCTTGTTGTTAATGTTTGACTCATGGTTTGGCAATAAGTTAGGAAAGGGATTTTCTGTTCCATCAGTTTGAAACATGGATATCATCACATCCTGTTGAAATGCCACAATTACTCCCTGCTTTAATGACCAGATCAAAAAAAGTTAAACTGTCATATAGTTATTTGAAAAGCTTTCATTAAGCAACCATTTATCAACATTCAGACATGTGAAAGCATCCAAGTCAGATGGATCATTTTAATTGAGTGGCTGTGCCTGGTTTGATGAGCTATGATTAAAAAAAAAAATCTGTTTTTCTAAAAATATGTGTTGAATGTTGGTAAAATTAACAGTATTTACTTTAAAGCAGTGAAAAATCATTTACAGGAAATGCAATAACTCATATATTTGTTTGTTTTTGTATGCAGCCTATGAAAGCCTTCAGTCCCGGGAAGAGACGAGGAACTCAGCCTGGATGAAGCAGGGCTGGGATGCAAATGTTTATTATACAGGTCAGTGAGATCTTAACCAGGCAAATACGATCCCAAGACAACTACTTCTTAATGATGTTTGACATTACAAGGACAGTAAATCACAATAAATTAAACCTTTTAAAAGATGATGTTTCAGTATGTTCTAGCTGAGTAAATGTCATGAATAACCTTAAACTTGGTCTGCCATATAAATATAGAAAAAGATGGCCGGATTATTATCAAACATAGGCTGGAATACACAGCCAAAAAATGACTCAAATAGATAATTAAGTTTACCAGATTGCAACAGATGAGCTCAGTAAAGGTTCCCCATCAGGCCCTGTGAGGAAGAGAGCCCAAGGGTGGATGCTAAGAAAAGAGAGGTGCACCCACAGACAAAATATAATGAGATTAGCGGTTTAGAAGCAGCAGAAAGTGAGCAGGTGAGCTGATAGTATGAGAGGTGTAAGCAGATCTAAGTGAGCCAAGATTTAGATTATTTTACAGATGCACAGTGTAAGTTAGTAAACTCTTCTTTTGCTCTGACTGTATGTTATTGTTGATTTTAAATGTGTACCAAAGCACCATAAACATATCATACTTCATTGCAACCATTGTTCAGTGTTCCCAAATCTTCTTGCCAATACAAGGCTTGTATTAGTGTGGTTATTAGAGTGATTAAACATGTGTTATCATGTAAGGGTCAAGCTTTACTGACTGGTGATTTGTTGATAGCAGAGTCATCCACACCATGTTTGTTCTGTATTGTATGAGCTTATCAAGACATGCTTATATCTAGAAAGATTTTTCAGCATGTTGAATAGTTTCTTTATTGTTTTGGGTTTAAAATCACTGAACATGTCTCTCTTTCTCTCTTTAGTGCCTTTGATAAGAAGCATGGAGTCTAGAATAATGATTCCAACCAAGAGTTCACCTTTACAATAAGACATCATTTGATAGGTGTCTGCCACCTCTGGACTGAAATGAATTTCCCATCTGCCTAAGCAGCATCTATGTGTTTTTTAACCTGCTTGATAATCAAAGTTTTGTTCATGCATGTAAGCATAAACATTTCTAATTCTGCAGAATACAGTCAGTCTTAGAAAGACAGAAAGCAGTGTTTGTGTGCATGTATTAGTGAGAATCTTAAAACCTGTTTCAAACTGCAATGGTCAAATGTGAAAGAAAGTAAAATGTTAGACCCAAATTATATGTATTACTTTAATAGACAGGTGTGGGATGTTTGCTTTTCTCTGCTTTTATCATTAATGAGGGTAATGAACCATGTATTAGTATTTCACAATGAAAGAGTCGTCTCCACCCTGGCTTTTATGCTTACACTTTTATGACTGCATCATGAATCACTGAATGTGTCAGTCTCAGCTTCACAGCTTAGACCATTGAAATCTGTGTTTGATAAAATAAGACTACCTCATTTAATGAATACATATCAAATTAATTCTAAGATTGTAATTAAAGCCAACCAGCAGGAGACATGCTGGCATGGAATGGTCCGTATTTTCAAAATAAATGTTGACACACCTCTAGTACTGTGGACATTATTTTCATAAGGTGTTGTGAATTAAAATGATGTCAAAAGAAGTAAGGTTCTTGTCTAGTTTTCTGAAATATAACTAAACTATAACAATAACTTGCTTAGACTCTATGGTGTAGGAGTTAGTCTTTTGACTTTTCTCTCACAACTCAACGCAACTTAGCATTTTTAGGGCATCTTTCATATATAAAAGCTTGCAGTCCTCACAACAATAGGAATATTAGAGGAGAAAAGAACAGTGAATGACTATAACAAAGCAGGCAATACAAGGAGTATAAAATAATAGATACTAGTAGATGTTGAGTAGGACACAGTAAACACTAAAAATAAAACCAGACTAAACCAGTCAAAGTGTGGTCACATTGTCGACACCTTTAATTTTTAAATAGCAACTTCAGCCTGCATGCGCGAGACGTCAACGTCATAAACTTGCAGCTTTAAGAAAAGGGGGCGTGTCCTTCATGGGGCTGTCCCTGTTATTTGAATATACAGTAGTTAAGCAAGGCTGGAGTCGGATTGCGTCGGATGTTTTTCGACTTGTGTGACGAGCACAGCGGGACGTGGTGGCTGTATTCGTGGGTAATGAGCATTTTTCAGGCCTGTACTTAACGTTTGAATGAAACCTCTTTGCTAGAGAGGCGCTTTCACCGCCGCATGCTCACAGAGAGGAGACCGCACAGCTCGCTGCCGACAATATGGACCTGCACATATTGGACCACAGACTGCGAGTCATCAGCATATCCAAGAATGGGCTGGTGAATTTCACACACCCCCTGATTAAACTGATATTCCTCCGGAACAGAACACGGTAAGAGGGCTCATCGATCGAGGTCAGATGTTTGTGTCCCGGTGTGAATCAGCCTGATAATCCAGTACGGATAAATGTGATAACCTCCAGCGCCTCTTCATTCACTGGGTGGCCGAGCTATTATTTGGGTGTTTGCCTGTGCATGTCCTGCTCTGCCTTCATTAATGACACACTGCCGTGCATGTAACTGATGATCATTTATGTAGTTTCTCATTGATACGGAGCGTCTGCACAACATCACATCACATTAGCTGGTATTCTTTTCTCACTATGTGACTGCATCTGTTTCCCATGTCACAGTTGAACAAAAAACCTTGCAGCAGTTTTGCAAACACAGCATTCCCATGTGTTACTGTGCGTTTATTATGTAACCCTGTTGAATGTATGCATGAGTGCATTAAATGCATACTGATGCACGCAAGCATTGAATGCATGCTGTTTCTTGCAGACATAAGTACTCTCTTCAAACATACATAAATCAGCATGCATGTCTCTGTTTTAGTTGGACCTTATTTCTCGACCCCTGACCTCCTTTTCTTAAAACCACCATGCACTTTGCAAGTTGCCAGGCCATCTTGTAGGCATCAGTGCCACTTCTCAGTTAATCTCTGGATATCCTCCCATTGTTATGTAATTGTTTATTTCACTCGCTGGCCCATATATAGCAGGCAACAAGAGCTCAACATCTGTCTCCGAGCTGCTATTGATACAAGCCTGGCAGTGGCTCTGCTGCTCCTCTCATGTTAAGTAACATCAGGGTAGATTTTCCTGCTCTGCTGGCCTTTGTTTTCTTTGACATCTAGATGGCACGCTGTTTGACCATCATAAGAGTCCTATGTCTATCAGTGTGCCTTCGCCTCTTTCATAATCTGTTTGCAAGGCACTGACAGAGCCCATATGTCCTGTACGCTGACACAGTTCATGAAAATTTTAAAGCCTAAACATGTCTCTGTGAAAACTTTGCATCTGTCCATGCTGAGCTGCACCCATAAGCAGTAATTTATCTCTGAGTTGCGGCTGACACAGTTGGTTTTGGCATGTCCATACCAGAAAAAACGCGTCACCATGACTTGCAACACCTTATAAAATATCTCAGGGAGTAAACAAGCAGTCATTGTGAATAATATGCAAATTTTCTGCAGTTGCTTCAGTATTTCTTTTGCACACCAACAGGCTTTCGAGGCTTTCAGTCTTTGGGAAAATGAAAAAACAGTCTTGTCTGGAGCCATAATGAGCCATAAAAAGCATGCAAGCCGCACTTCCTTGGATTAGCAGGCCTGTCTTTTTCAGTGTTTTGTTGTGCATGCTTTCGAGTTATGTCATCAGACTGTGGCATGGATGTGTTTTTTGCCCCGTTTTTCCTGTTCCTTTTCTGTCACAGAGGTTGTTTTTATTTTATTTTTCCCCTCTGGTGAAACTACAGACAATGCAGAACGGGGAGTGGTGAAGAAACTGAAGTTCATAGCAACTCAAAACAATCATAGAGGAAAAACAAACTTGATTGCTTCGCTTACTTTTATACATCTCCCTCTCTCAGGCCCCTGCTATTCATCAGAGGAACACTTCCCAAGAATGCGCTCAAAGCAATTTGAAAGCGGTCCTGAGCAGAATTTTAAAGAGGTTATCACTTTCAGTAGCCTGGCTTCTCCCAAAATGTAAGAGAGGAGGTTTGTCTCCAATAAATAAAGCTCTGGCATTGAGACGCTTTGGATGGAGGGGAAAAATGTTCAGAGGGCTGACTGGAAAAACAACAACCCCAAATCCAGAAGAGCTGGGACGATGAGTGAAATGTTCAGAGAAACAGATTTTGATGGTTTGTAAATTTAACACAGTTTGATTGAAAATGGTGCAAACACAACTGATCAACTGCTGAAACGGACTTTTCCTCTTTTAACAACACTGTGGATGTTTGGGAACCAATGCGGCCAGTTTCTGGAGTCTTGGCTGTGAAATGTTGTCACACTTTTGCCTGATATAGGAATTTAGCTACTTAACATTTTGGAGTCTCCTTTGTCCAGTTTTTTGTGGCATGTTGTGCTGACTATTGGGTGACAAGCATCTGCACTCTTCGACTACAGAGCCACAGGCCTGGAAAGTCAATACCATGTCTGGATCATGTTGATGGTGTTTATGGTTTATTCTTTACATTTTACACTTTTAACCTCCATTTGTGAAAACAGAGACATACTGAGCTCAGAGAGTGGTTTTTGGATTGTGATTTTGAGCCCATGTGGTGATTTCCACCACAAAGTCATGTCTTTTTTTTTTTCTGCACATCCCCTCTGCTGTATCAGTTATTGGCATTGTCCTTTTCCTGAAAAGATTTTCCAGATTCTCTGAATCCTTTTTACTGTTTTGTTGGCCCTCTCTCAGCTCCTTTCAAACATGCTGCTGGCATCAACTTTAAAATGAGCAAACATTTTCCACACACACAGAAAAAAACACCCTTTTTGAGTTTACACTCTGATATGTTGTCTTGAACTATTTTCCATTAAATATATGGTTGAAATTAATTGCAAACAATCAAAATCTGTTGCACATTAATGCGTATTTAGCACAGCATCCCAACTGTTGAATTTACTGAATCTACAGTCTGACATTTTGCAGTCCTGTGTAGTCCTGTCTAATCCTGCATTGTTGTCAGTTTTTGTTTGGAGTTTATGGGTGTGGTAACAATCAAAGCCCAGTATCAGCCTAATATATCAACGCTACTGTACTGTGTGTGGATGCAGCTCTGCAGGCTCCACACAGCCCTCCTTTCTTCTCTTCTACAGGCTCACTAAGCAAGAGCATGGGCTTAGACAATGCCTCAGCTGAGCCAGAAACTCAGTGGGGAGTTTTCCATTTGTCTGCCTCTGTGATCCGTCAAGGTTGGGGCTCTCGCTATCCTGGTTTACACAAGGCAGCCCCTCCACCCCCTCTAATAACAAGCAAGGATTTCTAGGAAAAAAAAAAAGGTTCCCCATTGTTCCTAAAAAAGAAGAGCCGTGAGAACACCAACGATCTGTTTTTAGGAAGCTGTGAAAGTAGCAGACAGCTGGGATGATGTGGCTGAGATGGCTCAAGGCTAACACTTCAAACTTTCAGCAACATCAGTTTGCTCCGCTCTTATCATGCTTCCTCAGCTTGAGCATCAGTTGAAGAAGCCCCATCGCCACCAGCTCTCACCACAGCAGCCTTCACAGCTTTGTGAGGCTCGATCAAAGTCACAAATCTTGTGTGGTTGGTTTTCATGTCTCGTACTCTGCTGCTTCCTCAGTACCTGTTGCTTCCTTGTAGTGCTGGGCGATTGGACGATATATATCGTTGGCACGATAGAAAATGTCTATCGTGCCATTTTTATTCTTATCGTTTCGGGCGATAGGTTGTATTTAATCCATAGAGCTTGTGCCATCAGATGATTCATAGTAACAACAACAATAATTGCACATTCAGTAAGTGTATTTGGTGTCGAACGGGAAAGAAAATATTTTCTTACAAGGAAAAGGATGCGTTGACATGTAGGCTTGCATTTCTCTTTCGATTTTGCGACATGACGCCGCTTTACGTGCCCTCTTTATGTCCAGCGCCTCCCGCCGTTGCGGGTTACCTGGGTTACACACGTGAGGGGATCATTGTAAGCAGTGCTTAATTTGTGCCGGAGCAAGTCGGAGCGCGATCCGGGACCTCTTTTGATCGGATCTGGGACCTATTTCAGCCGCTCCGGCACCTGTTTCATCTGCTCCGGGACCTTCCCTGTGGAGGATGACTTTTTTCGGGAATTCCCGTGGGTCACGTGATTCCCGCGGGATGGGAGTCATTTTTTTTATTAATCTCTTGATCGGGACGGGACGGGAAAAAAAGCAACGGGAGTGGGCAGGAGCGGGAACAACATGAAAAGATGATCTTTTTCAGCCGTGTTTAACAACCAGATGAACAGGTGCGTCCATTTTTGTAGTCATCTCTCAGTGAGAGTAAACACTCTTGACCGCGCTAGCAACACAAAAGAACTACAACAGCGGTTTGACTTCCTGTCAGCTGGGAGCGCGGCTGCGCATTTGTACCCTTCAAGCCAGCAGCGAGGAAACGTAATTTTGTGACATTCTGTAGTTTTTCAATCATTTCTGGAGTCGTGGCGAATCAAATCACCTTACCTGTCTGCCCCTGATAGGCGAATAAAGCGCTCGGATTCATGCTCGGGTCTTGCTACGTGCTTAAAGAGTAAAGTAAACAATGATGGAGGCAGAGAGCAGCTTTGGAGGAGAAACATCTAGCAGTGTGAACAACCTCTTCAAAAGAGCCCTAAAGACCTACCTTTTTAATAAAGCCTTTGGTTAGTTTTCCTCTATGCTTTATGCTTTTACTACCTTGCCTCTTACATTGCAACTCTATATATTTTATTTTTTTTAAATTCTTTTTTATGCTAATCTGTGACTGTCATTCTATTGCTTTTTTTTATTGTTGCTGCTCTTTTTTTACTGTGTACTGTAGCACTTTGAGATTTTTTTGTAAATGTAAAGTGCATTACAAATTAAATTTATTATTATTATTATTATTATTATGGAGTGCTTCGGCTCACACTATCAGCGTTTTCTGTAAGTGTTACATAACTTTGGGTGAGCACAGACATGAACGCACTTCAGCCACGTATTTGTTTATTCATTTTTCTAGTTTTAAGTGCTGGTCTTGTACTGGTACTGTACTAGTGCAGCTGTATACACTTAAATTTTTCATAGAACTGAAAGCATACCATAGCTATATCGTGATATATATCGTTATCGTGATATAAAATGATCCATATCGTGATATACATTTTTTTCCATATCGCCCAGCACTACTTCCTTGTCTCTTTTGGTTGTTACCCCCCCACCCCCTCTTGTCCTTCTCAAGTACCTTCATGCCTCAGCACAAGGGGCTTGTTTTTTGAACTCATTACCAGCAGTGTTCACACACAGGCTGTGTGGGCACTGTTACAGAGCACTGTATAAACATGTTTGATCTCTAGATTAATCATTGCGACACAAGTTTCCCACAGCCCCAAAGTAGCTAGCAGACCACTGTTTGAGAAGAAATGCCTGAACTGCAAGGAGTAGAAGCAAAAGTTTGAATCAAAGAAGCTGAAATTTACAAATTTTTTAACTTTAAAATACTTGTGTTCAGTAAAGCTAAAGACCTCCTACATTTGAGTTTCTTTTTACAGCCGAGGATGCCTTTGCAGTTCAAGAGATGCGTTCCCCAAAGGTGGTACAGGGGTATGTTGCCATATGTCTCCCCAGAAGTGTTCGGTAGATGGTTCAGCTGCTTTGAGACTCCCTCTCCCCTACGCTGAATGACTCAAGCAATCAGGGGAGACCGAGTCTGGGAACTTCTGTTACTCTCCAAAATCAACAATCTGGCATTCACACCCACACCTCTCCAGTCGATTGGCCAAGTCTGCAGAGGGGAGACAGGGGTGTTGAACTTGTCTCCACAAAACCATTCCACCCAAAACTTGACCGATTCAGTGTTTTCTGCCTCTATCTATAGGAAGACTGGCTTTTTATCACGTCTTTTTTCATCAACTTAATCATTTGAGTCCCAACAGTGTAAAACAGCGTGTCAGATATATTTGCTTTGTTCAAACACAATACAGCCCATTCAGAGAGAGCCTTCAGAGGGCTTTCTTTGTCTGCTTGTTGTTTATTTTTACTTTTATACTTGGATGTTTGGTAAAGGAAACTAACAGATCCGAAAGCTGCATTGTCAGGGGAGTGTAAGGTTTGGTTTGATTGCATAAGAGATCCAGGCCCTTGCTAGTCTGTAGCTGATCTACCATTGGGTTAGCAGGGTGACAAAACAGACAGAATTAATTATACATTTACTGTTGTTGACCTGAAATGCCAGACGTCAATTACATCAAAGCTGTAGAGCAGCTATTTACCACTAGCTAGGACAGTAGCTCAATTATTGCTATAATTCTGATACCATCAACTGCTGAATGTAAACAGGATGACAGATGGCAATTCTTAGAGCATCAGGATTTGGCTGTATTTTAAGTCTGGAAAGGTTGGCATGTGGATGTTAACCTCTAAGGAAGAGTAAAGGATGGAGGTGCTAGCTCTGCTAGGGTAAGCCACACTGCAGACCAGTAGAGCATTGTTTCCTAGCTGACTCTGCAACCCTCTGTTAAGCCGTTTGTGCTAACTGAGTTTTTTGCATAAACAAATATTTAAATTTTTTGTTTAAACAACAAGTAAATGAGTCGCTGAAGAATATCCTTGCAGGTTGTAAGAACAAGAGCCCTGTCATTGTCCTTGCCACATGCAATAATGCTTTACACTATGCCTCATTTTGCAGGTTGATTTTTGGCACGAACCACCCAAGGGAAAGTGCTAGCTGACAAAGGTGAAGGGTCAACAGGAAATGAGCGAGATATTAAAACACAATGGGCCAGCTGAGTTTGCCAGCACAGCTGATATTTAGTGTTACAGTGCTCGGCCTCCGTGTCTCTCTTTGTCTCTGTGGTGTGATTGTCTCATCTCATGACAGGGATTACTTCTTGCTGAGTCAGGAGTTTTTTTGGCAGTCTCACTCAGGCCTCTACTGTAGCGACCTAATCTGAAAGATAAGCAGAGGAAGAGGAAGGTATATCTCCAGAGGGACGTTTTTAAGAAAACAGGAATACGTGGTTCCTCCTTTTTTAAGAGAATCTGTGATAACAAAGAGGGGTCATCCGAGTGGAAACTGCTCATTTCATCTCTCAGTGGAAAATTTAAAAGTCCTACAAGCTTATGAAGGGAAAATACTTTATTTTCGCTGCCTTGAGCTGTACTGGGGTCAGTGTTTTCAATATCAATTTGTTATTTGACTGAGAATCACATTGTAAACAAGAGCTACTCTTAACATGAATTCTTTGTCTGTCTTCTGTTTCCTGGCATCCCAGTTTGGGATGAAAGTTAACAGTATTTGGACTCAAGGAACTCCAGATCCCCCAAGGAAACTTCCCTCATTGAACCCTGTTCTATTTCAGTGTAGAAGTAAACAAACTTGACACTAGTTTAAAATGGTAAATGGGCTTTTACTTTTCTAATCCACTCAAAGCATTTTACACAACATGTCACACTCACCCATTTACACTACAGTCAAACACAGATGGCAGAGGCTGCTATAGTAGGGAACTATTGATATTAAACGATTGATTGCATGCTGATTATATCCATCCATAGATAACTTCAACTCTTCAAGTCTGTGATCCACCTTACCATGTAAGAGCAGGGTTTGGATCTTTCGTCATCCTCGTTTTGCAACTTGAACGCTACAGATGCAGACCATAGACTGTATATACTATGGACAACTTGACTCTGTCTTCCTTAATTTCCGAATTTGAAGCCAAATAGCTCTCAGTGTTTCCGGGATTTTCTCCACTTCCTGGAACCACCACTTGTGCAGTAGCGTTGTACTCATTCGGCGAGAGAGTCGCTGTGATGACGCTCGGTTCAAACAGCATATCCCCCGAGTGACCTATGCAATCTTCGTACACCCATAGGCTGTATCAAGTGTCAATCATAGAAAACATGAACCCCTTAATAACTTTTAAAAATGGAGCTGCACATAAAAAAGAGGACCTGAGCACAAACCAGTCTTACAGTAACTACATGTCAACATCACAACCAGGGGAGAGAAAATTTTACATTTTGTGTAATTTCTAAAGTTCGTCCACAGCTCCATAAGGATGGCTGGAGGAGGTGGGATTTATGACCTACACTGCAGCCCATCACCAGAGGGTGCTGTTCGCAGGGTGGCTTTACCCAGCGAGGAGGTCCATTCTGTATACAGTCTATGTGCTGACAGAAATTCAGTCTCCATTTAGTAATTTGGCTCCACATTATTGGCTCTCTCAATCTTAATTGGTATCATCTTTCCAAATTTACACCCACGTTGAAAATTAATGGAGGAAAAAAAAAACCCAGATAATTGGTGGTTTACAGATTAACTGATGTGTGTCCAGATCACATCTGAGCCGCAGCTGCATAAAATCTTTCCTAGAAAGTGAAAATGCCTCCACATCTTGAAGTCTTCAGGAGTTTATTAAAAGCCCCAAGTTTGGACTGACCAGTGGGGTCAGACCACAGGTTTTCTCATGTCAAGAATCCATTAACGTCAAAGGGAACAAGAGGCCATGGAACAAATCCACCCCTGAGTTACACAGTAATCACTTCTCCTGGCCTATAGCTCACCACATGGTCTAATTTTACCCCTGTTGTCTTGTTTTTGCTGTCAGACTTGACAGAAACATTTCTTTGGAGGAGTTTCTCCTCTCTGGAAACTTGATTTAAAGTTTAACCATCCCCAAAGCTAATGCAGTCCTCTGTGTTTCACCCAGTGTCAACCCAAACTATACCCAAGGGGCCAGTTTCCCCTTGTTTTCATAAAGGCAACATTCAGTAGAACTGAACACAGCAGCCAGACCAACAACTTTTTTTGGCCCCAAGCCTGATAAAGATGCAATCATGAGAATGGGAAGTGAAAGTGGAGGAAATTAAAGATTTGTTTGCGGTTAGCCTAGTAGACAGTCAGCTTCTTTTCTCCCCCCTTTTTTTCTGTAAATTTTTAACCCCATCAGGCTGTTTCACTCCAGAAAACGTCAGTCTTTTAAATATTTAACAAAAGAGACTCATAGTGAGAACAAGCTAGCACAAGTTGCATCAGGTATTTTGCAGAGAAGTTTGACCTAAAGGCTTAAAAGCAGCCTTATACAAAGTTTTAGACTTTTTCATACAATCATGTGAGTTAAAATATTTGTATGATATCACAGAGAGCTTCAGTTTGGAGTCTTTCCCTGAATGCAGCAGTTGTTAACTGAAGCTGCGCCCCAGTTTGGTGCGTTACCCACCACTAGCCGTGGACAAAGGAACGATGCTGGCATAATACTGAGCTTGTGCTGGTGCTAATTGAGTGACAGCCGGCCCCGGACCCAGAGTACATTTAGTAGAAATCCATTTATAAGATTCCTGGTAGCTGTTTTAATGGAAGTCTGAGCCCCTCTTTGTTGTTTTCAGATAAATAACATCATTCTTTTTCTCTCTTTCTCCTTCATCCCTCCTCTTCATTCTTGCTCTCAAACCATATGCCTCTTCCCATCTGTACTTCCATTTTCAGATGCAAGTTCTTGAGTCTGACGGAGACTCCAGAGAACTACACAGTTGTCCTTGACGAGGAAGGATTCAAAGGTAAACACACAGATTTTCATCACTTTTGTGGGTGTCTCCCCACACCCTGACCACTCCAGTCTCACTCTTCACTTATGTTTGGTCACTATAGACTATTTATGTATTACACTATATACAAAAAAATGAAAGTGCCACAGATGAATATTTTGTATGAACAGACGACATGCACTAATGAACAAATTAAGTAAGCTTCAGCCATTTTTTTAAGTGTGTAAACCTTAAGGGGAACTCCACACTTCATACAGCATAAGATCACTTTTAAAGAGTGAATTGAAAATGCTATTAAAGCTTCTGTGAGGAGTTTTCAAGTGACAATGAAATAGACTGAAATGAACAGTTATAGAGCAGAGGGGAGCATACAGCAAAGGGCTGCAGTCCAGAGTCAAACAGGTGAGAGCTACGACAAGGAGAATACCCTCTATACATGGGATACACGCTCAAACTGCAAGGCCAACAGGGTGCCATTATGAGTTTTGTTACCTTTACCACTGCTTCCCGCTGGACTCTTGGTCACCTGATCGCAGATACAGCCTGTGATTGGTTGAAAGACTGAAAGAAAGTTGGCAGCCTCTGTGTAGCACTGTCTGTCAACAAGAGAAATAACACAATTTTACTCAGATTGATCCATAAATCATCAGAGATGACCTTTGACCTTGAAGGATTGAATTACTGCTGTCTCTTGAATCACACAGATCTTCTCTTTGGGATCAAAAAGCCTCTAGATGTGTCTGACTTTATCACTGGAAGGCTGCCGGTCTCACTAAGTGAGTGGATTTCAAAGTTAGTCAGTACCTCATCCGGCTCTCTCTTTAGAGCTGTGAAGACAACAGTATTAAATTTAAAATGACACAGGTTTAGACTGCTCCTGTCTGCTGTCCAGGATATTTACTTCCTCAGTTGCGATTCACAGTATCCCTCATTGTTTCGAAAGGCACACAGAACCAGCAGAAGGCATCTAGAAGCAAGAAGTCAAGGATGTTGATGGTTCGAAGTAGTCGGATTGAAAAAAAAAAACATTGCCCTTTTGTCTGTAAGATGCTCTTTTGTTTCAAACTGGACTTTAATTTACCTTGTCGGAAATGTAAAGCTTTGAATGAATAATCCAGATTTTTTGGTAGCAATTGCCTCTCTTTGCAAACAAAGACACTGCAACTGTGGATTTGTGGGAATAGTTCCAATGATGGATCAATAGGATTAAATCATCATCAGCAGTTTTATTAGTATTTGACCTCTTGAATGGCAGAGTTTCCCTTAAAACTTTTTTGGTATGCTCCTCGTCTGATCCTTTTCCACCGATGTACTTGATAAAAGCATAAACCCCCTGAAGGTGCTCTTGTTTCTCTCCCTGTCTCTCTTGCTCTCCTCCTGACTGAGTGCCTATTTTAAGAGGTGAAAGCTGGCGTAGCGTAGCCACAAGGGGCCGTCTGTGACAAATTATGCCAACCAGAGTTGTGGCTCTTTGAAGGGGAGTGAAGAAAAAGACAGAGAGAGTTTGCTGCAATAAGGAGAAATACTTCTTAATCTTTTAAGGTAACTTAAGGTAATGAAACGTCCCAAAAACATCTTTTAAAAATTCCTAAACCTCCCGGATATTGAGGTCCCACACACGCAGGGATTGGCTGCACACATCCTCAGGCTATCACCCCAGTATCTCTTTCTTTCAGCCTCTTGTTTACTTCCTGGACAGACATCTGTTTCCCAGGTAGCTGCCAGCTTTGGCTCATGCCGTGTTTGGGGACAAAGAGTGAAATATCCTGCTTTTCCCCCTTGGCCAAGAGACTTATGTTGTTCCAGCTGCATCTGAGGCGTCACCCAGTTTGAACTTTGACCTCTCCTCACCTCCCAGTCTGAGCACATAAATGCATTTGTATCAGGTCGCTCTCTGCGCCCAAATATGCTGTGGCTCTAATGGTGCCATGTTTTTCTTGTGTCACTGTGCGGTATAAATAGCAGGGGTGTTTGAGGTCTCCATGGTGAAGGAAGAGACGAGAGGAGGGGGAGAGGAAGTAAGTGTATGTTTGAACTGAGCAGCCAGCAAGAGGAAGTTGGTGCTCACAACTGCTTCGTAGTTTACACCTTCATTGTGAGACATGAAAGAGCCGCAGAGTTTTGCTGTTTTGAACACTTCACAGTAAAAGGGTGATTCAGCTTCAAAGCTAAGTAACTGTATTTGCCTTTGACATGTTGGAGGAAAGACGGTCTCAGATTTGACCCTCCTGCCATGGTTCTGTACTCAGCAGAAGACACCAGTCACACAGTTTAGAGAGTGCTGCACCTGTGGAGTCATAAGCCTCTTTCACACCTGATGGACAGCTGACATTAGCCATGTTTACAAAGGCAAGATTTCTTGATCCGATTAAAAATTTGAGGGATCAGATAATCTGAATCCACTGTTTATTTGGGCGCAAAGTCAAATTATCCGATCATGACCTGCGTATACATGCACTAAGCTTTATTCAGATTAGAAGCCTTTGGACATGCGAAGCGTTGTCTAATTTTGCTAAAGCAACCGCAGAAGAAGAGTTGTATTTACATCTACGCTGTCAACAAACCAACAAACACTGTAGTGGCTCACTTCATCCAATTAACGATTTTCCCCTTGTTCCCATCTGTTGTCACTTGATGGTGCCCTTGTGTACTTATTTTACTGTCCTGTCAAAGGTAGCACTGTGTGTACAGATGTGACATCACTACGCTGTATGTACGCCATGTTATGGTAACAGAGGAGCAGACACGGCTCCTGTGGTTGTGTTTTATGCCAGAGTTTTAATCATGAAAACTCCTGTACTGGCCTCAATAAGAGTGAAGACTGAGTCAGGTTAGAGAGTCACAATCAGAATAAGTGTTTACATGGACACGTTTCGGAATATCGATCGGCATATACCACCCCTCTCAATCGGAATACAATTTCTTTCCGATTGAGCTGAATTGAATCAGAATCTTCCGATCGACATGGTTACATCATGCTTTTTCATTCCGATCGGGCATTTATTCCGATTATTTGTGCCTGTGTAAACGCAGCTAGTGTCTAGATAATTCCTGGACTTTCAGGCCCCATATACTCGCAGGAAGTTACCGTCAACAAATGCAGATGCTCCCTCATGAACTCAAAACCCTGTTTGGTTGAAGAGAGGGAGGTATTAGGAGGAGGGGTAGAAGTCCTCTGGGATTATGTCGCTGCAGTATATAAGAGTGTTTCCATCAAACAAACAACAGTAGAAACGCTGCACACTGAGGAGGATTTTCCGTATCATTACATGCTGTGTTTACCATCAGCTCACTCCAACCTCTTACAGCCAATTTACTTGAAGGCTATCAAGGCTGAGGCGCGCCGCATTACCACTATCTTCCCCTCATTTCACCTCCGTTTCTACCTCCAGAAGAGGGTCAGAGGTGAAATTACTTTGCCCTGATATTACCCCCTGCACACTGCAGACCAGAAGCACTAGGGGAATAAATATCCCACCTTGAAACAGCTACATGTTAGCCATAACTTTCTGTTGAGACTAGGGCTGCACGATTAATCAATCTGAAATTGTAATCAGATTATTTGATTATGAAGAAGTTAAAAAATAATTAAATTGTCTGTTGTAAAACTGATTTTCCTCTCTCTATCATGTTGTGTGCCTCCAGGCCACCATAGACTCCCCCTTCCTGTAGGAGCGCTCCCCGGTTCCCACACACACCAGTGTAAACAAACATGGCTTTTGCAAAAGAAGGCGATAATTTTGTGGCTGTCCATACGGCAACAAAATTCAGGAGTAAAACCAAAAGGTTTTTGTCATATTGGTGCTTCATCCACACAGAAATGGCGTTTCAAATGACTGTAAACGTAACTTTTTAAAAACGGGTCAGATAGTGCATAAATCTGTAAACGAGTACCATTTCATCTCTGTGTGGATGCCTATCTGCATCTCTTTTGAGATGATTAAGTGACATACAGCAACTCTTTTATGGCGCCTGTGTGTGTCCGGCCAAAACAACCTTTATACGCGTGCTCTGTACTCTTCTTCTGTCTTCTGTCTGTCTTTTACCTTGGAAGGCGTTGCAGGACCACTTACTGGCTTGGCATACGCACTACATTGCTTTCAGTGGTTTTGTTTTGAGAGATGATAGAAAAACTAATTATAATGGGAAGTTTGGTGAAGTTGTCACTGAGTTAAAAATCAAAATCTAAAATGAAGTTTTCAGAGAAAAAAATCAGGATTTTATTTTTGGCAGCCCTAGTTGAGACAGTAACCAAGACACAAGTATTCTCTTTAGTTTTGTAAGTTTGACTTTTTTGGGTTATTGTTTTTTTCTTGGAGAGAACAGGTCAGTGGATCGAGTAGAAAACTGGGGGACAGGACATGAACCCATTCATCAATTCCACACTTGATTTTGCGTACGCTGACTCTCACTTTCAACTTTTCTCCTTAGAGCTCCGGCCTTCTGAGCATCTCCAGGTAGAAAGCTCCATCTGGCTGCCACTCAACGTCGTCTCCAATGGCAACGCCTCCAGCAGCTCGCAGGCAGTTGGCGTTACAAAGATCGCCAAGTCTGTCATCGCCCCCCTGGCGCAGCAGCACGTCTCCGTCTTCATGCTCTCGACCTATCAGACGGACTTCATCCTCGTGAGTCTCCCACGTTACTCCTTCAACCTTTACATAACCTCGCTCTAGTTTAATCAGCACTCGCTAATATCTCGTTAAAATGAAAGAGGCACTCTCAGCCATTCTGTGCTCCATAATTTAGTAACGTCTGGGGAAATTCGAACCCTTTCAGTGTAGGAAAACTCTGGATGTCTTATCGTGTAGTGGAGCTTTTCACCTACTGAGCTCTGCCAGACAAAAGAAGACACGGTGTCTGCTTTTTGTCAGCTGGACAAATTCTGCATGTAAGGCATTAATTCTCCACAGAGCTGAGAGTGCTGGAAAGTTAGTTGATGTATTATGTGTGAAAGTGTGAAGCGGGCAAAAATAGATAACACCAAGGCAGACGTTAGTGTCAGCAAATACCTTAATGGTCCGCTTGCTCTCTTACAGTGAGCCGGTGTTTCTCCCTCAAACAACACGGTGCATAATGGCCTTACATGTCAAGTATATATGAGGATTTAACACCTTTGACCAAGTGTTTTACCATCAATATTTATGTTCCATATCTGTGTTATGTAGGTGAGAGAGAAAGACCTGTCTGTGGTCATCAGCACTCTGGAGGAAGAGTTTAATATCTACAAGGAGGTGGGAGGAGAGTCTGTCCCCATCCACTGTCAGGATGTTTCCAACGGGCTCCAGAAAAACGGCAAAGAAGGTAAAAGTTCAAGTTTATTTCTACCTCTCAGGTGGAAATAAAGTGAAGATTGTCTGACAGAGGAACAGATACATTAAGGTCCTCTAGCTCCATCTTCAGGTCCTTTGAGGAAAGATCTTCTTGTAATGTCAAGGAAGGGATGTTTAATGTGCTTTGTGATTGACGTGACAGACTGATTACAGGTTATCGCCACCTACTGGTTAAGCATGCTTATGTGAGCACAGGAAACACATGAGAGAACAAGAGAACACTTAATCATCTTATAGGATCATAATCTGATCCCATAAACTAAATTCCTTACAATTGACAATCCCTGTAAGTCATGTGTCTGAACGGTATGTGACATCATACGAAGGAGCAATGTAAACTGGTTGGTTCTGCAGCAACTTTTTAAACATAAAGGAGGATTTAAAGTCTGCTCACTTACTCTCTGCCCCTCACAGGAAGTTATTTTTAACCTAACCGTAAAGTACAGGACACGCTGTACAATAGGGACAGAGCATGCAGTTCAATACATGTGCCCTGTTCACATTCTTTCATATCTATACATCTCTGAGACGTCAGCTTTTTTTTTGGTTCTTTTTTTGTTTTTTTGACACCCCACAGACATCGGACTTCTTCCATTTAACAGCTTCAAGCAGGGCTGAAGTGTCTCTGACTGGCTGCAGTACAGCTCTGATTCCTGTGTTTCTATCTGCAAGACTGAGGTTAAAAAAAAATAAGGAGTTGAACCTTGTTTTAAAACTCATGACTCTAATCATGAAACCCTGGTTTTACCTGCTTTTGCCCCTCCTCAGCTGGGTGTTGAACAGAAGGTGGTAGTTTGATGCAGACATTAGTCGTAGCGCTAAACACTTGAACTACCAAGGCAGCCATTTTGACTGCTTTCAAAATTTACACTGTCTATCTAAAATAAAACCTATACATCAGTCGCACCCTGACTTTTCCTAAATGTGTGTATATTTTATTCTAACATTATTTTATCATGAAAATCTAAAACACAAAAGAGTTCTGGGTATTACTACCTTGAACTACCAGAGCAGTCAAATTGACCGCATGCTTTTGACAAAGGGTGTATTATTTCTCTGTTTGCTACATTTTCCAGCTCTTTCTCCTGCTCTATTGTTTGTTTTGTACTTTAAGCTAAAATCTTGACATAACTTTACTCAAAACTCAAGAGACTCAAAAATGACAACTAGAAGAAAAATGACAAGTATGGAGGCTTGAGCCTTGTTTCAGAGCCCGGATGAGGAAGAATCCAATGGATGAGTGAGTTCAGGGAATGATGTGTCTCAGTATTTTGAGGAAGGTTCTGAAAAATCTCATTCATTATGATTTTCATTTTGTGTACTTATGTGTCATTTATCTATTCCACCAATTTATTATTTGTTTTTATTGTTGATTATCAAATTATGTGCAAATTAAGACTGAGCATTCAAAATGACTGCCATGGTCATTCTAGTGGTTGCAGAATTTTGGTAGACCGAGTGTTAAATGTGCGTGCAGGTCTTCTTAAAGTAGTTCAAACTAGTTTATCAGCTGTGCATCGTTTCCTCCTTCTGAGGTTCTTAACTCAGTCAAATCTGCACACAGAAACATAACACACAAATTTCTGGTTCAGTGTTGAATGACTCACACTTACCTGAGGTATTACTCCTGATGTCATATGTGGGAGACAGTTTTCTAGTAATGCAGTGGGAGTGTTGTCTTCCATTAATAATGGAATGCAAGTGCTAAAAATATCTTCAGTCCCTCTTAGTTTTAAATTCTGATACTTCTTTCAGCTATCCAGCCTACAGTCCACCCGGTGCTGATCCCTCAGAACCAGTTCTGTGTCATGTCCCTGGACCCAGACACGCTGCCGTCCATTGCGACCACGCTCATAGACGTGCTGTTTTATTCCAGCAGGTGAGATACTGTGAAAAACACAGCTACAGTATCACTTTTGAACACAGGGTGGCAGCACATAATGCAGACTGACCTTCAATCATCTATAACTCATGGTTACCACAAGTTTATTTCTTCTCCCCAGTATAATGCCATGCAAGGGAGACTTTTCCATATACATTTCCATATCCTAGGCATTGAAATAAATTTATTTGTACGAGTTATATAGGCAGACAACATTAAATAAGATTACATAAGCAGATTTCTTAATTTCTTGTATTTTTAAAGTAGTTTTTATTAAATACAGGCACAAACTCAAATCCCTGCTAAGGAGAAACCAATACAAAGTTCACTTGGTTCATGACTGAAGTCCTTTGGAATAACAGTGACTCAGCGTCCTGCTGTCATCTCAGTAATGAGTCTACTTTCACCTCTTCCATGTCTTTTCTTCCACAGTCCTAAAGAGGACGCACAGTCGTCTCCAAGCCAGGACTTGGATTGCATCAAGTTCTTCTCCTTCTCCCTCATTGACGGCTACATCTCCCTGGTGATGGACACAGACGCCCAGAGACAGTAAGATCACACCCACCAGTCCACGTTTGAGGACTAATTGTTCAGAGATTTGGGCTCACTGTTGTAATCTGAGAGTCGAGCCAAAACTCTACTCAGTGACAAAGTGAAATCTGCTTTTGAATGATGGAGATAAAAATGTTTTACTTTTGAATTCACCGGTCTTCAAGTTTCATTTTTGTTGAGTCACATCAGCTTTTACACCAGACCATTTACATTTAAGGTTTCATATAGTGATTGATACAGTGATATAGTGATTGGTAAATGGTGTCTTTCTTTCCACCTCTGTGATGTTTTTTGTTTCGTTTTGTTTTTCGATCTACATTCCTGGTACAAATTTAGAGTTTGATCTTTGTGCTTCAGGTTTCCTGCTGATCTCCTCTTCACCAGCTCCTCCGGGGAGCTGTGGAGGATGGTTCGTATAGGAGGACATCCTCTGGGCTTCGGTAAGGACACCCTGCTTCTTAATATCCTCAATGACCTCTGCTTGTGTATTAGACGGTGTAAACTAAAGGTTCAAGCTTAAAAGTTTCTGTGATGCAGTCTCCTGGTGTCACAGAGCAGATAATGAATCCACAACAGTGGCGATTGCTCTAAGACTGCAAGGGAAGCTCAGCTTCCCTTAAAATGTCACCCCCCCAAAAAAAGAAAAAGTGGTGAAATACGTACTGCTGTGTGTACATTTCATTAACTAAATACGCGCTAGAAAGCCTTCATCTTTTGTTCAGAATCACAGGTAACCGGCACAACTTCGTTCTCATTCATCCTCGCAGCGCCTCAGCGCTTCACACAGCCGGACGCTCAGCGTCTGCTGACTTCAATGTGGAAGCTCAAAGTGGGTTGTTCCAGCAGCGAAACTAGACGCTCATTGGATAAATGCTGGGCTTTGTCCCGCCCATCGGACGCTCAGCATCTCTGGAGTTCTATGACGAGAGGGCGGTCCCAACTTTCTCGCGGACGCTGAGCTTCTGCATCCATGATTGGATGAGCTGTCTGAGGCGAAATCCTTTTTTGATTGACAGCTAAACAAGCGAATCAGCGATCTTGAAGAATAAAACATCTACCAGAGCTTTTTCCAAGTTATTCATTCCGTTGTTCTTAACTGCTCCGGAGACTTTACCGATCCTCAGCGACTTTTGTCTTTGTTAAAAACGACTGCCGTTGTGTTTGGCGACTCTGTTCTGTTACATACAAATAAACAAACACAATTATGATGTAGGCCAGAAAAGTGAGCTTCCCCTCCTTGAAAGACCAGCAGCTGATCCACAATACTGACGGCACCTCTTTATATAAGAAGAGTTTGAATCACGGTGGCCTCTGATTTCCAGACTTTGTGAAATTACGCATTCGAGTAGCTGTTGTGTTTTTTTTTTTTTTATTTATTCATTAATTTTTTTTTTACAAGATTTATGATATTGTGGTATTTCTCTTTTTTATTAAAATTTTTGGAGGGTATTTTGAATTTGCTCGGAGGCAACAATGAAACCTTTGTTGATCTTAAAAACATTATTATAATAGTTAGATTCATTGTGGTTTTAAGTGCCTTTTAGTGATTTTTACTGTAATTCAGGCTTTCTGCCTTTTCTGCCTGGAATCTATTCTTCTGTCAGCTGTTGTTGAAGCTAAGAGCGTTAATGTTGAAATAAGGGACTTAGACTATTTTGAGTCCGTAGCATGTCTGTTAATAGTCCAAGCATGATCACTTTTCTCCGTAAATGAGCACAGAGGCTAATTTTAGTTATTTTTTTTTCCCACAGATGAATGCGGTATCGTGGCCCAGATATCCCAGCCTCTGGCTGACAGTGACATTTCTGCCTATTACATAAGTACCTTCAGCTTTGACCACGCTCTGGTGAGTCTAGCATCAAACCTTCACAGCGGTTTTCATAGAGGTCCACATTTTTGAGTCATTACAACTGCAACTGAAATATCTCAGCGTACAGTTGAGGTAATTCGAGGATAGGTTGTGTATGAATAAGGGAATTTACAAAGATAACTGTGTATGTCATAGTCTACAGCATTCCTGCGAGGCTTCATCACAAGGAGTTTAGCGAGTTAGTTTGAACAAGTTTGGGGGAGGGTTTACTGATTAGAGGAAGTTAATAAATTTGGAAAGGGCTGTGTAAGTGCAGAAAATAGATCGATTAAATATGTAGCTTTATTCTGTCATGTAGATGTTCTGTTGGTCCGTAGCAAGTTAAACAAAGTAAAGATAAAGAAGATGATGGAGTGTATACAAGGAAGAATTAACAGAGCTTTTATCATGTCTTCTTTTAACTGTGTTTGTGTGCTGGGTTTAAATATGTGGACTTTAGTATGGTACTGTGGTGTGATTTCCTGATCCCACTGTTGAGATTGTGTTCACATTTAGTCACCGAGTGGGTAAGTGAAGCACGTCTTTGTCTGTATGACAACTTAGTCAGCAACTCGTGCAACCACATTGATCTGAGAAATTACCGAGAAAAGATTAAATTCCCAGAAACTTATCATAGAACATCTCTGACCTAGCTTAACAGCAAAGGCAAATTACTCTCTTTCTAAATCTGAGTTTTTGATAAGTTGTCTCCAGAAACTGAGAAGACTGTCTGGTCATTAGGCGCTCACTTTAACCCATTTAAACCGGGACAGCATGTGCGCATTTCAACTGTCCAAGCTGGGAGCGAGGCTGCACATTTCGACTCGGAAAGCCGGGTGCATGTACGCACTTCTACCCTTCAAGCTGGGAGAAGTGTGTACATCATTTTGTAACAGTCTGTGGTTTTTCAGATTCAGACAACTTTACTTTTTTTCAATCATTTTTGGAGTCGTGAATCAAATAATCATGCCGCCATCATACGTCCTGTGATAGGCTAATAAAGCAATCGGACTATTCACGCTCGGATCTTGCAACGTGCTTCGTGAGGAAAGTAAACAATGACGGAGGCAGAGAGCAGCTTCGGAGAGAGAAGCATCCAGCTATGTGAACTAGGGCCGACGGCAATACCAATTGGGGGGGGGGGTCCGATCACTGATTAATCGGCTGATTTTTTCAATTTTTTATGAAGCCTATGAAGTGTATATATATAAAAATATATTTTATGAAATTATAAAAAATATATTTATACTTTAGACTTCTGCTCTTCATGCCGACAGGAAGACCAACTGATCAAACTTGTGACATGCAGCTGCCTCAGTAAGAGAAGTAGCTTGATCACGTAATGTGTACTGTTGTTTATTCTACTGTTACCACCGATAGTCTCAAACGGGCTAAAATTGGCCGCTATAATCAACTCGCCGATAAATCGGTTGGGCCCTGGTGTGAACAGCCTCTTCATATTGAGTGCTTTGGCTCACTGTGAGTGTTGCATGACTTTGGGTGAGCATAGAGATGTACACACTGTCAGCCATGTATTTATTTATTTATTTATTAGTTTTTAGTGCTGCTTTTGTACTGATACTATACTAGGGCAGCTGCATACCCTTTTAACACTTTATACTTATACTCCATACATTTAAATTGTATGGACACTTCATCATGACTGCCACTTGTTTTATAAAGCAAATTGTTTGTTATTCTTCAGTGCAGAGTCTTTACTTTTATTTATACAGCCGCTTTATTTCATTTGAGTTAGTTTGTTCAAAGTTTTCAAAAATGTGATGAAGGTTTGGAAAAATAAAAGATAGTTATCTTGAAAGCCACATGTGTAAGCTCTAAAATACCTTTTGAATTTTGTTTCTATCTGCTACAGAGGCGGAGATATCAGCTTTTTTGTAAACCTATACACTTCAGAAAACCTCAGGATCTGGGGGCCCTTCTCAAAATTGCCCTCAGGATTTCAGTGGTGTGGCTCAGACAGGATTCAGGTCTTAATGGGTTAATGTTATTGATGTGGATGTAACCTGCTTTCATAGCCATACATAGTCAGACATGTCCCTTTGGTTTACCATTTTCCATCAACATTGTTTAGTCATTAGTTTGCACTGACAATTAGGGAGGTTATTTTTCTCCTATCGTCTAAACAACTTTAACCTGGTATCTCTTTGCTCTCTCTCCTCAATGCATCACAATTCAAACCATTCACAAGCTTGCAGATTGAGACAGCTGGGCCGAGTCACCAAATTTTTCTAAGATAAACTAAAAGGCCGAGTCACCAAATTTTTCCAAGATAAACTAAAAGGAGGACCAGCAATGTATGATATTCAAGCGTTATTCAACTCCTACCTTAGCAATGAGATGTTCGAGATGTTTTAGAGATAAGTGTATGATATGCTTAAATCACTGTATTGCACAGACCAGCATTAAGCTTAACATAGCCATAGTGTCATAAAAAGTACAAGGTCTTACTCATAGATTCCTGAAATTACCTAAATCTCTCAAATATTAGTGGGATCAGTCAAAACCACAACCTAGCCTAATTATGAGCAATATCTAGCTGACATCACAGCTGCCTCTGTTTGTGTGTTTCTGGGCAATGCTTTTACCTCATGGTGCCAGTAATTAGGCAGTCAATAGTCAATGCAAATATGTGGCATCTTTTGCACAGGAAGCACAAAGGTCATCTATTTAATGTCACCAGAAGTTCAAGAGGAAACGTAATGTATAATTTAAGTCAGTGGTGTAACTGGTGTGCAAGTTTCAAATCTATATCAGCAAAAGATCTAAAGTTGCAGCAAGAAGATTATGAATTGTTCGGGTTTTTATGTACCGCAGTAAAACAGCAATTTTGCGTAATGTTTGCTGTGATGTTTGACACCCTTTTAATGTTCACTGTTAAGGTTGTGGTTACTGCTCTTTTCACTCTACAGTTAAATCGACTCAGCACATCAACATAAATCTCATAGAGAAGAGATAATAAGGATAGAGGTTATTTAGAGGTTCTGATTGAATTTTCTCAATAACTCCAATAGTCAGGGACATTCTCAGAGCTTTGTCACTTGTTACTTAAACGTGAAAGAGCATGTGATGGGAGGACAATCTGTGGCCCATGATTACTGAATTAGTCAGGATCATCTTCACTGTAAGTCTGAGGGAATATACACCTGGGTCACATCAGGTCATGAGTTTTATTCTATAAGTAGATATGAAAAACAAAGTTCCTACGACCCAGAATAGAAAGCTATCTTAAAGGGATATTCCAGCATAAATTTAAGTTTTGGTCAAACACACTGTAACACTGAGTTAGACATCCCTTGAGAGATAAATGTTGCTGACCGCTTGCTTCTCTAGTTAAACCAACTTAAGTAACAACCGCACAATAGCAATACACAGCAGTCTACGTCTCCATGTGCAAACCTCAACCAAAAAGCCCCTCTATAGCCACAAATAATGCTCAGAACAGCACCTAACTTCATTAACAGTGCAAATAAGGTCCCAGCCATAGTACCAGCCACCAAAAACCAACTCTCCTCCAACAACCACTTGTTTGTGGGGGGAGCCCTGACAAGTCAATCACCGAGTGCAGTGGAAGATTTATGATCATTACTTCATGGAAATGCAATCAAACTGAGATACTAAGGCAAAAGAACTACTGCGTCTGCAGTGCGCATACAAGATACACAAGAACTCTGATTGCATTTCCACTAAGTAATAATCACAAATGGTCTTACTTGAGCTGCGAAACTCTGCTGAACTCGGCTCATCAGGGCTCCCCCACAAACAAGTGACTGCTGGAAGAAAGTGAGTAAGGTGTGTTTAGCCTCTTTGCTAAAGAAACCAGGCAAAGCTAAAAAGATGTTTGATGGTTAGTACTATGGCTGGGACCCTATATGTACTGTTGATGAAGTTAGGTGCTGTTCTGAGCATTATCTGTGGCTATAAAGCAGCTTTTTGGTTGAGGTTTGCGTGTGGAGATGTAGACCACTGTGCATTGCTATCGTATGGTCGTGGCTGACGTGGGTATAACTAGAGAAGTAAGCAGTCGGCAACATTCATCTCTCAAGGGGTGTCTAACTCGGTGTTGCGGTGCGTTTTGATGCGTTTGACCATGATTAAAATTTACGCATAGCAACATTAAACTCAAAGAGAAGACAATATAAAGATAGAGGTTATTTAGAGGTTCTGATTGAATTTTCCAAATAACTCCAATAGTCATCCCCAGGGCTTTGTCACTTAAACATGTGAAAGAGCATGTGATGGGAGGACATCAGATTCTATGAACAGACATGAAAAATAAGGTTTCCACATTTTAATATTTTACTGATTTTAAGTTGACACTGTATGTCTTATTGTTTTGAAGTGTTTTAATCTCTTTCTTTTTTCATTTCAAATTTATTTCCTTGCATCTGTAAACCACTTTGAATTGCCTTTGTATGAATAGTGTGAACTATTCTGAACTACTACCTTTGTGTCTAAAAAATATTTTTCCACCTTTCATAGTTTGGAAAAAAAGATCAGATATGTGTGGTGTTATTTTAAAAGGGCTGAATTCAATTTTCATGATACATTAAATATATGTCAATTATGGTGTACCTCAAGGGTCAATTCTGGGACCAAAAATGTTTTGTCTTAAATAACTTTTTCCACTTGTCAAAGTTTGAAAAACACATCAATGTTTGTGTGGTGGTATTTTCAAAGGGGCGTATTTTTTTGCAATACACAAAATTTATGTAAAATATGACATACCACAGGGATTACTTTTTGGACTACAACCATTTTGTCTTATTGTTGTTTCTGCTGCTTTCAGGTTGCCCAAAAAATACGATTAATATTGCTTATTAACTAACCTTGCTTTAACTTCTCTATTTTGTAGGTCCCCGAGGAGGACATAGTGAGTGTCACAGACATGCTTCAGCATCAGAGGAAAGAACAAGCCGCAAGTTGATTTCTGAAGTCCTGTTTGGGTTGAATGATACTGTCTCAATGTGCCACCCTTCACTCCAGCTCCAGTGGCCTTAGGGTGGTAGGCCTGTGGGAAATGGAGGCTAACTCTGTGCCTAGATTAGCACTGCATTGCCAGCAGTATTAACAATGACGACAAACTTGCCATGACCACCAGAAGCGCTTTTTGATGGTGTGTACACAGTTTGTCTGCGAGGCCTCCTGTTTTACCTTTCAGGTGGGAGGATGCACTGAGTCCCAGGGGGGCCCACAGCTCTCATATGCACATCATAATGCTCAGTCGCTCCTAAAACATCAACACATCTATATACAAACGCACATTCATATTAACAAAGCACAAAGTTCAACGTGTCAACATTAACGATGGAGTCTTTTTGACATAGGTTTGATCTGAAGTTGAAATGTTCGTACACAGACATACATTTCACTACAACACAAAACTTAGTCTTCCAGTAACGTTCATTTGATGATGCCATGTGTCTGAGTAAAATTTGGAGTCAAGGTCAGAAGAACTGCAGTTTTTTTGCTGTTTGTTAAACTGAAAGTGTGAAGCTTGAAATGCAGGCCTGTTGTAAAGTCCTCGATCTGTTGATAATTTTCAGGTAAAATAAAACTGAGAATTTTTATTTTTTTGAGAGAGGGCTCATTCGTTTTGGTCTGAGAATAGTAATGTGTCAGTAGTTCCTATCTGTTTTCACTACTACAAGAGGCTGTCAGGCGGGAAAGTTGGCTTGGTCAGTGTTTCATTTAATTTTTTTTGTTTAAAAGGTCAGCATTTCTTAACCATAGTATTACCCAATAACACTATGTCTTACTTTTTGTTATTTGCACAATAAATTTTCATTTATCTTTTATCACGTAGATGTTTTCCTTGGTACAACTACATTTTGTACATTTTGAAGTCAAATTACTCTGTAAACATTTGTATTTTTGTGCTGCTTCATTCAATAAATAGTCCTGGAAACAGAAACTCTCTATTGACTACTTCATAGGATCTATTTGAGTTCATAGGGAAAGTAAATGGCAAAACTGCACGTCTAAGCAAAAAGACACCAGCTCATGACAGATAACAGTCATCACTTGTGAGTCATGTTAATAAAGTTCCGGTGGGAGTTTATTTTTAACAGGAATGGAAGTAAGTATGAATGTGTGGGGCTCTCCTGTGATTCTCACATTTCAAGAGAAGTCTTTCTCCACCTTCAACTGGCTTTGAATCAGAGGAAGTTGTAGCAAGCCCTGAGTTAGAGAAGTAAAGTCTAAAAAAAAAAAAAAACAATACCATCCAAATGTAAACTTGAGTCAACGCAAGTAAATGTTAAATTCCTCAAATGGTGTCTGCAAAAGGATGTGAGACACCTGACATGTTAAGTCTAAGGGACACATTTAAAATGATGCACTTGTTCCAGAGCAAGCACATTCAGGGAAAATAAAACAGACCCCAGGACGCAGCCATGAGGAACGCCAAAAGTCAGAGCTCAACACTACTGTTTGGTATTTTTTTAAAAGTAATTAAAAAAAGGCAGACTGTCAACAGCAAATAAACCATCAGCATTGAGGCTCTTGCTTTCAATTAGATTGTTTCCAATATTCTCGAAATTTGTATTCGTAAGATGAAGTGAATAACAGCCATACACTGTTTAAAATCATGGGCAGTGTGACAGCAGCTCTGAGGTAAGTCAAAGCTTTTATCAATTGTGGTGGTTTATTTTCATCATTCCAGTGTATGTGCAAGAGTTAGTTGCTCTAAGTTATTCCAGTTATTTGACATTTAAAAAAGTAAGTCTGAAATCAAGATTGACAGCTCTATTGGCAGATGAAGCTCATGCAGCATCCTTTAGGGTAGGAGGAATAATGAACATGAACACAAACGTCATTTAACTTTCCATAGAGATAGGTGTAAGTTTCAAATCAGTGTAAGAGTCTGTGATGTAGAAGCAACCAGGGCACTGGAAAGTTAAATGTGTGTTTTTCTGTCAGTGGAAGGTGTGTTACATCTGTCTCGAAGCTCAACCAGACAGTGTATAAAAAGAGGGGGATGTTTTCTTATCATATTCAATAATGGCACAGAGAGGCAAAGACTGCAGTTTTATGTGGTTTGGGTGGTAATATCATGGCTGGTAACTTCTATAATATCTAGCACAGAGTCAGCACCCATCGAGGCATCACAGTGAGTGGAAGTGGGCGGGCCATATTAACATGCAGTCGATTCCAACAGCTCTAAGTTTTATCTTTCAAGTTTTCCGTAATGAACCATCACAATGGAGAAAGTGTTTACCCATAAGCTGAGTGACATTTTCCATCAGAAAACACAGCTGACGTGTAAATATACAGTCATGGAGGAAATTATTAGACCACCCTTGTTTTCTTTAATTTCTCAATCATTTAAATGCCTGATACCACTAAAGGTACATTACCCGAAGAATACGATGAATGTAACTAAAATGCAGCTGATTCCATAATATTTCATGTCTGATTTGACATGCTTTAGCTACATTGTATTACCAGGGTATATAAAAGGCTATTTCATGTCATTAGCAGCACTGCACATGCAAAGGCCGAGAGTTGTGTACCGCAAAGGCAGCCATCTTGGCAATGCTGGAAAATGGCATGAGTGAGAAACAGGTAGCCAAAAAACTGAAGATCTCCAAGACCAGCTGTTCATCACTCCAAGAAAAAGCAGCTAAACATGGTACTACCAAATTGCTAGCTGGTCGAGGCAGTAAACGTCTTTCTAACCCACGAGAGGATTGTACACTCATTTGTGTCAGGAACCATCGTCAGACCTCCAGGAAACTTAAAAAGACCTCCAGGGACCTTAAAAATGAGTGGGCGCTGTCAAGAAATGTGACTTGTTCAGCATGGACAGTTTGAAATCAACTTCTTGAAGCTAGTCTGAAGTCACACAGGGCATGGAAAAAGCCCTTCATCAATGAAAGGCAGAGGAAGTCTTGGTTACCCCTTGCTAGGGATCACACGGATTGGACTGTTGATGATTGGGCTATGGTTCTCTTCAGTTATGAATCCAATTTTGAGTTGATGGTCAGTTAAAGCCTGGATGGTGAACCAAAACATTTGAACCATGCTTTGGCCTGCTCAATCACCAGATCTAAATCCAATTGAAAACCTGTAGAACATCATCAAACTCAAAATGGAGAACCACAAGCCCAAAAACAAAACAGGTTTGACAGAAATTTTGCAAGAGGAATGGGCTGCTGTGCAATGTCAGAAGCTGGTGGAGAATATGCCAAGACGCATGGCTGCAGTCATCAGAAACAATGGTTATACAATCAAGTACTAACTCCTGTGTGTATCATGTGACAAAGAGACAGAGGAGAAAACATGGAATGCCTAAAAGCTTTGTTTTTTGGCAGAGCGATGCCATAGCTATTAATGTAAGAACTCAAGTGATTTTGGTTATTACCACGAAAACTGTGAAAATGGTTCAATATTAGCTCCTACATTAAACTTCTATGAACTATTTTTGTTGTTATCATTATATTTGTCCAAACCATGGACTGTATATACTATGAACAACTTGGTTCTGCCTTCCATCATGATACGAATTTGAAGCCAAATTGCTCTCAGTATTTCCGGGATTCACAGAGAGTCACTGTGATGATGCTTGGCTCGAACAGCGTATGCCCCGAGTGAGCTACGCAATCTTTGTACACCAATGAGCTGTATCAAGTGTCAATCATAGAAAACATGACCCCTCTAATAACTTTTAAAAATGAAGCTGCATAGAAAAAAGAGGCCTTGAGCACGAACCAGTTTTAAAGTAACTACATGTCAACATCACAAGCAGGGGGAAGAAAAATGTATATTCTGTGTAATTAATTTATGACCTATACTGCAGCCCGTCACCAGAAGGTGCTGTTCTCGCAGAGGCTTCACCTAGCGAGGAGGCAGATGGCGTTCATTCTATATACAGTCTATGGTCCAAACAAATGCACTTTTAGTTGTACCAAGCATTAAAATTAATAAAAAATTGAATAAAACGAGGGTGGTCAAATAATTTTTTCCATGACTGTATATGTACAGTATATCTCTTCAAAGGGACGGTGTGTAAAGATGGGGGTGTTCAGCAATATCTAGCTAGCAGGTTCCACATTAAAGCGCTCCCTTGCTCACCCCTCTTGTTGGTGACCTTTGAAGGCAAGAATACATCACGAGTAGAGACAGACCGACTTATTTGTGGACCAGTGTGACGCCATTCAATGCCTTTTAGACAACAATCTGCACAAAACAACAACTTATCTTTGTCACTGTTCTCCAGCAGGTGCATTTCAGGTGGTAGCTTCACTATATACCAAAACATGTATGGCACTTAGGGTGGCAATAGCTAAGGTGGTAGAGTGGTCGTCCAACAATTGGAAGGTTGGCGGTTCAATTTCCCCCTATCCCTAGTCTGTCCATTGTGTCCTTGGGCAAGACACTTATCCCTCCTTGCTCCCAGTGGTGTGTGATTTAAATGTACGTCGCTTTGAATAAAAGCATCTGCTAAATGACATTGTAACTTTCTAGTTTGTCCATTCTGTAGAAACATAACTGTTCAAGACTGTGGATTATCTGTGGTTTACAATGATTAATAAATCAAATGCAGGGCTTGCTTGACTAACAGGTGGATACGCTCCAGTTGCAGGCTGACCAAAAGTGAGACTAAGTCAGTATTTCCAATATGATGACATACTTATGGATATTTTATTCCATTTTGTCTGTTATGCTAAATGCCTCTCAAAACTACACACTGCACCTTTAAAATATTTAAAACATTTTCAATACTTTATATTGGTGGCCCCTTGTTCCATGTTCATTCAGGTATTAATAAAGCTGAATGTGATCTGCTTTTTCCATCTGTTTATTATGATTATTTTATTCTATTAACGATCCTGTGATCTATTAAAATTACCCTGCACCCTCTCTGTGACGACTCCCTCCTTACTGGGATTGCTCCTGAGTTTATTAGAAACCTGGTGACCCAAAGTCTACAGAGTGACATGGTGTGTCACTACATCTGCTGATATTCCATCAATGTAAGGGATCGTATGTGTGTCACAACTTTGTCTGTAATTTGTCAACCCTGTCTGCCTGATAAAATCAGAAGAACGCATGAACTGTTCAAGTCACTCCTCTGTCTATCATTTCAACAGTGAACTTGTCATTCAGTGAGCATAAATGTGGGAGGGTTAAAAGGCCTGAGCAGCATGTAACCGTGTATATATACTGGGCGGTTTTAAGAGATGAAAAGTGTTTTGTTGTGATAGACCTTGCTGTTTTTAAAGGATTTGTGAATGAAGAGTAACTTGCTCGGGTAGTCTCATTTTTGCTTTGATGATGGATGTAAAGCCTAATGGATTTTTAAGCCGGTATAGTAAGTATCTTTATTTATTTTGAAGCAGATTTTTTAAACTTATTTCACAAGAAATTGGAAGATAATGTCTTTCTTTAAAAGACATTATACACTCTTAGTAGAAGCCTTCTGTCGAGCACTGACAGAGGTGCCTCAGGACTTTTGATTTCACCTGGTGTGACAAAACTCAACCAGTCAGCTATATAAAAAAACAGACAAGTTAATAATTTAGAGTCTATTTGAATGATTTTGAAGATGATGCTCTTTTCTTTGAATGTTTTAATTGAAAACTTAAAAGTACAATACACTTACAGCTTCCTTTTTGGGCTTTCAGCCTTCTAAGATTAAACTTCCTTCTCTGACTTCAGAGCTGTCATCCAGGACCAGATGCTGTTTCTCTCACTGTCACACCCTGACTCACTTGTGTCCTTGTCCTTTCCTTAGTCCTGGCCCTGATGCTTTTGGAGGTCCAGGGAAACCCTGTGATTCTCGGTCCTCTTTACCCCAACTGCAAAAATGATGTGAGCAACACAAAGGACTTATCGAAATTGTCGGAAAAAGAAACAACTGACCTCCTGGAAGTCTATGTAAGTACCAGCCAGCTCAAGAGCAGCTTCTGCTGCTGGTGCAAACAATCAATGCAGCCAGTGGTCTTCAGTCTTGAGGATTCATGAAAAAACTCACAGCTGTTGGTACAAGATTTGTGAGTCTATTTTATTTAGCTGTGTTCGCATTTGTGCAAAACTCCTGAAAACAGCCTGCATTTTTCCATGTGTGAATGCAAACAGACAATTTTCAGTCCAAATTTAGTAGAATTGTTTCTGCCAGCCACAAGTTTTGGTAATGCACTGAAGCTGTTCTAAACGTTTATACAATGCTTACTGTATAAATCTTCAATGATTTCATATTAAAGAGAAGTTTCCAATGAGTTAAATTTTTATATATTTAAGCAGCAAAGATTCAGAACTAGGGAATCTTTAGATAGTTGATTGAAAGCAGGATACACTTTTACATCAGGAGAAATACTTTTGCATGCAGGACTGAATCAGCATCTCCGTGTGATATTTCACCCATGCACAACTAACCACATTATTCAAATGATTTAACTCCACTGGAATTGATACCAAACCTGCTCCTTACTTTGACTCCCACTGTTGACTGGAGCACATCTGCGTGCACATCAAAAGATGATTCAGTATTATTAACTCTTACACACTGTGACCTATTTTTAAATAACTTCCTCATTGCTGTCTCGCAATGCCTTGGAGAAAAAAATAGCCAGCAAGGTTTTGTGGTCTATGGTGACAAATAAACACAATTTTCTTCCACATTAAGAGTGACTCAGCGGATTACTCTTTCAGTGTAAAAACTTACAGGTGGAGATGTTCAGTTTGCATAACAGTATGGGTTTTATAAATGGAATTACATTTTAAACCGTAGCGCTGGATTTAAACATAGATTAACCACTTTAGGTGCAAAAAATATTCATTATATTGCACAACTTTAATGCACTAAATGACTATTACTGAAGAAAAAACTACAGTATCAAAGAAAGGATTTACATCAATAATGTAACTTTAACTGCTAGAGACTGCAGAATCAAACTATAACAACTTCAGCTATTCAGATCATTTGAATGAGACTTCAAAATCAAACCAGTGTTTTTATCTTTGAACAGGACAAATGTCATGGTACTTTCGATATAAACAAGTGTAGATAATCATCTTTTTTCATGACACTTAAGAGACAAAAATGAGACCGAAGATTCTTGTAATAAGTAAAAAAAGATGCACTGGTGGGGCTTTCTTTTTTCTTAAAGTCTGAGGTAGTTTTTTTTCCCCAAAATAAGAGTCATCTCACAATAAATTTGCACATAATATTTTTTTTATATGCCTTTTTTTATCACAAATATGACAAACCAAAAATGTATGAGGAATCTTTGGACTCTAAATTTATTTTTGCTGTTAACTGACTTTTCATGACAACTGGTGCCTTTAAATCGTCAAAAACATTTATTGAAAGAAAATATCGTCCATAAGGCCATCACTTATAATATACCACAGGCAACCGCTTCCAAAGAAGTCATAATGTGGTTAAATCATGAATTTTTACATCTTTGTAAGAGCGAGTAAATTTCTTTCAAGACTGTGATAATACTGTGATATTTTATGGCCATAAAACTGTGAGACAAAAATGTGATATCCTGATTTCAAATATTAGATCATGTATAATAATTAAATTCTCTTTCTCTGTCCCAGTCCAAATATCACGGATCCTTCAGTGATTCAACTCCAAAGGACGTCCCTGATCCAGCAGTATCTGGAGACAACTTCCCTGCGAAGCTTCTCAACATCTACTCCAAGGATGAGCTCTTTTCTCTGCACATTTTGAAGGTAGAAGAATATCAAGAGGAACTCGGGGGGAATTACCAAGATTTAAAAAAGAACCTGTCACAAGTCAAGGTTGAACTCCCTCGCCTGGTACTGAAATTAACAGAGATTCTCAAAGGACTGGACCCAAACACACCTCTACCACCAAAACCAGAGCCACTAAAATTAAACCATGACAATGACTATGACAAGCAGAAGTACGGCTGGCAGGTCATAAACACGCTCAAGTCCTGGCTTTCTCAGGTGGTCCAGGCGCTTGAAGAAGGAGAGAAAGAGTGTGATGGCTAGACAGGTTTTTTTTTTTTTTTATGTAGCAGCTTTTTCTTTTCTTATCTTGTGGATTCTGCAAGGCGGAGGAGGAGGCCATCTTTCATGCTTCAGCGCAGCCTTCTTTTGCACTTGCACTGTTTGAACTGAAAGACCTGTTCAGCATCTTTTGTATTTATTTGTGTAATTAACCTGTTATTTATGAATATTTATTGGTTTAAACATGAAATAATGTAAGTTAAACCTCAGACTATTGCATAACTTATTATTGTTTTTTTATGTTTGTTATCCCAATTTCTATTTTATTTTATTTCCATATTTATAATAAAGACTGAACTTAGCACTTTAAATACAATTATGTTGTTAAACACTGTATTTTTTAAACCCATATGCCACACATTGGAGTTTTTCAGCTTTAGAATAAAAGGAAAATTCAATCAAAACAACGAAGATGTTTAAAAGACTTTTAAAATGGTCATCTTGATTAAAACAAATGTTGAACTCTGTGCCTCAACATGCTTTCTCAGGTTAAATGATGACCTTTGTGTATGGTACACATAAGAAAGTAACTGTTCAAGATAAAAATTCCACTAAGGTGCTTTGTTGTGTCTGTTTTATATCTGTTTATGTAATAAATGCCAATTTTTTGTAATCACATGAGAATACTGAGAATATTTATTGCTTCAGTACGAAGTATTTTCACATTTCTTTGAATTAAAAAAGTGAAAAATGTCTCATATAGGCAGACTGTCCTCACTCTGAGATAGTGCACTGCTGGTTTTTGCATTGCTCTTGCCCACTGACATCAGTCTGAGTAGCTGCACCTGTACGCTCAGCTCATAAATGTTCACGGCTATCTGGAGATATTTTATTAAATCTGACACAAAGTGTATGTTACTGTTGTAAACATTTGCCACCCTGGAGTTTTGTTGTTGAGGTTGTTATTGTTTTTAAGTAAAATGTGCCTTTTAAAAGTGCAGCTGTATTTTTATTCTCCCTCCAGGTATCATTGAGAGGATCTTAACTATGGTGTGCTGGCAAGGACAGAAAGGCAAATAATTGAAAAAATAGCATGGTAATACCTGACGAGGCATGTCTGCAGCCCTGCAAAATTAAGGCATTTAATGGTGGTCCTCTGAGAGTCTTAGATCTTCATCCATGTATACCAAACATTATATCAAGTGAAATAATTATATTTTATACACTGGGAGGGCACCTACTAGGGCCTTTTTTCAATCCTCCAATTTGTGATCAGGAGTAGTATACTTCAAAATAAAAGCATAGTTTGGCTGTGTCGAAACCAGAACAATACAGATTTTTTTTTTAAATAAAAGCATGACAAACACACTGCAACAGCGAAAGTACCAGGAAAAAACTCCACTTTTACTCAGTGATGACCAGTTTGCTACAGTAATACCCTGTTACTCCCTCAACTCCTTTATCCTGGTAAATATTGGAAATTATACAGTCATGCTGGTAATAGAAACAAAAGATGTGTATGGAAAAAATGAACTGAGCAAATCCTCCACTTTTAACTACCTCTGACAGATTTAGTGTGGTAATGACTCTGATATAATAATTTAATTCCCGGGAAAGTATAGATTATAGATAGAGTGTGGTTGGTACTTCATTGTAAATTACTTGGTTTGATTAAAGTTGTTGTTTTGACTTTTATTTAAAATCTCAGAAACTACAAGAACTAACCTGTTATAATCATCAGAAATATGTACCTGAGAGGAGCCTTTAAATAACCAGCTCAACACCTGAATGTTTACCGTGTCAGTAAGCTGAAACTGACTGTCTCCAAGGTATTTCTCTTTAACTGCTTATAAGTGTGTTTTGTTTAGTTGCATGTTTTACCACATATATACTAAGTAATAAGGAGGCTGCTAGATAGAGATTAACATGTTATTAAATTCAGTTTGACTTTTTTGATGTGTAAAAAGTCTAAAAACTTCCAACTGTAACATTCAGTTTTTAAGCCCACTTATTGTTTACCTTAGCCTGTATAACACATAATATATGTTTAGATATAAGATACAATCAAACTGTGGAGTTGTGAAATGTAATTAAAGGGTTAATCCATAGTAAACCTGTTGCCCTGAGAGGGCATCGTCAGGTTGTGGTTAACGTCACATTTGCGCACAGGAAGTTGGCGTGTGAGGGGGATCTGAGAGGAATGAGTCGACTTAACCTTAACATGTCATCACAAAAGGGTGCGATAGACAGTTGACGTATATCAATGGCTGTCAAAGTGAGAAATTAGAGGTGAAATGATGTAAAGAGGGGAACTGTTTTCCTTGATAGTGAGTTGGGAACTTAAAAAAAAATGGTAAATAATCATTGATAATGAGAAGATGAACCACAATTGAATTTCCCTTTGGGGATCAATAAAGTTATTCTTATTCTTACATCAAATAAATCAACTATAATCCAAATAAGCAACAATTACCAACAGTTAAATTAAATCTGTTTTTTTTCTTTTTCTTTTTTTTTTTTTTACAAGTAATGCAGCTTTCTCTGAATTTGCAAAGTGTTTCTTTCACTTTTTAAAGGAATGTTTCCTATCAATTTTCATCTTTGCTCATTTGCAGTTTTTTCTGAGAGTGCTGACCTGATGATTGAACCCAATCTTTATCAGTTTTCTACTTAACTTTCTTTATCAAAGGATATGGCCAAGGAAGAGATAGGGGAAGTTTTTTTTTTTTTCTCTCTTTCACACGCCCCGGTTAGAGCTTGCAAATATAAAAATGAACCTGTGTGATTGTGTTGCATTACAAAGCAAATCATTGCTCATCATAAAAGGAAAACTAGAGCAGAGGAAGAATGAACTCCAGAGCAGGTAAAGTATCTCAAACATTTTACTTGCTTTCTTTAGAGATTAATAATCCAGAAGCAATGAACAAGTGCTTGCAAACTTCATGTGATGGTGTACTTTTGTTTGCAGGTTTTCTGAAAGTTGAGCACATCTGCATGCTGGCTCTTATTCTGGTGCAAAGCCTGGATGCAGGTCCTGTGCTTCAGCACCCTGCAGGTGTTTCATGCAGGCCCAGAGAGCTGACAGTCCTCAGCAAAGGTCTGGTGGAAGAAAGCATAATACGTTTTGTAAGTAATGAATCAAAACATATTTTTGCAGAATGTCCAAGGGTAGTGCATTTGTCACAGATGCTGCATTCATCAAGATTTAACTTAAACTTCAAGCTCAGACATTTTCAGTTTTAGTAGTAGAATGATAAGCAAAGATTAAATCTATTTAAAGGCTGTCTCTGTGAAGTTTTGCCCTCAATGCAGCGGCAGCACAAAAGGGATGATTTGACCTTTTGCTTCTGCAAAGAAATATCACAATGTCATTAAAAGTGCAAGCACTTCAGTTCTACAGCAGTTGTTGCAGCTTCACAAAGATAAGCAGGTATACAGCAGGTATACATGTAACATACATATATATATATATATATATATATATATATATATATATATATATATATGTATATGTATAGATAGATAGATATGTTGCACTTGGTGAATGTAAAGTAGTTCTGAGCTACTTTATCTCCATGTGAAGGATATTATAAAAGCTAAACATCAAGATTGACCCATTAACGAATTTTTCATCTTTATTTACAACATGTCAAATCTTAAAGAGTCACTGGCTGGTGTTTGATATAAATCCTTTGATTCTGTAAGGAATAAAGATATGTCTCAAACATATTGCAGCCTTAGAAAACCACAACCAGATTCTAGATTAAAGAATTTATACAAGACTTTACGTCTACATATATCAAATATTATGTTTACTGAAGTATAGTAATATTGTTTCACATTTGAATTGAAGTCCATTTTATGCACATTTTATTGAACCTGTAGACGCACCAGTGCTATTGCTCAACCCTGTCATGAGAGTCAGAACACTCACAGGTTTATCTGCGGATGCTCTGATTGCACAAGTTTGTCGTTTTTCTTGGTAATGCTGGTTAACTGAAGTGGGTATCATCACTCAGGAAATGTGGCACCCCAAACGCTCAATCTCCTGTATGCTATCGAATATTTACACAAGAATTTGTCGTAGGAATTCATCAAATTAGGCTACCAGAGACCATCTAGAGGATCTTTTACATTTCAAAGTGTATTTTCCAGAGTTTTGTATAAAAAAATGAGAACCAGAAGGCACTACTTTTATACAGTATCCACCTAAAGGGCATCCAGGTGGCACTTTCAAAATGTGTATGCGGTGCAAAGGCATCAAAAGGTACTTTTTAAAATGTTGTATCCACTGGAAGGGAATCTAGAGGAACTTTTGTCACCCTTAAATGAACGACTGCTAAAGCAAAATTTTAGGTTTTTCAACGAAAAATTTCAATTGAAAATGACCCCAAAGAGACACTTTATAACGTTTTATTTATATAGGGAACTTCCATAGAGCATGGTGTTGGTGTTTTTTCTGTCCCCCCTTCTCCTGACTCTGTAATTCATTTCTGGTTGGTCTCCTCTTCCAGGAAAAGGCGAATGGGAAACACCTCGGCACTTGGTCTCCAGGCTTTCCTGAGCTTGAGGTCCACAAGAACTCCTCTCTGAACGGGCCAGAGGCTCAGTGCAGCCTTCTCTTCATGGTTAAAGGACTGGAGAAAGTCCTGCAGGACCAGAAGACCAACCTGAATCCTGAGGATCTTCCACTTCACCAGAAGCTCAAAGAGGCCATCTCCAGGGTCAACATGCTCGCTGGATGTGTGAAGGAAATCCTGGGAGGGGAGTGCTCGCCAAAGCCTTCCCCACCCACCATGCCGAAGCATGTGTTTGAGAGGAAGCAGTGGAGCCACACTCTGCTGAAGTCAGCGAGGGACTATCTGAACTGGATGGAGGGCAAGTTTGAAGTCCAAATATCAGTGAGCCAAGCGAAAAGTGTACTAAAACGTACGGCTTCCAGGGCAACAGCCAAAGGGAAAAATCAGGCAGCACGCAAAATTACCCCACGTAAGAATTACTTTGAGGGGAGCGGATACTTCCTGTAATTTTTGAGTTACCGATTTTCTCACAGTGGTGCAGCTTTTTCTAAAACATGCATTTTAAAAAAAAATATTTTTTAATGTTGGCATGTTTTATTTTCATAAAGTTTGAATAAATGGATGGATTCAATACTGTTTTGTTATTCTCCTTATTCGTAAATAGGCGAAGAAGCATTTAAAATAGCAGTTTCTGTATGAGTATTTCTGTTAGCTCGCTATGCTAAATAGAGGCTGCCATCTTGTTTTGGTCTGTCAACCAATCAGAGACTGCATCTGCAATCAGCCTACCCGTCCAGTGATCCCTGATACAGAGATCAGTTTGCTCAAAGCACCAAAAAAAAAATAGTACTGTAGATAAACATGTAAACATACTTGATCTTTCTTTTTTACTTTAATGGTAACAACTTCCCTTCAAGACATTTAAAACTTAATTTTATTCATAAGTTAAAAACATTAACTTTTCCTGTTTTATTATAATTTTCCATGAGGAAGTGCTTTCTATATAAAACCTCTTAAAAGGGGAGCTCATCTTATTTATTTGAGCTAATCACATATCTCTTCTTAGAGCTCCAAAATCAAACTTTTAGCAAGTCTGCAAGTTTATTTCCCAAATTATCCCCAAAAACTCTCCAAAGATTGAGTCAAAAACTGCCATGTTCAAATAAATGAGCTTTTCTCCACCAGCAGACATCGCTCCCATGTGACAGTCATTAATCAACTTGCCAAAGAGGCGCTGAAAAGGACCTCTGATACATTTCTTAATTACGCCAGTTTGTTTGCTCAGCCTTCACGATGATTAATTGTTTCGCAGTGGTCACACATCCCTTGTGAGCAAGCTACGGTGCCCGAGGTAGAGAGACAAGCTGATAAAAATCACCTTCAGTGTGAGAGAGAGTTTGGACTCCAATCACTGTACTTCACAGCAGATCTGAGGACAGATGGACGGAGCTCAGAGAGGATGATAAGTCTGTCAAAGTCCCATCATACCAACACAGAAAAACAACACTGTAGGAAAGATTAATGTGGGGCACAACCCACTCAAATCAAGTGATCAATTAATATTTAATAGAAGATTCAGTGTCTCATGGGTCTGAAGCATCTTCAGATGAGATGTAGACAACATAGTTTCACTTAATTTGAAGATGACTGTTTGCTTATGAGTTATTTCCATTACGATAATACTCATTAAAGAAAAAAATACTGTTACTCTCCAGTGTACATGACACTGATTGATCATTAAGTTCTCTTTACTGTACAGTGAGCTTACCTATAAAAGATAAGTGATATTTTAAGCCTTTGATTGCTTCATGTGTCTTTTGGCCATGCTTGTTCTTCTTAATTTGGAGAAATTACACATGAATCCAGATTTTGCACTCTCTTCCTCATTTCCTCCTCTCTGGCATTACCACCACCCCCTCCAAATAAAGGGAGAAAAGGTCTGTACCACCATTCACCATTGAGTTAATCCAACCAAGTCCATTTCACAGTCACTTTTATTAAATAGAAGTTTCACATGCATGCACTATAACACAGAAATTATGACACATTCTTTGCTGTTATTTCAAAATATCCAACAAAACATCAAACAGCTGTTTTCTTCCTCTAAATGATGCCTAGTCTACGATCCAGACTGGTCTGAAACGGATTCTTAGGGATGAGCTGCCAGCTACGTATAATGAACTGATGATCATCACGGATGAATGTATGACGCTACTCTGCACTTATGAAGTGTAAAAATAATCAAATCATGTACAGCATTTGTCCAGTTTGAGGCTGATCTTAGGGGTCTAAATCTCAAAAACAGTTTGTGGAGAGTCTCTTCTTCTAGCACCATAAAGTGTCCAAACAGGGATGTTTTGTAGACCCACAGCTCTCCCTGTACTTCCTGAAACTGGATTCAAGATGGACCCTCATACAGGAAGCAGCTCTGGAGGACTTTCTCCGTAGCAGTACTTAGCTTGAGGGTTTCGATACGTGTTTTCATGTTGAACACTCTGCATGAAAGGGAGAAAAAAACAAAAAAACAGGTCAGCAAACTTCAAACATGTACAGATCTTTCAGTGATCATGCAAATGCACTTTTTGTATAAATCCTTTAGAAAGTGATGACAGTAAAGCTGATTGTGCAAGAACAGGACCGTCGATGTGATGTTACATTTGCTAGTAATGCATTAATTTAACGATCACAAATGAAAAAAATTCTTAATAATTGGGAAAACTTTTAAACTTGCTGTGTACAGAAGAGCAGAAAAACATATCAAACATAACCAGCAGGGGCGTAGGTAGAGCAAAGGTCAGGCCAGGACAGAATTTGCGTAACATGTACTTTTGACTTGAATGCAATCAGCTTATAAGACTCATACGAAGAAAAGCAGCAATTGAAGTTTTGCACAAACCACTGTTGATGAGTAACACTTAAACACTAAAGAAAACAGAGCATATCATCAATCTGGCTTTCACTGCTGAGTCAAGTATGAACCTGAATGATGAAGACACAAGCAGGATGTGTGGTTATAATGGGAAAACATCATGATAAAGCAGATGTGTTTGTTTATGTTTGTCAAAAGTTAGGATTGTGGTCAGTCAGAGGGGACTGTTTGACATTTTATCTGCCTCTCTACATACTTGTGAAGAGGTTCTACACTTGGCGAGGCACAGCTCAAAGTGATCCTCCACCGCAGTGAAGAGATTCCGAAAGCCATCGGCCGCACGGTTCAGGAAGCGCTCGAGAAGAAGTTGCTGAAGAAGATAAGAGGACGATGCAGATTTTAATCTCACTTTCTTTGTCCCCTCATATTCACGGCTAAGTAAAAAATGCATGTGTGACAAAAAGCATCTAAGTTCTTGCAGGATGCTGCACATGAAAAGGTTTAATCGTTCGTGGTAATCGGTTTTACCCCTGCCCCTGAACATCCTTGATGGGTCAGATTACCTTATCAGGCTGGAGGCAGCAAGACACACAATACTCATAGATGCTGCAGCAGCCGTTGGCAAGGCAGCTTTTACAAATGTACTGTCTGGTGCTGGGAGCGTTGACGTTACAGCAGCCGTTAATCAGCAAGTCTTTCCTCTCGCAGACATAACCTGTCAAACATTAACAAAGATAAGAAAATGCACTGATTGATTCACAGGAAACAAAACACTTCTCAATATTCGTCACTGTATAGATATAAGTAACTACGATGTGACTCACCCAGTTCGTCTGTGAGAAGCGCTTTGCCCTGGATAGAGTTTCTGCACTGAGTGATCTGCCGGCTGCTGTTTCCCAGGTTGAAGCGGACTTTCCAGGGGATGCGGTGGTCTGGGTCTCTGGCCTCTAAGAGTGTGCGGTCCCTTATGGTCCGCTCCTCCTAAACAATTCACGCAGAAGATTCAAATATGAGGACAAATTCAACAAAGATTTGAGTTCATGCAGACAATAAAATGAGGTTGTGTTAACTGTAAAAGTATAAAATCCATCACTTACTATTTAGAGATAACCCATAAATAAGTGTGAGAAACCTTTTAGATGAATACATAAAAAAATGCAGATTTCAGCATTTGAAATGTGAATTTTCTCAAAATCTTCAAACCTCTTGATGTTACACTTGGTCATGTTGTGGTGTGTTTTAATAGTTTTTGATTCTCATGGTTTTGTGTAGTTTCATGATGTTTGTTTAGTAACTGAATGTCAAACTGGGTGTCATTCACTTGCAGCAAAACAAATCTACCTGTAGGTACTAACCTGATCTTGAACCTCACATTTTGAGGGTTTTAAATTTCTATTTAGAGGGTAAAGCAATCTTAGACTTTAGAAAAACAGTTGTTCATTTAGTTTTGGACCAAAATGCTGAAATCAACCCTTCCAGCGCCACAATTTTTTAATTCTTGATTTATTTTTCAAAAACTATCTTTAATGGAAAAACTAATTTTCTTTGGGTTTGGATGAGAAACATTAAGAATAAACAGTAGGAAGCAGGACACTTTAGCAGGTCATTTTGGGCTGTAAAAAAAGGGTTCCGTCACACTGACTTTTTAAACACATGGCTGTGACACAGCTGTGAGAAATAGACACTCCTCTTCTGCGTGTGTCATCAAGATACTGAAAAAAAAAATCAGGATCAACAGGAGTGTGTGCATGAATAGGTGAGCAATGGAAAATTCTCAAAATAGCAATCTTACTTTCAGTACTGCCTTAAAAATACTGATTACATACCACTCGTGGTAATCCAGTCCTCAAAACAGGTCAATGGCTCCCAATTCAATTCAAATCCACTTTAAAATCCTATTACAAGTCCATAAAGCTCAATGATTCAGCTCCTGGGTATATTTCTGACCCGTTCAACAACTATAACCCAATCTGGCCCCTCAGTTGGATGTCTTTTAGTCGTATCTAGAATCAGATCTCAGTCCGGCAAGGGACCTTTTGTTACTGAGGTCATGTTGTTACTGTCTCTACTTTTAACTTTTACTCATTATCTAAACGTAACTATGTGTTGGAGCATACATGCAAGCAGTTGTGTGATTTTTTTGTAGTATGATTTTCAGTGTGAGATTGCTGTGCTCTAAACGTGGCTTGTGCAGCAGATCACCAAAAGGATGATCAAAATTATTTTGATCAACATTGACTTTTAATTCCACTTCCTTCAAATTTTTGGGAACCTTTATTGGTACTTATTGTTCATTTTAAAGAAGAATAGCACATGGTACACATGTCTGTCCACTTCTTTCAAGTCTAAACAGCTCCATTAGATAAAAATCTGTTCCAAGATTGTTGGTCAACCACTGCAGGGCCTCTGTGAATCAGCTGACAACAAAACCATGCTGAGGTTGGCTAAGAACATTGCCTTGGACCTTAACCATGCTTCGAACAGTTACCCCCAAACCTGAGGTACCGGGTCCCTCCAGGGTCCTTTGTTTTAATAAGGTCAGACTGAAAACTATTGTGTCCACCAGTCAATTCTAACACTTTTACTTGGAATGATATATTTCAAGTTAATCAGAGGCAGATAACCTGAGCTTGCAAACATGTGATCACATCATACTCTCAGGTGTGTGCTCAAATACTGTTTCTTTGTCGTTTAAATGCGACTTGTAACTTTAGATTCACATTTTATAATGTTGCTGACAGCTGACTGCTCTGCTTTGCTCTCTCAGTCCCTCTGCTGCACTAACACACACTAGATCCTCCTGCACTCGGCCTGCTTTACTGTCTGAAAGAGAGGAAGCTTCATAAATAAAAGATTTTGTTGTAGTGGGTTGCATAATATTTCCTTGTGCAGTGAGTTTGTGTACCTGTTTGAGTGTGCTGGTGAGAAAGTAAATGAGAGATAGTCCAAAAACTACCCCCAGCACCCAGCGCTTTCTCAGTAACCTCCGCAGCACCATCATAGCATGACTCTCTGAGGGAGGATCCGCTGACAGAGACAGTCCAGACCATCACATAGGCTATAAAAAAGAGCAAAAGTCCGGCCTCGATCACCACAGTAAACCGGTATTTATCATAAAAGCCTGCTTTGTTAGCCTGTTAGCTAGCCGACGTTAGCATTAGCAATCACTCGTAGATAACCTGGATCCTGATAAAAACATACTAATCCGCTTTGTGGCAATCTGGAGGCATTATTAAGCGGCGCAGCTTCGTTCTGCGTTAAAATGTCGCTTCTGTGATGCCAAAAAAGAGAAACGGTGTCAATTATCCTGCGATATGACATCCAGCGTAAGCAAAACAAATCTCCAATACGGATATGTGTGTGTCTGGGAGAAGGACGCTGATTGGTCCGGTGGCACCCTGTGACAGCTACGTCATACAGGAAGTTCTCAACCTGCTGCTGCTGCTGCTGCTGCAGGACAATCGGAGCATCTTCTTGCTGCAACATCAGCCCAGCTAACCTGAAACCAAACATGACAAAACCTACAAGGCGATTCACCGGACAGATTCAGGTAAAGGAGTCTTGTTTTTATGTGCAGCTTACTGTCAAAAGCATGAAACACGCCCAAGGCAGGGAATAGCAGAAAACAAAGGATGAAACCCGGCCTCTCTCTCCATCTCTCTCTTTCTCTCTGTCAGTCAGTCTATGCTAATGCTGGTTTCTATCAGCAGGGTTGAACCATGTGGTGAGGAGCGGTATGCCATGCAGAGGAGACACAGCAGCAACACGGATGGCATGCCCTCTGAAAGGTGGGGATTAAAGGTCTTAGGAGCAGCAAATACAAACACACTGAGGTTATTTTATGTGAAAGCTCTTCTAAAGGTACCATCATCCACAACCCCAATCCCAAATGACTCAGTGCACGGTGTAAAATGATTATCAAAACATATGCTGGTGATTTGCACATCATGTGTATGAGCATGTGTATGATTGTGTTGCATCACCTCTTCTTTCAATAACACCCCTTAAATGTATTGAAATCACAAAGACTGGTTGCAGAATTTGGTCCAGCATAGTCTTCTTCAGCAAGGTGTTACCTAAGAAAGTCATTGTTTGAATGGCAGCATATGATACTCCAAAACCTGCAGGGGAGAGTGGGGTAAGATGAGCCATTTTTCATATTTCATACATCAAGGCGATCATAGTTTTGTCTCTAACTAGTGTATCTGCATATATTTCAAGATGTTGTGAATCCCTGCAAACCAACAAAATGAGTGTAAACATAACTGTCTTAAAAGTGGTCTCCTATGGTCAATTTACCCTGTGTATGGGGTAAGTTGACCATAGGAGTGGGGTAAGTTGAGCCGTATCCCTACTACCTCTTCACTCTCCACCCCAGCCCTCCCTCACCTTCTCTCTCCCTAAATAATAGTCACTTCTCCACATTTATGTGTATTTTTATCTATTATACGCTATTCAACTGGTACAGTAACTGCTAAAAAGCTGTTTTGTAAAAAGCCATTTTAACACGAGAATGTCTTTAAGTGATTCAGAACATTCACAGCTGTATTTTTGAAAAGAAAAAGTAAGACATTTCAACAATGTGAACTGAAACTCTGATCCTCTCATCAGACTCTTTTACTTTCTCAGTTGAGCCGCTGGCTCAACTTACCCCTGAACTACTATTATGACTTTATTAGTCCTCTAAGCTAAAATGGTGGACTTTTATGCTCATAGATACCACAATCGATGTATAAAACAAATTTAAAATTATCTTTTTTGGTCTGAACACAATTCTAATTAAACTTATGACAGACTAAATTCACTTTGAAGAGTGAAAAATGTTTTTTTGGTAATAAATGTCTAACCCCTTCACCCATGTGTTTCTAACCTTCACAGACTCCACGAATTGTTGCCCATCTCCTAAATATTTGGTCACATGATTAATTTCTTTTACCATTACCAATTCCAATTCAAATGAGCTCAGACCAAGAGAACTCACTTTTGCATTTATGTTTTTTTCTTTGCATGGTGCAGTTTTAACCTTCAATTGTGGATGCAATGACAAGACGTGACAGCAAATGTGGTTTTGAGCCCATGCAGTGATTCCCACTACAGAGTCATAGCTGCTTTTAATGCATTGTGATCTAAGGGCCCCAAAGATCATAGCTATCTTGGATTAATCATTGGCCTCATCCATTTTTGGCTCTGATATTTCTACAGGGGTTGACCAATATGACAAATAAAAGGATGCTTCTTCCAGGATTATGATTTTTCTTAGTATCCTCTCCTTTTTTTCCACTCAGGAGCCGAAGCCAAACTCTGGGATCAGAGAGCAGTCTGGATGAGGGTGGTGTGTTTGACTGCCTGAAACCCGACTCACCCACTTCCCCCCAGCAGATCTTCTCTGGCTTGGTTGGTGTCCCCTCCAGCTCTGTCTCCTCTGCCCAGTTTCAAGCTGCCGGTTTAGTCCTGGGCTCCCCCCCTGAAGTTTTTATCCAGATGACTGCGTCGTCCAGAGAGGAAGGTGGCTCTCACCGCACAGAGGGTGGACCTTTTCTTCCTCGCCAACCCCCGCACCACCATCATCATCACCATCACTTCCATCACCAGCCCCTTCAGCACAGGACCTCCTCCCTGCTCCAGCAGGCAACCACAGGGGCTGCTTCAGAGAGGCACAGCTCCAGGGAGGAGACCCAGGAGGACCCATCCACTCCTGCTCCAGCCCTGTCTGAGTTAAAGGCAGTGGTGACGTGGCTGCAGAGGGGCTTCCCATTCATCCTTATTCTGCTGGCTAAGGTCTGCTTCCAGCATAAGCTAGGTAGGTTGACTTTCAGAGTAGTGGTCTTATTTCTCAATAAAAATCAGCAGCATGACACCTGGTTGAGTAATGATTTAACATCTCTCTTTTGCAGGTATTGCTGTGTGTGTGGGCATGGCCAGCACATTCGCCTATGCCAATTCAACATTTAGGCACCAAGTTTCATTACGGGTAAAAGTCATTTTCTTCCTGTGCTTAAATACGTTTAAAGACACTTTGAGCAGTTTTTAATAGGGTAGGTTTCAGGCTCAAACTGAGGCCTCTTTATGACCTTCAAAAGAAAACAAGACCACCAGAAGCAAGGTAGAAAATAATTCTGGTCTAGTTTTGGATGCTTGAAATCTGTGCGAGGGAGGAGGGGCAGACCAGATGATTGACAGCAGGCTGAGGAAACGGCTTAAAAACACAAAAAACAAAAATACTTGTATTTCACAGTGATTGATACTTTTAATTGTCTTAAAATGACAGAAAGAGGTATTTGTCTAAAAATTTCAAGATGAGGTATGACCTCAGACCGATGGGGGCGCCAGAATCGACACAAACCCAAAGATCCTCATGGCAGCTTAAAAGAAAGTGATGTTTAAAACAGCCAGTGTGGTAGTTCAGTTCAGTTTGTTTTTGTCTCCAGGAGGAACGCTCTGTTTTCATCGCTCTGTGGATCCTCATGTTCCTCTCAGGGAATGTCGTCTACATCTACTATACCTTTAGTCAGGAGGAGCTGCACAACAGGTCTTTCAAACACAACTATATTTTTTAGAGTATTCTCTGTGTTTCTTTACCTGCCATCTTTAGTTAGACTCAGTTTTGGTTTTCATTCATTTCTGCGCATGTATGAGCCATTTTATTTTTACATCCATTTCCTTTAGGAAGTGTTCCTGTTCTTGTTTGGTCTTGTTCTGTGAGTATTTTGTATTTATTTCATTGCTTTGTTTCTTACATTTTGTTGCTCTGTTGTCATTCCACTGTCCTGAGAGAAAGCATCAAATCCCTCCTGTTAAAAAAAGTCCTCAACATGCTCTTTCCCTTCATATATATATATTTCAGCCTCATGTTTGCCAAGCCTAACCTCAGCAGCTTTGATTTCTTCGACCTGATCTGGGCCGTGGGTATCACTGACTTTGTTCTGAAGTACTTCACCATCGGACTGAAGTGCTTCGTTCTCTTTCTGCCTAAGATTCTTCTGGCCTTTAAATCCAGGGTAAGAACCCTACAGTCATTGCTCTCAGACCCTTAAAACACTGATAGAATCTGGGACTGTTGATGTATATATATTTTTATATATTTGCATGACATACAGATAGTGCATTCCTGCAACAGTTGCAGAGCTGCAGGATGTGAAGTTTTTTTTATTAATTGTTAATTATTAATTTATTTATTGTTTATGCAATTTTAACTGAATATTAGATTTTATCTTTTACAGCACAATTCTCAGTTTCAGAATTTGATATCTTGTCATTGCACTACTTTTAATTGTATATGGGCTTAAAGTGATTTTACCACCACCAAATTCTGTTTTCATAAACCTTCTGCAGTGTCCCAACTTTTTACGAGTGGGAGTTTTAGTTTTTAATTGCTGTTTATAACTGGTCTTAGTCGGAGCCCAGCATGCATATGATTGCAGTTTCTGGCACAGCCAGTTCATGCCAGCCTTTTGTAAATTTGATCACCTGTCCAAAACAAGATTTATACAAAAGTCTGATCCAAACTGAATAATCTCATGTGGCTGTAACTCTGCACTTTCTTCCAGCTGCTCCACAGTAACAGTGTAAGGGTGGCTTTAAATGAGTTACCGAGTGTGTAAAATCTTGTGTTGCACAGATGGAAAGACTTGAAAACTCAATTTAAGTTCCTGGTTTTCTACCACATTCATGTCCACCCTTCACAGGTCATAAACAATGATCAAGTCACAGGAAGTTCAGTTGAAGTTGTGAAACTTTTTCCAAATTTAAGAAAAGAAGAAATGCTGAACTATGATGAAATACTCCACTGAGTGAAGAAAGCGCTAAAGGGTCACAGTGTGAAACTGTTTTGTATTCATAAGGTTTTAAATGGTACTTCCTTAGGTGAGCTTGTGTGTGGGGATGTCTGTGTGAAGGCTTTGTGTTGCCTCAGGCTACAGAATATGTCTGCAAACACTCACAGACTCTGATAGAGATAGTTTGATTTCCATACAGGTGCAGGGTGGAGAAGAAGAGGAGAAGTGTGTGTTTGTGTGTGGGGGGGGGGGTATTAGGATTACATTTTCCACTGATAAACAGACCTACAGGCCTGTCAGAACCACAGCCGCCTGCAACTGAGCTCATTTACCCTCGAGGGGGTTACAGGGGTGAGGTCATCCCTCCCTGGAGCTGGACCATTACCTGAACCCTCCACTCACGCACACACACACACGCACACGCACGCACACACAAAACACCTGTAAACTACACACACATAAAGAGTTGGACAGATTTGATAGGATACATGGTCACTCTCTTCTATTATTTTGAAAGGCTGAACAGTCATGTCTATTTTGAACTCCTATGAAGTCACTCCATCAGCCCGTCCACTTCATTAAAGCATCTAGCAGCAGATAAACTGATGATCCTACATAATCAGAGCAAGTCTGCACAAGTGAGGATGCACACAGAAGCTTCATCAAGGCTTTGTTTTCGCTTTAAATCATATCTGCTGCTACTCTTAGAGTCCATTAAAAGTATGTTGTTCACCAGTATTTTCATTATTGTGCAATCCTCTGAGTTTCGTGATACATGAAGTAGTTCCTGAATTTAGTCATCTCTAATAACCAGTTTATTTTTGTTCTGCTGGTGTTCATTGACATGTCATCTGTAGGCTGCACACTCTATATTTCCTTTCTGATACCTCTCAATAGCTTTACGTGCTTTTCAGATGACAAAAGTCTAAAATTTCTCACTCTGGTGTATTAAAGCATCATTATTTCAACCTCTGTCTGAAATGCTTCATTTTAGCTGCTGTCTCTTTAAGGCCACCCAATCTTAAAAGTCGTCCTTGTTGGTTTTCAAAGAGCAAAAACAAATCCCAAATTCATCCTTTGTCCCTGAAAGACAGTAAAAAGGAGATGGTAGGACTGGCAGGAGGAGGATTAACTATACACACAGCGCCTTCCACAAGCTGATCAGGATGAAAATTGAGAACAGATATCTTTTCTCCAACTTTCACAGGATTTCATACAACAAAAACTCTACAATTGTAAGCTCAAGCTGCCGAGGAGATTCCAGTTACCCCCAAGAAAGGTTATACAGAAAAATAGTCCTGTGATTTTAAATTTGAAGTTACGATTGATGTTTTTGCCAAAGCTTTGTATTTATTATCCACCTGACAAAAGCAAAGTGATGACGCCAAGCAGGAAACTAGTCAAACACAGCTCACAATGGAGCTTACTCAAACTCCTTGGCTTCTTTCCAAACTTTAAATTTGACATTTTTTTCTTTTTTTGCGTGGGCGTGATGGGCACTGTGGGATATGAGGCTGAGGGGACAATAAGGAAGACGAATTAGCCACTAGCAGAGGTCTTCCTCCCCTACCAACCTGGCTGCTCCAGGCTCTTTATCCACAGTCATCAATCTTTGTCAGCCAGCATCCAGGAAGTCATTATACAAGCTGGGATGCTGCAGGGGCCATCAGAGAATCAAGTCTGCCTTCATTTTGGTCACCTCTGTTATTTTACTGCCCCCAATTCACTTTTTAGACTTCGTGTCAGTGGGGACTTACTCTGAAGTTCATTCCTTCTGTGTGATTATTCAGGGGAGGGGAGGTTCTTGAAAGGCAGCTAGCAAGCCCCCCGTAGGGCTGGGTTTAATGCGGGCACTGGGTAGCAGGTGGAAAGAGCCGCTGCCAGTTTCCCTTGCAGTGTGGGGAAATTGCTTGTACTGCTGTGAAACTGCAGAGCTCTGGACAGCAGCCATGTTTGGGCTGGAGGCGTGCTGTTTTAAGCTTTTAATACCGCACTGCTCTTGACTAGATAGAAGAGTCCCCTGAAGCTGTTGAGTTCTTTCTGCTGTTTGGACAGTAAGTTAGTGGATCACAGACAGAACACAGTCTCAGTTTAGAAATCTTCATTTTGTCGAAACTTGACTGTACCTCAAGGAGCTTTGGTTGGCTGGGGAACAAAGAAATTAATACTGTTGCCTCTCTTCGACCCATAAAAGCAAACTGAAGTGAAAGAGACTGAGTGTTTTTAGCTGCTACCCTTGAGAATGAAGAATTTAACTTCTAATTATTGAGCATAAAGTTTGATTGAAGCTCTCCTCTTTTGTGTATTCTCACCAGGGGAAGTTCTACCTGCTGATCGAGGAGCTGAGCCAGCTGTTTCGGGCCCTGGTGCCCATCCAGCTGTGGTACAAGTACATCATGGGAGAGGACCCGTCCAACAGTTACTTCCTGGGAGCCACTCTCATCATTATCTACAGCCTCTGCAAGGTAACCAGTGCCAGGGCATCCAAATATTTGGACACCCCCCAAAATAAAGAGCTGGAGAGACATTGTGATATTGCTGTTGCTCTTTGGTGTTTCATAAAGTTTGATGTGAAAGTCATAACGTCATTACAGTCAAATCAATTATTTCCACCACATTTCACATCAACTATGTAAAATTCACACATTAAAAAAAGACAAGACTTCTAGTTCATGCTACAGCCTTATCAGTCAGTGCGTCCATTTACTTTAAAATGTCCATTTCTGTCAGGACGGAAAGCATATCGGCACTCTCCTCGTCGTTCCAAAAGTAGACATTCTTTCATGCTTCAGCCATGTTGAAGTTGCTTCTGAGTCGAAAGTTCTTTAAATGATAGTGCCACTTCTTTGGCGTGGCGCACGCACACATGCATTGTCCGATCATACTTCGACTACGCTGGTTACATGGTAGAGAAAATCGAATTCCAATCGCATTATCTGGGTGTCCTAATCAGAATTCTCCAATCGGAGTTCTCAAACTCCGATTACAGTCGGACTTGGGTGTTTACATGCACTTCAGTTGTCCGGTCTTAAATGGAGTAAGGCAATAATTGGGTTTTCTCAAGTGTCATGTAAACGTACTGACTGAGAACTCATTGTTCCCAGAAGATGATCCCTGAAGTCAGTGGTGATTCCCTTACATACTTACATATTCAGCTACTAGTGAACTGACAGCTTTTTCGTTGGAATTCCATAACATTATGATTCATTATCCACTCAGGATGAACCTAGCCACTTTGAATACCTGAGAAGAGAGGGACAGCATTCTCTCTGTCAAATAAACTGCTGTTTTGGAGGCCTTAACATGACCCAAAACATACCTAATTTTGCACATTTCAAAATGAGCTTCACTTGACAAAAAAATCCCCTTGTACCCAAACCTGACAGGGGTCATCAAAAATCCAAATTAGCCCTCCCTTTGTATTGGAAAGAATAAGGGGTTTCATTTTATCAACTCCAAATATGGACAGGGTATTGTTGATTCATTGAAGACCAAAAAACGTTTTGAGCCTAGAGAGCTTGTAAGTTGGTGTGGCCCTTTAAAGATAGGAATGTCACCATGAGACATGAAGTTGGTTTAACTCAGCTATGCATGTTCCAATCTGACCCAAACGAATAGTAGTATGTTAAGGGTTCAGGCCTGAGGACTTTCATATGGGAATATTTGATCTTAGTTATAGCGCCCCCTATAGCAGGGGGTACAGGCACTAAATCTTGACGTGTGCAAAAGTGCGAGGGCTTGTTCATGGATGCTTATGGCTTTATCATCTTTAGATTCCTGACCTGTGGAAAACACTGTTACACCATCTGAAGATTGAAGATTAGCATGTTTCCATGCTGGTATCCGCTTTTAGCTCACATCCTACTGTAAAGGAGTATAACTCATTTGTTGGGATATTGAGAATTATCGGTGTTCGTATAAATCGAGAAAATAGAAACTATCTGCATTATTTCTGCCACTCCTGGTGACACTGAACGTAAGAGGTTGTGGGTTTTTCTGGGGAAATATTAAAGCTATGAGTCACAACAACAAACAATAAGCTGAAATAGTGAAACACAGTGGAAGTTGAAAAAATGAAACTCTGATGTAATGTACTCAGCAAGGCTGTTACCAACAATGTGTCATCCTGCGTGCGATGTGTTTTCAAATATAGCTTAAGCTTTTTTAATGACTGTAGTCACTCAGCGGATGTGGTCGCTGATTACAGCCATATTTGAGCCAAAAGGGTTGGACAGTTAAAGGGGTGTGTGCTCTGACGTACAGAACAGTGGTGTTTTCCATCATCAGCCCATATTAGGGCTGCGTCAGGCTGAGGTGACGGATGTGAATCAGTTGTTGATGGACATCATGTTTGTCATGCCCCTGTGTCGCAATTAGTTACAATTTGTAGGTGTTGAAAGGAAAGGGCCTTCCTTTAACGGAAAGGAAATATTTACGTGTGATTTCCAAGAAATCAAGAACGTTTAAAAACTACAAATGACTCGAGGTTTAAAAGTAAACTTTAGACTTTATTTTTAACTAAATTAAATGAGAATGTCATAGTTATTATGGTAATGGTGCTCACTGTTGTTAAGCTCACACTTTTGGTCCCCAGAGGAGACTGGAATAAAACTTTCAAAGGACTCAGATTAGACACACTCTCACAATTTAAGACAATATGTCACCATCTTTATTCTGAGCCCATAAGAAGAAGAACTTTATTTATCCCTGAGGGGAAATTTAGTAATAACAGACTTTTCATGCAATTTTGAAGTCACACAAACTTCCAAAATCATAAGAGTTTTATAAAGGTCAGGGGGTGCTCTTGTCGTCTCTGTTGTTCAGTGCAGGGTGGTCTTAAAATTTATTCAAGACTGTTTTTTGCCCCTGTCTTGGTGTTACGATGCAATTAAACCTGTTTCATATTCAAAGTCTACGATGGAGGATAGAGTGGGAAACAGGAGAGAGAGTGAGGATTGAGGGAAAAAGTCTGTGATTACTGCGATAAAATTCACATGATTTGATTCTTACCTTGGAAAATTTGAAAATCACTTGAGGTGTTTGGTTTAAGGCTGGCATTAAGTAACCCTTTGAGTTTTCACAGAGCATCACTATCATGTTTATGTTTGTGGTTTTGAGTGAAATGTTGCAACAGAATTTGAATTAGTTTGGATTTTTGTGACATTGGGTTGAGTTGTTCTTAGTCACTACAAACATGAACTTTGTACTTTTTGGTGATTCTTTCACTTCCCACCCACTTTCATAATCAAGTCTGAGTTGTCCAGGATCTCATATCAAAAGCACTAACTTCCTATCATCCCCAGCTGCACCTTTAAAGAGAGGATCTTAGCATATCAATACTTAAACCCAGGCAATGAGCTTTATAATGATTGTTTCTATTCAGCAACATACAGGTGTGCTTCAAAAAGATTGTTTATGATTATAATAATATAAAAATTAAACTAACAAGTACGAGGAGAGTGCTACATCTTTGCTGAAAAGCTTCATGTAGTTGCTTTTTTCTGCTTTCTTTCATTCACAGTCCTTTGACATCTGTGGCCGTGTGTCTGCCATACGAAAAGCCGTGGTCATTCTCTGCAGCTCCCAGGTCAGAAACAGATGTAAACCACTTTAAATATCTAAGTAAACACCCACACAGATAAGCACAAGTTTTAGTTTTTATGTGTTAAATTCAGAATTTAACCAGAAAGGTTTCATCTTGAAAGTACAACTATAACTTTTCTCTTTCTCTTTTCTAGAGTTATGGAGTGAGGGCAGGAATTCAGCAGTGTAGTGAAGCTGGTGATGTTTGTGCAATCTGTCAGGCTGATTTCAAAGACCCCATTGCCCTGCTCTGTCAGGTAAGGACTCCTCAAAGTACGGTAGTTAGAAAAAGTCTGAGTAAGCCTCAATCATTAAGAGGAACAGATGAACTAATTTAGAGAGAGTTGAAGCTGAAAAGAAAGTGTTTGCTGCCCTCTTTGGTTAAATCTGAAGCCTGCCGACACACTGTTTGTTTCATCCTTTGCTGCTGTAATAATCGGTTAAAAGTGAACATTTTGTCGCCCTGTAGCATGTCTTCTGCGAGGACTGTCTGTGTTTGTGGTTCGACCGCGAGCGAACATGCCCGCTGTGCCGCTCCACTGTCATTGAGACCCTGCGATGCTGGAAGGACGGCACAACCTCGGCTCACTTCCAGATCTACTGAATCACACACAAATCACAGGCAGCAAGAACGATTAGATGAGTTCATGAATGTGAGTTGGTAGTATTTAGAGTGTTTTTTTTTTTCATTCATTCACTTTGGTAACTCTTTAAATCAGGATTACAGTAATTGCTGGTGTGATGGAGATTTTAATTTCAGAGGCATTTGTTTAAACTATGATCACACTGTTTTCTCTGACATCAGAAAAAGACACAGAAACCAAATATTGTCAGTTGCAGTTGGACTTTAGTCACAAAGTCATGACAATAGTCACATGTTTATGTGTTCATGTAGACTTACAGCTGTTGTCAACTTTGATATTTGTCTTTCATAGGTAAACATTATGAAGAATGTTAATTTCGTCATGTTACAATGTTAAAAACTGAGATAAATTCACAATATTTGCCGGTAATTTGTACAATTTTTATTGTTTTATTTATATTGGTGTGGTTGTATACTTTTTTTAAATCATTCAACTGGTGTGTAACAGGTTTTGTTTTGTATTTTAAAGATTGTAAAATATGGTGGCCTTGATGGGCAGCTATATGAAAATGTTGTTTAATGCCAACACATTTCACTAAAACTTAAAAAAACTTCATGCATGAAACCTAAAAACAATCCATGAAACGCAATACATTGATAAACAAAATTGATAAACAGTAACTTGCAAAATGTAAAAATATTCCATTAAACAAAAACATTTTGCAAAACCCAAATATATTTCAGTTAATGGAAACATTTCACAAAATTTTAAACTGTTTAATTACATGTGGAAAAAATTTTGCTAACTTCAAATGTCAAAATTTAAAATTTACTGAAAATGCAAAAACATTTCATGGAATGCAAAAATGAAAGAACAGAAAATATTTCAAGAAATGCAAATATTTTCCACAAAATGCAAAAACAATTAAAAAAATTACAAAACATTTTTAAAAATGCAAAAAAATATTATTTTGGGGGAAATGGATATTGGTTGCTCAGATATTGGTAACTTTCTGTGTTTTGCATGCACAACATCTTTTGCTTTGTCATTTTATGAATTTCATCTGTGTTCTTTGGTCTTCAAACTGTTTTACTGTAATGAATTTTCTTGCATTTATTGAAATATTTTCATTTTTGCTAATTTTCAATGCCTTTTATGAATAACTTTTGCATTACAGAAATTTTTCCTTCATTCAGTAAAAGTTTTTTCATGTCCATGAATTGTTTTTGCATTTGGCTTTCAGGGCCACCATAGACAGCTATTTGAGACTCTGTCCTTAGAATGGACAGAGTCTGCCTCCTTGTTGGGTGAAGCCAATCCGAGAACAGCACCCTCTGTTGATGGGCTGCAGTATAGGTTATAAATCCCGCCTCTGCCAGCAAAGCGACTGCGTGGCCAAATGCGCGCATCGCTACTGTGCAGCGCTGGTTTCAGGAAATGAAGAAAAATCCCGGAATTACCGAGAGCTATTTGGCTTCAAATCCGTATACAGGCGGTAGGCGGAGCCAAGTTGTCCATAGTATATACAGCCTATGGATAAGCTTCATACTTCAAACATAAACTTTCAGACTGTTAGAGATGGAAAATCAGTCCAAATGTACTTAAAGACAATAAGAAATGATCTCATCCATCGATCAATAAATTTGATATTGGGTGATTAAGGTAAGTTGGCGTGAGACTTGAAATCATCCAGATTGTAACTAGTGTGTAGTTTTAGTTTTTGTTTATTCCATCAAGGCCCCATAAGCAAGTTATTTGTAGATTTGTGGCGCATATGGTGCAGAATTAAAAAGTTTGTAGGGTTCACTTGTCCTTATATAAAAGTTGCTTCTCTTTGACAATGCAAAGACTTTTTTATTTTCTATAAATTATGTTGACATGAATTGTTTCTTGGTTTGCATAAAAATGTCATGACTTCAAAGTGCTGTGAGATTGTCCGGTGTAAATTAAAGCACTTCAGCTGAGCTCATTCCCCGTCTTCTGCAACAACACCTGCAGAGAGTTTATTACAGAAAGCTTTCTTTTATTTCAGCTACTAAAAATCCATATGAAATAATTAATCAGTATAAATAGCACACACCTTATAAAAGACAGCCTCAGTAAATTTTGCTCACATTACACTTAATATATAAGAAAAAAAGCTTATTTCCAAACAGCATTAACAGCATAGCTTCCTATGCACAGGTCCTGTCCATGTTGATGGTTAAAAAGCCACTTAACACTGCCCCCAACAGATAATGCTAAAGCACAGGAGAATATGTAAACATCATCTAAACACTGTAGAAAACATCTATAAAAACATTCATCTTCATTATTCACATTTGTACACATAGAATAGCTTATGTAGAAAAGTACAGTGCATTATGAAGCTTATAAACGGGTTTATTGAAGTGCATTTTGAATGCATTTGAAGGTCAAACCAGTGTAATTCCTCTGCAATTGATGCCCTCACATTGTGGGAGGTGTAAATTCAAAGCAGTCCTATTAGTAAGCTTTTCCCTCCACTCTACCAGGGGAGGATTACATCACCGTTTTGTTACTGGGATGACAGAATGGGAGAGTCACGCAGGGGGCAGGACCTGCAGCTGACTGACTGCAGGGCTGCTGGGGTTCAGTGTGTCAGCTCGTTAGAGGACTCACAGTGCATCCACATCAAGCCTGAGCAAGTCTCTCCGACACCGAGTCCTGGCCCTGAAACGTGCATTTAATCCTCAATATTTCTTCTTCTTCTTCTTCTCCTCCTCCTTTCTCCCCCCTCATGCACCCTCTGGCTCTCCTGCATCTCCTGTTTTCAGTGCAACGATGTAAGCCCGCTCCTCGTGCGTGGTCCTGAAGGCACCATCTGCACAAGAAATACAGTAAACGCTTAATTTAGAGCAAAAATAAAATAAACGCTCGTTCAAGTTTGGCGAATAAGCTGTCAAAAATAAGAAAAATAAGTCATGCAATTCATCCACATTGAAACAAACATATCATTAACCCTTAAATAAGGTGGATGCACACGTTTCCCCCCCCAGAAACCAGGTCAAAGTGACTTATTAACTAATAAAAACACAAATTGAAAGAATAACGCGGCTATTCCAAGATAGAAAAAACGACTTTTATAATAATAATAATAATAATAATAAAAAAATACGTTTCTTCGAAGATAATATATCTCTTATGGGCTCCATGAACCAATTAAAATTTAAGTTAATCTTATGCACCCCTAATATTTTTTATTAAGTATTAAGTTATGATCTTGATGGTAAGAAACCGTTAAAAGAATATATGTTTGTGCTCATATACTCAAGTTCAAAAATTATGTTGGTGATTTAACAGAGTAAAACTAAGTAGTCGAAGTAGCTACATCTCATCTGGGTTCAAAAGTCCGAAATAATCCTATAAACTGTTAGATTCAAGAAAATGAAAGCCTGCACAGTTCCTTTAAATTGTATCTATTCAGCATTATGCTGACTTGAATTAGATTTCACGACGTTTTAGTCTTGCTTTCCCCAGGTTTTTTATAATGTTGTAAACCTTCTCCGGTCATCAATTTTTTTTAAAAAGGGAACCTAAAGTATGTTTTTTCAAGAGAAACACACGTTTAAAGTTGCAAAACATTACATCTAGGCAATTAATTTAGTGCAACACTTTTATAAAAACTTTACCAGGCATTAAAGTTCTGTTTTCTAAGTGTAAACCGTTACTGCGGAGCTATTTCTCCACATAAAGCCATTAAAACGATATTAGCACCAAGCTTCGGTTTTAGATCAAAGCTTCATTGAGCGCGACAAAGGTGACGTGACACTGATTACACACCTGTTGCTGCCCTACAGGTGTCGCCTCGCTACGACCAGCACGAGCACGGTGAAGTGTATTGCAGTGCGCAGGAAGCTCTTCAGGTGTCCCCGGCCGGTCACCACCACCACCGCCCCTCTGCCCTCGCAGCTGAAGCCGCTCTCTGTGTCCCCGGCGGCCGCCCAGCCCTTCTCCAGCTGGTCCCCGATCCTCCGTAGGCGGGAGGCGAGCAGCTGAGCCACGGAGCACGGTGAGGGTCCGCGGGCGCTGCAGGTAGTGTCACCGGGCAGGAGCAGAGGCTGGTCTATCGGTAACCAGCACATCTTCTCTGACAGAACAACCAGTCTCCTCTCCTTAAGTCCTAAGGATATATGACCCTCCTCCTCTGTCATCAAACCTTAACTGTGTTTGCATCCCCCCTTTCTTTCTCCCTCTCTCTCTCCACCTCTCTCTACTGTATTATTCATTACAGTGTCACATGGTGTGGGGTTTACATCATCTTCTCCCAAAAGAGCGATGCAATGGTTAACTCTTCAATTTCTTCTGTCTGGTTTGATCCGGGCAGTCTTTTGTTATAAGGGTTTGTGGGACATTGTGTTCTTTTCTCTTATTTTTAAACTCTCAGATTCGCATTTTGCGTTATTTTCAAGCAAAAAGACCCCATGTGAATGACTAAAACATATTTACATTTTAATAACAACAACTTAAAGTAATGGCCTTAAAAGAATTATGTCTTTATTGTGAAAAGTTGCGTCCATAATAAAGCTGGGGAATTAAAACTTGCGGAACTAATGAAGAGCAGCGCGTTGTCTTTACACGGACTATTTACATAGAAGGACGCCTCATTGTGTTGCGTGAAAACAGAGCTATGGTTTCCCACAAGAGTTTTGAACATTTTAAATAAACAAAGTACCGCTTTTTGACATCGTGAAGTTGTGTGTTTTTAACAATGCGTGTTGAATATGGCGGAAGACGAGCTTGATGCGTTCAGGAAGCGCTGGAAACGAGAGTTAAAGAGCAAAAAGGAGAGTAGTGCATCTTTTCCCTGTGACACTTCTGATCAATCAGGTAAAAAGGACTTACAGAAGAGGTATTTTGAAGATTTTAAAAACCTCAACCACTCCTGCAGCACATCTGAACCAGGTGAGCGAGGTGACTCAGAGGAGGAAAGGTTTGCTGCTAAAAGAGGAGGAGAAAATGCTACGAAGTCCGAGGATCAGCCGGAGTATGTGTCCATTGCACATAGTTTGCTGGATGGGAGGACCAGTCCTCTTCTGGACAGGATCCAGGAGGAGAGAAGTAGGAGAAAGAGACAGTATCAGAAGGTGACTGATGTCTGCAGATCCTCCTTGCAGCAGCAGCAGCAGCATCCTCAGAGGAAGAGCAGAAAAGATGAAGAGCTGGTGGATCAGCTCATTCAGGATCTGGTAAGAGGAAGATGATGATGGTGTAGATGGTAGTGAAGTGATATTTAAATGTAATGTTTGTATTCTTTGTTTTTTTATTCAGAATGAAGTCAATGACATCCCTTTCTTCGATATTGAGCTCCCCTATGAGTTAGCCCTGAAGATATTCCAGCATCTGGACTGCACTGAGCTGGGCAGGTGTGCTCAGGTAGGCAGCAGCTGTGGCTTTACAACATATATGAACTCAAACATGGCTACAGTGGACATCAATGGGCCTCAAATTCAAAGAATAGCTCCATATTTACCACATTTTATACATGTTGATATCCTTGTGAAAGAGTTTGACAATAAAGAGACATGCAGTCTCAGCCATGTTAGTTTAAAAACAGTGAATGAATCTACCCAGAATCCTTTTACCATTAAGTGTGTGTGTTTATGTTGACATAATACAAATAAAAGAAAAACAAAACTTCTCTAAAAAGGTTACTTTTTGGTCTTATTTAGCATTAGTGTTGCTTTTATTTTTAGGGTTTTTTGCATTTTAGCTTCTTTAGCCGTTTAACAAATTTGTTTTCCTAAAGTCTGACAACGGCAGAGCCCACTTCTTTTAAGCTCCTTTGAAGAGTTTTTAATATATATTTAATAGACTGAAGCTCATATTGAGGCTTTTTGATGGTATACATGTAAGCCAAGATTGACTCTAGATTTTCCATGCCTTAAACCTGTGTAAGATGGTAGGTATTAGCCAAGCAGCTGGAGAAACATCCTTGTTTTTATGTTTTTCACATAACATATTCACACTAAATCAAACATTTGACTGACAAAAATCAGCATGATGGGACTTTTTTTTTTTTCAGCATGTAGAAGACAAGATAAGCATGAACTGCTTTGTCAACAGGCAGTTCTAAATTTGACACAAACTGAAAGTTCCCTGTAGGAGCTGTAAGTACCTTACAACATCGACTATTGCAGCTCAAATGGTCCTAAATGGTCAGCATTTCAAGATGGTTCTGGTTAGTTTTTGTTGAATTATGCCAGGGTAAAGGTATCAAACTGGGATGACCCTAACTTGTAGAGGCCTGGAGCAGATTAACAAACCTAAACTTATAAGAACTAAACATGTGCTGTAACATTTGAACTCATTTTGACAGTATTTACTTTTCAAACATACATTCGTTTGACTTTCTGTTTATGCACACTGTCTTTATAGAAAACTCATGACGTGACTGTTTAGTGAAAAATTTCATGTGGCTGATATGCCAAAATGTTGATGCTTTTGTGTCCCTAACATACAGTTTTACTTGAATTACTCTGAAGTGTTTGTACCTTCCCAGTTTGGGTGTAAGTGCATCTGAGTGTGTGTATCTGTAGGTTGGGTCATAAGCTTATTTATGTCTTTTTATCAAAAATATCTGTATGAATATAAGAAAGTGTTAAAAAATTGTAACAGTGAGCATGCTCTCTTACCATTGTGTTGTCTTGTTTGTTATGCTTGTTGAGAGGTTTTTGGCTCTTAGTCTGAGTCTCCTGTTACATCTACCACCCACTCCCTCAAACACGCAGAACCGCTGAGGCTAGCTTTATTACCTTATGTGACCTAAATGGCTATAGATTAGTAAATTACATTTTGTCGGGCAGGGCTGCAGCATAAGGCGCGTGTGTCCATTTGGCAGTCAGCCGGCCTCATTAAAAGCACAAATGAATCAAGTGATGCAAGCTGGTAATGTATGCTGACTCAGTCTGCTGTAATACTGTCCAATCTCCTCCTCCCCCAGGTGAGCAGGGCCTGGAGAGTCCTTGCAGAGGACAGTGTCCTGTGGTACAAGATGTGCACAAGGGAGGGTTTTCACCAGGAGGCCGGTGTGTCCGACTCCCCCTGCTGGAAGAGCACGCTACGAGACTGCAGGAACTCGGCCAGAACAGTGTGCTCCAACTGGAAGGTCAGTCCAGGACTCAGAATAAATCATCTAACCATCTGATCTCCTGTTTTGAAACTCTAATGTAGTACATATAAGGTTGGATTGTGTGATTGTCTGGCTGGTGTTGTGTAATTTAGTTGAGTCATATTTTCTGTGCAGAACCGAGTTGGATCCATCAGCCAGCTGCAGTTTGAGCTGGGGAAGGTGCTCTGTGACGTCAGCTCCTGTGACAACTTTGTTTTAGCTGGGTGAGTTACAAGGAACGCGCACATGTAGCTTTTTAAACAGACCAACCACAACAATATAACCATTACCTTGTCAGTGTGTAGGATATATTAAGCAAGTGTCCTTACAGTTAATAAATAATGCCAACTATACATCAGAACACTTTGAGAAGATCCGGAAAAGACTCCTGGAAAACTATGAGCTCACACCTGCTCACATCTTAAGACAAGCGTTTAGAGTTTTTAGTCACAGCCTAGTCTCAGACTGAGATTTACAAAGACTGTGAATCTTGCAGGGTCACTATTTACAGGACTACAACTAGATTTTTATTGCATTCTTTGACAGAGTGGATGTCAAATAAGCAAGGCTGGTCTGCTCACAGCTCCACCATCAGCTCCTCTTTCTGGACTGTCCACTTAGGGCATTTTATCGCTGGTAATTCTCCATCCATTCTTGTTCTTCTTGTTTTGACTATCAGGTTTCCTTTTACGCTTTTGTTAGCAGAATCTATTGGTTGTTGGTTGTGTTACCTCACTGTGACTTACCAAGTCTTACCAAAACCCAAGACTAAGAAAAGACTGATATGAAACAGCGCAGATTACCACCTTAAACTTAACGATAAAAAAGACAGGAGCACGCTGTGACTCCAGTAAAACTCCTGGATTTACTGAAGACTTTCAGCTTTTAGTCTGGGACTGAAAATTGTTTGATGTAAGCCTAGACGTAGGAAAATGTGCAACCAAAAGGATGTGAGCGACTTTGAGAAGCACCACATTAAGATTTGGAGATGCTAGACAACCGGTGGGTGTGCCTTAGAAACTGCAGCTCTTGTATAATACAACCTGAGTCTCTAAAAAAGTAATGCTAGTTCACAGTTTGCATGAGTTTGTTTTTTTCATTTTCAAATCAGCAACTGTCACCTGTTATCATCTAAATTTGAGAGGCAGAACTTATTTATTCCAGTGATGTGTTTAAAGACCTCCAGTCGAGACTTACAAGCTGAATTTATGGCTGCAGTGTAAATGCTGTTGTTTATTGGTCCATTACATCCCCTGGGATTGCGCCTGTACATCCATTTCAAGGAGCGATCCGTCTCAGTTCAACTGTACACATAAACATACTGTACTCTTACTTTTTACCCCAAAAGGAACCTTTTTTGAGGTTCTGTGATAATGTTCAGAAGAATGATATCTGTGAATGGGGAATAGTTTGTCAGTTCATTTCAGTTCAGAGCAAGTATGTCATTGCAGGGATGAGCTTTCTGCCTTCTTTTGCTCTCTACATCTGGAACAAGATCGGTAAACGCTGCCCATGGACTGTTTTCAGATTAGTAGAGGAGGATAGAAACAATATTTCTCTACTATGAAACCTTTGAGCAGCAGTTTGTGAAATAATTTAGTGCAATGGCAAGAATCAAGGCTGATAATATATCAGATTTTGTTAATGTAGGGTTTAAAGTTCTGGATCATTGATGAGGAGCATCACAATTTTGCATATCTGTTAATTCTGACCAGTGGCTTTACTGGTGGCAGATGTCTGTGAAGGATTGGTGTATAAATCACAGCCTAATGAAACAAAACCTGTTGTTAAATAATCAAGACAGTGATAGATTGTGATGAACCACATGAGCCTTTTTGAGGTGGTGTGCAGAGTCTCTGGGGAGAGATGTGATTAGATTCTCTTCAGTCCTGCTGAGTCTCATTGAAAAGAAGACCAGTGGAGAAGTAGGAGCATTCAAGCTGAAACAGTCCACTGAGTGAAATACAAACCTACTCTTGAATTGTTGGTTTTGTACCAGGACTCTTCGCAATTTAACAGCATCAATAGTTTCCCCATTATTGCTGCTCATTCAGGAAAGTAAAAGACCTGCAACTTAATTAGGAAGAAAAGAATCAATAGTCATAAAGAGTTATCAGAAAGTGATACGATTGCAGGCAGAAAATTGTGTTAGAAACGTGCTGGAATGAGATTTCACATTTTAAAAAGACAACAGGAGACGTCGCCTCATTAACCCAATCACTCCTGGAGTCACACAGCGACACAAAGGCCGAATCTGTCAGGACTCGTGTGAACATCTTAGTTTGAAAGTTTACTGCACCTCAAAGTTTTGACTGAGTGATTTGGGGTAAGATTCATTGTCATGTGGAGAAGATGCACCAATTATTTCCAAGTGTGTATCCCGTTTATTTATTTCCTGCCAAACCTGCAGACACTCAAAGAGCGCTCACACGCACACCCTCTGTCACACACTTGCTGTCGCTGTGTCACACACTCTGGCAGCGAGGCGGGGACTTGCTCAGACATGATGGTATCTGTGGAGGTGGGAACGTTGGCAGTTTGTCGTCTCCCACAGTGAGAGCTCTTTGACTTGGGCGAGGAGTGAAAGGAGCAGAAGTCCTGTTGAGGAAGGCGGGTGAGGGGGGCGTTGTTGTTACTTAAAGATCTGCGAGTCTCAAAGGAGGCCTGTTATACTCATTTTTCCCTTTTTATTTCATTGTTATATCACCTGAAGGCAACTTTGCATGCTTTGCTGCTCAAAAAACTCCATCCATTATACGATATAAAGTTAGACAAAGCTTGTGGGTGTTACTTTTTACACAGCTTGCTTAGATACATCAAAAGGAGCCAGCTGAGGTAGTTCAGGCATCCTGGGTGTGGCCAGTAGAGCTTGCTGGGGAAGATCCCATCTGGCCTGGGAGCGCCTGGAGAGCTGGAAAGGGTTGCAGGGGAGAAGGAGGTCTGGGTTAACTTGCTGAGATTGCTGCCTCTGCAACCCAATCCCAACTAAGTTTCTTAACAACCACAAAAAGCTCCTAAGAGCAGCTTTTTGAAACATACTGAATCAACAAAATGGAGAGAGGAGCTTTTGGTACATTTACTGCCATTAAAAAAGCCAAGAAGCAGAGCAATGAAACTGCCTCTCTAGCTTTATTGGGGGTGTCTCTAATTGAGGGTCTGGGGTTATTAATTCATTTATTTATTTGTGTTTCTATATGAGTTTTAATTAGTTTGGTAAGAAAAGCCTCACTGGGAGTAAAACTATCTTTTACAAGAGTGACCTGGCCAAGATAAGCAGCAGCACCTTCCAACAAAGGGGCATACAACACAGTCATCAGTCAAAGCATCTGCACCCTGCTGCATCTTCTTCCAGTGCCTTTAGTCCACTTTTAAGAAAGAGACCGACTCTTTTCTACCCAAATTCTCCTGAGCACACTCCAGGCTGCGGGGGCAGAGTACCTAAAACGTTTTTCCTCATTTCAAGATGCACTCTGGGGAAAGTAAATGAAAATAATATGTTTTGTCGCTTGGTGACAGAAACTGAAGCTTCCATCCTGTTTCATGTTAATAAAACTATAAGTAAGAGGTAAGCAAATCAAAAGCCGCCTAATAAACTTGGACATCCCAGTGCCTAAGTCTATGTTGGCAATACGACTCCAGCATACACAAAGCAGGTTCCTGAGATTTGAACAAACCCTAGAGCTCCGTGGTAAACAGTATACAGGGAGTGAAGGCTTCGGAGGGGTGAATGCATGCATGTATGACATATCACCACGGTCAGTCAGGGGAGTATAAGCAGCAACAACAGGGGTTGTCTTTGCAGCAAAAGAAAAAATAAATAAATAAACAAAACAAACAAACAAACAAACAAACAAAAAAACAGAAGCTCATCTGCAGCCTCTTTAAGTTGCTGCTTATGAAGTTTGACAGACAGTGAAATACCAGTTAATACATCCAGTTATTTATAAGAAGATAAAGACTCGAATGACATCACCTGTTAATAGATAGCCTACGAGTGTTTCAGAGTAAGCATATTTCCCTGTTAGCGGCGCTGACCAGCTCGTAGGCGTAGGTGTGGTCTTTGTCTTTGTTCAGTGGATCTACACAGACCGAGCTGACCCGGTTGTTGCCACTGAAAATCTAACTTCCCACAAAAGGCCCCAAAATACTTAATAAAAAGTAGTTTTTTCAAGTTAACAAATTCCCTCAAAGTCCATTCAAATTCTGCGTCTGCCGACTAACGAGGCGTTCATGTGGCTCCGTACATCTTTAATTCGTGTGCAGCTCCGACACGCATTGATAGCCACAGCAGGATTCAGTTGTGTCAATTTATGTAGACAGTTATTCTGGTAAAAAAAAAAAAAGTTATTAGATGAAAATGGAAATTTCGTGGAAATATTTTTACTAGAATAGATTTTTTCCTTAAATTTACGTGAATTATAAACCCAAAGTCGCTCATTTTCAGTGCTGCCCCTGAACGTCTCACGGGAGCCGAGCTGCCCTCAGCTCACCTGAGATTTGAATCATGTGTGCGGCATAACATGGCTGTGAAACTATAAATGATCGCTTTTTATGTGGTATTTTTTGCAAATATTTGAATTTAGAGCTATATCTACAAAATTCATAGAGGACTTTAAATTTTATTTTAAACATCTCCTTGTCACATAGGCTATAGACAGACTGTCATCTTTAGTGTCATTTTAAATGAATACTTACCAGGAATTAGGCTGCAGTTAATGTGAAGACAGGTCTGATGCAAAGCTGCAACATGACAGAAATTTGTAGATTTATTGCTGTAAAGCTTATTTCAAGGAGAAAAAGATTTAAATGTCATAACTGCGTATAAGCAATGTGAACCTGGAGATCTACAGTGGAGGTTCAGAGAGGATCATTATGACATCCTGCTGCAGTGAAGAGTGGTATGAGGTGAAATGTCCCGCCTTGTTCCGCCCAAACAACACCCCTGTAATCCTGGAAAGATCATGTAACAAAGACTCAGGAAAACAAAATAACAACCAGTCAGGAAGGCGTGAGAAGGGGGAATGATTCAGTGGTGAGAAGGTGACGTCAGGTATTCTGGAAAAGACAAAGTTCAGTGAGTGCAGTGGAAAATAGGCCAACATTCAGCCACAACAGGCCTCCATCTTTTTCGTACAGTTTTCACCTGTTGAGTTTGATGTGATGTGCTTGTTTGGGTTTCAGGTATACATCAGGGGATGTGAGGCTGTGGGACACTCTGCACTGGGACTCATCGGCCTCTTACCTGAAGACAAACAGTCTGTCGGTGACCTCTGAACCCAGACCTTATGTTAGTCATGTGCAGGTCAACAGCACAGTGGCAGCTGCTGCTTATGAGGACGGTGAGCCTAAGGGAGTTCCTGACTTTAGCATGATTACTTATCACCGTTACTGTAGAAAACAGGGTGAGTGTGTTTCTCCATCTTTGGTTCAGGCTGTGTGGACCTGTGGAGCACAGAGACAGGTGGAGTGCCCATCCACCACTACCAGACCCCTGACAGGATCCAGGCTTTGGCCCTGAGCCCTGACAGCCCCGCCCTGTGCTCAGCTGCTGGACCTGATGTTCGGCTGGACGGTGCAGATGATCGTGGCTACTGGAGGACACTGTGCCGGACTCAACTACCCAAGACAGTGAGTTAGACTGTTTAATTCCTCTATGTGTGAAATGCTCCACACTGATGTGCTGTTGTGTTAATTAACACCATGACTTCTTTGGGGTCAAAGGTATTATATTGAGCCCTAAAAACACAGTAAAATGGAGTTAAATCCTTTAAAAGAACAGCCTGAATATCTGCTATTTAACTAATCCTGTCTGTGTTGCAGGTAGAGGGTCTGGTTTTGGTGCCAGGCAGGGGGCAGCAGCGCCCGCTGGCATTGCTGTCAGCAGCAGAGGCCGTGTACCTGTTGGACCCCTGGGAGGAGGAGCCACAGACGCTCCATTCAGTCTATGGTCACCCTGTTACCTGCGTGGATGCCTCCAACTGCAATGTTGCGTTCGGGATCAAGCGCACAGGATGGGCCATGCATGATGGAGGAAACAAGGTGAGTTTAGTTTGTTTCAATATTTTAAATGTGCATTTTCAACAAATTCCTATTAAGAATTATTTACAGATGTTTGAAAAATAGAAACTACCAAAAAGGGTTAAAATACCATCAGATAGTTACAAGTTACAGTTCATCATTAAAATGATTAAAATGAGCTGAAATATTGAAAATAATTGAATTAAAAGCAGCTGTACGTGTTTGAGTCTTTAACCTGGCTTGTTCTTCATATCTGGAGCATAAAAGCTGAATGTGACTTCATGTGACTGTTTCTTACAAATTCTTTTTTTTTCAATTGTTTTTACTCGCTCTTGGTTGTAATGCTGTTCAGGTGCCAGACAGTGGATGTAGCACATCTGAAAGCTGTTAAACAACAAAGGAAAAAACAGAGCATAAGTGCCAGCTGCTGGTTTAACAGTTTGGGTGCTGAGGGACTCAAAAATGGTGAAAATTGCAGAGACTTCTGCAGCCACAGCAGTATTTGATGTGGAAGTCTTTTTCCACACAAAGCATAAATAAGTAGCTGTTATGGGTCTTCCTTACTGCTTGTATCTGTAGATGTGCACAGGGGGTTGTGTGGGGTGTGATGGAGGGCTATTTGAGTATTTGTTAAACAGTTGCAAGTAACTATCAAATCAAACTTTTGCTTGAGATGTCGTCCCTCATTTGTAGTTCGAAGTCCAGGTGTAGTTATTGCTTGATTAGGCGATTAAACTGGACTTTTGTCCTTTTCCCAGTCTAATCAATTTATAGGCAAAAGTATGTCTGCCTTTGCCACGCTACTGCTCCGCACTGCTGGGCTGTCTGCTGGTGTAGGTACCAGATGTGTTCAGGCTGCCAGATTGGTTCGGGGCCCAGCGCCTGTTGAATATGTCAGACTACGACAAAATCCATTGCGCTCCATTTAATAAGTCAAACGTGCGTGGCAAAAAGCCCCTCATGGTTTTCTTAATTTCTGTTTGTTTATTCAGTTGACCTCAAAATATATATATAATTTTTTAATTTTTAGATGGCTTTAATTGTACATGTAATCTTTTCTAAATGAAAAAGAAAAAAAAGTACGCAGGGTCTCCGTTTATCAATTGATAGTTTTGTTTTTATTCCACATTTCCTTAAGCAACCTAAAAAAGGCGGTAGTACGGCTGTCCTAAATCCCCTTCGATAAGTAGTGATAGATTGCTTTGTAAATTTCGTCCATGTTTTCTCGGAATAACTACAATCCCATGAAACCTACTCCGGCGAAAACCGCTTCCGTAATGACCAGCCACAATCTTCTACGTCATCTGAACCAAATTCCAGCCAATCATATAGAGTGATGTCATCATAAAGGCGCTGGGCCCCGAGCCGATATGGCAGCCTGAACACATCTGGTACTGACACCGGTTGACCTGTTATGTCATGTACCAAAACAATCGACAAACATGTTAGCAAGAGACCAGATCAAATTCCAATGTCACCAGCACCAACAACTTTACAGCTCTGGGTCTTTTGTGCGTACAGTGCATCAGCTTTGTCATTTTTATACATCCTTTTTTTCCTGTTATGATGACTTATTTTGTTGTTTTCTATAAGCCAGACAAAGTATGTAGTTGTTAAACAACAGAGGCCCCAGGGTTGATCCTTGAGGAACTCCATACGTTGTTTTTTTTTTCTGCTTCAATGTAAAGTTGTATATGATACAAGGTAGTCTCTGTCCTTTGAGTGAGCGGTAGAGCAGCAGTGGTCTTTACAGTTTACATGCTTCCTTTCATATAATCAGCTGATTATTGTTCACTGGCCTGCGAGAAAAGGCTTCTGTATGCATAAGAAATAATGATGTTTGGATGTTAATGGAACTGATGGAGCTTTATCAAGGCCTCTTTTGTGTCGGGATTTTAGACGTGCTCATAAAAAATGTTGCCCAGACATTAGTAATTAAAAATGAAAAGCTCCCAAATGAGGAAACAAGGTCACACATGCTCTCAAACTGGAACGTAATGAAAAAATGGGACGGTGAAAAAGGCAAATAATGTGGTTTGATCAAATGGAGCGATGATGATGAACACACTTAGGAGAGGAGAGGACAGAGGTTTGGGCTCTGGGCCACCCTCGCCTGCTGTTGCTGCTTTAATAAGTCAAGCTCTTTGGGAAAATATTAGCCTCTTAACCTGAAAGCAAACATCTTTTTTCATTACTGTTGGCCTGCATTTAAAGTAGATTTTTTTAATGCAAAGTATCAAAGACCAGGCCTCTCTAATAAGGTCTCATCTGTGTAAATGTAAACTTAGTCTCTTGACAGTGTGATCAGTTTTACTCCAAGTCCCTTCAGACCACTTGACTCCCCTTACAAATGAACGTGATGTACCTGTGAGGGGTTTGTTTATAAAATACCTCTCTCTCAAATAGCTGCAAGCCCTCATCGGACCCAGCTCCTAATTGCTGCAGCCTTTAAGGGCACTTTGAAAAGCTGCTGTTCCCCGAGCTGCCTCTGTTTGCTGCTAATAATATCGTGTTTCTAATGACCCCGCACACTAATTGACTCTTAAGCCTTTACTTAGAAAAGTACAAAGAGCCGGGGGACAAACTATTCTGCTGGGATCAGGAGGCAGATATGCATTCAAGTTCACTCCATCAAAACGTTAATTTTTTGGGTTGATGTTTATGAATAAAACAAATTATAATTAAACCTAAAAACTCCAACTTCAGTTGCCATGGAGACTGGACATCTGCTAGCTTTATAACAGCAAGTACCACCCGAGTATATTGTGTTTTTTTTGTAGCACTTTGTGGGTGATGGACAGGTTTTTGGCATCACCATCACTGACATCATCGCAGTAAGAAAAGAACAGCTGATTCAGAGACGGCACTAAAGCACCACACAGTGGAGCAATGAGAGAGCAGCAGTAAGGGACCAAACAGGCTCAGAATATCATTTCATTACAATATGTTTTATTTATTTTTGCATGATCACAGTTTAAAAAATACTGTAAGATAGTTTATAACTTTAGTAGTCCCTGCATTTGTCCCCTTTCTCTTTTTGAGATTGAAGATTGGAGTTAATATTCTCCGTATTCCAAATAGTTTGTCGTTTTTAAGGAGCCTAATAATAAGGGAATTTCTCTGATAAAAGTTATGAATCACTGTTTACTTGAGACCATGGGAAATCTTAAAAACACATGTCCAAATACTTTGACCTCAAAGAGTTTTCCAATATGCAAAAAGATCAGTGGTAAATCAGTTCCTCAGCAGTATACAGAGGCATTAAACAGAACACATTTCATTAAAAAATGAAATATATATTGTTCATCACTATGTTTAAATTGCTGAATAATCACCTCAAAACAAAACACTTTGATTTTGTTTTGTTAAGGCCACTGTCACTTGTGGATTTTCACCAACGAGTGTGGTGAGCAAGTGACTGTTTCAGTGTAGAATCTGGATTCTGGATATTACAAAACAGTCCTGTTTCTACACACTGTATTTCTAATAGACCTGGAATGTGCCTCAATTCTTGAATCTATTTTATTCAGCTTTCAAGGTAATACTTACTGGAGCTTATTAAACACTGAAATGACTCGTCAGACTAAACAGGAAAATAAATATGTATAACAAGCAACTTCATATTTGAATTATATTTCAAACTTTTATTTTTTGTGATTTTATGGTTTATAAAATATGGCATGATGTAACTGTTGAATTATTTTCCATATCTTTTTCTGTTGAAAATCATTTTGTGAACGATTTCAGGGCAAAATAAGTTATAGAGGTTGAAAAGTTTCTGCTGACATCTGAGAATTTTTCGAAAGTCTCAAACAGCTGAAGAAAGGATTTTCAAATCTACTGAAAATAATATGTTTTTCATTTTTACTCATGCTGCTTTTTGAGTGATTTGTAGTTTCCACTACCTTTTATTGTACAACAGTTACTTTTGTGCACTCAGCAATAACTGTCAAAATCTGACTCAAACATCATAGTTTGTTTTTAGCTTTCTCTACATTTGAGAGGGCAGCTGCTATCTTCCCCATCCCAAAGTCCAATGCATATTGCCCCAATGAAATCAAAGCATACACATGCCCGCTAGGGATGGGCGATATAGGCTAAAAAATGTATCACAATAAAAGTTTTGCCATTTTAGCGATAAGTCCCAATAAAAAATATTATAATTCCAGGTTATGGAGAAAACTGGTGAAATGTGAAAACACTTTCAACAATTGTTGAAAACTCTTATTACACAGAGTGAGCAGATCCACTGTCTGATGTTAGGCATACCTGATTGCACTCTAAACCCCAATCTCAAAGGAAAACCCTCATGTGGAATCTTGTTTAGCAACAACCTGCTCAGAAACATCTTCTTCACTACCCTGGCCATGTTTGTTATTCTGCTCTGTGTGGGCTACGGCTGCGAGTCCATCGGTCGCGCTTACGTCATCAACTTGTATTCATTGCATTTATCGTGAGATGGAATATTTATCATGGAGGACTTTTCTGCCGATAAATTGGAAATGATAATTTATGCCTGCAAAAGACTTGCTCTTTTCTTTGCACCTGATTGTGGTGATTAGCTCTTGGCTGTACAGACCTGCACAGTACACTCTCATCCTGACAGAGCTTCAGTCTACTTAAACACAAGTGTTAAATTTTACGTCTAGCTTACTTCCTGGGGCTAGCTAGTGTAAATCAGCTCCTCCTGACCTGTATGTTTTGGGGTTGAGTTGGACTGATTTAAACTTTTAGTATTAGACAGAACATGATATCAAACTTGTGTAGTGTAGTTCATAAACGTGTTCTATCACAGACTCTAAATCCATCTGAAAAATGGAATTCTGAACCAAAGCAGCATTGCCACTTAAGTAAAAGAGAAAAAGTTGCAGGTCTTCTCCTCGTGAACTCTAAACTTTTAATTATCTTGTTCATTTTATTTTCAAATGTAGAGCACAGAAAGTTTCACAAACATTCATTTATTCCACAGCGAGCTTTGCAAATTCACTATTAGCATACTACTCTTACTAATTAAAATATTTCACAAATTTAATTAACCTTCTGTCACTCTTCTTTCAGCGGTTTCATACAGTGAGGAAGACAAAGCATGAATTGGCTGCAAAACATTTTTTTCCCAGTCTCCAGTCAGGAAACATATGCTTCATTAAAACCTGTCAAAATTCATGGAGGTGGCACCAAAGAAAGTCATGTCACACCTTTTTGTCTGACAGAAGAGTGAAAGATTTTCATTTTCAGCATCTTGACTTGCATGAACTCAACCACATTGTCAGCTTTTGATGTAAATGACTGAATTTGGAGCAGTTTAGATTTCAACTCTGACAGGTTTCAGTGCAGAAGTTTTCTTTTTTCCATCGTATTATTGTATTTTGGCACTTGTCACTCAGCTGGTAGCTTTGTCTTTGTTGGTGTTTGTGCATGTATGTGCATATGTGTGCGTATGTATGTGTGGTCGGAGCCAGTCTCCAGATCCTCATTACTACGTGCCACTTTCTTGCCAGTGGACTGGGGGGGGCACCCAGGCAGACACCCAGCTCGTGGCTGGGCATTCAATACTATCTGGCATCTCCACTGGCAAACTGTCTGTCCACTGCAGTCCATCTACCGCAGAGCACAGAGCACAAGTGCTGTCTGAAAACCTGTCAGCCTCTCTCTGCTAAGAGTCGAGAGGGTTGGTTGGACGCAGGGAGGCTGAGGGAAAGTTTTGATGTTTGGTCTTTTTGTGTGTGGGATGAAGATGGACTAATTAAGGATGAATGGAAGTAATTTGGCAGAGTATTTCACCCAGGAAAACCGGTTGTTTCCTGGGTGAAATTAGAGTTAAAGTGATCTTAGAATGATACAATATGTTTACATGCTCAGTTACGTTGAGCTGAAGTTAAAGTTCAAAAAGGTGATTTAGTTAAACCACTGTCTCTGGTGCTGACAAAAGAATATCCACCTCTGCAACAGTCAGTGGCAACATGACCCCTAAAGCTTGTTGCTGCTGAGCCGCCTCCTTTTGACCGACGACATGAAGTACTAAAACGATCAACAAACTCTCAAGCATGAGATGTGAATGTGCCATTGAAAACATGTCAAAATACAACTCTACACCTTTTATATAATACCATACAACTTGATGATAATATATTATTAGGGCAGGGACAATATGCCTTTCTCCTGATTTGATGCTTCTACGATTTTTTGGATGCCGATTTGATCTTAATGATGATTCTGCGATATTGTTGATTTTCTCGTTTTAGTCTGTATTTTTAACACCAGTGATACAGTGGTGTGATTATGATTATCTACTGACTATTTCGGGAACCATATTTCCCCCAAAAATACACATCACATGTAAGTCATTTTTTAAGATTTATTTTTAAATAAAAAAAAAAAAAAAGATTTTTGTGATTTTGATTTCATTTAAAAATTGTGAAACAAAAATTGCGATACTTACATGAATTTATTTTTTTTCCTACCCCTATATATTATAGTATAGTAATGATATAATATGATATGATAACAGTATGATATGATATAATATGATATGATATGATACGATATGATATGATAGACTTACGATACCAAGGTGATATGATACCAAGGTGATATATGATGGGATTGAATAATGAGATACCATACCATACCATACTAATATGATGTGATACATCATGATATGATACGATAATAATACAATAACAATTCAATAACAATAATGATCCAATGGAGATATTATGACACAATACATTTTTAATACAATATAATATGATGATGACACAATGATGTTTTGATATGATAATAATGGTAATGGTATGATAATGGTAGGATAGCATGATAATACGATATGATACAACAAACTACTTTGATAACAGTCAATACGTTTTGATACAATACAACAGCTTCACCTTTTTTTGCATCCCTTTTTATTCGGTCACAATGTAGGTTGTTCAAAGCTAGATAATTATATACAGTCATGTAGGTATGTAAGTCTCAATATGAGAAGTCTGATTTGGTGCGATATCTGTCCTGTTGGACTCACATGATTACATGTATTGTGTTTCAGTAAATTGACATTTTTGAACTACATGGCATTGTACTGACCGTGGTTTATATAACTCAGATCCAAAAACAACTACTTTGTTTTTTGACTTTGTCTCATTGGTGTAAAATTAGTTGCGTCTAGTCACTGATTTGACCAATGCATTTACTAAGGATTACATTTACCAAGGATTCCCCAGGTTGGCACCTTAAGGATGAGGCTTTAGGGAATGTGGTGATCAGTGATCTGTTAAGAACTTTCATCTTCGGTGCTGATGTGTGTAATTAACCAGTTTAAAGTGACTTTTTCCCTACCAGGCTTTTGAGGTCATCAGGTTGTTACTTAAGGATGATACCTTAAGTAACTTAAAATTGTGTAACTACTTTGTATCCAAAGATAACACTACCTCATCCTAACCAGTGTGCTACGTCTTTGCTCCTTAAACACTTGGATGGTGTTGTGGGGGAAAAAAAAATCCAGTATTTCTTGTTTTATTCATTTCCTTGTTTGATTGGAGCCAAATACATCTAACCTTAAACCACAAACAATCCATGAAGCATGACAAAACCACTCTTTCATTAGTTTTCTTTTTGTCTGCTAGCTTTGTTCAGGGTTATGCACACATGAATCTCCGTCATTATGAAAACACAGCAGTGAATGTAAACATGAAAATAACACGTTCTGGTGTCTAACAGTGTCGTTACTCTAATTAAGTTTTAAACTCTGCCCTGCTGCACGAGCTGGAAATATAGTCCTCCAAATGACATCAACCTACAAAGCTGTCATTATCATGTATCGGCTCCAATGTGCTAATCTCTGTTTGTCCACATGGTGTCTAAACCAAACGTGGCCCTGAATCCATATTTGTTTCAGATGTGGGTGTTTGTATAAGACACAGACAGAGACTCAAGAGCCAGAAGTCTGCAAATTCTATCCAAACCTCTCACCTTATTTCACTCTTGCTTTTGTTTTTCTCATATGAACCGATGGAGCTGTGAAACTATCTGCCCTCTTTGATATAGTATTCATTTCTCGTGTTTGATTTTCCTCCTATGATTGATCAAAGTAAGAACTGCAGCAGAAGAGGGGAACACAATTGAAAGAAAACTGCTGTTACTGACTGTAACCACCTATTAATAAAGGAATTTTTAGGAGCTAAGGCGATACTTAAAGCTACTGAGGTGCTTGACCCAGAGTAACCTGGTTGACGCACCACGCCACTGAGTTTTACCGTGAGTTTTTGATGACCAGGCAAAGTCAGGACGCTGTTCCTCAGATGCAGCAAACAAAAATTTATTGCAATGAACCTAACCAAATCCATTTTGCAATAGATATCAAGCAACACTGAACAAAGAAAAATGCTGGCAGTTAGTGCCACAGCAGTCAAAAACCTTTTGCCCTTCCGGGTCAATCACCTGCCCACAAACAATGAAATGGCTACTTTTCCTGAGTCCCAGATGACCGGACAGCGACACCTAAGGCATACAAAGTGAACTGCAACTCATAATACAGTATTTGGCTCCTACAGAATTATTGATATTATGCTAAATTAAGAGTAAAGTACAGCCTTTAGCCGCCCTCACGGACAGCTACAGTGTACCTGCCCGTCAGTGAAGTCAGCTGTGTCCTTCATATTGCAAATCTCATCGCCTTAATATGTACAAAACTAATGAATTATTAGGAATGATGAAATCAGTGCTTTTGGAGTCAGCCTCTAGTGGACACCAGAGAAATTGCAGCTCCAGAAAGGCTTCATTTTTACAAGTATAAACTACAGCTAGCTAGACGATAGTGGGTGATGGTATTTATGGGAAAGTAGTTTCTATTCCAGAAATGCACAGCTTAAAAACTCCTCACTGTTCCTTTAAGCCTTTTCAATTAGAGAAACTGTTTAGTCCATTAATCGTAATAATAACCATAAAATATATTCATCACAGCACTGCCATAGAAACCCAAATCAAAGTTGCTCTTCGCCCAAATTTTCTCAGCAAATATCATCAACAGCATGAAAGGATGTCTCAAAGGTGCAGCAATCATTGCCAAATTGTTCATCCTTTTAAAAGCACAGGGAGTAATTACATTAACATCCCAGTGCAAGCCGCCATTACAGTTTCTTTTGTCTGCGAGCCTCACTGAGGGCTCCAACAAGTGCATTAACCAAACAACTCTTCTGTAGTCATCGTCGTGATTATTCTTCCTCCAAACATCCTGCCACAGACTCCAAACAGGCCCCAGCATCATCACAAAACGGCTCCATGCATCCCTGAGCGGCAGTTCTTCATTTTTGTGGGAGGATATTTAATAAAGAATATCTTCCCGACACCGTAATGATTCATGGAGAACAGCAGGCTCAACCTCATTTCTGCGTCCCCCTCCTTCTCTCTTGTCCTCCACTCATCTCCCCCTCTTTCTCTTTCACTGTCCAAATCCTATCAAGCTGTCATTTCAAAGTCCGGTGTGATTTGGGTTTTGCCCCTGGGTGATGCACAATTAAAGCTCTGCTTGGCTGTAATAAGGGACACACAGAAACTGCTGGCATCTCCTTAAGGCTTACATCATGCCTCTGTTTTCTCCCCCTCAAACTTCTTTATCTTCCCTGCTGTCTCTCTGTCTTTCTCTCTCTCTCTGTGTCTCATCCTTTCCTCTCCTACCTTCTGGCTCTCCTCACTCTCGCTCCATCCCTCCCTCAGTTTAATTTCTTTATCGTTTTAATTATTCAAAGTCAATTTTGCCTGGCGGTTATCCTGTTTGTTCTGTCTCATTTGGATGAGAAAACACCAGCCGCTAATTGACCAATTAGGCCGGCTCCAGATGACATCATTGAGAGTTGAAGGAAGAAAGTTTGCTGCAGCCGCCGAGCCGGAGGCGGTGGCGTGCGTCTCTGTGTGCAGACAAGGAGCATCCTAAGGCGATTCGCTTTTTTCCCCCTTCTTTTCCAATAGTTAACACTTAAGTGCTGCTTTGCCTGTAATTAACTGGAATCAGTTCAGCTAGCTGGGCATGTGTTTGTGTGATACCTGATGGGCAGCAGCATCAGTCATTGTGTATCTCAGTGTGTTGTGTTACACTTTTAAAAAGTGCAGAAAATCAGCAACTCAGCTGCAGAGTCTGTTTAAAGAAGTTTAACCTCACAGCAGGGACCATTGCTGGACTTTTAACCCTTCCTTCCTTTCAATGTTAGACATATAGTGTAACATACTCTTCAGTTTAACGTAGTTTAATTACAAATTTTCTAGTTGTTAATACCCATGATATACCTTTAAACAAAACTTAAATCATAGCAAAGGTTAAAGGCCCAGGCAGCAGGGGCTTGGAGTTTTGGGTGGAGGTGGTGGGGCTCTGCTGTTGCTTGTTTGGTGGTTACAAAGAAAGTGGACGAGGAACTTAGACAGTCTGAAGAGAGATGTACATCAAAGGTACTTTTTATGGAGTTTAAGTACATTAAGAGTAAAAAACAAAAAATGAAAATACAAGAAGTCAAAGCGTGTTTTCATAAATATGTTACTTTCTTGTTGAACTTTAAAATGGTCCACCTCTGAGATGATGGCAGTGACTCCAAGACTACTGCCCCCCCATTCTATATAGTATTATAGAATGAATACTAATCAATGTGACAGGAGCCTCAGAACTAGAGACTGAGACCATAAACTCATAGGAAATCTGTTAACTTTGTCAGTCAGCTGACTTCATATATAACCTTTTATCAGGTATTCATCTTGTTTGTTTTCAACATCTTTTACTGTACAACTGTGAACTGCAGTGATTTTATCTGTTTTGTTATCTTTGTTGTTTCTTTTTGGTCTCTATTTTTGTGCCTTGCCAGAGACGTGATGCGGTGTTAGTCAGGTCCGCCGCCCAAGCACAATTTGGTATTTTAGTGAGCGGCGCAGCCCGGTGTAAGTATCCCCCCTCCCTAACTCAGCTCCTCCCAGCGGTGTAAGTCGTAGCGAGGGAGGAGAGAGGGCGTGGAGTGGGTTTAACACAGCCGAGACCTGTATTGACCAATAACATCAGCTCCTCTCTTGCCTTTAAATCCGCCAGCGGCAAGGCGTATTACTGCTTTCGTGAAGTAGTCAAAGAGATCAAGAGATGTCTGAAGACAGCAATGCCACACGATGGCGACGGAAGGCAGCCCCTCAACAAGTGTCACTGTAAACGCTGCAAAGTGTGTCCTTCACACTCTCTCATATGAGCACAGATGAATTTGGTGCGTGTAATGTTGGACCCACCAGTAAGACAAACACCCTTTTCCACAAATAAAGACACTCACATAAAGTTGCATATATTTAAACCTCACATGACAAAGGTGGGTTGTGCGCAGAGATCACAACATAAATTCCAATAATGGAATAATCAGTGCGTGAAGGACGCATCGCGCTCCGTGGCCTGGCTCTTTCTTTCATAGATGTGGGCACATAAAATAAATTTGGCTCACAAAACTGATTATTATGATATTCGTATGTAGGCTTAAAGTAAATAACTCATCTGAGCACTAAAATAAATCATCTGTTCAGCCGCCGCAGCAGCAGCTGCAGCAGGACGGGGAGAGGACACAGAGACATGTCCAGGTCGAGCTGCGCGAGAAATAAGAGGAAGAAAGAAAAGGAGGGAGACGAGTTACATATCTTGTTAACTTCATCATGTGTGTCTATTTACTAGATATTTAATTTGATTTAATTTAATGCGGTTTCAGCTGTGTTGATTCGGTCAGGTTGTGTGTCCAAACGCGTGCCAAACGTGCTCATCAGATCAGATATAGATCAGAATATATCAATATAGATCTAAATGTATGTGCTGACTCAGATTACTAGTTCTTGATGATTGTGTATTTCACTGAAATGTGCCTGACACTGTGGAAACCTGCTGGTGAGGCATCGGTGACGCATGCCGATACGCCGCCGGTCTACCAAAATACCACTAGACCAGCTGTGCTCCGCCTACGCTTAAAGTTGACCAGGTTTGAATCGGCAAGCTTTCAGCGCACTTTATATGCCACCGGCAAGCACGAAAATGTCACTGCGCCAGCTGATTCTGTCAACACCTCCCTCTGCCACGCCACCAAGCCCAGCTTGGTGGTCCTCTGTGGCAGAGGGTGGTGTCGACAGAAGCAGTCCACCAAAATACCAAACTGGCTGTACGCCGGGCTCCGCCAGACGAAAACACCACTGCGCGGGGTCCGCCACCCTCTGCCGCCTCACTGGCGGACACGAAAATAGAGCACTTTCTGTTTCTTATTCTACAACCACTGGAGTTGCCCCCTACTGGTCATTTGAAAGAATAAGGGTTGGGCTATCAAAGTGGCGAAGCAATTAAATCAGGCTGCCAATGCTTGAACCCACTGATTTATATGTTATATGTAACATTTAAAATAAGTAAAGTTGTTTTAAGAGGCGGTTTCATCGGCTTAGCTTTGAAAACTAGGTTGTATTCATCTCTTATAAGCACTGTATGATTCAGATTTTACCATGCTCATTCATTTTTGCTCCATTAACTCTGTTCTGACTCCATTTACAAATGACCATCCAGCATTTTTACATGTGTTTTCGCTCCCCAGATCCATGTCTACAGCCTGGAGACAAAGAAACCTGTGATCTGTGTCGGCAACTCACCCGGAGATTTCTCCTGCATTAACCTTAAGGACAGTCCTCCTCACCTGCTGGTGTGTGGGAACAAAGACAGGAGGTAAGGACAGGCTCTCTCTGAAATAAAAGTCAGTGATGATTATTTGACAAAGAGTTAAAACTAAGTTTTCCACTAACACCTGCTGATATGGACAACAGATATGTGCAAGTTGACAGGGCTCGATTCAGTCTGAGCATTTTTCACACCTCTCAGCCTCAGTGTGAGAGCCTTTAAGTTGAACATAAGAAAGATGTGAGATGTTCTTTGTGTCGAATAGAGACATCTCTCCGTCTGTCTCCTCCATTACCTGGGAAACTAGACAAGAAAGACATCTGGCCGCACATGCGTGCATTTGCACATGCTTGCCACATTGCTAACCTGGCTCTCCAGATGAGGAAAAGAAGCATAAAAGAGCCATTCTCATCTATTCTGCACTTGTTAGTGGGTGCTGCGGTGCACACGCTGGCAGCGGGACAAAAATCCCTGGCGCATCCACATCCAAAGCTGCCCCTGCTGTTTCTATTCAGCACCAAATCCATCTGGCTGTTAAGTAGTTGGCTTAAAAGGGGAGATGGACCGTATCATATTGTTAAGTTCTGTTCTTTTCCTTCATAGATGGTTACGCCTCCTAGCAACTGGTTTAGAAACGTTTGTTAAGTGGATGTAGAAATGCTCAGCTTTGTTTTGATTAAGGACTTGGTGCATTTTTCCCTGCCAGAGTCTTCATCTTCTGATTCCTTCTGCACTGTTTGTCATTTCTCTTTCTGAAAGATGAGTAGTTTTGTTCAGCTTCCACTTTGGCCCCAGCTGATGCTCAGCCGAAGACAAATGGAAACGATGCAGACTGAGGGACAGTCGGTGATCTTGGCTCTCTAAACAAGGTGGCTCCAGGCCAAACTCTAATGCATCCCTTCCTTTTTTTGTCCAAATGATTTTTGTCCCTCTGCTTTTTGTGAGATCCAGAGAGCAAATGAGGGCTCCTGATAAGGGGCTGCCTGGAAGACGGCCACATTTGTGCAAATAGGAGAAAGAAAAAGCGAGTCAAGTCAAAGAAAGAGGAGAAACAGGGAGGGTCACACCTGTGGCTGTTGGTCATTTCTTATTATGCAGGGCTGACTTTCTAGACTTTGCTCATTCTTGCTGCCAAGTTCAAAACTCAAAATGCCTTGCGGTTGATTTTATGGTCACACTCTTTCTCCTGAGTGAAACCTCTTAGAAACTTTAAGACTGATTGTAATGAGGTTATACTGAGGCTTTAATGGATCTCTGTTAGGATGAGTCACACAGAATTTGCTGTTTGCATTTCCTGAGAGCTTTATAGCTGCTGAACTGAAGCTAGAAAAAATAAGCAGATACGAGTTTTTCTAGTCCTAAACTGAACATCTCCTACAGCAAAAACGCACATCAACAGAAAGAAGTAGACCCATTGTGACTGTGCAGCTTCTGCTCTTTGTAAAAGAGGAGAAAAAAAGTTGTAACATTAATTTGGAAAACTAGTCTTGCTCTGGATATCATTCTCTTAACTGATTAATGCATTTATCTTTTACAAACATGCATATACCAGGATTCATTCTACATGTAAGAGTCAGAGGCGACCATCTCAGACAAATTTTGTACCACCTCAGGCCCCTGACAGCACTTTGTAAATTCATCTGTCCTTTCCTGCAGTTACAGTCAGTCCAGTGCAGCAGAAAAGACACTGCATAAACTCCCTCTGAGGAAGGAAAGAGATGAACTTCCTGCAGAGGTCATCTACGGTCTGGGTTTTCCTTTTGTCACATTATCAAGAACTGTGTATGCAAATGAAAGCAGGTCTGCACTTACACGATAATGCTCTTCTACCCTGATAGAAACAAGGACAGATGACAGATGACATCTCTTTGAGCAACAAGGAAGTGCTTTACACAAAACATGAAGAGAATCATTTTGGAGGTTAAAAAAATACATTGAAAGAAAGAGAGACATTAAAAATTGACACAGAAAAATATTAGAACAAGCCAATAAAATAAATCAAAGCAAGAAAAATTACAATCACAGAAAGTTGAAATATGGCATAGTAGCCTATTACAGTGCAGTTTGATCTGGAAATGTTGGATTAGGTTTTGTATGTTTTGTCTTATTCAACTGGCTTATAACTGCCGTGTTTAACAGGCTCAGGTATGAGGATGTTTACCTGTGAGGGGGCAACAGAAGCTTGGTGAAGCTAACTCTGCTAACCCTGGATACACTCTAAACCAGTCGAACACATATACACTCACCTGCAGACTCTGAGATCCCATATTTAGTCAGGTTTATGTTTAATTTTGACCCTTTTGAGTGTTTTTAGACACTCAGTTGGAATTTGGTACCGCAAAATTAGACTCTTCAAAACATCCCTTGTGTCCCCATTATGACAATGCTTGTAAATTATTTTGAGTGTACTTTGATTCAATTTATATTAATATATAACCATAAAAAATCATGCATGTATTTAAATAGAAATTGCTGTGGTGAAGTTTCATTGACAATACCTAAAAAATCAATGAAAATAATGATTAAGGTACAAATACTACAACTGTAGTACAGTAATATACAAATGAATTGACTTAATATGTGAGAAAATCTAAATCGAGTGTTTACTTTCATTTCTTCATTGACAGTTTAAAAAATTCTGTGCAAATACACACAAAACTTGTACATACCTTTTATCACTCAGTCATGAGTTTTGAAAACTTTTTTTGTTGTTGTTGTGTATTTATAATGTTATTCAAGTCTCCTGACTTTGATAAGTATTTAACTTATTGGCATTATAACTGAAAACCTACATTCATACATGTGAGAGCCAAAATGCATCATAGATTTGCAGTTTATGTAGGATATGAAACTCGAGTACTTGGTATCAGCAGTCCCAGTTTTTCTTTCAGACATAATCCTGCATCTATGATGATTAATGTCTGCTAAAGGATTAGGAAAGTAAGTGGAGTTATTCGAGCCTGTCCCTCTCTGAGCTGCTCCTGATTAATGAAGAGGAGTCTGTCTGCTGACAGCTCGCTGAAGACTGAGCTGCCTCCAGCCTTAGATTTATGTCTCCCTGCGGTCTGCCAGTACCGCTCAGTCTTCATTGTTTAAACGTGTGCTCCCATCGTAAAAACGCCACCAAACAGACAGAAGTAACTGCGAGAACAACAAGCCCACCGTGCCCGTTTAGCCATTTAGCTCTAAAATCTGGAAGCGGAAATGAAATCTGTCTGAGTCCCCAAAGTGGATTTGATTATGGTAATGAGGTCTTGGAAGAAGGTTGGGTCTGGATGGAGTCATGTCCTGGATGCTTTCAGCTGTAATAAAGCCACAATGACAACAGATGGAGCTGCAGGTCCCCTGGGCTGCTGAAGCTCAGGAAACCCAGCAAGAGGCGGCCCAGCTCATCCTGCCGTTTATCCTTCACTAAAAAACAGTAACAATCATGAGATAATACCAGTAATGACTGCACAATGAAGGCACATGTGGCATTACCTTAACTGAAAAAAATGTTCAAATCAGATTATTATTTGAAATAAGTACATGCAATTACTGGCTACGGCTGTGGAAGCCCAAAGTGGACATTTAATTCGCCTTACAAAAAAAATAAAATAAATTGTTGTCTTTTCTCACGCTCTTAGTCGAGATCATGATGAGGGGAAAAAAAGAAAAAATGAAATGAAACCAACAGACTCATGGTATTTTAGTATATAACCATCTTCAGTCTGGGTTCATGAGGCTAAAAAAACCCATCATGTCTGTGGACACTGCAGGCAGCCCTGTCAATGTAGCTGCTGTCAGCTAACATCCCTTTAAATAATAATATGAACAATGGCAAAGGATCCAATCTAACTGTAACTAACATGAATCAAATATATGATCTGTTTAGAGACGGACCGATAATTTCAGATAAAATAAAGTAAAAAAAATATAGATAAATAAAATACTGAACTGAGCCAAATATCCTCCTATCAAAATGTATTTGGACAAATATTCACTCAAGTTTGGCTGTTTATGTTCCTGTTTGTTAGTCTTTTTTAAATGTTATATTTTGTCCAATGCAATTCAAATATTTTTCCATTATCCATATCGGCATTGGCCATTGAAAAAGTGATATCAGTTTTACCACTTATTTTGTCATTATTTACAATAACAATAATACATTTTATTTGTATTGCCCTTTAAAATAGGAGGCCTCAAAGGGCTACATCTTAAAGCAAAGAAATATCACCGTAAAAACAGGTTGTTGGTTAAAAAAAACCTCCATATAGAATTATGGAGTTCAAGTTCAAAATCCATCCTAGAATTTAGTCTTAAAATGTTGATATTTTTTATCAACGTGACTCCAATATCACATCATACAAAACACAGTCAATAAAAGTGTTTTGAATTTTAAAAAGATAATTTCCATATTCTTTTGTTTTTATCCTTCATGCTAAGGTAATCTTTGTGTCTGAATAGCAGATGAAGAAATGTGATATTTGAGTCTGGAGCTGAAGCTGTCAGCACATGTGCTCCAGCTTGTATTTGTCTCTTGGTTCAGATGTTGTAAAGTTCCTGTAGCTGTGAGAATAGTGTCCTTTTGTCTGCTGATGAAAGCTCTCTTTGACTCACTGCACTCCCTCTTGGAGTCCTCCTCCTCCTCCTCTGAAAACGGGAAGTGAAATCCAAAACGACCACGTAGTAGTTAGATTGTAATCTGTTCTGTTATTGGAGCCACAGCTCAAGTGTAAAAAACATCCAATAAAAGTTAAAAACCTCTGAAGTTTGTTCTTATACCCGTCTGATCCACTCATTTCTCAGGTGATTGAACATTTGTGTGTGATAGTGCAGAAATAAACATGTACTCTTCTCTCATCTCTCATTCAGGGTGAGGGTATTCGACCTACGAGCCGGCGCCTCTGTTGCGTCCCTGTACGCCCACCACCTGGGTGTCACCTCGGTTCAGGCGGATGAGTGGAAGATCGTGAGCGGCGGAGGCGAAGGACTGGTGTGCGTGTGGGAGACGAGGATGGGAGCCAAGCTGTGGGAGATGCACAACAGGTGGGATTTTCTTCCCTCTGATTGTCTCCAGGGAGGATTTGAACTGGTGGAAACAGTAAAAAACATGTGAAGCCGAACAGCTTTCGAAGGTGTCACATCTGTTTTTGTTGCAGCGCTTCTCTCACATCACAGCCGTCGAGTGTTCCTCTGAGATTACAGCTAATTAAGACATGAACAAAACCCACAAACGCAGTGATTGTGGGTTTTATCTTTTGGTTTTGTTGTCTTATTGTTCTCCAGGTTATCATGAATACCACAAATCAAATAACTTATTTAATGGCACATTGTGAAAACAGCTTACAACATAGGAGCTGAGAAAAAAAGCTGATTTTTATGGTTTGCAAATCATCTATTGAATTGAAAGTAGTGCAAAGACAACATGTCAACTATACTGTATCATTTCCTCTTTGCACTTTGTCCTGTCAAAGCGGTTTTTGGAGGTAATTCTGAGTCCATGCGGTGACTTCCACTACCGTCCTTGCACTGACTCTTCTGGAAAGTGTTGCTGACATAATATTTAAAACATGTTTAAAATATATTATTTTATAAGAGTTAGATTAATAACTTTAATAAAAATCAGGGCTGATTTGATTTGCTCCAGGATTAATTCATTCAAAAAGATCTCAAAGAGGTGCTACAGTAAGAACTTTGTGAGATAAAGTGCAGTTTGATGTTTTACACTTACAGGCATCCTGTACGGCATGTGCGCTTTAACACCAGCACCCTGCTCACAGCCAACATCCCCGATGACAAGTCGCCACGAGGAGCCTGCATCACAGACGATGACCTCACAGCTCACCGCAGGTCACTGATCATCCCACACTCTCTCTCTCTCTCTCCTCTGCTTTCATCCTCCTTTTTTTTTAGTGACTCAGAAATCCTCGGCTGTTTCCTTGCACCTTTTTGTCGTTTAAGAAAAGTGCTCTTGCAGGAATAGTCTGGTATTTTAGGAAATTAGGTTGTTTTGTTATGACAGGAGAAAGTCACCACTTATGTCTGTACAGTAGAATGAAGCTACAGTCGAAATGTAGTCAGGATCCTAACAGATATCCTCAATAAGAATAATTCAGCTGTGCTGTGCTGAAGCTTTTCTGATTTCCCTCCTCAGACACCGGGGAGTCATCTGTCATTACGACTTCTCTGAAGGCGCCTCATCACAGGATCACATCCTGCCAATCTGCAGGTCTGACTACAAAGAGTCACACGGATACAACTACAACATCGGTCTGGCTGTGCCGTATGACAGACTGTCTGGATCCCATCCATCCCACTGACACACAAGATAACAAACTGACTCTGAGCAGACTGTACAAACTTTGACCTTTGAGCAGTTTGTTTGAAACTGGATCCTTGTATTTGATGACTTCCTCGTGTTTTAGCAGAATCTTTGTATATTATCTTTAAATGTATGTTTGTCATTCTAACTGCTGATTACGTTTGTCCTGAAATTGTCCAGTAAAATAACCAGATGTTTATTTTTCATGCTGTAGTGTTGAGCCAAATGAAGGATGTTTTAAAAACAATCTGATTTAAAGAATAAAGTGATTTTAGTCACTGATTGGCTTATATGCTCCAGCTGTTCTGAGGGCGGATGCAGGATCAGGAGTGAGTTCTCAGCTTAAAGATAAAGATGCTGATTATACATGATACTCCATCTATACTGATCCTGACAGCCAGTTGTTCTCCTGAAAATCTGTTCACTACAAAATAGGCCAATTCTGAAGTAAAATACAATTCCATTATAACTTTCATATTATGATTAGGAGAAATGTTATTCAGCTCTGAGTTTAATACAACAATAGTCTCACAACATAAAGCCTCGATTCCCAATAATTATATTCATAATATAACTGTACAACAACTTTATTCTTGTAAGGTTAAGGTTCAGTCCTCATGATATCCGGCTATGAGTGAAACATTATGACTTTATTCTAATAATATTATTACTTTACTCTGACTTTATTCTTGTAATATTGTGACAATTTACTAGATATTTGTTCATGATTTTAATATGTCATTCTTATATTATTGTGATTTGAATTTCTCTGCATTATTATGGCTTTAATTCTCAGATGTTACCACTTCCTGAGTTTAATACATTATTATCCCCCAAATATAAGACATTAGTATGACTTTATTTTTGAAATAGTGCGACTTTATTCTCATAGTGTTTTGAGTTTAATACATTTTTCTCATAACTATGTAGCAATCAAGACAACCCTGGATGTGAAACCCACACATTCCTCACAGGAAAGCTTCCTTATCTGGTCCCAGGAAACAGGATATAAATCTTTCCAGACGTGTTTGCCCTTTCAGGTTAAATAAGTGACCCAACAGGAGGTTGACTAAACCTCTGACTCTTCACGATTGGTCAATTCGGAGAACAGAGACAGAGTTTTATTACCTTTCAAACTGACTCCATTTGCTGACCATCTAAATAAACATTAACGTCTCAACCCAGATCTCCCATTTGAGATTTAGTGTCTTAAAGTGTGTGAACATACGGACCCTAGGAAAAGGGGGGACACTGACCTCCAGACCTCGGTCGTAAAACCCTGCTCGACCATACACTGATAAAGACTGCATTCCTTTGGTGAAAGAATACAAATGACTGATCATGACATCTTATGCATTCAGCAATGTACTAATCTGTCTAATCATGAAATTTGTGTTAAAATGAGATGTTTCCCGTTTTTCTATGTGCTTCAGAAGCCAAGTTATCTTATCTGACAGAATAAATCCTTATTCTTTAGTTTCTTTAGACCAACAGCTTTTCAGACTGTTTCATGAACTTTTAAGAGTTAAATTTATTGACTATGGATCATAACTTAACTCTAGGTAACAGAGACAGTTTAGAAATGTTTGGTTTATATTTTAGTTGTTTATTTAGTATTTTTAACCATTAGGTGGTTATAATGTCATTGAATAATCTGAATGTGAGTATTTAGAATCCATTATTAATCATGATGAAGTTCATTCACATGTGTTTACTCTTTTGTTGTTCACAGTTTCCATGTGTTACTATCTGTTTCATTTCAGAGTAATTTAGCATGTTCAATGTGATACTTAAAACATAATGAGAATGTTTGATGTGATCCTACACTTCATTCATATGTGTTTAGTATCAAATTATTGATCATGAAACCAAGCATTCAATGATATTAATCATAGTGAGTGAGTATCAGATCTGACTCTTTTACCAGCCAAAAGAATAAGTTAGATCAAATAATCAGAGATTCCACGACCCCTCCTCTTTCTCCTCAGACACACCCAGTGTGAGAAGATAAAACCAGTGAAGTGGGGTTGCTCACTCTCTTAGCTCTTGCTCTCTTATCTCTCTTATGTCTCTTATCTCTCTTATGCTTCTGCTCTTCTGCTGACTCTCTTGTCCCCGGCTCTTATGCCCCTTCTCTTCTGTCCACACCCTTCTGTGGTGCGTTTCTTTGTTTTCTCTTAGAACTTTTTCTTAGTCTTCTAAGTTTTACGCCACGTGTTGATTCACGTTGATTTTTCTTTAACATCGTCTTAGTTCAAGTTTTGAAACTTCAACTTTTTGTGCACATAGCAATTCAAGATTAAGCCTTTGATTGATTTTCTTTAATTTCGCGAAGCCATTTTTGAAAGTTTTCTCTGCTCTTCGAGCCTCGTTTTTCTGAGTTTTCTGCGTGATTTCAAAGTCACCTCCGAACGCAATCCAACAGGCCCAGGTCATCCTCTGTGCCAGAGTTTTTGAGTGAGACTAAAGAAGTACCCAAACGAGCATCCACAGGATCCACAGGCGCTGGTTTTTGCTTCGGGCCTGAGTGCTGCAACTCCTGGCTCATCCTTCGGCTTACTTCAGTCGTCTTCTGAGCTGAACCGCTCGAACCGCCAGTAGCCCGGACCTTCGGAACCTGCTCCATCTTCTCCAAGGACCAGTCTCACTTAAGTATGCAAACCTCCAGAGCTCTAAAGAGGGCTGGTGCTGTCTCGTGCGTTCATAACTCAGATGTCCTCTTATTCTGGTAATCTTAGATTCCTCCAAATCCACAACCGAGTTTATCTCGACACCAAAGTTAGTGTAGGTTAATATGTTAGCGCATATTCACTCACTATCATTAACTTTAGTGCTCCTAGCCTGACTCAGAATCTTTGTTTATTCACCTATTATTATCTATCTTCATTATCTTATCATCATTTATTGCATGTGTGTTGTACCATCATTTATCCTGTAATAAACAGATCATTATTTTTCTAAGTTCCTGTCTGTTAGTGTTCTTCCAGAAGTGGAGTCCCTGAAATTAGAATTTCGACTTAAGATATGAGACTGATTAATTAAGACTGATTAATTAAGACTGATTAAATAAAACTGACGATGTTTGATTTCTGAATTAAACTTTTGTTTTCTTTATTTTCCCACCATTAAGGGTGGGTGGTGCCCCTTTCAACGAGTGCATAAATGTCATAATTTGAGATTATTAATCTTCAGACATTTATTATAAATTCCAATCGCCAAGTATTATTTTGGTGCGGCCTTGTGAGGCTCATTTCAAATCGCTACATATATTTTGGTGCGACCGTATGAGGCTCATTTCAAATCACTACATATATTTTGGTGCCCCGTGTGAGGCTCATTTCAAATCACTACATATATTTTGGTGCCCCTGCGTGAGGCGTTTCAAACAAAACTTCTGGATACTAACAGACAACCTAAAACTTAGCCTTCCAAATTGATGAGAGAAACTTATTTCCAGGCTATCCTAGACTTAATCACAATAAATGCTATGCTTGCTGAAGTTGCTTGACTAAGTTCTGATGTTTTCCTGATCTATGCATAAAACCTTTATGCTCTGTGTTTCACACACTTTTGTACTACATGCCTGTAGTCTGTGTTTGAGCTGGACAGCGTGAAATGTTGTTCTGAGTAGCAGTGAGACTGCTTCTTCTGCTCTGTCTAGACTGTCCAATATTTAAGTGCACGATTGTTGCGTCGCCGTACGCTTGTATTTAAGGCCTTTGGCTGAACCCAGTGTTCGCGATGCTCCGAGCTGTGGTTTCAAGCCCCTGAAGTCTCTATAGTCTGCTACGAAGTTCTAGTAACTATATGGGATTCAGATTTCCTCCTTTCCCCTGACAGAGTAGCTACCTGTCACAGGAAACCACTGTAACAGTGGGAGGTTGTTGTTTGATTGAATTCAGACAAAATTCGTGATCACAAATCGCCGCATTTGTGAGTTTAAAGTCTGCAGTTGAATCTGCTGTTGAGGGATTTGTCACTTTGATTCTTGTCTCTGTAGTCTGCTACGAGGTTCTAGTAACTATATGGGATTCAGATTTCCTCCTTTCCCCTGACAGATTAGCTACCTGTCACAGGAAACCACTGTAACAGTGGGAGGTTGTTGTTTGAATGAATTCAGGCAAAATTTGTGATCACAAATCGCCGCATTTGTGATTTTAAAGTCTGCAGTTGAATCTGCTGTTTAAGAATTTGTCACTTTGATTCTTGTTTCTGTAAATTATTTTATTGAACCAATCTGCTTGAGCAGATGGTGTAAAGTTCTATGTTTGAGGGTGCAGACGCAGCCTGCTGTGAAATGTTAACCCTTTGTTGTCAGTAGAGAGACTGACCTTTGGCCTTAAGCAGATAAGGCCCTTCGAGGAGGCAGAGCCTAAAGGCCCCTTCCTTCAGACTTCCCAACTTCACACAGCCACAAGAGGCTAGTTGGATGACTGTTTCCTCTTTGCTTCTTCTTCTCCATTTGTGTTGAGCTTGTGCAGTTCTCCCAACTCCATACTGCCCCACATGGTTGCTTTTGGTATTGAGCTAACACTGCTATTATCTGCCTGCAGTATCAGCCAGCTGTACTGCCTCTCTGTAGTCAGTGTGTAACACTCTACAGACATAACTCAAGTGATTGACTTGGTTGATGAAGTTTGATGTGCTTATTCTAAATCATTGATCATTGATTTTTGATTTTTATCTTTGTTATAAGAGCCTACATAATGTATTGATAAAGTAACTCCTTGAATCAATCACCTGATCTTGTTGTTACTTATCACACCATTGAGCAGTTTTACTGTTCCCTATAATACATGAATGTATTAACCCTCCTCATAAGATTAATTAATTAATGAACAAATTAATTAATATTTGAAATCTATTTTACCATTTCAGATGAATTGGGTAGTTGAATCTTTGGCTTTATTGCGATTTGTGAATTAACTTCAGAGTTAATTCCTTAAATTGACAATTTCATTGGTTTCAGATTCATCCAACTGCATCAGGCAGTTTATTTAAGCTTTGCTGATCTCTGCAACACGGAGACAATTTGAACCCTTTTTTCAATGGTTCTGTATCTGATGTTAAATTTAATTTAACATTATTTCACCTTGTTTTATTTCAATTTTCATTGAAATGAATTTAACTTTATGTTATTTTTCTCTCCATTAGAGATCTACTCAGATAGGCTCTTCCTCTTTATCAAGCACTGATAAATTAAGTCGATTAACTCACTTAATTTGATATTTTGCTTCTTCTTTTCATTTTAAGCCAACTCAAACTCATCAACCAACCACCTGCACCTCTTTACCAAAACCAAACATGCCTAACACAAAAGAGTCCAGCCAGGGAGACCCCCTGAGGGACATACACACAGTGTTGGCAAACTTGACTAGTCAGTTGATACCTCAATACATGACTAAGATTCAAAAGGCCAAACCCTCCAATCCGGAGGATGCAATGGCTGACTTACTGGAAACAGCCTTAACCACGACACTTCGTGACAAAGAGCTCACTAGATGCATGTCTGTCATGATGTCTTCTCAGCTTGAGTATAAAGACTACTTGCTGGAATGCGCTTTAGCAAAGATAAAGGCGCAAAAAGACGAAAACAGCGCTCTGAAAAAGATGCTAGAAGAGACTAAGAAGTCTCTAAGTGTTTTAGAAAAACACAGTGCCAGATGTGAAGCGTCAAAGCTTCCCTCACTGATAAGTCATGAAGAAAATCTTGATCTTAAAGACAAGATTGAAAGACTTAATGAAACCCTTTACAAAAAGGAGAAAGAACTTGATGACACGAATAAGCAGCTTGCTAAGACCACAGAGGATCTGATACAGTCAGAATCCCTACTAGAGCAAGCAACAGAAGATGTAAAAACTTTGAAAGCATTGGTCAAAGTGCGTGCTGAAGCTCTTGAAGCTAAGGAGAAGCAAACTTCTACCTTACAGCACCAGCTCCAGATAGCTCAGAGACAGTTAATTCTTTGGCAAGAACGGCAAGAAAAGACAGACAAAGAACTTGAAGATGCCCAAAGAGAGTTACAATGCTCCCTCCAGTCAGGTCGAGCCCAAAGAGAACGCATGGAGCAAACTTTTCTTGAAGAAATGATAGGTGATCAGCCTCCTGAGAGAGCGCCATCACTTCCTTCCAAACCAACTCTTAAGTATCTCTCTCAGCATCATGACAGGACCCTGCTTGACCCTGAGAGGTCATCCTTAAACCAAGAGTCTTACTCTCCTCCCCATGATGGCTTCTTACCATTTCCCTCAGATAGGGATCTTGACAAAATTGCTCGCAACATAGCACGCTTTGAACCTGAGCACCAAGGTGCTACTGACACCTGCACCTACTTGAAAGACATTGACTTTTACCTGAGGAAATTTCCAGGTGCAACCATTGATGACAAAATCTACCTTATTAAGGCGACGTCAAGTCGAGAGGTTAGCAGTTTCCTTGAACGACAGCCTTATCATGTCAGAAATAATTATGACTTGCTCTGCCAAGCATTAATCGAAGAGTTTTCTGATCATTTGACCCAGACAGGCCTTTCTGCTGCTCTGTCTATTAAACAAGGGAGATCAGAATCTCCCCAACATTATTACAACCGCTTACGCGAAGCTTACTTTGGTTTCCGAAATGAACCAGAAATGGAGGAGGACTTGAACTTCAAAACGCTGTTCGTCCAGAACCTCCACCCTACCACCAGTCATCACCTTGGCGTCTTAGCTTGTCCAAACACTTCGACTAGCCGACAGCTTCGTGAACTTGCTGTAAAAGGTTTTGCCAAACAACGACAAACTTTGGCTAAGAAAGCAGAGCCCGTTACTCTCTTGGCTATGGAGACAAAATCACTGCCCATGGAGCTGAACGAAGCTTCAGACTGTGTTTTTTCAGGCTCCGATAAGCCTCCAAATGAGTGGTTAACCAGGCCTCCAAAACCTTTTCGACCTCAACAAACTCACAAAGGTCAAAGTTACACACCAAGGCCCAGTTCTGACACAGACCAACGCCAGGTAAACTTTGAGACCAACCGTTGTTATTCAGACTCCCGTCACGGTGGGTTTTATCCCAGACAAAGGAAAAACCATCAACACCGCCAAAGGGGGGTGAATGACTGGCAGAATCAGAGTAAATTACACTCTCAGAAACGACGATCTTATTATCCACCTCAATCGGTTTCATCCACTTTGAAGGTGAATAAACATGACTACTCAGCTAACCACTGAGATTAACACTGTGGAGTCATGAAGGTGTGAGTCCTGTGAAAGCAGAAGTCAGCTAGCCAAAGCTAAATGACTCCAATAAGATATCCAAATGCTGTGGTGATACATTGATGACTGCAATACCAGTTGCTGCTTTCTTTGTTAGCATTTGTCTCTCCTCTGTCAATATAGTCAGCTTGTCAGCTGTCAAATATCCCATGAACAGATTAAAAGCTGAAATTTCTGTCACTAAGACTCAGATTGACAAATTTCAGACTCAACAGCAGATAATTAGTCAAACCGATAAGAGCATCATCCCCAAGTTTAACAGACAAAGTTTAAGAGAAACTCTGTGCAGTAAACTTTTGATGTTTGTGATTCAGGTTGACTATGCTCATACACAGATGGTTAATATGTCTATAGCAGACATTTCTTTTCCACCTAAGTCTTAACCATTTTTGAAACTGAAATTGAACTTTCAGACTTCTCCAGCAAGCATGAAAAACAGCTATAGCTTTAGATCCAGTTAGCATTCAGACTAAAGAGTGCTTTTCTAAATCTCATTAATACTGAAAATTAGGAGATTTTCTTTCACATTAGTCTACCAATAGTTAACTGAGAAAAGTCTAACACCTAGACGATTTTATTTGATAGCTTAATGCATGCTCGATGTTATCTTAAAGCAGATACTAGTGATTCACATAGTGATAATGAGACGCATCAGTCCTATTTGCATACACCTGCTGCTGCTGCTGCTGCTTCATGGTTGTCTACTCGTCGTCCCGATGCTCCATGGACAGGACCACCGTGACGAAGGGGGGACTGTAGCAATCAAGACAACCCTGGATGTGAAACCCACACATTCCTCACAGGAAAGCTTCCTTATCTGGTCCCAGGAAACAGGATATAAATCTTTCCAGACGTGTTTGCCCTTTCAGGTTAAATAAGTGACCCAACAGGAGGTTGACTAAACCTCTGACTCTTCACGATTGGTCAATTCGGAGAACAGAGACAGAGTTTTATTACCTTTCAAACTGACTCCATTTGCTGACCATCTAAATAAACATTAACGTCTCAACCCAGATCTCCCATTTGAGATTTAGTGTCTTAAAGTGTGTGAACATACGGACCCTAGGAAAAGGGGGGACACTGACCTCCAGACCTCGGTCGTAAAACCCTGCTCGACCATACACTGATAAAGACTGCATTCCTTTGGTGAAAGAATACAAATGACTGATCATGACATCTTATGCATTCAGCAATGTACTAATCTGTCTAATCATGAAATTTGTGTTAAAATGAGATGTTTCCCGTTTTTCTATGTGCTTCAGAAGCCAAGTTATCTTATCTGACAGAATAAATCCTTATTCTTTAGTTTCTTTAGACCAACAGCTTTTCAGACTGTTTCATGAACTTTTAAGAGTTAAATTTATTGACTATGGATCATAACTTAACTCTAGGTAACAGAGACAGTTTAGAAATGTTTGGTTTATATTTTAGTTGTTTATTTAGTATTTTTAACCATTAGGTGGTTATAATGTCATTGAATAATCTGAATGTGAGTATTTAGAATCCATTATTAATCATGATGAAGTTCATTCACATGTGTTTACTCTTTTGTTGTTCACAGTTTCCATGTGTTACTATCTGTTTCATTTCAGAGTAATTTAGCATGTTCAATGTGATACTTAAAACATAATGAGAATGTTTGATGTGATCCTACACTTCATTCATATGTGTTTAGTATCAAATTATTGATCATGAAACCAAGCATTCAATGATATTAATCATAGTGAGTGAGTATCAGATCTGACTCTTTTACCAGCCAAAAGAATAAGTTAGATCAAATAATCAGAGATTCCACGACCCCTCCTCTTTCTCCTCAGACACACCCAGTGTGAGAAGATAAAACCAGTGAAGTGGGGTTGCTCACTCTCTTAGCTCTTGCTCTCTTATCTCTCTTATGTCTCTTATCTCTCTTATGCTTCTGCTCTTCTGCTGACTCTCTTGTCCCCGGCTCTTATGCCCCTTCTCTTCTGTCCACACCCTTCTGTGGTGCGTTTCTTTGTTTTCTCTTAGAACTTTTTCTTAGTCTTCTAAGTTTTACGCCACGTGTTGATTCACGTTGATTTTTCTTTAACATCGTCTTAGTTCAAGTTTTGAAACTTCAACTTTTTGTGCACATAGCAATTCAAGATTAAGCCTTTGATTGATTTTCTTTAATTTCGCGAAGCCATTTTTGAAAGTTTTCTCTGCTCTTCGAGCCTCGTTTTTCTGAGTTTTCTGCGTGATTTCAAAGTCACCTCCGAACGCAATCCAACAGGCCCAGGTCATCCTCTGTGCCAGAGTTTTTGAGTGAGACTAAAGAAGTACCCAAACGAGCATCCACAGGATCCACAGGCGCTGGTTTTTGCTTCGGGCCTGAGTGCTGCAACTCCTGGCTCATCCTTCGGCTTACTTCAGTCGTCTTCTGAGCTGAACCGCTCGAACCGCCAGTAGCCCGGACCTTCGGAACCTGCTCCATCTTCTCCAAGGACCAGTCTCACTTAAGTATGCAAACCTCCAGAGCTCTAAAGAGGGCTGGTGCTGTCTCGTGCGTTCATAACTCAGATGTCCTCTTATTCTGGTAATCTTAGATTCCTCCAAATCCACAACCGAGTTTATCTCGACACCAAAGTTAGTGTAGGTTAATATGTTAGCGCATATTCACTCACTATCATTAACTTTAGTGCTCCTAGCCTGACTCAGAATCTTTGTTTATTCACCTATTATTATCTATCTTCATTATCTTATCATCATTTATTGCATGTGTGTTGTACCATCATTTATCCTGTAATAAACAGATCATTATTTTTCTAAGTTCCTGTCTGTTAGTGTTCTTCCAGAAGTGGAGTCCCTGAAATTAGAATTTCGACTTAAGATATGAGACTGATTAATTAAGACTGATTAATTAAGACTGATTAAATAAAACTGACGATGTTTGATTTCTGAATTAAACTTTTGTTTTCTTTATTTTCCCACCATTAAGGGTGGGTGGTGCCCCTTTCAACGAGTGCATAAATGTCATAATTTGAGATTATTAATCTTCAGACATTTATTATAAATTCCAATCGCCAAGTATTATTTTGGTGCGGCCTTGTGAGGCTCATTTCAAATCGCTACATATATTTTGGTGCGACCGTATGAGGCTCATTTCAAATCACTACAACTACATGACTTTATTATTCCCAAAATATAGCTTTACCTCATTTTTGTAATTTTATGAACATACATTATATTTTTAAAGCTCCCATGAGGAACTTTTGGACTTGGTCAGATCTGGTGCCCCCTGTGGAACCAGCAGTCATTGCTTATCTAGAGATGATTAGGGCTGTTTTCAGCTGCTCAGCTGACACCTACCCCCTCACACCTGCACCAGGCATTAAAAATTACAATATAAGAATGATCAACTTAGTCGCTGATGGTCTTCTTTGCATCAGTATTAATTTCAGTCTACTTTATTGATGCCCAAAAACTCCTCGCATTAGCTTTAATGTTGTGAGTGGACTACAACTTTATTCTAGTAATATTATGAATTTTTGAAAATTCTCATAAAATAACTTTTGTTCTTGAAAACGTATTTTTTCTCCTTCATTTGGCTCCAACACTCGTCATGGTTTTTTAATGTCTTGGGTTTAAATCAGTGCTGCTGTGTGATCTCACAGCAATAAAAAGCTAATTTTTCTACCTCATCAGAGATACTGTATTTGTAATGTTGTTTCTATTGATGACAAAGAAACATTTGTCTTAAATTTGTTTTATTAATTTATACAATTCAGTGCAAAGTCAGCTATAATTAGTTTAAAGGGAAAGTGTGATTTCCCTCACTCCTGGTCTGAAAGTAGCAGATTTTCACGCTATAAGAACGGCGGTTAGTTACACAAAGACTCAGGGGAACAGATAAATCAAACCGGCAGCTATTCTGGAGCTGCAGAGGGATGGTATGTGCCCGTACTCTCACGCTCTGGACGTCGGCCACAACAGATGACCCGTGGATGCCAGAGCTGCCACTGAGCATGACTGACTACATCTGAACCTTTTGACTGAAGTACAAAGAATCCTTCACAGTGTGGGATGGTTACACAAAGGTTAGTAGAAAAGCAGAATGAACACAGAGGTAGTTTGTTAGTTTTTAAACCTGACAGTGGAAGCAGAAGAAGGGAAAATTCATCTCCTGGTCTCCTGAAATACGGGACACTTGCTCCGTCTTTTAACACATCATGCCAAAACTCTGCCATAATTACTATAAAAGATGTGATTAGCTTGGAATTATAATTCTTCTGCTCCATCCAAAAATACATTAGTGCATATCAAAAGTGTTTGGTTCGGTTCCATGTAAGGACTGGAGAGTTTCTGCTAAAAACAGCAGCAACATAAACATTTTTTCACCAGAGCCGCTCCATCAAGAGGTCGATTTCCCACAGCGCATTGTTGTAGTGTCCACATCCAGAAAGCGAATGTGCATCCTGGACTCCATTTCTAGTCCTTGTAAAATCTGTTAGGGAAAGAAAACTACATTTACATCTGAGCTTTAAAGAAAAGAGTCATGTGTTTGACTGTACAAGGTGCAAACCTGCTCGAAATGCTCAAACGTAATCCCTTCATAGAAATCATCTGGAGCCTGAAAGAACAAACAAAGACAGAAATGAGTGACTGAAATGTGTGAATTTATTGTAACAGTTTAGTTCTGCTCGGATCCATTACCATGTGGGGGACATTTGTGCTCGCCACTTCCAACATGGCAGCATCTGCTATCGCCTTGGCAGCTTCCAGGCCGATGGCGCCGCTTTTAGACAGAAGCTCTTCTACTACCTTGGATGGGAGGAGAATTATTAGTTTTTAAAGCTTCATCTGGGTTTAAAAAGCATCAATTGTGACTCGCATGAGGTTAATCACAAAGGGTAGGAATGATTAAACTGAAGCAATGATCCACTGCAGAACAGAACTGGAAAATAAGGATGCTGATGGTGGAGTTTTCTTATTTCTAAGGCTGAATGATACTGGACTTCAGGATGTTCTGTTTTTAGGTTTCAGACCATGACCTAGATCTAGGTACAGCGATCAGGTTTACATGACTCATACAGAATACTGCTATTATCCTGATTATTAAAGGAATATGCTGTGCCAATAACAGCTGAGATAGACCCAAGACTCCTGCAACCCTGAACAGGACAAGCAGTGAGGATAAAAGATAGATGACAACCATTCAGTGCTTCATGTGTGCTTGAACTCAGGCGAGCCGGGTAGAGCTGTTCAACAATAGCATTAAATTAAACTATAATTGCATCTATGCTTCATATAATTACATATTTTTATACCAGCAAACACACTGGGTCAGCCTGTTATTGTATTTTAATTGCTGGCTAATTGCACCTCCTGGATCCACCCGCACTGGTTTAGGGCTGATTACACCTTTTATGTGTGTGTGTTTACAGACACTGTGATTCACTCTGTAAAGTGGTGTTTTGCACCTGTTTGGGTGCGTCAACTCAGACCTGATCATTTTGATGATTCGCAGAGGCTATTGTTCAGAACAGCTTCGGCAACAAGAACAGGGAAAAAAACAACAACAAAAAACTGTAAAAGCATGTTTTTGTTTTGTACAATAATGAGTTGATAAAAATCTAGCTTCTATTAGTTATAAGGTCAGATGTGGTTCAGAATAAATATTGCTTTAAATATAAGGTTAAAAATTTCAGACTTGAAGTTGCTTGCTGAGGTCTTTAATCATATTTTCCTGAACTATGCCTTTTAATTTTTTTTTACCTATTTATTGTCTCTTACTCTTTTACTTCCTTTGTCCTTAAAATCTCAGTTTATGACTATTATTTGAGAAAATACCATTTAAACAGAGATATCTTAGTTGGAAATGTTGTTGGCTTTGCTAACATATAAAACTGTCCATGTATTGATGAAAACTTGTTGAAAAGATTTTTTAATATAACATATTTTTGCTTTGTATGCCTCATCAGTCATTTGAATCCATATTATGGGTTCAAATAGCACCAGTTTTAAAGAATGACCCATTTAAATACTATTTAAATCCCGTGCAGTTTTAAATTAAGGTGAATTGTTCTCCTTCAATTCCTCGTTTTCATTCGAAGTCCTGGCAGAGATAACTTAACAAAAAAAAAAAAAAACTGCTCATAATCACATCCTGGACAAAAGCCGGTATAATTGAGTTTTCTCACCTTCCTGTATTCCTCCAGGGTGATGGTGCCGTCATTGTCTGTGTCATGCATGTTGAACAGGACTGGGAGGAAAGAACAGCAAGGTTTAATGGTATGGTCTGAGTTCTGAGGAACTTTCTCTCATGAAGTGAAAAGGAGAACGGATGTTTGTAAAAGAGCGGAGGAAGTTGTGATGATTGGAGGGATGTTTGTAGAGATGCAGAGATTAAAGATGGGGATGGTTGACTCAACGTTTCCCCTCCAGACCGAGTCAGAAACATCCAGAAAATGCCACTGCTTTGATTAACACTGACATTTATAATTCTCCATATTTGTGCTCATATCTCACAGTCCTGTGGCTACAACAAGGAAAAAAAGCCAGTTTGCCCCTTAAGGTGACATCCAGCGACATTCACACTGAGCTGCTTGTGCTACTTCTGCTAGGTCATTAAATAGCTCTCCATACTTTCACAGTGATACATTTCTGTTTTATTGATACTGGCACAAAATAAAACAAACTAAATGTCCTGTAGATCCCCTGTTGTTATAAAGCATGAAAAGCACACTTTTTATGAGGTCCTATTATCTAAACCCGTCGCAGTGTTTACTCTAAGAGGAAGTTGAAGCACTGATAAGTCTTGTTTCCCCTGACAGTGTTATCCTGAACAGTTTAAAACAATAAAGACAGATTGGGAAATAAAAACATTAGGCACATTTCAGCAGAGGAAGTAAAGAAATCAGGTCCTATTCTGTCAACCAGAATGACAAATCTCAGCCCTCAGTCTGCAGTAAAGGGAAATGACTGTTTGTGTACGCTCAGCACTTAACGGTCATGTCTGGCTGAGCTTCAGCTCATTTTCCTGTAACAATGCTCAAGCCTATGTCATACTGAGGTTTGTGGTGGATTTGCGTCTGTTGTCTTCAATTTGGTGGATGTCCCTTCACCTCAAATCTGCTTGTGTATTACCAGTTATCAAGCTTGTTCCTGCACTCAAACTATCAAACTAAGGTTTTTGCTCTCCAAATGATTTAAGCTTTTTAAACAAAAAATGACATAATAAACCAAAAAAAGCAAGCAAGGCAGTGATCTGTATCATTCTATGAACATAGAATAATGGAAAGTATATACTGTCTGCCAGTGCTGATAGGAAGTTTAGTTTTTGTCACTCTGTCAATTAAGAGAGGTGAAATCTGCTGATACTGTTGTGCCCTTGCTATTAAGAATTAAGAGTTATTAAAGTTATTAAAATTTTTTGTACCGTAAATAGATAGTTTTTGATTGTAAATCTGCACACCTCTGCTGTAAGGATAGGCATTTTAACATGGGTGTTAATGAGACTTCCTGGCCTCAAGTGGCCATTTAAGGAACTGCAGTTATTTGAACTTCCACACTGGCTTCACATTGGCAGATTTAGGGTATACTTGCCAAAACGTCCAGAATCCAGTTCAGCGTTGAGTATTTTGCCCTTTAAAAGAGGACTGGAGACCCACCCCTGTGTTTACTAAATATCCAGCTGATTAGTCATGATGCACTTCAGCAACAATCAGCAGGAGTCTCCCCCTTCTTCAGCTATACTCTAACTCCATGTTTCATTTACAGCCCATGTCCTTCATTCAGCCGTAAAACACAGTCTAACACTGTATCAGGTGACTAGCAGGATGGAAAAGGCAGTGCCACGAGAGGAAGGAGCAGCTGGAAACAAAGTGACCCAACTTGTTTGAATATCACCTACAGTCTTTTACAGGGCTGCCAACGACAAACCCAAATTATGTCTCAGGGCAGTAGCAACAAAGGCCTCATGCTGTACAAGCACATTTGTTAAATCTGTTAAAAATGTATAAAAAATCAGTTCAGTAGCTAATGTTTAAGCCTTAAAGGGGGCCTCAGGCTGATCCTGATCCTGCTGAGGTTGCGAAGCTGCTGTTCTGGCCTTGAGCACCGACAAACCTCACTGAAGTGGCTCACAGCGAAGAATCCAGCGCTCACACATGCAGCTATGCATCATCACGCTCTCTGTGGCATGTAGGTGACTGAAACAAGATACTTCATCACCAGTTTGTCATTTACACTTGACAGTAAAGCTTCCTTATGGTATTCTGTGACTGAGACACACGCAGGAGGACATTGGAGAAGAATATTTCCAGTCTTCTTGTATCTGTTACTCTCATTTAGTACAAGGTTTAGTCTCTTACAGCGCAGCTTCTCCTTCCTCAAAGCTTCCTTCTCCTCCTCTGTCGTCTTCAGGGTTGGCGGGCGGAAATGGGACATGACCATAAGGAACTGCTCAAAGCCGATCTCCCCGAAGGAGCCCACCTCATCCTGATGCTGGTTCCTGGATCACACAGGTAGACAAAATCAAGGTTTAGCCTTCTTAAACTTAAACTCCACCAACGTGGCTCCTTAAAGATCAATAGCTAACCATATTTTATTGTATATTTAAGCCATAAACCAACTTCTTCTGTGTATTTGTCCTGCAGGAATTCTGCATTTAAAATGTCTCAAAAACTTGCTCATCAAGTCTGAATCAACAGTCTTATTTTACTTCACTGATCTTGTGTTTCTTCCCTGTAGCGTCCCATTATGCACATGACTTGTGTGCTTAAAAGGAAAGTCACATGGAGTTACAAAAAGTTCATTTGTTGTTCAGTCCTGTTTGTGGTTTCTCTGTCGAGCTATAAGGAAACTGCTGCTTCTTAAAAGTGTCTCTAGAGTTATGAATACACTTTTTGGTTTCATAATCTATCCAGTTTGTTTGTTTCTTTAGCTCTTATCTACCATCTAAAACTAATGGAAGTATTTTTCACTGACATGCTTGAATGAAATGGTTTTTCGTTGACTAAACAAACAGAGGAAAAGTCTTATCAAATATTCAATCAAACCAGGCCGTTCAAAGAAAAACAAAGTCACCAATCCAACCAAACTGATAAGACTGAAGACTCTGCCAGCTGCCAGGTTTAAACACACAACATTTTAGCACTGAGACAACATAAAAACTGAACCATTTCTGCTCAAAATCCATGACATTAATTCAGTTCAAAGGAACACATATACCATACGCCTTAAAAAATCAGTAAAATACACTAAAGCCACTATAAAGAGTTTTTTAATGTCAGTGAAAAAGACTGAAATTCATACTGATGCTTTTTCATGCTGTCAAAAAGCAAACGAAACCATTTGGGACAAGAATGAGGGTTTCTATACAGTTGTTTTTTAAAGCCTTACTCTAGTGTGAGGTGGGTAGATATCAGCCTTGATAAAATATTCACAATAAATAAAACACATAACTGTCAAAAGTCAGCAGGATGAGGTTTTTTTTTTAGTCAGTAAACTCTACTTACTATTAGTTTGTAGAGGACCAGATAAGCAAAGACTGTTTTGTCCACAACTGAACGTTCCACACAGGAGCTTTAATATAGATGAGTACAAGTTAAAATATGCCCCTCTTAGCATTAGCAGTTACACTGGGATTCCACCGCATGCAGATCTGCTACGCCACGCTCAGTGGCAGGTGGATCAAAAATGCAAGCATACAGCGCCCACTGGATCCGACAAGCGGAGAAGGATCACTTGCAATATTACTTCTATTTCTCATGAAACTGGATGAGATCTCACGAGATCTTGCATGTTTCACCGTGAGACACTGAATAAGATCAGCGGTGTATATAAACACCCACATCCCACATCCCATGGCCCCTCCCATTATCAAGTGAAGAACAGTTCAACGTATTGACTTTATTTTATTTTGAAAATTAACCAGATATTTCACTCTGTACCTGCATACATTCTGCTTGCGTATTTGATCAGGCTGCTGTTCCGTATCCTGTGGAATTTAACCGTTAGTGTATAAACCGGCAGAAAGTGGAAGCTATTTCTCAAGATTGTATTTTAGTATTTACCGTCACCATTGGTAGTTTTGACAAGGAGAGGAGAGGAGAGGATGGTGATGCCCTTTACTCATGCACTCTTATCAAATATGGATTCACCTTCATCGTCTCCTCCCTGTTAGAATACTAATCCTAACGTACAATAATAATGGTTCCACATGGACACATGCAAGGACCTGTCTTGATTACGATCTCTGGGCACCCCAGAGGATCTGATCCTGAAATCGTTTGTTTTTACAGATTTTGAACTCAGAGCTCTGCTGGTTTAGGGTAATCCTGAAAGCTGGTTGGTTGATTAAGCGGCTAAAGCTAGCCGTGTACAGACTCTGTTAAAGGTGAGGAGAGCTGCTGTCTGGGATACAGCTCAGTCATATCAGCAGGAGATAAAAGGTGATATCTTCTACCTCACATTTATGTTTATCATAGGAGCTTGAGAAATACCAGCGCTTAAATAAACTGACCTTTGAAAAATATAACAGTGTGGAAACAAGTTTGATTCTGTTTTCATGATAAGTGGGGATATGTTTCAGTCAAAGCAGACAGGGTTTAGTGAAAACGTGTGAACCCACCTTTTATCAAAGAAGGCCTCAATAATCTGCTTTTTGATTGGATTGTTGGCAAGGGCTGGTATGCTGTTCAAGTTTGCTCTGCTGCAGGGGGAATAAAAAAGACAGATTCAGTTTTCGTGACAAACATAAAAAAGAATCAGCCAGCTTTAGGTACAGTAGTATATTCAATTTAGCAGAAGTAACATGAACTGGAGCCAGGAGGAATACCGTCTGTGTTCAACATTTGTTCCCTGCTTCTTTTTAAAGAGCAGGTCATCCATCACCAGCAGCATGTCGCTCTGGCAGGTTGGTGTGTGTTTTGACATATTAATGTGTGTGTACAGTACGTGTGTACTCTGTGCGCCTGATGGATCGACATATTGTATTTGCCTTAAGTGTCTGCTTTTGCATTAGCTCAGCCTGTGCGTCACCATATGCTGCTTGTTTGTGTGTGCCAGAGATACCACAAATTACCCACAATTCATCACTCCAGCCACTATGTGTGCAGACAGTATTATCATCTTAAAGGACCACAGTGAAGGCTAAATGATTTCTATCTAAGCTGACCTGCAGAGCTTTGAAAAAACATGCACCCGAATCAAGAGATGTTTTCAGGAATGACGTATGAAGAGCTCCGGAGGTCAAATCTAGGGGTGGGATGTGATCATCTTTGATTGATACCAGTGCCATGATTGGCTCTACAGATCAATCCAATTATTAATCCAGTGGGCCTGTGCAGGTTTTCTGTGTCAACAATGCACATGTTATTATGAGTTTATGACTATCATGACTGCTTCCCTTTGGGCCTTTAAAGGTCAGCTGAACAAATACAGCAGCCTTTCATTAGCATAGCCAGCTAGTAACAGAAATCCCACTATATCACTGAATTCATATACACATTAGCACAGATAACTCTGCTTTGAGGGATTGCATCCAAACTGCCTCTGAAAACACACAAGTCTTTCCTGGTATAGAAAAGTCCAAAAACACACTAGAGTTCATCTCTAGGAAGCTGTCAGTCTAATGAACGGAGTGGATTTTACAGTGGGTGCATTCTTCTGTTTAATTTTTAGAGCTGTTATTATGAAGACAATACAGGCTGCATTTTTGTACCGCTCCTGTCTGACGCATGCCTCTCACGATGGGTTACATCATTTTGCATGGCATGTGCAACTAAGTGGTAAGCACCCATTCACCTTTTTCCACTTGTGCATGGTGATCGCAGATCTTTAAACAAATGCAAGGAAGTGCACTTCTCCACAGATGGATAGATACCAGAGAATCTACTATCAAATTCACCATGTGTTGTAACTTAAAACTCCTGTAAGGAGCTTTTTGACATTTATAAAATAGGCTGATATTCATGTTGATGCCTCTTTATGATATTCAAAAGAAAATGAGACAATCAGTGAAAGGTTCATGTCTTCTTACATTAATTTTCAATGCATGAAACTACACTGTTTTTTTTCATTTTCCACCTTCAATTTTCACAATAAATGACACATTCTAATGATCATAATTTTTGGGTATAAGGCACTAGGTAAGCGTGTGGAGGACAAGCCAAGTAAAGGCTGCTTTGTCCACAGGGGGCGCCAAATGTGTTCTTATTTATCATAGAAATAGCCTGTGATGTGGTTTCTCTGATATTTGCAACTAAGGTTATTTTTTAAATTCACTTGAGGTAGATAACAGTCCAAAATCTAACAGAGGGGAGGAGTTAGGATTGTGCTCATGCATAAGTGGAAACATGGTGTTAAGAATACAGAGGAATCAAACTGATGGCATGAGCAGGTTCTGATCTGGGGGTGATTTTCAGTTCCCACCTTACTCCAGACATGATCCAGGTTCTCATGTATATAAAGGGTCAGTAATACTTCATTTAATAATTCATTTTACCTGATGGTGTCTTCATTTCCACTCAGGTGCTGGAATCTTTTGTGAAGGTTTTTAATCTGCTCTGGTGAAACTGAAAAAGAGGAACAACACATCAAAATAACAACAAGAACAACATGAAAGTATGTCAGTGATACACCCGTCAATAGTCCACACCCATCAAAAGGCCTCCTGCACTCCTTCACTTCTCTATCAGGGGTTCCAACACACAATGAAGTGACAGTAAACAAATAGACACAGCAGTTAACATGAGCATGAACACTTTTTGTGAGTTAATCTGTCCTGTTGCAGCCTTTTTCTCAGTTTGATGACAAAGCAAACACCCTGAGCAGCAGCAAGATTGTTTTTTTTTTTTTTTTCTGTCACTTGAGGAAGCTTCCCTGAATCATTAACTCACAGTGTGGACTGGTGACCGCACACTTCAGGTTGAAACATCATAATCAAGTCCTGCCTTGTGCCATACAGAGATAGCTTTGACATTTTCAAGTGTTTCCACCAACACTTGTGTTTGTTTTGACTTTTTTTCTTCTTCCAGCAGCTGCCAAGGAGATGTTTGCAGTAGCAACTGTATCCACTGAAGAATAGTGCAATACAGAAATAAGACACATGGTTCAAGTGGGAGGTTGTGAGTGTTTTAGGATCAAATACAAGACACAATGCAGCAACAACAACACTGACTGAATACGAAAGGAAGACAGCAACAGGACATGAATTTAGTCAACAAGTAAAAGCATGTAAGTGCTATCAGACAACTCATCAGTATCCAGAATAGTTAAACAAAATCATAAATAGCTTAAACTGTGCCAGGAGAGAAACAAGGTCAAAGCCCCACCTTGAGGAAACAAAGACAGTAAAAAACAGTCCAAAGTCTCACCAATACAGAATCAATAAAATTAGGCAGAGTCTGGTGTGCAAACCTGATTTTTGCATGCCTCTGCACGCACAGTTTACACATCAGGATCCTGCTGCACCTCCCAAAAATAGACACGCTGCACACTTCTGCAGTTTGTGTCTGCTTTTTGTTTCATTATTCACTTCACTGTTAAATCCATGAGTAGAAAGAAAAGAAAGAAGAGAGTTTATGAGAAGAAATACTGTGTGTTACAATGTTTATAGCCGCTGGACTAACCCCACAGCACAGGTATGACTCAAACAAATTACAAATTGAGGAAGTCGCAGCAAAAAATACAAGTTCAAATAAAGGACGCGCTATTAAATAAACAGTGTACATGGATTCACATAAACTTTTAGCGCTTTTATCATAAGAAACTACCACTGCGTCCATTTGTGTCACGGCTGAATTTTGTAGGATTTAACTTTGCCTCATTATAAAGCGATCAAAAGAGCATTTAATCGCAATACTTTGCGTTTCTTCATTTTCTGACAAACTAAAATCTGGTTTGATGATCGTGAGTGATTTAATAAGGACTTGTCACCAGCACCAAGCGCGCGTCTGCAAAGCAAACATTCAACACTATCTGCGCAGTTCACTGAATCAGCAGTTTAAAGTTCCTCCTGCTATAAAAAGTTCTCGTCTTTTCCCCATACTTACAGCCAGTCCGGTCCGCCAGGTCTTGGTACTTGCTCTCGGTGCGAGTTTGTGAAGCTCCCATCGCTGCTGCTGCTGTCGGTGCGTCAGGACGCACTACCCAGTTCAACTGGCTCAACTTTCCTCCGCTGCTGCTGCTTTATCACGCTGCTGCTGCTGTCGGCAGGATCTACGGAGGCCCTGAAGGTGAACTGCACAAATACTTTAATGAGAGCTACAGAGTCCCCCCTTGACACAACCATATCAAATATGATGAAAACAAATCATAAAATGCAAATATAAGTTTGACTTGCTTAAAAAATCTCAAAATTATACTGTTCTTGGAACATGAACATTTTTGCAAATGTAAAAATACTGAATAAGAAAAACATACTGACAAGATATGAAAATGTAAAAATCTTATTCTGATATTTAAAAATTGTTGTTTTTAGTATTCATTTGTTTAAAAAATTATTCTCCGTCTAGAAAAATATAATTTTGTGTTTTGAAATTCTTGGTTTCATAATACATTTTTGTATTAAGTAGATTTTTTTTGTGGGTTCCAGGAAATATTTACACTGTGTGCACAATTATTAGGCAAGTTGTATTTTTGAGGATAAATTTCATTTTTGAACAACTACAGTGCTCTCGGTCAATCCAAAATGTTAATAAACCTCAAACCTTAATATTTAAGGGAGTAAAAGAGAGATTTTGACTTCCTTAGGAGAATATCTATGTGTGCACAATTATTGGGGGCAGCTATTAGTGTGCAGAATTATTATGCAACTAAATTAAAAATGAAAAATTTTCCATCTCACTTGTTTATTTTCACTTGTTAAAGTGAGAATGATAAACAAACAACTCAATTTGCAAATAAAAATTGTTTAAATTAAAAAAAAAAAATCAGTGACCAATGTAACTGCCCTTCTTTTCATTAACAGTCATAAGCTTTCCATTCATGGAGTCTTTCAGTTTCTTGATCTGTTGACGATCAACTTTTTGTGTTGCAGTAACCAAAGCCTCCCAGACACTGTTCCAGACACTGTTCAGAGAGGTGTACTGTCTTCCTTCACTGTAAATTTCCTGTTTAAGAAGGGCTCACAAGTTCTGAACAGGGTTTAGGTCAGGTGAAGAAGGAGGCCACGTCATTATTCTTTCGTTTTTAAGGCCTTTACTGGCGAGCCACATAGTGGAGTACTTTGTTGCATGCAATGGAGCATTGTCCTGCATAAAAATCATGGTTTTCTTGAAAGATGCAGACTTTTGCCTGTACCACTGCTTGAAGAAAGTGTCTTCTCAAAACTGGCATTGGATTTGGGAGTTGATTTTAAGTCCATCTTTAACCCAAAAGGTCCAGCTAGCTCATCTTTAATAATACCAGCCCATACCAGTACCCCGCCTCCACCTTGCTGGTGTGTGATTCGAAGTGGAGCTCTGTGCCCATTACTGATCCAGCCACGGGTCCATCCATCTGGTCCGTCAAGAGTCACTCTCATCCCATCAGTCCATAAAACCTTTGAAAAATCTCTCTTCAGATATTTCTTGGCCCAGTCTTGACGTTTCAACTTGTGTCTTGTTCAGTGGTGGTCAGATTTTCAGCCTTCCTTACCTTGGCTAAATGTTTGCTGGTTCTGTGATCACGCCCAAATATCTAAGCTATTTCAAGAGTGCTGCATCCCTGTGAAAGACTTTTTACATTTTTTGACTTTTCAGAGTCACTTAAATCTCTTTTTTGGCCCATTTTACCTGAGGAAAAGAAGCTGCCTAATAATTATGCACACCTTGATTAAGGGTTTTGATCTCCTTAGGCCCCAGCCTCCCTCATTACACTAATACACATTACCTGATATGCTTATATCCAATAAGCATTCAAGTTTATACAGCTTGGAGTTGGAAAATATGCATAAAAATGATGATATGATCAAAATACTCACTTGCCTTATAATTGTGCACACAGTGTATTGTATGAACATTTTTGCTGTTGTCATGAAATATGTTTGTAAATTCATTTGGCATAGAGTTTCATATCATATAAAAAATCTTTGTCAATAAATGTATTTACTTATGTAACGTATTTCTGAAATTTCATTTTGAGAAATGTTTCATCAAATAAAACATTTTTTTATGAAACATTCAAGACCTTTTACTATGTGAAATGTTTTTGCTTCATGCAATATTTTGCAATTTGATTGTGATGTACTTTAAGACTGTGTGAAATGATTTCTGTCAGGAAATATATTTTTTCCATGAAATATTTTGTGTTACAATTTTTTGACACATTTTTGTTTTGTAAAATATATTTCTTTATATGATACACTTTTGCGTTTTCCTACGTTTTATCAAATATTTTTGCATTTTGTGTAAATTTATTTCATGTTTCATGACATGTTTGTGCAATGGACCTCTGGGGCCACCGTACTGGTTGGTCCTGCTGGCTTCACTGGAAACATCTTGCATTTTCAAGGTCTTAAATCCATACAGCCTGTGGACACATTACCTGCTCTCTCTCGGTTTCTCTCTCTCGTCAGTTTCCTGATGTAAATCGTTGTGAGTGTTGTGTGCAACAACAGTATAGCAAACATTGTTCTCATAAGTCAGAGAGAAGCTTAAAAGAAAAACTTGAAACACTTTATTTTTTTTTGTGATTTCCTTGAAGCCCACTCCTTTTCGTTGTCAAGTCAGTGGTGTTCTTCTTCTTTTGTGTTTCCATGAAGAGCTCAACAACACTGATGAGCTTTGACATCCTACATGTTTCACTTGTAAATATACAGAGAAAAAAAAAATCAAGATTATCTAGAAATGTGAAAGCTGAACTTTCAGAAGTGCATGAAATTTGATTAAAAGATGGGGAATTAAAAGTCAGATTTACAAAGTTTTTCCTCCTAGTCTCTTATGTGGCACTGTAACTGTAATTAAGGGGGTTTGGACTAAATGCTGGGGATTTGTTAGACTGGTGCTGTGTGAGGGGTATTATGGGTAAAGGATCATTCCTTAGTTTTAGGTAAAGGGAGATTTACAGCACCTGGACACTCATCCTAAACCTACACCTCCACTTAACTGTTTAATTCAAGTATATTTTGATTTTCCTCATTTTGAGTTTCCAAACTCAGCTTCCACACTGGATTTTGAAGACCCAGCATCCTGCACGCCAGCTCAAATTATGTACATAGGCTCTCTATAGACTGTTCAATTTGGTACTGAGCATGCGGATCTGAACAGAAGCAACATTTCTGAATTTTTCCAGGCTTTTCTAGAAATAAAGACACTAAAATGAACCCTCCCAGACCTGCACTGCTGCACAAACCCATATTTTTTCGTAGTTTCTTAAATAATACTGTTTCCTGGCAGATTTTACAAAGACCACTCCTCTGAACATCTACTGATCCTTAGCGTCTGCAACAAAACAACAGTTAAGTGGAATGTAAATTGAGAACGGGCGACCAGTGGGTGATTTGTTAGTCAAGTGTCGGACACAGCTGTTTTGCTACATGGGCATGGCTTGGTGGTTGTTTTGGTCTGAGGCTGCAGCCTGGTCCTGGTTCACAGAGCCAGGTGTGAGTCTGTGGTAAAGCTCCTGCACCGTGCCCAGAGTCTCATCCATGTCCTCGGGGTATCGTGTCTGCAGCTCTTCGTTGGCAGCGTAGTGGGTGTCGGAGAACTCGGAGAAGTAGCGTCCCACTTCAGGGTGGCCGATCTCCAGGGGGGATGAGTGGGGCTCCAGGTTCTCTGAGGCACAAAGATGGAAAGGAGTCTACTTAGAGAGGCTTATACAAGACTGTGTAAATAATTTAGAGTGAGGGGGGAGAAAAGGATTTAATACAAAGCAAGTATCAGCAAACTGAGCAAGTAAGCACTATAAATCATGGGAGTCAGCCTGTAAGGGAAGACCTCTAAGTGGGAAACTTCTTCAACTCCAAAAACAGGGTGATGCAGCACCACCTGAGACCACTCAGCAGGATTCACCTCAGTGTAGTGATGATGGCCTAATGCAGAAAGAGTCAATACCTCTCAGTGAGACATATGAACACTGATGATAAAGCATTATTTGTTCTTCTTGCAACTGCTTTTATGAAGTTGTTTAAGTTACAGTTTTGGATTTCAAAATAAAAGCACAAGGAAATAAAACAATCTATAGGCAAGACAGAAAAAATATTCAAACAAAAGCAGATGGTTTTATGAAGCAACATCCTCTCAAATAAGTTTCAGTCACAGGGACGGTGATGAGACTAGAACATCAGTGTGAATAACATTTAAAAAAATAATGACATGTAAGTTAGTGGTGTTTATTATAGAAGTTTTTGAACTAATGTGTTGCTCCACTTCAGTCTGTCCTCTTCTTAAGTTTCTCATCAGTTAGGCGATAACATCACAATGATATCGCAATAATATAGTTATCTTGGCATTTTATGGATTTTGAGATTAAAATCAAAATTTTAAAAAGTCGAATGAAAAAAAAATCGAAATTTCAACTGTAATGTCAAAATTTCGAGATTAAAAAAAAAAAAAATTATGAGATAAAGAGGAAACTTTGACTCTAATCTCAAAATATTATTTTTCTTAATCTCGAAATTTTGACTTTAATCTTGAGTTTCATTTTTTCATCTTGAAATTTTGACTTTATTAACATAATTCAATTTTTTTAAATCTCAAAATTTCAACTTCAATCTCCTTCCTGTAATTATTTTTTTTCTCTTCATGTGGCCCTTATCCTCTTTCGTAGATACTTCCCCGAACCTGAACAACTCTGATTGTCCTTTTTTTTTTTTCTAAGTAACTCATTAACTTCTAGCTTCGTAACTATCTATCCACCTGCGGATACTATTTTAGCAGTAAATGGACTTGACTGTGGACATTGCAGCTCTGACAAGAGATTATTCAACTTTCTGTTTCCAAATTTTTCCCCTGATTTCTTTTAGGATCATTTCTTGGGGCTGCAATGATAAATTCTTGCCCAGGCTCACATGAGCCCTGTGATAGGCTGGTAACCTGTCCAGAGTTTACTCTGGGATAGGCTCCAGCCTACCCAAGCTCCTGAACCAGATACATGGATGGTATTATACAACTCAGAATTTTCATTACACACCCTAACACCTTGCACCTTCCCCTTTATCACCATGCTGGTGTGTTTGCACTGACCCTGAGCTGCGTAGCGGCATGTCCCATCCTGGACAAGGACGTTGTAGAAAGGCTGGTTGGCCCCATTGGACAGCTGGTGCACCCTCATAGTGGTGATCCACTCTTGGCTCATGGTGCACTTTGGGTCCCAGCCGTAGATCACGCAGTTGTAACCTGACCTGATGGAGGAGACAGAGCAGGGGAGATGTACTTGAGCATTCAGAGGGACTGCATGTGTCGCGGGGTGTTTATAGGAGCCCTTTCTATAATGGCAGTTCAAGGCGTGATATTTATGTCCCTATAACATCTGGCCTTTAATATGAAAGGTCAGAGGCATGATGGTGGCAGTATGAAGAGGACCACTGTGGTGCATGTTAGTTTGACCCACCTCTTGTGTTTCATGATGAGACCGACTGAATACTGGACCTCCAGGTGTTCTGGGGCACTTCGCTTCTTCACCTCAGGTGTGACAGGATGCTTCTTGTGCTGGATGTGCTCCAGCGTGTGCTGCACAAGGTAACCCACTGCCCCGTGCTGAGAGGGGTCCAGGGCCTGGATATGCTGCAGGATGTCTAGCACCTGGTTAAGAGTGAAAACATCAACAGACAAAGGGCTTAGATGAAAGGGCTGAACTCTGAGTGTTATGTAATCTTGGTAACAAAAAAAGCGAGTGTGTGTGTCCTGACCTTCTCCGGCCAGATGCCCAGGTGGAAGTAGAGGCGAGCCTGCAGCAGCAGGTACTGCACATTATCAGGGTTGATGGTGAGGTAGAGGTCCAGAGAGTCTCTTAGCAGCTGGTAGGATTTCTCATTGCCCTCCCTGAGAGTAACAGCACAGTTCAGATGAGGTCATGAAAGCAAGAGTAGCACATTCATGTCCTAATTTCATAACAGCAAACAGGTCATAAATTCTAATTAATTATCCATTCCTGATTTTAAAAAAAACAAGCAAACAAAAAATGCTCAAAAAAAAAAAGGGGGAAGTTTCTCTCACCCCCTCTTGCCGATGTTCAGCAGGTTTCCCACCATCCTCAGCAGCACCTCGGTGGTGTTGATGGCACTGTAGTAATCTGCTGTCACCTGGTGGCCAATCAGGTACTCGCACTCCTTAGCTGTCAGCTGTTTGCCTTTCCCAAAGGCATCGATGTAGACAAAGTCATAGATGTCCTCACTCCTGCAGGAGCGAAAGAAAAATGATGTTTGATATTTGTGGCAGGACCAGTTCAGTTGCATTTCTGAGTTTCACCTAAATATTGTGAAGGTATAATTATTGTGGTATTTTCTTGCCAGATGAATCATGAGGTGAAGTTTTGATATGGTGACAGCTGGTTCAGGATAGTTAGCTCTATTCTATTCCCTCTTTCATGAAGAAGTGTGAGGCTAACAGCATTGCTCTTAAGAGACACATTTTTAGAGATTTTCAAACTTTACCCTCTTGGCTTTTGGCACCAACGCAGCAAGAAGTGATTGGGGAAGTTGACGGGTTCCAACTGAACACCCAGCTTCCGAGCTAGCGTCATATAGAGGACAGAGAGGCTGATGGGAATGCCTGTACGGCGAAGTAGCACCTGAAGAGAAAAGAAGGAGTAATTTAGGGCAGCAGCTATCGAATATTTTAGTAATCAAGTATTCTACGGAATATTTTAACGATTACTCGAGAAATCGGACCCAAATGGCAGACTCATATACAGTGAGATTTCCCATATCACCAATCCAAGCTCCGCCCCTGGAGCCCCGGTATGATGACCAGACTCAGAGAAATATAGGACAATCATGGAACAAGCGTGTGCGTTAGCGGATTGCAATGCTCGTAAGAAAGCTAATTATGATATTTGCTTCTATCATGTCCCCAGAGACATTAGTGTCTGAAAGCTAAATAGCTCCTATGTTACCTGCCACTTCTGCGACACCGGCAATGTTAGGCTGCAAGCTAGCATGAAGAGGAGTGTGCAGAGCAGCGCTGTCTCCGCCCATGACTCAAAAGGTGAACTGCTTGTGAGCTACTGGAGCTCTGCAGAAGAAAAGCCCCTCATCATTCATTTTTCTAAACCAAAACTGCGCTTCCTCTTCCTTCTGCTGTAGTGATTTAAGCGCGTTGTGTCACCTTGAAAATAATCCGTGTGAAACAGTGACGATTTGAGTTTATAAACGAGAACTTGAGTACTCGAAAATTCCTCGATCAGTATTTGTAATCGTGGTACTCGGGGTACTAGAGGAATCGTTTCAGCCCGAGAGTAAATGGACATTTGAAATATAAGACAGAAAAACCAAGAGATTTAAAGAAGCCTTACCTGGTGAATGTAGGAGTTGAGAGGGTTGTAATAGTCAAACTCGTTGCCTTTGAACTGGAGTTGCTCGTATAAGACGGAGTTCAGGGCGCACACCACCTGCCTCTGGAGCTCAAAGTCCTCTACGATGAAACAGTCACCTGTGCCGCACAAAAGAAATGAAACCTCAGGGGAAAGTGTCGGCAGGACAGGTGCCAAACTTTCCCTCTCAGCCAAAATATACCACTATTGATTTTTTTCTTTTTTTTTTTTACAATGCCAGCCCCTCTGGCTTTCAGCGCCTAGAAGAGAACTTTAAAAAAGGCCATAAAAAACATAACACAAAGGGTCAGAAGGTCTCCACTCTGGAGTTTTCCTGCAGCACACCTTGAGCGATGCGCAGACTGGGGTGAGACGGGTTCTTGATTCGCAGCATCTTCTTCACTTTCTCTGTGATCTCATCCAGCTGGGCTGATATGCTGCTCAGTGTTACATCAGCCAGAGGGTTACAATACTGATCCACCAGCACAGCACCTTCAGGGGCAGATGAGACCAGAGGAGGGAATTTATAATGTGAAGCTGCTTTTATGGGTTCAGGAAACACAAACACAGAAAAAACACCATCCGAATAACAAAATTATAGCCTTATTAACACTTTTACTACTTCTGGAATAACTTAAAAGATGTATACATTTTAGAGCTGCAACTAACTGATTTTTTAACTAAATTATCAGTAATATTTCTTCACAATTTTCCAGATTTTGACATCTTAAAATTGTTTCTTTTCTTTGAATTTCTTGGACCGGGTCATTCCATGTCAATTCAACCAAGAATCGCCACTCATGTCACAGATTTTGATGAAATTTGGTGGAGTGATTGGCTTTCAGTAGAAACTGTCAGATCTCAAATATTTTTGTTCAAAGCCATCTAATTAGTGAGATAGGGGCTAATGAATTTTTGGCTAACTAACATGACATGCGTTACAAAAGTGTTCATATCTCTGGAAGTATAGCACCTAGAGAGCTGATTCAGGTGTCATTTTAAAGCTCTCTTCAAGTTCTATCTTTTTGTTCATAACATTGTTTCCCAAATTGGACCAGAAAAAAATTATAAAAGACCAAAAACTTAAATTGGAAATAGCAAAAAACATGCGTCCTTCAATTTTCTTCATATTCACACTAAAGAAAGACTTTCATGTCCACTAGCATCCCTGCAAGTTTCAGGATGGGCATTCCATAACTTTTTGAGTAATCAGTCAAAATGCGTGGTACGTTAGGTGGAAAATCGCCATATTTGGCACATTATACAGTCCTGACCTCATCTGGAGTCAGCCCCACTTGCCTGCTTGTCTAAAATATTACTTTCTCATAGTGCAAAATGCTTTTTTTGAGTTTTTTCATTTGTATGTTATCCCATATTTATATGAAAAATGGCTAGAATAGATTATTTTTGCTCAGTTTTCCATCGCATTTCATTTCTATTTGCACCTATATCCAGAATATGAATGATCTTAGCTTCAAAGGAGAATCATTTGGACATACCTGCATGTCCTGGATCCTAGGGTTGACAAATAATTTCTACCTATGCATCCTGAAATTTTGTTGCGAGTTTCCCTGTGAAGTATTCCAGGCTATTTATCCTGAGCCCTTTCAATGTTTCCTTTATACTTCAAAAGTACTTTAAGCATACTTTTGAAGTACTTTTGTTAATAATTTTATTAAAATAATTTCTCTTGAGTAGGGTATCATCCAATACTTGCTCGTGGGAATCTAGAAACCTGCTAAACATTTTGTTGCATCACCTCTTCTTTTCGCAGCACGAGGCAAAGCCTTGGAAACCAAGGAGACGAGGTCTGAAAATTTCTCATTTAATCTGTCTTTTATTGTATTTTTATATTTCCTTGTGTTTTTTATCGGATTTATTTTCTTTTTTTTCCTTTATGCTTTTATAGTCTCTTGATTTACTGTATTTTGACTTTATTTTATCTTTTTTAGTATTTTATCTGTTGTGCAGCATCTTGGTAACCTTGTTGTTTTTAAAATGTGCTACCAAAACAAAGGTGGATTGGATTGGATTGAATTAAATGGGCCCAGACCCAGAGATGTATTTTTTTTAACTCTGTTTATACATGGTTTCCTCTTTGCATGGTACAGTTTCAACCTGCATCTGTGTACATAGTCGATTTTGGGAGTGATTCTGAGCCCATGCAGTGATTTCCACTACAGAGTCATAACTGTTTCTAACGCAGTGCTGTCTGAGGCTCGATGATTTCAGCTTTGTTCCTTTCGCGCAAAGATATCTCTGTCTGTTTTTTAATCTTTATATTGTGTACTGATGGTAATGTACACTAAGATTGTACTCACTATTCTGAGACTGTTAACTATTAACGCTCATAGTCTCTCACAGAGTGGCCAATCTCCTCCCTGGATTGCCTTCATTTACCCGGAAGGTTACCAACCTGCTGCATATTAACTCAGTAAGGACATGATCCTATGGGCATTTCTAGCAGTGTTGTACATTGACTTAGCCAGAAATAAGAAAAAGTCCACTGATCAAACAGCTTACAACATAAATTGAGGTCTGGGATGACTCACAGTAAATTTATGTCTCACCTGCTAAGGCAGACTGCTGCTCCACCGGCTGCACCAGGAAGCTCTTCAAACTCTTCAGGATGTTCTGCTGTCTCAGGAAGTAAAGGATTTTCTTTGCATAGTACTTCAGGGTCAGGCTTTTCCTAAAAACGGAGGAGGAGACAGTAACAGTCAGAGGTTGGCGACACAGCACTAGCTTTCATAATCATTAAGAGATTAACACCGGATCACATTATTTTAAAGTTCAGGGTGAGACGCCGTTGTAGGATCACCGTAGGGCACAGTATTGCTCTCACCTCTTGTCCGAGTTGAGGATGAAGAGCAACTCGTCTTCGCAGAAGTGCTCCGGCATCCCAAGTGACTCAATCTCTGCAAAGCTGTCTCCCAGCACCTGGCCAACGCAAGGCTGAGTTACAGATCTCTGGGTTAGTGTGGAAAACTTACAGCTTGAATTTTCCTGCACAAACAGGCGCCCACACACAGACCACAAACACACACAGATGGACGCCCAGTACACACACACAAAAGGTTGACTATTTTACAACAACAACAACAAAACACTGTTTCTCAACTTAAATTACGCATCTGTTTAAGAAAAAAAACAAGGATCACTTACAACTTCTGTGAAGAATCTCTTCGAGATCGACTCCACAGTCTTTCGTATCTGTATACCAACTCTGTGGCGTGTTTTGTATTCTCTGAGCCAGTCGCAGCACTCGTTCTGACGGTAAAACCTCTGCAGCCTTGGCCATCTGTGGATGACAGCAGCAAAAATGTTATTTAAGCAAAACATAACAAATAACTGCAATTATCCCCACAGTTATTAACCCCTATAATATGAAGGGGAATGATTAGGTGTCCCTGGAGGAAATATAGTTTTACAAATGATGATGATGTGACATTTATCTGAGTTTCCAGCAAACAGTTTTCTCTGTCTGGATGAAAAAATAGGTCTGCCAGGACACCTCTGCTGCACTGCAGCACTTCAATATAATGCTGTTCAGTTTCACGTCAAAGAGGACAAAAATAAACAGCTTCTGCAGTCAAGAGCACATCCAGTAAAGTGGCCAGGGGTGTTGCCACCCCTTCTTCACTTGGCCAACCCAAAATCTTGAACCATAATTCTTTATTTGCTTGTCTGCTGAGTTGGGTTATTAATCAGTGTTCACTTCTGATAACAGTTTTGGCCCCAGGATCATAAAATACAATAATTGAGACTGAAAGATTATTGTGCTCCCTGCTGTGTTGTGCCCTTTACATCCTGAAAGTTAAATGAAGCACACCCTCCATCTCTTCGTTAACAGCAAAACATGGACCTGGGTGGAGGGAGGAGAACAGGGATAGGAGCAGGAGGAGGCAGAAGTGTGTATCTGTGTGTGTGTGAAAAGCTCAGGGATAAGGAGAGGGTCCAACAACAACGAGTGTTAACAGGCTAACGACTCAAGGGGCAAAAAGTGAGATAAATACTCCAAATTTAAGCCAAAGACTTGATGAAAGAAGAGACGTTTACATAAAAGCGTGGAAAAAATTGAGTGATCTGTAAGATCTGCAGCCTGTTACCAAAGAGTCTAGGAGCTCAAATCTTTATGAACGTAAGAATACTTTATTAAAATGATTTATTTAAGTGAGTGTTATCCCTTTAATTAATTCAAAGCCCTTTAAATAAAGTGAAGAATTGTTGTTTGGTGTTTTGGGGGTCATTGTAATTGACAGCTGGAAGTTTTCTTTGCGGCACATTCATGAAGAGTGTGACTTATGATTAGCAACTTCTTTATAGATTCTTTACAGAGTTGAATATGAGGTACAAGTATACACATTAGTGCATAACATTTTTATTACATTTTAATGTTAGTGGTTAAAGTAGATATAATGAGTGGAGATAAATAGGGCTAATAAACACTGCTTTTCTTTCATGTGTCAGTGCTCCTACCTGAAACCAATGATTCTGGACCTGCCTCTGCCTATATCCTCTACAATAACTTCAACTATTCATGATCCTGCTCCAGTCGAAGCTTTTCACAAACAAAAAACAGGCAAGAAGACTAACATCCAAGCAAGTCGCGACTGAGGCTCAGGTTTTGGCAGGATTTGCACCCTCCTGGAGATCCCAGGCTTCAAACATCATTCAAGGTCACACAGATTCAATTTTGACTCTTAAAAGGAGAATAAGCTGCAACTTATGGAAGATTTGCATGCTTAAATCTACAAGCATCAGGTTTGTGTGCAGAGCAGGAGCTTGAGGCTGGCCTGACGTGATGATAGTTTGGTGCATCAGCATAATATTAGCAGCTGACAGCCGGTGAGTACGCACTAACCAAACCCAACGCCAAGAGCACATTATGACATTTAGGGCTATACATACGAACAATTCAAAGAAATTTGTGACTGTGGGGGTAGCAATCAAAAACGAAGAGCTGTCAGAACTCTAAAATACCACAAGAAAATCGCAGCACCTGAGTTTGTACTGGTGTCCCCAGACCTTTCCCCTTCCATGGCAAACGTCGTGTAGCCGCTTGCAGCAGCAGGAAACGTTACAAATGTCGACATGTTTGAGGACAGGGAAGCACAGGATGTGTTCGAGCAACTCGGTTGGCAGATCGGTCAGATTTTTAGTCTGTGGGTTGCATGTAATCCCGTTAAGACTCGGTTGCCCCTCTCCGGCTACAGACGTCGCCATCTTTACTGTTTACCCCGATTACCTCATTGCTTAGACCCCGCCCCTTTATGGCGCAGGGGGCAGAGCAAGGGGCGGAACCCAGGGACTGTAGTGCATCGTGATTGGTTGTCCAGACGGGAAGAAAGGAGAGGCAATGCTGCCTTCAGAAAAACAGGAAACTGCAGAGTTTGTCTGTTTACAAACAAGATGAAGACAAATGACAAAATTGAGTAACGTTTTGAATACTTTAGTATGATATGTCTCAAAGTATACAACATTTTTCTTCAATAGATAAGAGAGAAACTGAACGACTGAATTCATATTCGAATTTAAATAATCTACTGAAGTATTTTCTAACTGTTAAATTGTGAGAGGCCAGACACTGGTTTATGTCATGACACCGTTATAACAGTAACAGCGATAAAACATCCTAAACAAAATAAACACTGTTCACCATTACATACACAAAAACACATACTGTATCTGTAAAAAACACAGAAGCGAAGTCTTGTCACTTCGTTTTCACACGCCTAACATTACTTTAAATTTCCACTTTATCTAAATCACGTTACTATATAAACATATATTTGTATTTTTAACAGCAAAGCCGCTGTTTTTAATTGTAATTCAAAACTTAAAATGAAAGAAAACACAACACTGCTGCTTTTCTGTAAAACCCTGTAATCAGAATCCGAATCATGATAATTTATTCATTTTTTTTTACCAAGGGTCTTAAATTTTGTACCTATTTAGTGTTTTTTTATGCTCTATGCCATTGAATAACTTTGTTATTACGACATTCTAGACTACACGTGAACGCATCAGGGCTTTCCAGATGAGACAGCCAGCTAACAAACAGCTAGCAGCTCTTAGCCAGCGCTTCATTCCCAGGATAGTTTTTGGGCAGCAACCAAAGTGTTTTTAACTTTCTCGAGGACTATATTTTTCATGGGCACAAAGTTACGACGACATCGTGATGTAAAAATGTAACGCTACAACGTTAATGCAAGATAAGGGCTTATTTTCTATATTTAATATCAGTTAAACAACAGTCTGAAGCTAACGTTAGCAGGAAGCCAAGTGTAGTTCACTGTCTGTTACCTCATGTGTGGTGAAATCGAAAACATTGTCTTTGGAAGTGTCACAACAATAGAAATACAAAATAATAAGTGGTGTGCATGACAAAGTAACACACGAGTGTACTTCATGTTTACTTTAAGACACTCATCTATCCATAACTCCTACAGGTGGGTAGTCACGTGCACAGTCCCAAACCTTTAAATCAAGCAGCTCAGACACTAAAAGTGCCATAATGCTCTGACAGAGCCCACAGTTAGTCCAAATCAAAGACATTTCCTGACTGAATAGTGAGTTTTGAAGCTGTTCGCCATGGCAAGTGCCTTAGCAGCAAAAATGGGATTGAATTCACTGATGAGGAGACAAGCCAAGACCTTCAACGTCAGGATCTGCACGATGGAGTCAGACATGGAGTTCAGCTGCGAGGTGGGTATCCATCCATTTGTCCTTTCATCCATTCATCAATCCATTCATTCAATCATTTATTTGTATATCACATGAAATCATTGTAGAAGGAAGGGGGGAAGAAATAAGAAAGAAACCATGGTTAAAACTGGAAAAAAAATATTATAGTAAGATAGAAAAGATGAAAAGAAACCAGCAAAATAGTCAAAAATAATAACAGAAAATTAATAAAAATGAGAACAATCGAAATAATAAACAACAATGACTAACAGGAAAAATCTGAATATTAAAAAAAGGAAAAAGCAATCAAATCAGAAAAGAAAAATTCCCATCAACTATTGCATGAGACAGAAAGGATTTCAGTACTGAGTAAAACTTGGATTTCTCTTATTCTGTAAGTGTGGATAGCCAATTTTTTCTCAAGCATTTTTTTTCCTCATCTCAGTGTGAATCGTGGGAACATGTGGGATGAGCCGTGACTGGGTGTGAGAACTGAACCATTCCGCTTTAAAGGTTTTTCAGATTTACTGTAGCTCTGAACCCACCACACATGCAATTATGTTCTCATTGTTACCAGTTGCATCCAGAGTAAAGTCATTCCATCACAACAAAAAGAGGAAAAATCCTGGAGGACTCAATTCAACAGCTGCAAACACACTAAAATACACAAGTTTAGAAAAGTTTTTAGCTAGATCACGGACTCTCCCTTTATTTTACTGAATGATTTTGCAGAGTCTTCTATCAGTGCTGGACTAAGTAAATGGTCTATGCACACAGGTCATGGCTGGCTGTGTACAGAGGCTTGCTATTTAGAGCCAAAAATCAGAATTTGAATGTTTTAAAAGAGAAAAAAACTACAGCAAAAGTGCCAAGATAAGTATTTTGAAACAGGTTTTAAAACTTCATTTAATGAAATTTGCAAAAAAAATTTGGCTTGAAATATCTTGGAATAAGTTTCATATTAATGTCAATAAAATTAGATATATTTGAACAAGAAATGAGCCAATAGTATTTTATTTTATGCCTTATTAATTTATGATAACAATTATGTATTAAAGTCTATAGTTGTGATAGTTTCTTTTAAGTCCTGAGAGTGTGATTTCTCAACACTAGGTGGCAGCAGGTAACTATGAACAAACGCATTGGTTCAGCCGCTCCACTCCACAGGCTTATTTCATTCGAAATCACCTTCTGCAGCAGTGGAGTCATGAGCAGGTTTCATTCAGATCTCACAGTACTGCAGGACTTTTGATTTTCATATGGATTAAAATAAACTTATTTACCGGTATGTCGGTTTTATCACATGCAGGATTTCTTCTCTCTCTCTGTTTCTGCTTCAATATTTGACTCAGTAGATGCAACACCACAACTGAAATGCATTACAGTTGCTTGGAGACATCACACGTGTATTTAAAGGGGAGGAGCCCACTAAAGTTTGCTGTGGTAATTACACGGAGCAGTGTAATGTTAGCTGGAGGTTTCTAATTTCTGAGTTTGGGTGGTAATTGTTATCAATTATTGGTTTGTAAACAGCATTTAAGGTTACTCGGTGGTGCAGACTAAGTGTTGGTTGTCGTGGAGGGACCCTCTGTTCTTAAAGGTTTAAAACACGCTAACCTTGAATGCACTTGGCAGGGGATTGCGCCTCGAGCTTCCTCAGAGGCTGGTGATGATAGGTGTCTAAATTGGATCCATGTGCCTGATACGCCTCAGCTGGAAGAGGAGCACATGTTTTGCTCTGTGCTTTGTAAAAGAGACTGAAATACTAGTATGACAAAACAGCAGACTGGGATACTAATAAATGGGTAGAAGCTGTCTAAAAGGAGAGCAGTGCTTCTGCTTTTATGCTGATTTCTACACATGAAATACAGACAGCGGATGATGTGAATTTTGCCATTAATATGAAGCTCTTATAGAGCAAATTTTCAGACTTCAAACACGGTGACTTTTCCGTTGTGCTGCGGCTGCAGGGCCACTCATCTCTTAGTATTGATTCAGTAGATCAAAGTAACCCTATATTTTCTCGTCCTCTTCTCTGGGCAATTTCTATACAATGAACACTTGTGTGTTCCAGATCAAGTGGAAAGGAAAAGACCTTTTTGACTTGGTGTGCCGAACTCTGGGATTGAGGGAGACCTGGTTTTTTGGGCTACGCTACAACATCAAGGACACGTTTGCTTGGCTGAAGATGGAAAAGCGGGTAAGTGGTTCTTGTGTTATTCCGGTCTTGCTCCAGCCATGCGGTGAGGCATGTAAACTATATTGATTAAACTGTAGTAAGCATGGAAAAAGCTGTACAAATGTTGATTTCTCTGCTTTGTCTATTGATCCCAGGTTCTGGATCAGGAGGTACCAAAGGAGGAACCAATTACGCTTCATTTCCTGGCCAAGTTTTACCCTGAAAATGCAGAAGAAGAGCTTGTTCAAGACATCACGCAGCATCTCTTCTTCCTGCAGGTAAAATCAACCTCCTGGTTTGTCACAAGCTCTGTCCTGAAGTTTTGAGGAAGCCCAGAATGAATCAGCGCATAAAAGGTAGTGGTGAGTAAAAATGCAGGTGGTTCTTTAGGCTTTGGTCTGAAGATTACTACCTCGGGGGATACTTTTTCTGTTTTACTCGTGCCTTTGATGCAGTGGAGACCTTTTAAGAAGCACACTCATACCAGCAGATAGATTCTCTTTGTTGCTGCTGCTGCATGTTGAAACTGCTGAGGGATGACAGATGAACCTGAAATTCAGCACTTCTTTTAGGAGAAGCTCTGAACAGCTGTTTTGCTTGTGGACGGATCTTAAAATTTGTCTCCTCAGTGTGACGCTGCATAAAACAAATCCAGGTATGCATGCAACTGCAATTGCATCTGCAACATGCACATGCACAAAGACCATGAGGTGTTACTTGTCTGACCTGAAATGCATCATGCTGTCCAGTTTCTGGTTTTCTATGATGACTCTGTGATAAACATCCATCTGGTATCACTTTGGAGCAGCCTCTCACTGAAGCACTGTCGCACCCTGATCCGTCCCGTAAACCGGATTTTTACTGCGCATGTCCGAAATGTAAGTCACTTCCTCTACTAGCCATCTTTTAGACAGCTCAGCAATTCTTCACCCCTCGCAGTTTGCGACAGCTTAAACACTTGTTCATCAGCTTCAGCATCAGGGAGCTCGCTTCAGTCAGAATGGATGCTTCAGTTTATCACCAGCTACTCGCTTTTCTCCTGAACGGCGTGCTTCCCTCGACTGAAGCAGAGCGCTGGAAAGTCAAGAGAATGGCGGCCGTTTTCACAATTAAAGGTTCCTACTACAGCTTAATTGTAAAATTGCAACGTGGTCATAAAAGACTTGAATGAATGTGGATATTATTGTTGAACCTGAAACGCTGTGTAAAAATGCTGAAATTCATTGTCCATAATGTGTAGGCTTCTTGTTATTAATTAAATTTATTAAAAAAATGAAATAAACCCTCCCGTGATACTTTGAAAAGTCAGAGAACCATGATTTTGACCAAGTTGTGGCGCACTCTTGGGCCTGGAAAGGTTGCACAATGGGTGGCCACACACCTCCAGAGCATCCTCCCTTGATACTTCGAAAAGTCAGAGAACCATAACTTCAACTGGGTTGCAGCGCTCTCTGTGGCCCATAAGGTCTCACCGAGCTGGGCTGGAGCTCTGACAAATGCCTCGGCATTAGCCCTGGAGCCTCCTGCTAGCCAGCCTGTCACATCGCCAGCTGGTTTCTGAAATTGATCGGTAGTTTAAATAAAGTTTAAAAGGTGACGTAAATTTTCACTTGCGCAGTACGGATCGGGTAGGTAGCAATAGTAACGACTAACTGCCGTAAAATGCTGTGAAATATGAGGACAAGAAGTGACATACGTTTGGCACATGCACAGTACAAATCAGGTTTCGGGGACAGATCGGGTAGCAACAAGCACTGAAGGAAGAACTAACTAGAATGCATGCAGACTCTGTATCTGTGGGTCACGTGACTGCAAAATGTAAACATGCACCTGACACTGCTGCCTTTACAGACAGCCCAGCAAGCACTTAAAGGTAACGCAAGATAGTGAAAGAAACTGACTCTGCAACATGCTTTCTGTAATATTTACTGTGTTGTGGAAATTAAGGCCCAAAAGTGAGATGGGTTTTCATGTATATGTCACCTATTTCATACACTGAGGCTTTGGACTGAGGGGACTGCTAATTGACGTTGTAACATTGTGTGGAGTAGGGGCAACAAAAGCGGCAACATAAATGCTGTTAAATACAGCGTGCATTTAGAAATACCAAATTGCTCTTGTGCATGCTGCACATTTGGCAGGTCCACAGTTTGGCAGCACTCTGACAAGTCTGATCCAGTGCCAACAGGGGGCACACGACCACAGACAGACCTGCTGACAAGTTGTGGAGCAGAGCGCTCTTTAATACACTTTTGTGCCGGTCTCATTGTGTGCAGCCATGTGGAATCAATGCACAACATATTACAGCTGCCCTTTCTCTCCACTTAATACTCTCCGGGGAATTCCTGCCAAGCCTGCCGCACCGCTCAAGAGATGAGATTTGTTACCGTGTGTTCCCGACGTCCAATTCTACCAGCCACATATATCAATTACCAATTAGGCTTTAAGGGCTCGCTTATTGGCCCAGTTAATGACACATTCTCTGTGGGATTCTCCTCTCCTGTCATATCCATCCCATTGTGGCCGGTTTAGGCAGACACAGAGCTGGTGTTACTCAGCATTTGGATGGAGACACTTATCTACTTAGCACTTGTAAAAAAGTCTCTCAGTAATCCGTTTAGAAGTAGTTGGAGCACTTCTTTTATTTCAGGGGGATGCCTCGCTAAAAATGGAGACCGAAGCCAACAGACGTCTCGGCTGAAGTGGTACACAGCTACAAAAGGAAGAGAATACTAATGTGTCGCCTGTCTCCTTATTACCCCACTCTCATTAATTTGCATAATGTCGGGAGCTGCCCTCTGTTCAGATAGTGTCACTGGCATGACAGCTGGATTAGTGCTTATCAGAAATGATCACCGACCCGGATACAAACACACACCAACACTCGCACACACTTACACAAACAGACTTTTCCCTGTCTTCCTCACCTCAGCCTGAAATCTTGGCAGCAACACGGTCTCATTTGTGAACCAGATTGCAGCTTCAGCCTTGTGTGTGCTCCTCAATTAGGGGGCTGTCACCTTTGAGCCCCGCACCTTTGTTAGTTCAAAACAAGAGGAGACGGCACGGCACGGCCGGCTTTGCAGATGATAAGGTTTGACGCATTGAATTGTCCACTTCCACAGCTCGGGCGAAAGCCTGTTTTCACACTTTAACTCAACAGCCCGTCTTTTTCGCTCTGCATGTAGCTCTTCTGCGTGTTTGTGATTCAATTAGTTTGACAGGTGAGGGAGCAGTGCTTGTGACACCTGCTGAGACGTAGCACTTTAATCTGGAGGGAGCTTGTTAGAGGGGATTGCCACTTCCTTTTTAAGGATTCATGTTATTGCTGTGATTTATGACAGTTCAGTCAACACAGCCTGTTTTCCTGTTAGCTGAAAACCGAAGGCCTAAACCTGGAATTTGTCACTCTCACTGACTGGAGCAGATTTCCGCACATAGTCAGCTGTCCTTCGGGTCCAGAAGAACACGAACGACGAAAAAATGGTTGTCTTTTCCCTTTAATTATGATCTGGGACTCACACTTTTCTGTCATGTGTTTATGCTCTGCTGGCTAGTGGGCTCGTAGCTGCTTAATGATCATATGAACTAATGTTGGCTCGGGTACATGCTGTAGCTGCTGGCTGGGTTTCTAATAGGTCCCAATGTGGCTATGAGACTTAAGTCCTACAGTATCTATTCTGCAAAGTTTGCCCTGTTCCCCAGACCTCTCTGAGACGTGAAGTAACAGTGCACTACAGCAGAAGTCACTACAAGTTTATGTATCATACATTAACTAGAAATACTGGAAAGTAGAACCTGCACACAGTGCTTTGACAAATACAGGCTGTCAAAAGTTCAGGCTGTCAGAAGCATACTTCTCAGAAAGTTGTGTTATACTGCACCGTCACTCCTTTCTCTGAGGTACCGGGGGTTTTCTTTCTGTTTGAGTCGAGTAAGATGAGCCGTCAGTCTGATTCAAGTCCCTCATCCTGCTGGATTCGTTTTGATCTTCCGATGGAAATCAGAAAAAAAGGAGATGCAATTTTCAGACTGACTTTAGGTGACTTATTACCTTAAAATAGAGCATTTCTGAAACTGTCGGCAGTGAGTGTGTCCAAATTTTTGATATTTTGATGCCATTTCTTACCACATTTTTGTTTAATAGTAGAGAAAGCGCCAATGCTCATAAGGGAAAAAAAAACATTTTTCCAACCAGAAACTGCCACAAGTGGATGACAGGGAGAGCAAGTAAGCAGCAGTGGCTGATAGATGGGAAAATATGTTTAAGAGAAAGAAAAACAAAGCTTTGATACTGAGTAATAAGGGTGGGAACCACCAGTGGCCCCATGATACGATTTTATCAGCTACTTGGGCCGCGATGGGATATTATTGCAATTTTTTTCATTTTGCAATGCAGTGAGTATTGTGAAACAATATATTGCGATTTATACAATTTAGCTAATGTAGCATTTGTTTAGCTGATTTAGCATTTGTCTTTCCTTTACATTTGTCCTACTTCCGCTGTATTTTATTTTCATGTAGCACATCTAGCAAACCTGACTTCTTAATAGGACTAGTTGTTAAATATCCCTACTATTCAGCACATCAATTGACCGTCATTGGAGATGTCCTCTACTCTTGAGTGGGGTGGGAATTGGCAATGATCACGTGGTGCCACCAGCACGCCACATCATCAGTTGTTCGCCCCAACTTCATTGGGTGTTTTGGCCACTTACAACAAGACACCCTCTGTCAGGGTTGGCCCACCACAGGATGATCAGCCCTGGGTGTGTGGTGCACGGTGGCACCATGCAGTCACTTGGCTGCCCATACTGCATCTTTACGTTTCAGCCATAGCCAGTGACTGCTCCGTTCTGCTGTTGTGGCAAGTTCTTTAATTGCCTTCCGTTGGGCCTGCCCTCTGATTCCTAATTCCTTCAGGAGCCTTGTGGCAGACCTGGCTACAAAGCCTCTGCAGCCGACCTCCACTGGCCACGCCTTCACATTCCAGCCCCGCCCCTCTGCTTCAGCTGCTAAGTTGGCATATCGCAGTCTCTTTCGCTCGAATGCTTCATCGATGGCATCTTCCCATGGGACGGTCAGCTCAACGATGAAGACACGCCGGCAGGATTTGGACCAGAGGACCAGGTCTGGGCGCAGGTTGGTTGCTGCAATTTCGGGTGGGAAGGTGAGCTTCTGGATGAGGTCCACCCGCATTTCCCAATCCCGGGCTGCGTTCAGTGGAGCTGGATCCGGAGGAGATGACTTTGTCCCTCTTTTCTCTCCTTCCCGAACAAAGTTTGCTCTCCGTGGGCCTGTAGTCTGGGCGTTTAGAGGCATGGCATTGGTGGTTACCCTCCTGTTCTCAATTTCGGCAGCCAAGCACTTCAACACCTGGTTGTGGCGCCAGGTGTATCTTCCCTGGGTTAGGCTGGTCTTGCAGCACACCAAGATGTGTTTGAGGGTAGCCGGGGCTGCACACTGGAGACAGGTTGGGTCCTCTCCATACCAGACATGCAGGTTGGTTGGAGAGGGCAGGACATCATAGGTGACTCTAATGATGAAGCTTAGCCTGTTGGACTCCATGCTCCACATATCGCTCCACATGATTTTCTTCCTCTTGACGCCTTCCCACTTCATCCAGTGGCCTTGCTGAGCTTGGGAGACTGCTGTGGCACACCTGGCTGCTTCCTCCTGGTGGCGCACTTCTTCTACCACCATGCGGTGCCGTTCAGCTGGAGTCGCCTTTTGCCATGTCGGTGTTGTTGCTTCCAACCCAAGGCCGCCTCTGCCGTGTTGGACATGTCCCACTATATCCCGGTGTCTGAGAGCAGTCTTTGTCACCGCGACTGCTGCAGATGGCTTCCATTTCCTCCCCGTTGCTAAGGTTGGAGCAGTTCCTCTGACGAATGGATCCCGGGATTCGGTGAGAGTCATCTCCAGCCTTGATTTAGCACATTTGTACTCCTCCACCAGACTTGAGATTGGTAGGGATAGTGCTCCGTTGCCATATAAGCCTATGCTGCTAAGGCATCTCGGCAGTCCAAGCCACTTCCTCACTTGTGCGTTCACCAGTCTCTCCAGCCACTTGGCATGGGATATAGTGACCTCATAGATGGAAATTGGCCACATGAGACGGGGCAGCAGCATATATATTTGTTGTACTAACTTTTTTTTAATGATTTTACTTCATATTAGAAATTAATTTGAAAAATCAATATTTGATAAATGAGACAATATGATATATCACCTGACAGAATATCACAATACGATGCTGTATCGATTTTTTCTCCCATCCCTACTGAGCAATGGGACAGTATTTACTGAGTGTTTCCCTACAGCTGTGCTCTAAGGAACTTATAGGCATGTTTGCACTTATGCACAAATATGCAAGAAGATACCACACTCAGTTTTCTTCCAGCCTCTCCCTGACTAATATGTGTCTCTCTGCTCCGCCCTTTGTGACAGCTGCAACATCACCGGCCTATGTCATCCACAGGTCGGGAAACACTCAGTTTTTTTATCTGTTTTTCAAACAATCAAATGGCACATTGGGGCACCAATCTTGTGCGGTATAGGGTGTAGAGTGTAAGTACAAAGGCACAGCACTGGCAGAGTTTCTTTCTGGTGCTGCTGTGGAGTTTCAAAGAGTGCTCTTGCCGCAGATCCTCAAAATCACACCTTCTCTGCATGAATAATGACGGGTCACAGGTAAAACTTCATTGGGCCACGGATATCTGAAGAAAAATGTGATCTTTGGTGCCTTTATTAATGTTAACGGTGTGGCATATCTTGGTATGAGTCTGGCCCTGTGTGAGGGCTGGAAATGAAAAAACGAAAGAGAAACAGCTGAAGTCTGCAGCGGTGTAAAACAGCCAAATGATTCAGAACATACGTTTGCTGGACGCTGATTCTGCATTGTTTTTTGTGCGTTAGTTTAAAGAGGTGCAATCAAGCCGGCTCTGTTAATCAGCTGGAAACATGCAAAGCCGAAACAGCAGCTATTACCTTAGAGATGACTATGTCTGGTATCTCCTCAGGTAAAGAAGAAGATCCTGGAGGAGGAGATTCACTGTCCGCCTGAGGCCTCTGTGCTGCTTGCCTCCTACGCCGTCCATGCTAAGGTAAGTGCACCTTTAGGAGCTCATCGTTTTTATTATAAGGCTAAAGAGGCTCATGCATCCAAATATTCATCTGAAAGTCCTTTTTTTCCTGTCCTAACTGTTTGCATAACCAAAGAAGGACCACGTTTGCATCAGTTCTTTAAATACATGTTCAAGGACTTTCGCATTTATTACCACAGTAGTTTAAAAAAAGAGCAGTGCAGGCCTCTCAAATTAAGGCGATTTCAGTCAGGCTTTGAAGCCCATCTTAGCAGAGACAACAGGGAAACAGACCTAGTTCAATCTCCAGCTCATTTTGTCGGAGAATTTTAAACTGCTTTTCTGTTTCATTGAGGAGTGCAGGGTCTTGCATGAACTACCGCTTATGTAAGTACCAGGAGCCCAAGTGCTTTGCAAGGAGCCTTTCAAGTAACAGCTCTGAAATTCAGATAAAGCAACTCTGCTAAAGCAGCGTCTCTGCATCCCAGCAGGTCGCAGGTGGCAGAAAATGTCAAATATATACGGTGCTGGAATCTCTTTAATCAGCTGGGTGATGGAGAGTGTTCAGTTGGGCCCCCTCAGGATTACAACTGTGCTTTTTACCAATAATGAAATGATCGTTTCTCTGCTAACCACAATGCACACAGGAACTTCTAAAGCTGTGTTTAACAAAGGAGGAGTAAGGGTCATCGAGCGCATGTTCAAAGATGTACTCAGCAGGAGAGGTGTGAATTCATCCCACTGAGTTGAGAGCAAGTGGCTGCACCAGGAAGGTTGATATAAATATTAAAGGCTCTCTCACTCACAGATCAGAGGGAAATGGAGATGAAAGTAAAACGAGTTAACACAGAAAACGGGCAGAATAAAGAGTAACCCTACTCATTTTAAGGGGCACATCAGTTTCCCCTCTACTAAAGTTCCTGAACTTGAAACACAGAGTTCCTCAAAAAGGTCAAAGTTCCTATGACAGGATGATAGTCATCAAGTTGTAATGCTGAACCTGGTCCAGACCACTTTGGCTGAGCATAGTAGGTTTGCATGGGGATCCGTCCAGCATCCAGGTGAGAAAGATCGAGCTATTTCACACTAAAAACTCTGACTTTAAAACCATCAGGCCAGATTTTCCCTTAAATCTCGCTCTTTATTTGCAGGTTGATTTTGCATTCACTCAGTGCTTTCAGTGCTACATTCTGTGTGCTTTATGTCACCCACGAAATAAGAACGCAGTGACTCCCCCTACCATGACATCTTGTGCACTGGCTGAAAAAAGGACCATAATGCCCATATAGGCTGCAAAAAAATAGCTTCCATGGTTGATTGTGCATTATACCACTCTGTTGTGGGCTTTTTATGAGCTAATATATTTGTGAATAATGTTCAGATCTTCAGTTTTTATCACAGAGTTTGTGTAAAACCCAAATAAGAAATGCAGTTAGGAGTGTCTCGATGTATCTGCCTGCAAAGTTTTGCATAAAAAGGCACCACAGTGTAAAAGTTGTTATTGATTTACTGGTGGAGGATCAGACAACAAGTTTACCTGACGTCAATTGAAATCTGTGCGCTGGAAAAAACACTCTTAATAAACCTCGAGCGGTTGGAGTCGTTTTGGTTGAAGGCTTCCATCTTTCTAAAATCCACTTGTAAAAAAAAAAAAGACAAGCAGAAGATGAGGTGCAGCTTTTTGACAGGCGGACAATCTCTAGTGAGACCGGAGCTCTGCCTCAAAGGTTTGGCCAAGAGCCCTCAGAGACCTGCGTATCCCATGCCAATTTAGCCGGCCTAGGTTTAAAGCGAGTGTGCAGATGCAGAAAAACCTGCAAATGAGCCCGAGACTTGTGCTCCCCGCTGTGAGCACCCTCGATCTGGAAACGGCAGAAAATATGAGGCCACAATCTGTTTTCATTTAGGCAGCAGTCCACTTTGATTAGAACCAGTGTGAGGATGTTGGCATTGTAAAGAGGAGAGTGTTACTTATCAGTGCAGCTGCTGGGAGTCGTTCCTGCTCTTGTTTTTCTCATCATAACTCGTGACTTCACCACACATTAAGCTTGAGTTTATCACACAGTGGGACCTACTTTGCTAGCTTTGCTCATCTTTAAATGATCCCTATTATGTTCATTTTCACCTTTGATTATGTCAGTCTGGGACACCTGTAGAGTAGCTTTGCATCATCTGCAGCTTTAAAAAAACTCCTTATTTATCTAAACTGGTGTTGGTGAAAAACTGTAATTTTAGCCTCCACTTGAAATGCTTTATTTTGGCTGCTTTTCCTGTGATGAAAACGTACTTTTCACACAGCTTTGTTGCCATGAAATGACCCAGAAGTTATGCCTTTACAGATATTGTCTGAGGCCAGCTGTCAAACGCCCGCTTAGCTTCCTATTTGCATACCTTAGCTGCTTTTGTAATGTTACAGACAGCTTGCGGTTTTGAGCCTTCACCGAAGGTCTTTATAGATATATTGATAGATAGATTTGAGATATAAACCCTTTCTTCCATCAATCATCATGGGAAACATCAACTCTCTGTCCAACAAAAGCGATGAGCTGGAGATATCGGTGAAGACTGAGAAAGCATACCATGAGTGCAGTCTCCTGTGTTTTACTGAAGCCTGGTTGAATCAAAACAACTCCAGTGTTCTAGTGTGGCTCTACCTGACTTTACTCTAAAATTAGACAGAGGTGCTCAAGCTCATGGCAAGAAGAAAAGAGGAGGTCTGGCTTTATTTGTCAACCCGAGATGGTGCAATCCTTCACACATAACTGTCAAGGAGAAGTTGTGTTGTCCAGATATGGAACTGTTGACCATATTATGTCCCAAGGGAGTTCAGTCATATCATAACAATACAAGGAAACAGCTGAAGTTCCTTGTGATGTTCTCCATGATGCTGTTGCTAGGATACAGACTCAACATCCAGAGGCACTAATAATGATACCAGGCGACTTCAACCCTGTCACCCTCTCCTCTCACCTGACTGGATTTACACAGTTTGTTAACTGTCCTACCAGAAAAAAACAAAAAAACCCTGGATCTGCTGTATGCCAACGTCAAAGAAGCCTACAGAGCCACTGCCTTACCTCCACTGGACAGGTTAGATCATAACTTAGTTTATCTGCAGTTTATCTGAGATTACAGACAAATGAATTTCTCTTTGGGGATAAATAAAGTTATTATATTACTGTATTGTAAAACAGTCCCAGGTTTCTGAAACAGTAAAGAGGCAAATCCAGCTCAGACTTGCCTTTATTTACAAAGAAGTCCTGAGACTGGAAAACCTGTCTCAGATTACACTGCTTCCTTGTATCTCATTCTATGGACCTTTGCTGCAGTTTAGCCTGCAGATCTAAACTTGTAACATCATGTGTTTTTGTGTTATGAATTCACAGTTTGGACTCAGCATAACCGGTCTCTTTTAATCATGATAATTGCAGTTTGATATTTGAATAAAAGAAAAATCTTACTCTGAGATATGTTTGTACAGAAATACTTTGAAGCATTTTTTTTTAATTCAGTAAATCACAGCGCTTCTGCTCAGGTACAGACAGATATCTGTGTTTTTCATCTGTTTCAAGTCAGAGCCAAAAAAATGACTTGAAACTCATTACAGTCCCAGCGGGAAGCCATCATAGCAGTTATTACTTTGAATGAGATACAGGAAGTGCTTAAAAAGTGTCAGAGTTTGGAGTAATAATCAAAGTTTTAAAACTGCTCTGACTGGCTTTTTTCAACTTCCATCCATGTTCATATCCAGGGAGGGGATCCTTCCATACACATTAAGTCTCAGTCCATCACAACTCTTACACAGTTTTTACAACTTATGCTAAAATATAATACAATTAAATCTTTTTTCAACTCACTTGTGGTTTGCACTAGTCTAAAGTTGTTTTCTTATATAACCTTATCTCTCTAATACAATTAAATCTCCTAGATAATTCACCTCAAGAGCAGATCATAGTCATGTTTATTGGTGTGTTTTTTCCTCTATCTAAAGACATTGCACCTGTTGGTCTGCGGAGGCTTTGGCGTCGATTACTTTTATTTTCTGAGTTGGTGCAGAGCTACAAAAAAGTGCCGGCAGGGAATTTTTGGAAGCTGCCACACCTAACAGGCATGAATGGCACTGACAGACAAAAACTGCCTTCAACAAGCCCTTTACCTGAACATTGCTTTTTATTTACTTAAGTTTGAGTTTGTAGCTGATTTTCTCCTCTCCACCTGACAGCCTGTTACACTGATTTGATGGTTTCTAATCCAGGTAAACAGCCAAAAGCAAAACTGAGAGGTTTAATCTGAAACAGAGTGTACGTATTTTTGGATATTTAGCAGCAGTTCTGCCTTGGTATGATCTCATCAGGGTCCCTGCAGGTCCTTGAAAAGTCTCATATTAGATTTTAAATATTTAAGGTCCTTGAAAGTCTTTCTTTGGACAGAGACAGGTCCTGAATTTTAGATGAGGCAATGTCTGAGACAAATCTGGCTACTTTTTCAAATTTAGATTGTCATGTTTGTTCGACATAAACAAAGAATGCAATATAGTATAAGAGACAAAAAAACTAAGTGTTAGTTTATGCAGGATGGGGAGGTCATAGGGTGCTGCAGAAATCAGCTGACATGCAACTGATTGGATTATTGCCTCCAATCAGCCTCAAACCAACAACAGTCCATTCTCACAACAAGACACTGATCCCCTCTACACTGAATGCTGCTCACACTCTGCTGCTGCTGGTAAAGCTCTGCTCCATCCATCCCTCCAGGCTAAAAGCTTGTTTGTAGCCTTGCAAGGGAAAGCTGCAGCAGGCTGCTTGGCTAACCCAGTGGGTACTCTTAAACTGCCAAGCATAACTGTAAACATTTGGCAATGAATGATTTAAGCCTGTGACGAGATCGTATCACAGATACTATGAGATGACCGGCAAGATGTGCTTAACAGCTGTTGAACATGGGACATATGTGGATTCGGCTGTGCAGAAAAGGTGTTCATTTTTCTCTATTTGCATCTTAACAAGGTATTTAAAGTCTTAGATATGATTTTAAAAAGTGTGCAGCAGCTCTGGTTCATTCTTCCTCTTACCTGACTGACCTGTCTAATAGCCCTTCACAGCCAGGGCGGAAAAGCTGCTCCATGAGGGTCAATGAGACTCTGCAATGATAAGGGAAAGAGAAAGCCAATACTTTACATGTGAGACAGTTCAAATGAAGCCAACATTTTCAGCCATGCACTCGCACAAGAAGAATGTAATTATGTGGATAAATGTTCATTAAGATGGCAGATTAACTTTCCTTTAGTTAGAGACTTACTTTCTTGTACACTAGTTTCAGTGCAATGACTCCACACAGTCCACAGTAGAAACTCTCAAATAGCGTGCTATACCTCCAACTTTATAAAACCAGCATGATAACATTCTTAACACATTCCAACATGCAAAGCTTAGCTCTCCTTCATGTGTTAGTATGGCATCTTTCACACGAACACTCATACAAAATGGTTTATAAAGAAGAACAAAACATCACGGACCAAAAGTTTAAGAAAAAAGAAAGCTCTGAAAATCCAAAAATTCACAGCAGAAAAAAATAATCATTTAAAATGGTTTATTTTGGTCTCTGGACAAAACAGTCTGTGATGACTTTGACTAGTAAACATGATAGCTGTGTTTTCAAACCAAAGTACTTATTATTTTGCCTTCACTGGTGTGTTGAACTAGTTTTACAGATGGCTAACAGTTGCCCCAGTAAACACCCAAAAGCTTCTTGCTGTTTTGACATTCATTGAAACCAGTTCGATGTTCTTAAACTGTAAAACACAAAAATAGATGCATATCACAACCAAAGCTGAAACTCTTATTAACATAAATCACATAAACAATGTAAATCTAGCAGCCATATATGCCAAATATTTGTTAACGATCGATTCAGGCTAAGCTACAAGTGGAAAAGACACAGCGATTAGCATGATGCTAATTTACACTGAAAAACCCAAAAGGATGCCAGCACTAATGGCATCTTGTGTTTATTCCACTTTTCAGACATTTTCAACAACTGACGGTGCTTCATCTGAGAATCTAACATTAAGTAAATCACCCTTAAACAGCCTAATAACATCTCACAGGATGGTTTATCACTGCAGAACTTTTGACAAAGCTCTGTGCAACTCACTATGTAACTACCATAAACTGTATGGACGCTGTCTGCCTCCTGGCTGGGTGAAGCCACCCCAAGAACAGCACCCTCTGGTGACGGGCTGCAGTATAGGTCATAAATCCCGCCTCCTCCAGCAATCCCTATGGAGCTGTGGACAAACTTTAGAAATTTATTACACAGAATATACATTTTTCTCCCCCCTGCGTGTGAAGTTGACATGTAGTTACTGTAAGACTGGTTTGTGCTCAAGTCCTCTTTTTTTCTGTACAGCTCCATTTTAAAAAGTTATTAGGGGCTCCATGATTTCTACTATTCACACTTCATACAGCCTATGAGCATACGAAGATCACGTAGCTCACCTGGGGGATACGCTGTTTGAGCAGAGCGTCATCACAGCAACTCTCCCGCTGAATGCGTACAATGCTACTGTGCAAGTGGTGAAAAGCGTACAGCGCTACTGCGCCAGTAGTTCAAGGAAGTGGAGAAAATCGTAGAAATACAGAGAGCAATACGGCTTCAAATTCATATAGTGGCAGAAAGTGGAGCCAAGTTGTCCATAGTCTATTCAGTCCATGGTAACTATGGTAAGCCCAGTAGGACAAACCTCAAACTCAAAACTCCAACTGCAGGGCAGTACACTTCTTTTGCTTTATTTTGACACCCAAACATCAGATATTTTTGCTATGGTGAATGTTAAAAAGGTTCTCATCAGGCATGCATTTCATCCCTTAGTCTGACACTTTCATCCAGTGTTGCCACCTCCTCAGTAAAGAAAGTTGCTAGTGGCTGTCGAAGAAGTTGCTAGATGATGACATTGCCTAACTTCCATAATTTTTTAGTCAGAATGAGAATTAGAGGATCACCAAAGAGGCAGGGATAAGCCTTTGTCGATAGTATAGCTATCCTTTGTTTCATAGCCATCAGTGGAAGTATCGAGAAAAAGTTCAATTTTCTTTTTGAGACTTCAAAGGTAAGAAACCTGTATCTCTGGATTGTTCTATAAATGGATTTTCTCCAAAGTGACTGCACTGTGTGAGTCACACATTTCCAAAATGGGCTCCACTGAACATAACACATCCATTAGACCGTGATCACTGCTTTGCTGCTGGTGATGATAGTTAAGTGAAAACATTGACACATGGTCGACCCCAGAGGATGGATTGTTACTTTTAGTTTCAGTAGGTTGGAAATAATTGGAGAAAAGGTGCCACTGTCAAAATGCCACCCTCACTGTTCCATTAGCTGAAGCCCAGCTGTTTCCATTATAACTCCACAACTCTATCTATTATCAATTATTTAGACGTTACAAACAAACAGGTGAGAAACTCAGCGAGTTGAAGCAGCAAAACTGGAGGGAAGGGATCTAATTAAATGGCCCTCAGCGTCTTCACACTGTTAGCCACTTAGCCCATGGCCCAGGCTTTCCAATCTCTCTGCTGAGCTTATTAAATTCAAGTCTGTTAAGTGCTGTTTCCCAACTGGTGCGCACTAAAATAAAGAAGTTCATTAAACTTATAATAAAAGTAAGGATACATGACAAAACAACACATTAAAAGACAATAACTGACACCGTGAGGTGGATATGTGCCGTGTAATAACACAATGTGTTATAAATGCAGACAAATGAAGGGAGTATTAAGTGGGACATAATCATCAGATCTTTCATAATGGGAACAGAATATGCATCCACATTCAGGTTTTAGTCCCGACCATTCAAGAGCACTTCAGAGCAGGTTTGTGTGCATTTGGTTGACCAAAGATTAAACACCAACACCCTTGCTGGCTAACACCACAGCTACTAGTCTATTCAATTGATTATTTGCTTTTTTCATAACACAGATCTAACATCTTGAGCGCATATTGTGTCTAAGCTGTAGCTCCAGTGGGCATCAACCTGCAAGGGGGAGGCAGAGGATAACGCAAGATAGTTTCAAATCATTGTAATAAAAAAGAAAAAAGATGTAAAGCTGGTTGGAGAGTATACTTGGGTGGCTGAAAATATACTTGGGTGGATTCCCCTGGTGTCATCTATGTGTGGGAAACACGAAAACGTTGATCCTTTTTTTTTTTTCTTTAAGTAAAAGAATTAAAAGACCAACTTCAAGCTTAATTACACTTTGTAATTTCATGTTTATAGACTAAATGATATCGAACATCAAGATACCTGGTTTTGGTTCAGTCTCTTCCTTTGCTTGTTCTGAGCCCTGTGTTGTGTATATTTTTCTGCCTCTTTGGTTAACTGGCCAACTAAAAGTGAAACTTCGAGCAAGATTGCAAAGGCACTTTAGCACCATATAGTTTTGAATCTCTCTGAAAGCTCTGTTTTGTTGGTAGTTTTCTCTCTCAGACTGATTCAAATAGGGAATGAGTCATTTCAGCCTGCCTGTTTGCCACCCTGGTAAACCCAGAGATCACAGAGGGAGAAATCTGTAGAGAGAAGAGATAAGACAACACTGTTGTGTAGCAGCCCCTTAAAGTGAAGGACAAACGGCTCCTCTGAAATCCTCTTCAAACTTTTGTGTTGCCCTGAAACCTGGAAAAATACAAAAACAAATCTTAATTTTATGAAGAAGACAAATAATTAGAGTTTCTGATCACAAAGTAGCTTTTTCTCTTTAATTTCTGCATATCCCACAATGATCACTTCACACACACAACACTACACTACTAGATCATGAATAAATAAGAAATGCTTACCTCAATGTCATGGTTGCGTTTGAAAAACATGCACCAAACATACAGAGATGCACAGATACAGGTAAATATCCAGGTTAACCCACTTACATAAATCTACTCTATCCTACTTTTTTCTGCCACATGTTTAATTCATATCCTTCCTCCACATCCACAGTAGCCCAAAGGAATTTCCCGCTGCCACTTTGTCATACCCGATCCATCCATATCTCCCCTGAAACATGCATGATTTACAGTCATTTGTATCCCATCCCTGTGACGATAAGTGATCAGTCTCTCAGAGATGTCCCCTAATAGCATCATTTATACGGTCTCCCAACAACCGGGCCACTGGGTGTGCAGCACACCTTAATGACCTGATGGCTTACCGGCTCCATTCATTCTTGGAGACACCTTTTTTTTTTTTACAGGCGCTGTAGTTTTCCCAGGAGACGAATAGTCTGGCCTGTTATTGGAGGAAGGTGGAAAGAGACCATTAGTTTGGAGGGATTTTAATCCTTGTGGCACTTTGGCTCTATTTTACAGTATGGAGACTACGACCCAAACATACACAAACCTGGTTTCTTGGCTGAGGAGGAACTGCTGCCAAAGAGGGTGAGTGACACCTCTCCTTACCTGCTGTTGTTCACATTACATATTTATCCACTTATATAGGCCAGTCCCTGCATTATTACACGTACACGTACATGTGTGTATGACACCTGTCTCTCCTTATTCCAGGTGATTAATTTGTACCAGATGACTGCAGAAATGTGGGAGGAGAGGATCACTGCCTGCTATGCAGAGCACAGGGGCAGGACAAGGTAAACGCTGCAATGTATCACACTCAAGTTTCACATTCATCAGCGAAATTTTAATGTCAAGTTCATTTAGGATGTGCTTCAAACTCAGTTCAACAAGAAGTATTTAAAGTCCATCATGGCAACGAGATGAAGGAAGAGTCACATAAAGTTGTCCTCATCAGGAAGTTAGTGGAGTTTTTTATATCTGCTGTCGGTAAAGTCAATGTGCTGCTAACAAAAGCACAATTAATGTAGCTGCTTTTGAAGAGAGGTGTTTAAAATCACAGAGCAAAAAAAGCTATTAAAATGACGCACTGATGGAATCACTTTCACAAATCAAAAAGGAGAACAATAATGAAAACCAGTCACTCTGTTGGTGCACTTTGCTCCTCTGCTATTCGGCACCGAGATGAAAATGGATGGTGAGCCAGTGTTTGGGTTGTTGAGTGTCTTAAAAACTTCTGTGGGTGTGGAGTTGTGGACCGGAAAGTGAGTTACACTGCAGCACTTTGAAAAGTGAACATTGAGTCACTGCTGCTGATCAATAACCCCTTCAACCCCAGCAGAGAGAGGGAAGTTGGTGGTCCGCAGACCTTTGGCGTTTTAGCTGTTTAGTAAGCAGTGCAGCATGGACAGGGCAGAGAGGAAAGATCACAGGCCTGGTGGGGGAGCGAGGGCCGGGTTTTGATAAAGTTCTTTGTTTCGGGTGTCAGTGGAATATCCAAATTTTTGGGACCAATTACAAGACAAACTTGTTGGTCGTGCACTGAATGCTTCAAAACTAGAGATGTCCACATCAGCCTGGGCTTACTTTTCTGTTGAGTGTGAAGTATCAGTGAGCTATGCCGGCTGTTTGTGGTTATTTATCAAAGAACAACATTCAGAAAAGACAATTTAACTTTAAAATACTCTAAGTCACTTTCTCTGAGCATGCTGCTGAGGGTGATCAACTGCAGGTGCATAATCTGTCTCCCAGTTTATCAAAATCTAGATTCTGAGACACAAAAGATATTTTTTTTAGGACTGTCACTTTCTGATCCACACTCAAGTATTTGTTCAAACTTAGGGGCAAAAGTATAAAACTGAAGTGAGCCGTTTAAATCCAAAGCTCATCAGGCTGCAGAGCGAGCTTCCATCGTAACCTGACCATTGCATGGCACTCTTGACCTAAGTGAATGGATACAGTGATGATATTACACCAAAAATGGACCCTCACAAAACATTGTTTTGTCATGCTGTTCTTTTTTGCACTTGCTTTTAGGTCACTTTATTTCCTGCATTGTAAAGCTATACTTTTATTTTGAGGTGTACTACGATCACTCCCGAGAGACAAAATAAAAACAATAACAGAACGGTTAGAAAGTATTCATGTATAATTGATAAGAAACCAGAGGAAGCACAAGCTCTATGGTCGTGTTTGGATCATAGACTGTATATAGAATGGACGCTGTCTGCCTCCTCACTGGGTGAAGCCACAGCAAGAACAGCACCCTCTGGCGACGGGCTGCAGTATAGGTCATAAATCCCAACTCCACCAGCAATCCCTATGGAGCTGTGGACAAACTATTTGAATTAATTACAGAATATGATTTTTTTTACCCTCTGGTTGTGATGTTGACATGTAGTTATTGTAAGACTGGTTTCATCTCAGCAACTCTCCGGCCAAATGCGTACAACGCTACTGTGTAAGTGGTGGTTCCAGGAAGTGGAGAAAATCCAGGAAATACAGACAGCAATTCAGCATCATATAATGATGGGAGGCGAAATCAAGTTGTTCATAGTATATACAGTCTATGGTTAGGATTCATATAAATGTTCAAATGTCAGTTTTTAAAAATGCTGAATAATTTCTTAAAGATGTGCTACAGCTAGCTCGCTAGCAGCTAATGCTTCGTTTTTGTCTCTCTTCCATATTATGGTAAGGTATGAACACAAGCGTAAATGACACCATGATATTACAGTGTGCGCATTTTTTGGCAGAAAATAATTATTTTTTTCTTCAAGACAGTTATAATCAATATATTATTGATATATTACATATTGCTACAGCCCTACAGGTCACAGCATGAAAAAAAAACGTGATTATATAGTTGGCTTGTGGAAGTAAGAGATAAAAATGTTCTCTTTTGATGGAAATTAACTCTGCAGAGAGACTGAGGAGGTTAATTTATTCAGGATCCTAATATAGTTGAATACATCCTGGTCATAAACTACACCAGGATGTCACTGTATCATAATCACTTTGTCTTCTTTCCAGACGTATGTGGTTACACAAAACACATCTCTCTCTAAATATAGAGACGAGCATCATGTTGGAAATGCATCTAGGACTGAAACTGTTCTGTATCCATGCATTGCAAATCTAAACCAGGTCAGAGAATATAAAAATATACAGAGGATATTAAAGATTGTAGAAAGTGGAAAAGGTCTGAAAGAGCTAGAAATCAGATTTTTTTTAGGGGAGCTGATAGTCAGTGTAAACTAAAACAGGTTTATCTTGTATTTTGTTGCCTAACTTTGCTAAACTAATCCAGACATTAACTTGAGGAGAAGAAACTTCCACAACGGCCTCGCCATGTGCATCAGCATGTTCGACTAATTTCTAACACTTCCTCAGCGTTCGTCGAGCATTTGCATTTAAATTTCCCCCGACTCTCTCTCTCTCCAGTCAGACTGTGACTAGTCCAACCTAGTTAAGATTTGTTGTCTTGGCGCAACGCTCTCCTTCATGTTCAAACTTTAATGAAGCTTAAATCATCAATTTCTCAACCAGCACAGTGTTCAAAGTTTATATGCAGAATTACGCCATGACTCCCTGTCAGCTCTTAAAGTATGCTAAGGTTCACCTCTATAGATTTGCCAAACAAGCTGCAGAAATAGAAACAGAAGAGTTTGCTGCATTTTGTTCCCTCCGTCTCAGTGTTTTAGAGTCTTGGGGGCATCAGAATAAGTCTTCCTCTCCATCAAGCATGACCTCTTAAGCCTGTTAGCGAATCATGGTTGCATTTTGTGACAGCGCCACGCTTGTGTTTTCCCCCTCGCAGGAGCTACATGGCAGAGTTTTTATAGATCACACAACATGACAGATGCTAAACACAAAGGCTGAGAAAACACGGTCTGATCCCTTTTTCTTCCACTCCCCCCTCCCTCTCTTCTCCATCCCCCTGGATCCCTCTAAATCCCCTCCTCCTCCTTTCTCTGTCTGTCTTTGAACCAGGGATGAAGCTGAGATGGAGTATTTAAAAATAGCTCAGGACCTGGACATGTATGGCGTCAATTACTTTTTGATCAGGGTGAGCCAACGCTGCTTTGCTCTATCTTTACATAGTGAGACATGAAGAGGTGTGTCAGTTTCAAGGTGGTGTTATGAAGTGAAGGTGGGCGCTGCAGTCTGACTTTGCTACTTTAAATAAGCAGAAGAAATGCCTTTTATTCCTCAATGTATCTTTTCCATGTGAGTCATAATGAAACAAACATGGCTTAATTAATGGAAACCTGGTCAAGGTGGCTCTGGCCTTCTTGAATTCATTCTGTGAAAGGCCGAGACATTTTAAAATACCACCAGACTGCATCTGCACCACAACTCACTCAGCTCTGCCCAGCTTTTACAAACAGTTTTGGCACACAGAGCCGCCATAATTCCAGAGTCAGAGCAAATACAAATAAACATCAGCATGTTTAGTGTTCAAATAGTCTTCTCAAGCAGAGGTGTAGGAGAGAAGGTTTGTTTACTCTGCTGATGTGCTTCAGAACAAAAAGGGAACTGATCTCCTTCTGGGGGTGGACGCTCTGGGTCTGCACATCTATGAGCCGGACAACAGGCTGACACCCAAGTGCTCCTTCCCTTGGAACGAGATCCGCAACATCTCCTACAGCGACAAAGAGGTGAGGTCTGCTTTGCAATGTGGTTTGGAGGGTAGCACCTAGTGATGCCAGTAACGCTTCACTTAGTAACGTGCTACTCTAATAAGTCCACTTTTTCAGTAACGAGTAATCTACTGCGTTGTTTCCAAACCAGTAATTAGATTTAAGTTACATGTCCAAGTCACTGTGTGTGTTGCTTTTTTTCTCATTTTCCTTAAAAAAAAAAGAAAGATTTCGTTCTCAAGCTGGAAATACAGCCACTATTTTAAAGACTGTATTTGCTTTATATTTTATTAAGAAAAAATGTGTTTCTGATTTGTCAGTCAAGAAAGACTGTCTTTATTTAAAAAAAAAATAAAAAAATTGTCATTCCTCTTAAAATTACACTTCCAATAAATTGAGTGTTGGAAGAAAATAATAGTCATTTATCTGTTGAGGCTGCTGAATATAACTTAAAAAGTAACTTGTTATCTAACTTAGTTACTTTTAATAATGAGTAAAGTAACTAAGTTACTTTTTAAAGGAGTAATCCATGATCAGTAATCAAATTACTTTTTAAAAGTAACTGTGGCAACACTGGCAGCACTTTTGACTGTCTGACACACTGATATTCTTGTTTCTTCTGTTTTCAGTTTACCATCAAACCTCTGGACAAGAAAACCAACGTGTTCAAGTTCAACTCTTCACAGCTCAGGGTCAACAAACTTGTGAGTTGTGCTAAGATGGCAGAAGTGTGAATGTGAGAATATAAGCTATATAAACTAATCTGAGTGAAGATGGAGAGATGGCGAGTCAGTGCGGTATCTTGTTGGTTCCTCTGATGCAGATCCTCCAGCTGTGCATCGGGAACCATGACCTGTTCATGCGCAGGCGGCGGGTGGACTCGCTGGAAGTCCAGCAGATGAAAGCTCAGGCCAGAGAGGAGCGAGCCCGAAAACAGGTGCTGAGAGTTTTGACAACTGCATGTTTGTTGTATCAGTGGGTCAAATTTCAATCCTAGTGGAGAAGTTTCAGATGATAATGATAATTTTAAAACGTTTAAAAATCATCTTGAAAATAAGTCTGAGATATTTTGTTGCTTCATAAAGTTTTCATGAGTTTCTGTTGTAGTTTTAACAGTCCCCCACATTATGCTGCACACCTAAACTGTATAATTGACTTTACTTCAAAAGCACTTCTATTGTTGGTCTTCCTCATTCACCTGTTTTGGTTCCAGTTTATCCTTGTCCTGTTGTGTTTTCTTCCGTATGTAATCTTTTGTTTCATTGTGTCTGTGTTAGTCCGTATTTCAATAGTTTTTTTTTCCCCACCATATCCTCTCTCCTCTGTTCTCACTCTGCCTGTCTGTCCTTGTCATTCAGGTGGAGAGGCAGCATCTGCAGAGGGAGAAGCAGCTGAGAGAGGAGGCCGAGAGAGCCAGAGACGAGCTGGAGAGGAGGCTGATTCAGCTGCAGGATGAGGCTCACATGGCCAACGAGGCTCTGGTAAGATTCAGATGGGACTCTGTCTTGTCAGCTGTGTCATGGACGCCAAGTTTGTAAACAGATAAATAGATTTTTGTAATGAAGCTCCCAATCAGGGCTTTAGCTTGTCATTTATCCCTCTGTCATCAAGAAGCAGTTTTTCACTTTCTTTGTTCTGTTTTCTAATAACGCTCTCTTTCCTCCTCCCCAGCTGCGTTCAGAGCAGACGGCAGACCTGCTGGCTGAAAAGGCCCAGATCGCGGAGGAGGAGGCCAAGCTGCTGGCCCAGAAAGCTGCTGAGGCTGAGACGGAGATGCAGCGCATCAAAGTGACTGCCATCCGCGGCCAGGAGGAGCGGCGGCTCATGGAGCAGAAGATGCTGGAGGCTGAGATGCTGGCCCTCAAGATGGCTGAGGAATCAGAAAGAAGGTGGGGAGAGGAGGAGGAGGGAGGCTAACATGAATGAATGTGGAGTGTGCAGCCAGCAGTGCTGCAGTGATTCTGATTCTGATCAGGCTTTGACCGCAGTGTGGTTTTGTTTCCGGAAAGACTGCCTCTCACATACCAAACTTTACTCTTTATCCGCCTCACACCCTCCTCTGAATTCAGATGCTTAGATCAGTTATTCTCGTGTCCATCTTACTTTCCATGAGCAAATATCTCCAAGTAAGGAAGCTTTCTTACACAAGCATGCTCCTGAATAACCTCCACTCATGAGCCTCTCCACTGTTTTCAGAGTTACTTTATTGTTTAATGTCGAGGCGCACAAACACATTGCTGCACTTCAGTCAGTCGATATGCCCCGAGCTCACAGCCAGGTAACTCTGCTGCATATGAATGACATGATCAAAGAACGAGAGCTTCTTACCTGTTTAAAATCATTTAATTTTAAAGTCTTTGTTCTCGCGCTGCAGCTCAAGTGCAGGCAATCATGCAGCGCTTCCCACCGGCACAAAAGAGAGGAATCTTCTGTTCAGCGGGCGTCCTCTTTGCTTTCAGACACAGCGGTTTAATTTGTGCTAGTTAATTGTTCACAGTAGTATTGATTGGTGCGGGGAATTCCTGTCAAACCTTCATTGTCGCTGCTTATTGACGCATCACAGTGCTGAAACTGATCTCTACTTTTAAAAGATATTTTAGGGAGCTTTCACACCTAAGTCGTTTGGTCTGGACTTTCAGACTTTAGTCTGAACCAAAATGATTGGTGTGAAACCTGACAGGTCCGAAACAAACAGCCAGACCTTGGTCCGACCTAAAGAGGTGGTCTCCAGCGGGATTAAACTGAACCACGATCTGGTTCATGCCCAGTGTGAATGCATCATTTTAAAAGTTTCGGACCTATGTACCAAAGACAGGAAATTATGACATGACTGCCAGAAAAATAAAATCCATAACCAAAACAAAATGAGCCGGGGAAGCACATGGGGGGAAGAAGAGACCAAATATCTCATAGATATATGGTCAGATGATTTTATTCGGGGCCAACTGAAAAAAAAAAACACAAAAATACAGAAACTTTCCAACTGTTTTCTGAGAGGATGAAAGAGAGAGGGTGCGAGAGGACTGGAGAACAGTGTCACCTAGAGATAAAGAAACTGCAGCAGCAGTACACAAAAGTGCGTGATGCACTGCGAAAAAGCGGTGCTTCTGCAGTTAAAAGGACAAGTTTCCCAGAGACACACAAAAAACGTAGTTGATTAGGATATCACGCAGGTTCGTCATGTTAAGTCTGTTAGTCCATTTGCAGTAATGACAGTGTGAAACCTAAACAGACCCAACCAAATGTAAACAACAGAACAAAAACACGGACCTTGGTTCCGACCTTGGTCCAGACTTTCAGGTGTGAAAACGCTTGTCATTCTCTGATAACAGAAAAAATTCTAGAAGACTGTTTGAAAAAGTCTTATTTTCTTTTTCCGTTAGATGGCACTTTGACTGAAATATGTCTGAGTATTTCATCAAATCTACGTCACCTCCCTGCTTTATTCTGATGCCTCAAACGTGATGTTCATTATGCTCCTGGTGTGTATTGTAAGCCTTTGATTTGATGGTGATCATAAGCGTTGTTTGCTCTCATCATATCAGGACTAATCGTGTTAGAAAGTGACATTTACAAATGTGCATCTACAACAAGTCAGGTTCGATTACCTGCTGCCTGAGCTAACCGCTACCTGAAACACCTCATGACAGAGGAACAGGCTGTGACAGAATAAATGACGATCTCAGTGCATCTTTATTACATGGAGGAATCCACAAGCTACCTGGCAATATGTAAATAAATAAATAAATAAATGAGTCACATTGTGTTAATTGTTGTTTAATTAAAATGCACTTCAGCCTCATTACTGTAAATGCAATAATGAAATGATAGAGAGGCTGATGCATTAAAGATTATATTTAAATGATGAATCAACGTGATAAATATCCCCCAGTGGGCCGTTCTGCATATGAACTGATTTTTTTCCTGCTGTTTAAAATGAAGAATGCTAATGAGAGGAGCTCCCCTGCAGTTTGATCTAAATGTTAAAATTTTTCACTCACGTTTTCTTTTCAGGTGACTTGCACAAGACTTGTAAAAGAGAATTTATAATTTGATCTTGATATTCACCCCCAATGGCAGTTTTATGCCACATCTGTGAAAGTTTCTGTTATCAAACATAAAAAAACTGTGTGAATTTTCTTTGTTTTGGTCTTTAAAGGTCTTAAAAAGTTTTTATTGGATGATCAAAAGTGTGAAGACGCCCTCTGGAGTGATTGAAATTTACAACTTTGAACATCTGCCTGTTTTATTTCTTCAGAGGTCAGATGGAGGAGCAGATGGCCACTTGATGGCTGATCTTTGATAAGCGCTCTGAACAGAATGATAGATGCCAATTTATCATAGCAGGGAACCAAGAAGCCATTTGCACAACACAACAGAATACATAGATACTAAAAATATCACTTCACAGCCTCTCCATCACAATTTATAAGCCAATCATTTGAAATGGGTACCATTAACCACTTGCCTGTAACAGCAATTTCTGGATGAGTACTTTCTGCAGCAGAGGAATTTAAACCGGCACCACTCAACATGTAAATGACTACGTCCACTCAAACCCTCGAGGCACACGGCACCCCCACATAAACCAAATGTAATCACCTGCATATAACATTCGCACATCTCTACGTGCAAACTGGATGGAGTCAGAGATGATTATCTGCAGGAGGGATGCATTGATCACCTGGGTAATAAAGCGACCACCTTGTTTCATGAAGCTCCAGAGTACAGATTATGTGCAGATGATTTTGGATTCAATTTAGCTAGTTATGTTTCCCCCTGAAGGACTGGGAGGTGAGTTAAAGTCTGAACCGCATCTGTCTGTGTGTGTTTGTCCCTCAGGGCCAAGGAGGCCGAGCAGCTGAAACAAGACCTGCAGGAAGCCAGGGAGTCAGAGCGGAGGGCGAAACACAAGCTGCTGGAGATTACAACCAGGGCTGTCTATTCGGTAACAGACCCAAAATATGAACACACAACTGACTGTACTAATGATTAAGTCAAATGTGACAGGAGGTGATACAACAGTAGGTGATTGTAAAATTTACAAATTGACTTAATTGTAGATCATTTATCTAGATAGTTGGCCAAATGATGCAAATGAACAGAGCCAGGATACCTCACTTTTAATCAATTATTAGGTCTGCCTAAAATCTGAAAAAAGCCTAAACTTGAATATTAGGAGTATTATTGTACAACCAACACTCTGGTAATAATTGGAATTTCTCCTGCAGTATCAATCTTCACTCGAAAGGCAAAAAAACCCCAAAATAATCAAACGACAGAATTCATGTGTCCTCTGATGTGGGGTACCTATATTTTGACGTGTGCCAAACATGCTCGTGCTATCGTAACCAGGTCTCTAGGTGATATTTAAATGAGTTCTCTGGGTCAATGTATAAGAAATCATTAAAGGGATATTCTGGCGTAAATTTAAGTGAGGGTCAAACATACCGTAACACCAAGTTAGACACCCGCTTGAGAAATTAGTGTTGCAGACTGCTTGCTTCTTTAGTTATACTAACTTAAGTAATGACCGCACGATAGCAGTACACAGTGGTCTCGATGCGCAAACCTCAACCAAAAAGCCACTCTATAGCCACAAATAATTCTCAGAACAGCACCTAATGCTGTGTTCCAGTTAACTCGGAAGTCGGATATCGGAGCTGGGAACGACGTTACACCCGAGTTGACGGCGTTCCAGTTAAAAAGTCAGAAAACCAATATGGACGCCTACAGTTAGCCTTTGTTAGCTGTCGTTTACAATTGTCAGCGGTCATTAACTGTTGTCAGCTGTTGTTAGTTGATGATTGATTACAAACACTATAGCACCGTGTTCACAGTTAGACTTTGGGCAGTACAACATATACCACCAATTTAATTTCACAAAAACGAAAGAGAATTGCGAATAAATAATACATTAGGAGAGCATTCACTGTTACTCTTTACTGTTGATGCACTGCGCTGCCATTTTGGATTATGACGTGGTCATCAAGTTGGGGTCTGTGAGGATTGTCCAACTTTTAGAGTTGGAAATCGGACTTCAGGGGTGCATTTCAGATGAATTCCTGATTTGGAGCTCAGGTATTCTGACTTCCAGGTACAACTGGAACGCAGCATAGCTTCACCAACAGTACATATAGGATCCCAGCCATAGTACTAGCCATCAAACTTCTTTATAGCTTTGCCTGGTTTCTTTAGCAAAGAGACTAAACACAACTCACCCACTCTTCTTCAGCAGCTGCTTGTTTGTGGGAGAACCCTGACGAGTCGATCACCGAGTGCAGCAGAGTTTTGCAGCTCAAGGAAGAATTTCATTTATGATTATTACTTCATGGAAATGCAATTAGACAAAGACGCTAAGGCGGAAGAACTACCGTGTCTGCAGTGCAAAATGATTATTATAATGATAATAACTTCATGGAAATGATCCGCTGCAGGGCTCCCCCACAAAAAGCAGCAGCTGGAGGAGAGTGGGTCTCTTCGCTAAAGAAATCAGTCAGAGCTAAAAAGATGTTTGATGGCTAGTACTGTGGCTAGGACCCTATATGTACTGTTGATGAAGTTAGATGCTGTTCTGAGTATTATTTGTGGCTACAGAGAGGCGTTTTGGTTGAGGTTTTGCGGGTGAAGACGTAGACCGCTGTGTATTGCTATAATGCGGTTGTTGATAAAGTTGGTATAACTAGAGAAGCCAACATTTATCTCTTGAAGGGGTGTCTAACTCAGTGTTATGGTATGTTTGACCATAACGCAAATTTTTGATGGAATATCCCTTTAAGATAACATAATGTCATAGCAACACAAACAACAAATAATACTGCAGTACATACAAATAATGCGCCCCCATCATCTCATGCAGAAAAATATATCCCAGAAATGTATTGTGCATCATCTGCAACTGTGCAACTGAGGAAATAACTGTGTCCACAGAAAACAGACGTGCACAAACACACACACTTTCATGCTGCCCTGCAGAGCCACACTGAACTGAAGATACTTGCATAAGAACAGGCAGCCAGCACATAAGGCAGCCTACGCAAATACTCCCAACATGCTAAAAGCCTACACACTACACATTCATCTGCTGACACACACATGCACGCACGCACGCACGCACACACACACACACAAATATCCATATTGGGATTCTGGATATAGATAGAGTGTGCTTGTAAATGAAGAGCCTAAACACACGCTGCTGCTGCTCTAACATACAGAAGAAATTGCTGCCACTGCCAGGACTCCATACATACAGTTATCAGCTCATAAATAAGACAACTACACATTTATATAGAAACATACACAAGTAGACAACATTTCCATTTCCCATTATCTCCAGCATTGCCCTTCACGCTCTTCAAGACGGTACCCACTCTGTGGTCCAGACCTACATGCCAACCAGTAGATTTACATTTATATTGTGTATTAGGTCCACCTCTTATTCTGCAGACTCCTGCAGTGGCATGTGGTTGATGCAGTCCACACGTGTGGTCAGGATCTAAAAGCATTTATTCCTGTGTTCATGGTCTGTTTCCATCAAAGTGGTCACACTCTCCCCCCTTTCTCTTCCCTCTCTGTATTGAGTCCTACCTGCAGAAATCTTTTTCATGCAGTCCTCGTCTTTTCCTTATACATTAATGTCACCTTTTTTTCAGCTTCTCCATCTTATACATTTATTTAAATCTTTCCATCTTCTCCCATCACTTAGTCTGCAGTGCTTCCTTTCCTGTCCTCTCATCTCTCCTTCTATCTCTCCTCCTAGTCTCCTGGACTGCCACCTGACAGCATGCCTCCGGACCTGAGCTTCAGCAGGGAGAACCTCAGCTTTGACTTTAAAGATACGGACATGAAACGCCTCTCCATGGAGATTGAGAAGGAGAAGTGAGTGTCTGGCCCCCTTCTGCTGATGCTGTCTGATATCCTGAGCCTCAAACCATCTCCACGTCAGCCTCTCTGGTTATGCAGTTTGGTGATTCGACCAACGAAAGGATCAAATAAAGCATAGTTATATTTGATCATAATTTTAAATGCATAGGCAGCTCTTGGACTATCAGCATCATGTTTTAATATGCAGGACTTCAGAAGAGTAGTTGACCCTGAGCATTAGCTGTCATTGATGTCCAGTGATTTCCCTCCTTAGTCCCCGGGTCAGTGACAGTAAAAACTAACTGGAGATGAATACATTACCAGGATCTAGGTGGTCACATTTGAGGAAATAATGTCTTGGAAATAATGCAGAAGATTTTTAAGATGGGCTCAAGATTTTGAAAGATGAACTGAGGAAATTATTGAGATTTTTATAAAACCATTTGGGTTTTTTAAGGCACCTAAATGAATATTTAGTAGTTAAATTCTCTCCAAAGGTTTGGCACAGTTAATCAAAATGTTACTTCATTGGTTCTTTAAGGTAAAAACTTGTTGAAAGTCAGATGATCCAGATGCCTCCACATTGCATCCAAGTTATAGACTGTATATAGAATGGACGCCATCTGCCTCCCCGCTGGGTGAAGCCTCTCTGAGAACAGCACCCTCTGTTGATGGGCTGCAGTATAGGTCATAAATCCCGCCTCCTCCAGCAATCCTTATGGAGCTGTGGACAAATTTTAGAAATTCATCACACAGAATATAAATTTTTCTCCCCCCTGCTTGTGATGTTGACATGTAGTTACTGTACGTCTGGTTTGTGCTCAAGTCCTCTTTTTTTCTGTACAGCTCCATTTTTAAAAGTTATTAGGGAGTTCATGTTTTCTATTATTGACACTCTGCTTTGATTCATATAATGAAGGTGGAACCAAGTTTTATATACAGTAGTATATACAGTCTATGATCCAGTGTCTTTACAATCCAAGTGCAAACATATTATATCCATGAAGCATACAAAATATACAAATATACAAAAGTCTCCAGTTCTTATTAAATTTTTCTGTAAACGTAAGAACTGGACTGTGGGTAAACCTGGCACACCTTTATTGTTGTCATTGGCACGCACAAAAAAACGGCATTGAAAAGAAAAAAAAATAGTTTCAACAACTGTTTTGCAAATTCATGTCTATGTAGAGCTGCTTCAGCAATCACAGTCTTGCTCTGAAAATCAGCAGATGGTAAAACTGTGAGTTGATAGTAGTGGTCTTTTATGCTGGTTGCAGCAGCTGCTGGTGAGCTAGCTGTAGCATCCCTTTGAGAGATGAGTGAACACTTTTAAAAACTAACATTTAAAGGTTTATTGTGAATTAAACATTTGTACTTTCTAATGCTTCTTGAAACTCTTTTCATTCAGCGTTGTAACTGTTGATCTACCAGAAGTAGCAGCCTTCAGAATAAAAGCATGGTTTTTTGATGTTGAAATAAAGCAGGACAGCCGTTTCATGTCTTCTTCAGAGAAGTTTTCATGGCAGGGCTGTTGATGTGGATGAGGCATAAATTTAAATATGATTAGAAATGAATGTTGACATGTAGGTTAATAACATTTATTGGCCAAGTGTATAAAGTAATACATTTCTCTTTCATATTATATGATAGTATTAAGTATAGGGGTATGGTGGTATAGTAGTAGGTATGTGTCTTAGCTTGGAAATACACTTTATGATGTGCCCACATTACATGGCTCATGATATGCTTTATGTTTGGGGGGAAAACAGCACAATAGAGTTTTAGAAAATGTCCTGCATGGAAATCAAACCATCAACCTTTCTGCTAATCTGCAACTTCATCATTTTCAGGGTGGAGTACATGGAGAAAAGCAAACATCTGCAGGAGCAGCTGAACGAACTGAAGACAGAGATCGAAAGTCTGAAGCTGAAAGAGAGAGAAACTCCTCTGGACATCATCCACAACCAGAACACTGAGCAGGGGACCAGCAAGCAGAGCAACTTCAAGAAGGTAACTGTAAACACTGCTGCTGGTACAGAGCTTCTTTGTGTTCTCAGAAAACACATCATTTATGCACCATTTCCTCCACTCATGCCTCAAGCCTCTTCAGACATTTGTAGTTACATTAACACCTAAACAAAATACCAAATATGACTAATTCTTTGGTGGTGAAACAAAAATCTGATTGCTTTTATCCCTTCAGGGGTCTCTACTCATCCACATGTAATAATTAACTGATACGCATCAATAAACTGTCAGAAAGAGCCGGGGGTTTCATCACATCAATACACAACCGCAATCTGACCAACGACCTGATACATAACGCTACCTGCAGACTCTGACAGCCTTTGTTTACCTGTGTGAAAAATATTGTGTTTAATACCCCCTCGGTTTTGGGTGTTTTCCTATGAAAGTGGTTTGATGGGTTTATTCAGTTATCCCTGTCAAATTCATTTAGTTCTTTCTAGTCCTCCAGATGCCCAGGCTGCAAATTCTGGATGTCTGGCTCTACTGTCCCTCTAAAACAGCTCTCTATGGTATTACAGGTGTCCAGTCTTAGTCCCTCAGTGGTCAGAAACGTGAGTTTTTGGGTATCTGTTAATACTGTAGGCCGAGTTAGCAGATGTCCTGATAAATGAGCACTGCAGCAAACTGAAGTGGTCTCACTGATGTTGACTTTTGGACTGGGAAAAGTGTGCATCCGTGCCAATGGGCCAGTTATAGCATAGAGCTCTAGTCCCATCCAGTTTACTTCAGCTCACAGACTTTGGGGTACTTACCCAATTAGAATTGGTAGCTCTGGAACATCTGCTATCCAGTTTCCACTGTAAAGAGGCATGCAGTAAAAAAGCTATTATTGCATATTGTCGCTGTCCAGTGAAAAAAGTACCTTCACTTTCAGCGATCTGGACTTTTTTTTAATACATGCATGGTCCATAATCTTCTCTAACAACTCGTAGCTTTGGATATCCAAATGACCAATGGAAAGACATTTTATAACATCATCTTTTCAACAAGTATCTCCATTGAGTAACAGAAGTGTCAACAAAGATCTTATCTTCTGCCCCAGCCCTGCATTACCATGTCAGCAAACAGACTTTACACTGTGACAGACTCATGACAGTTCAGAGTTATGCTACACTAATGTCCTCACATCCACTGATGCTGACCTAAAACTTGACAACCAATGTGCTATGTAGAAATGTAGGATAGCCTGCAATCAATAGTTTATCAACATAGTGGGACATAAACATGATACTTAAAGCTGGTTAATAACCGAACGTCATTGGAGCGCAGTATTAAAAAAACACACATGTCCACTGTCATTCACAATGCAGACATACAAGTCAGTTCAAGACATCAAACTGGTCACTGATGACTGTGTAAATATAGATTTTGATTTCGGGTCCTAATTGTGTCTAATGACAGTGTTTGGGGTTTATTCTGTAAGGTATGAATATGAATAAAATAGTTTTTTTAATATTCCTGGAAAAAAAAAAAATTGTGGAGGTACATTTTTTTTTGGACAGTGATGATATGAAAAAATAGGTAAATAAACATCTGTTGCACCTATCACTTCTGCTGTAACGAAACAGCTGCAGCCCAGGCCTCACAATACTCCCATGAAGCAGCCTGTGTTTGCTCTGTGTGGGTATGGAGGAAATGGACAGAGAAAAACAAGTGAGTCATAGGCCAGCTCAGTCTGTTAAAATAAACCTACCTGACTGTCCACAGTCCACTCAGCATGTCCTGACCTAAGCCCATTATATTTTTAAAAAGAGAGGCATACGCAGCTCTATAAATCCCTATTACATCTCAGCTACATTCACAAGCTGTGGCTCTTCAACAGCTGTCCGGTTGGCTGCAGACACATGAGGAGGTTTCGCTTTAAAAAGTCATTCTGCATTATCTTTCTGTGATAACTGCCTCTCTAAAAATTGATAGTCGTCCTGCGTACAAGCCCCCACGCTCCGCCATCATCTTATTTAAGGTCGGCGTATTGATTCTGCGAGCATCACTTAATAGCACTTTGCCTCAGGTTCATATTTCAGCCTGGAGTATCTGCTTTGATGAAGCCTCCTGAGAGAAGAGCAGCAATCATTCATTTTCTACCATAACCTCTAAAAGCGAGCCGTGATTATAGTCTTAGGTGTGTGGGAAAAATACCCCAAAGATCAAGAGAGATGGAAGTCTACAGTTTTGTATGCGTCTTATGTCCAGTCTTAGGGGAAGAATAGCGATTTCATCAAAGATCCCGGTTTGAAATTATGAAAAATGGCAGCTGGAGGGGAATCTCTAAATTGATTGGTCAGAGAAGATAGAAAAGCTACAGAAAAATAGATTCTTTTTTCCTGCTGTCCTCTGATGAACTGGCAGATTAGACTCATTCTGCTTCATCTTCCCACTCCAGTATCTTTCTTGTTTCAATAAAAGTAAAAAATGGGAATTTGAGTCTAGTTGTTCACTCATTGTGGAACAGAAAAAGCCCACCCCCCCTTCTGTTCTTGTCGCCTGCTGTAAAAACACTTGTTAACCAAGCGGTAATTGATTTTTGCTTGGTGATTAGTCATCTGGATGGATGGGGGCAGCCTCGGCATGCTCAGAGTTAAAAGTGTTGGCTTAATTGAACCAGAGGCGGTCGGCATTCATCTTGTTAGTAAGGGAAGGAGGTGAAAAGAGGAAGCAGAAGATAGGGACTCAAAGACAGCTTTGCTAAAGAGGGAGAAGTTTAGGGGAGGCTGAGGCAGACAGAAAACTGCTCAAAGGATGAGGAGTTAGAGGAAGGCTAAGGCATCAGAAGTGCAAAGACTGTGCTGTGAAGCTGGCGACCAGAGAAGAGCAGGATGAGAGGGAGGCTGAGGTAAAACGAGCTGGAACAAAATGCAGATTTCAGAGCCAGAAGTATCAAGTCCCTCTGCACCCTTAGGCAAAGTTTTCTCCTTCCTGCCTCCTTCCTTTTCCCCCCTCTGAGTGATTAATGAAAGTCCCCCTAACACGGCCCAGTGCCTCCCTGCTTCTACCGGGTCACAGGTTCTGCTCTGTTAGCGCCAGGCCTGCCACGAAGGCTTGTTCTCAACAACTGCATCAAAGCTTTCGAGCTGTTGTGATTCTGTGTGAAGTTTCATTTAATGTGTCTTTTTTTTACCACACTTCGGTCCAGCAAGGCTGTGTAAAGTGGCACACACGAAAGGTCAACCATCAGCAGAGGTGGCAAAAGTATATCAAGTCTTTGCTGGAGTGCGAGGACAGAAACGTGCAGAAAAATACTTTTTACCGAGGACTAAAGGAGATAAAGTAGAGGTCTCTAACGGCTGTTTCTCTGCAGAAATAACTGAACCTCACAGTGATATTAAATTAAGTTAACCATTTGCAGGGAAATGTATGTGTATTCTGGCATTATTCAGTATTTACGGAGCTCAGATCTTGCTGTAGGTGCCTGCACCTGATGGGATTCAGTGGGATTAACCCTCAAGCTACATTCATCCAGTGGAAATGGGTTATCTAAAACAGCCTAATGTGTGTTTCTTCTCTGATTGGTGGTGTGATTCTCATAGAACAATGCTGGTGTGCTCTGTAGCAGTCTGGGTTGCTGCGTGGGCTTCATTTAAAGCCAGCTTCTGTGGTGTGTAGTGGGTTTGCAAAGTCAGTGGGTAACCTCTGTCTCCTATGAATCAACGATCAGGCCTCTACCTAAAACAGCTGTATAGAGCCTTTGGGTAACATTAAAACAAAAAGCCACCAGCTGAATGGGAGTTACCCACCCAATATGTGGTTTATGAACTTCACAAGAGCTGGCTTTAAATGAAGCCTAGCAACAACTCACCCCCAAATTCCACCACATGCAGAACAGCAGCGAAAAGGCCATATGTGCCGATAGCCTCTGATCGTTTCCCTTCGAGTTAGGGGGCTCTATTTTCGTGTCCGCCGGCGAGGCAGAGGGTGGCAGACCCCGCGCAGTGGTATTTTCGTCTGGCGGGGTCCAGCGTACAGCCAGTTTGGTATTTTTGTAGACTGAGGCGCACAGAGGTCCGCCTGGGAGGAGCTGAGTTAGGGAGTAGGGATACTTACGCCAGGCTGCACCGCTCACCAAAATACCAAATTGGGCTTGGGAACGCCTTGTCGGCGCAGCGGACCTGACTTGCGCCACGTCTCCGGCGATGCACGAAAATAGAGCCTAATGTGTCAAATTCCACAGGCTTCTTTCTTGCCCCCTGCAGTTCACCGGGCTTCATAGCCTATCGCCAGGGTTCTATTTTCCGGACGCTGCAACATACTGTGTAAATTCAGCACAGATTAGCCCGTGCTGGAAAGGAAGTTGGGCACAGACACAAAATGAAGCATCCAGCTTCTTTTCAAAATAAAACTATAAAAATAAAACACCATGCAAACGTGGGTGGGGACAAACAAGTCAAAGATTTTCAGATGTCATTTCACCTCATTTCATCCTAATCACATAAACAAGGCCACAGTCATTTCACACTTGCGCATTGGGGGGCTGACAAGAATTTGCCAAACCAGTTTGGTTTGCTCCTCTGGAAGGACAATATTTACTGCTTATATGGTTATGTGTCTTTATGAGAGACAACTCTTTATCTCATGATTGCATGTGAATTTGTGGGTTCTTGTGAGTCCTTGCAGTTCCCGCTGTCCCTGCTGCCCGAAATTCACCACGAAATTCACCTCACAAACACATTCGGTAGGATTTGGTGGATGGCAAAAATCGCCACTGTTCCGCAGCGGTGTCGTTCCTCATGTGGTGGAATTTGGGGATCAGATTGTTACAGGCGTGTTACACCTCTAGTTAGAGAGTCAAATAAATCCTTTCCTCTTACTCAAACTTCACCCAAAACAATTTAAATCTTGGCATCTGAGTCTCTTTCTGTGCACTTTGCTCTCCAGTCTATAGGAAGTACATATCCACACTTCCTTATATGGTCATCTTGAGTGGGGATTCATGCAGATTGCTGGCTGGCAGGAGTTCATCGTCAATTTATGATAGATTGGTATTTATGAACACACGCACATGTGCCTATGATCGAATCCATGTTTTTTCGCTGCATTTATGAATCCACTCACTGTAAGTTTCTTGTTCCTGGGACTATTATGTGCAAATTTACACACAGATTTACTTGGATTTCATAAAAGAGACCCAACTTTTTAGCATGTATCCTGCTCAAATGACTGAAACTGCATCTTAGCTCAATTATACTGGTTTAGAAAGACACTAAAACACTAAGGGTAATTGCGGAGTCCCTGACCCAGGATTTAAAGCTGTTCTCGATGGTCGATAGTGCAGATTTCGTCACCTCATGAAGACGCTATATCCGTAAAAAGTGCATAGCATGATTTTGTCTGTTGTAAGCATGTTTAATAATCTTTCAAACTGTCTCTTTTTCAGATATTTTTGTCATATACCATCACTGTGAGTCATTTCAGTAGAAAATGCAAACTAAGGCAGAAAATGGCCTTATCAGAGACAAGTGTTTGAATATACAGAGACTGGAAATACCAGGGAGTTATTTTTGCTTTAGCAGGTTATATAAGTGTTTAATTTAGTCTGTTTCACGGCCAGTTAAATAACTCTCACTATACATGTCAGCAAAGTATAGGACTGAGATTCTGGTTTCTGTCCCAACTCTGACCATCAGACGTCATTCTTGTTGGGCTCTCCTGCTTATCAAAAACAACACAGAAACACATTTTACTTGATAACTGGAACATTGAAGTAAGAGTTTGCCAGCAGGGTGGAGCGCACACACACGCACGCACACCCACAGGTGTAGCTCAATTCTGTCAGCAGGGACAGTGGAAGGTGATCTGCAAACATCACGCTGCAAATCCACCCCCCTCCCGCACATTATCTACTCAGATTTGCTTAATTCTCTACATCTCTGAATTCAAAAACAACCTTCATGTCCCCAAACTGTCCTCCCTCATCCCCTGTCTAATATTTACTTTGGCAGCCTGTTTTAATTCCCTTTACCCTACACATGTTGAAGGGAGGGAAAAGTTTGAGCTCACTTATTCAAGTTCTTGATGAGCTGATTGTAAACTGCTCTGAAGGGGATAAAGCACAGCCAGTGGTCTGGATTAATCCATCCCCGGCTCGTTTAAACCTGGGGAGAAAAACAATTAACCGAGCTTTCTGTGACTGGCATCGATCCTCTGCTCGTCCCACTCTCCCTGCTTGTTTGATTGTCTCTGCAGTGAATCAGGGTTTGGAAACCACGCCATTTTCCTTGTCCTTTAGGGGCCAGCTGTAAACTCCAATCCAGTCTGACTCTCTTTTAGCCGTAACTGTATCAAAAACACGGCAGGCCTTCACAAACCTTAACGGACTCATGACAAACAGAATTATAACTTTGAGGTGTGTGTTTACTTACACATATGAGTGTACAGACCATCCAATTATCCGCTCTTTGTGATCATTCAGTCAGGAGAAAAAGACAAAACAGGCGTTTTTCTGCACCCTTATATTCAGGATGGGAACCTTGTGTATCATCATCCCGTATTACCATGGTCTTCCAGGTCATGAGCTGCATGAAACATGATAATCTGAGTAATTGTGGATATTTAACAGCTCCTTTATCAATAAGTATCTAATCAGGAGAGAAAATGGGCCTTATTCAAAGTTGAGAAACAGCTAACAGCCTATTTTGAGGATAGTAAAATGACTGAAATTCATATTGATGACTTTTTATGATACCCAAAAGCAAATAAGACCATCAGCGACAAGGTTGATCATTTCTATACTCTATAATTAATTCCTGAGACTCAGGCTGAAACAATTCCTCGAGTTCCTCGATTACAAAAAATTGAATTTTCTCTGCCTCGGGTACTCGTTTATTAACTCAAATCATCACTGTTTCACATGGTTTATTTTCAAGGTGGCACAATGTGTCACCATGGTAGAAGGAGGAGTAAGCGTGGTTTTGGCTTTGCAGAGCGGAAAATATTAATGATGAGAGGGGCTTTTCTTCTGCAGAGCTCCAGACAGCACTGCTCTGCACACTCCTCTTCATGCTAGCATGCAGCCTGACATTGCCAGTGTGGTAGAAGAAGCAGGTAACAAAGGAGCTATTCAGCTCTCAGACACTTATGTCTTTAGGGGCATGATAAAAGTTAATATAATAATTAGCTTTCTTACGAGCATTACAGTCCACTAACGCATACACTTGTTCTGCCATCGTCTTCTCTATTTCTCCGAGTCTGGCCTTCATAGTGGGGCTCCGGGGTTGGAGCTTGGATTTGTGATGTAGGAAATCTCACTGTGTCTGAGCCTGTCGTTTGGGTCCGATTACCCGAGTAATTAATGGAATATTCGGTAGAATACTGGATTACTAAAATAATCAATAGTTGCAGCCCTACCTGAGACCATTAAAGTTTACTTTAAATATGTTATAATGCACTTTAAGATTCTCCCACCCTTAGTGTGATGTTACAGGAATAATGTACCGTGTGGGAATAATGTCCATTCAACCACAGTAATACAATCACAACAAGCATCAACCTAGAGATGTGTAGATGGAGACACCCCCACTCCTCAATGTTAGTTGTGTCTGTTGTGCCATGGCAGACATTGACAGAGACAGGGGCTGACTACAAAGTCAGGAAACTGTGGACACATTATGGTGGCAGTAGTTCAGGAAGTTTCAGCATCAGACAGCCCGTGTTTGTGTAAACAGTGTCGGAGAGACACTGACTTTTGGCCTTTAACTGTTTAATCCTGTGTTTTTACTGGTTTCAATTACCTGGTCCATTAGTTTTGAAGAGAAGAAGACGGCTGCTCTAATTTAGCTTTTAGTTAAAGTCTCTCTGGTACAATTTCTGTCTTAATCAGGATTCTTATCAAGCTGGCAGCTGAAAGCTACACGCCTTCATTAAGGTACTGATCAATATTTAAAAAGTCTCACCCTAGGGTAAGAAAGGTAAAAATTAGAGAGCACAGAGGGTATAAATATTAATATCAATAGTCTTTTTCAATTAGATGAAATTGTGTTATTGTTAAGTCTCTGTCTTCACACTTTCTCCATCTGAGCCTTTCCCACTCAAAACAAGTTATAAAACCACTGAGGGATAAAAACAAGAGCATGATTTCATGAAAAACTCCATGAATTTGGGAAGATTTGATTTGAGCAGCTCTCTCTGTGGCTAGGAAGACCAGCCAAGGGTGCTGGTGGTTTCACACATACGCGCCTGAAATGAATTTTAAACTCACATCCTCACACCCACGGCGCTGTGCTGGTGTGTCAGTCAGATATGAAGGATCTCAGGAGGTTGGGTTGGAAATGCACAGACAGATTGGATGTGGCAGGAAGGCTGAGGGCAAGGGCAGAGGGATGATTTCAGGGATATTTGTCTGCTACAGTGTGTCCTGTACCTGTTTACTTCCACCTCAGATATGAAAAAGCTTATCAGGTGTGTTGCCATCTCCTCCACAGCTAACACTACAGAGCACCAAGTCCAGAGTGGCCTTCTTTGAAGAGCTCTAAACTGCACACAGCTGCCTACAAACCCCGTGGTTCTACATTCCTGCTGAGTTTTTAACACTACAAGGCCTTATTCTTCACCACCAAACACTAAGGACAAAAATACGACCACTGCCTGGATCTGAACCAACTTTAAAAGCCTCCTGGGAATGCACAAAGAGGTATGCATGCATAATTCTCCTGCACTGTTAGGAGTCATGAAAATAGTGTGTGTGTTTACAGCGAGAGTGAAATGCGGAATACTCTCCTTGGATATTCTGAAGTGAACTTGGGTGTGTTTTTTTAAATTTGAGTCAAGGAATAAAGGTCGACAAAGCCGAGAGACAAAAACAAGGTGGCTCCTATTGAAACTGCACTGGTGGATTCAAAATAACTTTTATCAAGGATGACTTATATAATGTGACTGCGTATGTGTTTCTCATTCAAATGTAAATAAACTGCGGAAGGATAAATTTTAGAAATATATTATTGTGAAGCAGTAAAATACTGTTTGGTTATCGGCTGCCTTTAACTGTTTCACTCACCCTTTGATCAAAATGTGAACAAATTCCTCCGCTTTCTTGGATTTATGACTTGATGCTGCCTTGGTTTTCTTGTTTTTCATGGTAAAGTTTGTCAAAAATATTGCTCAAGCAGCAAAAAAATGAATATTCCTACACCTTTAAGGTGCAGTGTGTTGTTTTTGCAGCATTTAGCAGAACAAAGATGGTACAAATGGAATACAAGCATTTCTAAATTAGCATATGTCCACCCAAAAGAAAAAAAAAGAAAAAAACTGTTTTGTTGTTTTAAAATAAGCCTGATGTATCACACAGTGGACTAACTTCCAAAAGGATTTGTATTGGTGGTTTTGGTGGTAAAATCTGGACAAATGGAGGATCTCACTTATCATTCATCACAGGAGCTACTTGTCCATGAAGGCCACCATACCTCCATAGATGGTAGGGGTGAGCAAGGGAGCTCTTTCGTCTTGATCTAGATTCTTATTTCTTCACACTGTACCCTTAATGCTAATTAGGGATGGTAATCAAGAACTGGTTGCAGATGAGAACTGGTTCCTACCAGTTGAAGCCATCAGCAATGTTTTACTTTTATGATCAACAGTTCCCTTATCAGCGCCCTAGCTGACTACATACATAAGAAGCAGTCACCAAGGAGACAAGGAAGTAATCATGACAGACAGGAGACAGAAACAGCTCAAAAGTCTGGATTAATTTTGAACAAGCAAGCGTGGAAACACCTGCAGCACGCTGAACCTGTTAATTAGCGATGTGCAGCTTAATGCTGCTCAAAAGCATTAAGGCATTCTGTGAACGTGACGAGTATACTGTGACACAAAATGCTAAACTAGGATGCATTCAGGAGGATTACAACAGCTGCTGTTGCCATGACAAGGACAAACACATTTGCAAGTTGACACAGTCACTCTGTCGGTTGGGACACTGGTCAATGAGAGTTTCAGGATAATCACGCCAATTTTGGGCCTGACCCCCATCAAATGGTTAAGGAGATAATGTTGCCAGGTTATCTGTTGGTGTTAAGTGTTTAAAGAACAATTCTCTTACCTCTGATTTGCATAGAAGATGATCAAAGCCTACCAAACTTAAAATCAAAAATGCTTGATATGGTCAGCACCCTCGAGGACAGCCAGGAACAACTTGATAGCCAATTGGAAAGAGCTGTCTTTACAAGGTAACACAACAAATGCAACCATGGCAATGGCAGTATGAATAGTTTGGCCTAAAATCAGGTTTGAACATGAAAGTTATGAGAGTCAGGTCTCTGGCTGCACAAATCATTTTCACATTTTGAAAAACACTTGGTGTGCACCAGGCTTAAGCAGACACAGAAAACCTCTGGGGTTTCCACAGGACTTGATAAGGGAACCAAGAAAGCAGAGCTGATAATGTCACTGGTGTCAATTCCCATCCCTAGTGCTAGTCATTGGAGTAGAGGTCTGTGGAGAATATGAAGCTCGACCCATTACTGTGACTTATGACGATTTATCTGTGTTGATAACATCATGTAAATTTCCATCATCTCACTGTTTCTGTCCACTTTTGTGCCTTTCACAATGCATGTCGACAAATTGTTGCACACAAGGCCTCAGGTCCTGCGTTTACATCTTGTTACACAGTGAGGTCATGTGACATATCTTTGGCTGCTTGAACACTTGATTTGGAGCACCCTTAAGCAAGGCGTTGGGCGCACTATGCTGGAGAGACAGCCGTTTGTTCTGGATGGTTCTTGAAGTTCAAACTGGATGAAGGAGCTGTGATTCTAAAATGTGAAGACAACCAATTTTTAGGACATGAATTAGCATCTATTTTGAATTAATGTGTCTTTTTAAATTTATGTGTTCTTTTCCCTCTGAAAGCAATTTATTTTTGGGGATAGTAATAAAAGAAAATGTGTATTTTTTTTTCCTGTCTGCATTGAATATGAATAGAAAGCCGTATTTAAAGTGACACTTAGGGTGAAGATACTGTGCGGATATTTCTAGATTTTTACAGAGACTTTGTTACAGATTTGTACCTTTTTCATGTAAATAAAGGAAGTTCAGGTCTGGTATTACTCTGCCTTTGAGTTTTTTTTTTACATCCAGAAATAACTTTGTTATTTTGGCAGACTTTGATGAATGTTGGCAACAGCATCCTCTCCCACACGACCCAAACTGCCATCCAATTACACCTTTGAAAGAATCAAGTGTTACATAAGCACCCTCCATCTTGTGTTAGATCCCATACTCTGTGTGCTTGAGTGACAAGGTTTTTGTGTGTGTGCGTGTGCTGCATACCCTGTGTACTTGTTTTAGTGCCTGTGTGTGTGTTGTGTGCCTCCAGTTTAACCCTCTAATGTGACATCCGCCTTGTCCGCCGGGTTCATTAGACTGACAGCTCTCTGACAGAGTGAGTGGCATGGAGGTCAGGGGGGCCTCTCCACAGCTCTTTCACCTCTGGGCTCAGTTGGAGAATGGCCACCCTTGGCTTGTCAGTGTTGTGACAGAGCGGCGTCTTCAGGAGGCAACTCTCCCTTGGGGGTAAATCTCAGAGGTACCGGGTTGAGGGTCTGCAGGGGCACCAGGGAAACCAGCAGACACATACTTTCATTTATAACTGCTTTCCCCTAAACGCAGTGAGAAGAAGCAGAGATGGGAACAATCACATCTTTTGTCATTTATCTATTCTCCGGGGATCACAGTTGACGTCACACCTGCAAACATACACAGTGGTGTACACACAAACACAAGCATCTTACAGCAGATTGGGAAAGGTTCTCGCTTTACTGCAGGGTGAGGGGAGATGATGGCGGCTGCACAGCACCTGCCAGCGGCTTGAATGCAGAACGAGCTCACACAATAAGAAGGAAAACCCTCTTCATAATCCAAAGCAAACTGCTGTTCACAGACTAAATTCAAGCATCAAAAGAATGACACAGTAACAGTTCAAATAGCTTACCACAGTTGTCAAAAAAATGCCCTTATTATATTTTTATGTTTGTGGAGCCCTTAAAACATAAAGTGACTTTGAAGTAAAAACACAGACTCTGTGTTTGGGGGGCTAGGGGAGTGATCGACCTTCCCGTGGTACCTTTATGTCAAGAAAGGGCTGTTTGAGTACCCTCTTGAATGCTTTTGTAGAAGGAAACCGTTAGAAAAGCCCTCTCTGGATGCCCTTGCACTAGAAATCTCAACAGATGCCCTACCAGTGTTTAATATAAAGCCATAGTACACTCTAGATGCCTGGACAGAGTACTTAAATTTCAACAAAGTGCCCTTTGGTTACTTTACGAGGATTAAAAAAATAAAAGTCTCCTCAAGCTGCTCAACCAGTGTCATATGTAAACAGAGTGTTCCTTTGGATGTTGTAAAGAAGATAAAATGCAAACAAAATAACCCGTGGATGCCCTTTCATAAAATAAAAAAGGTTAAATGCCCTCTGGTTGCCCTATAATGTAAACAAAACACACTTTACATGCTCTTTATCATGTAACTGTAAACAAAGTACCTACCTGTTGCTTTTTTAGTGAATAAAATGTAAACAAAATAACACATGGATGCCCTGTCATTAAAAAAAGATGTTTATAAAGTGCCTGTGGTTGCCCCTATGGCTTGTAAATGTAAGCAAAAGCACCCACCTGTTGCCTTTTTAGTGAATAAAATGTAAACAAAATAACAAATGGATACCCTTTCATTAAAGAAAAAAAAAGCAAATAGAGTGATCAAAGTACCCACTGCTATCTTTGTCAGTGGGTAAAATGTAAACAAAGTGCTCCTTACATGCCTCAATGTAAACAAAGTGCCTTGTGGATGTCCTTCAAAGTGATCCCCGTTTGCTCTTTCAGTGGCAAATATGTTTTAATGTGCCCTTTGATTGCTTTTAGAGAATCAAATGTAAACAGAGTGCCTTCTATATCCCTTTCAGTGGAACCAAGAAAATATTGGTAGATTTTTGTTTTGAGCAAAAAGTTTGAAATCAAGACTTTAAACGCTATAGATGTCAAATATGGACAATTCTGTTAGCTTTGCTTCATTATGAACTTTCCAACTACACCAGAAAGCCTCCACTTAGCTTCTGCTATTTTCTTCAGCCTTGGCACAACTAACTGTAAGTAAATACATTGGTCATGCTCTTACCCCAACTTTCCAAACCAACCTTTCCATCCCTTGCACCCTCTTATTGGGTGAACATCTGCATCGTCTGCTTTGACATTGCAAGCTCCAAACGCTAAACCATCCACTGTGCTCTATCTGCACAGGCAATGGTGGATTTCCAGTGGGTTTATCAACTGCTTCCTCAAATCTACCCCCATGTGCTAATCTCTTCCCACCCATACTTGTCTTCAAATATGCCAGCTCAGAGATCCTTTGGTGCCTTTTCTTTACAACACAAATATATTCACATCAGATGATTGATGAGTCACTGGAGCTCTCAGTTTTTGCCTTAAGATGATTTAGTCAGCTGGTTTATCATGCTGAGACAAACTATGGTCCTGAATATATTGTGAAAATAGACTTTAAATATCTTTATCACAAAACACCTTTATCTGCTGCTTTTTTTAGATATCCTTCCTGCTCAGGTTCACTTTACATATTACGGTTTGTACTCTCATAAGCAGAGTCCCAATTCAGAGTCTGAAGGACACATTTCATCACAATGATACAAGGCTGTTTCAATATGATGGTTGCTTACCAAAGGAGTGTGTCCGTCTTTTGCCAAGCCCCAAATTTCCTGTGATTCATTGTGCACAAGTTGAAAAGAAAGATTCTCATGCAGCCAAGGAATATTTCAGCTAACTTAAGTGCAACAGCAAGGGTGGGAACAGCTGTGCAATCACAAAATCCTCCATGGAGCCCATTTTTTTGTGTCAGTTCAGCTGTGGTGGTGTAAGCAGTCGACAAAATGCATCTCCTTTGTAGTTGGTGGCCTTCGGAGGATGCAGTCCCTAACTTGGGACATGAAAATTTTGACCTTCATCCTTCTTGTCCCCACCCAGCTGAGATTTCCCCTTCATTTTGAGTGTGTTTGCTCCGAATAGGTTGCTTTTTTAGCATCTTTCTGTCCTTTTTTATATTTTCCTCACATCCTCCAAACCAGTGCTGTGAAATATCCTGGTGCCAGAACTCCCCTTGTTCCCTAATACTCTATCAAAAGGTACCAGTAAGTCAGTGGTATAGCCTCCCAGATTTGGGCAGACCTGTGCCTTTCTAGCACCAGCACAACGATGTAAGCATCTTTCCTTCTTCTTCCTGATGTTTTCATATATAGAGATGCATCTCAATAAATTAGAATATTGTGGAAAAGTTCATTATTTCAACAGTTCAATTCAAAAAGTGAAACTAATTCCTGATATAAGAATAAGAATAACTTTATCGATCCCCGAAGGCAATATTCTATGGATAAAGTTATTCTGTTTAATTGCAATAATTACAGCTTATATTTAATGAAAACCCAAATTCAGTATCTCAAAAAATAAGAATATTCCATCAGACCAATTGAAAAAATGATTGTTACTCAGAATTGTTGATCTTGTGGAAAATATGTCCACTTATATGTACTCAGTACTTGGTTGGGGCTCCTTTTGCCTGAATTACTGCCTTAATTTGGTGTGGCATGGAGGCAATCAGCCTGTGGCACTGCTGCTGTGTAATGGAAGCCCAGGCTGCATTGAAAGCGGCCCTCAGCTCACCTGCATTCTTAGGTCTAATGTGGCTCATCTTCTCTTGACAATATCCAATAGATTCTCTATGGGGTTGAGGTCTGGCGAGTTTGCTGGCCAGTCAAGCACAGTAACCTTATGGTCATTAAACAAGCTTTTGGTGCTTCTTCATAAAGCTTTTCAGCGGAGGAAAGCGTGAATCGCTCTAAAATCTGGTAAACAACTGCGTTGAATTTAGATTTTAGAAAACACATTGGACCAACACCAGTAGATGACATTGCACCCCAAATCACCACTGACTGTGCAAGCTTTACACTGGACTTCAAGCAACTTGTATTCTGTGCCTCGCCACTCTTCCTCCAGACTCTGGGTCCTTGGTTTCCAAATGTAATGCAAAACTTGCTTTCATCTGAAAAGAGGACTTTTGACCAATGGGCAGTAGTCCAGTTCTTTCTCTCCTTAGCCCAGGTAAGACGCCTCTGACGTCATCTCTCGTTCAGGAATGGCTTGACAAGAGGAACAGTTGAACAACATGCAACAGTTGAAGTCTAATTCTTTGACTTGTCTCTGTGTGGTGGCTCTTGATGCCCTGACTCCAGCCTCAGTCCACCGTTTGTGAAGTTCACACAAGTTCTTGGATCAATTTTGCTTGACAGACTTATCAAAGCTGCGATTATCCCTGTTGTTTATGCATCTCTTCCTACCACACTTTTTCCTTCCATCCAACTTTCTGTTAATATGCTTGGATACAGCACTCTGTGAACAGCTGGCCTCTTTTGCAATGAACTTATGTGGCTTACTCTCCTTGTAAAGGGTGTCGATGATTGTCCTCTGGACAACTGAAAAAAAAAAAAATAGATGTTGCTTTCATGGAAATGCACCATTTTACTCCATTTACCTTTAGATATACATTGATGTTAACAGACCATTTCTAAATACATGTCAGCAGAAGATAATAAGGGCTTAGTTTTAGGGTTGTAAACATTTGCAAGAGTCACAAATTCAGTGCAAAAGCAAAAAAAAAAATCACAGTTGGATTATTCACCTCAACTTTTTGGCTTTTGAGAGTCTGCATATAAAAATCCTAATAAATCTCAACTGCGTTCAAACTACCGCAAAAATGGCTAGAAAGAAGCAACTGAGTAAAGAAAAAAAGTACAGATTTGTACACTGAGGAAAGAAGGATACATAGAAAGAGAAATTGCAAAACACCTAAAGGTGTTTAACAAAGGAGTCCACTACACTCTGAAGAGACTAGAGGAACCTGGAAGTTATGATGATAGAAAAAGACCTGGACGAAAGAGAGTTACTACAAAAGCAGAGGATAAACATAGCATTGTCACCAGTAAGAGAGATCAGCAAAAGACAGCACCAAAAATAAGGGAGGAAATCAACATGACAAGGTCGAAACCCATATCTCTTACAACCATGAAATGACGTTAGAGAAAGGCTGGTCTGAAGGGTTGTGTATCTGCAAAAAACACTACTTCATCCACAGAACAAGAAAAAGAGATACGAGTGGGCAAAAGCTCACAAAAATTGGACTTATGATGACTAGAAACAAGTTTGCACTGTTTGGTTCAAAACGCAGAGTCTATGTCTGCAGACAAACTGGTGAATGTCTGAAAGCACCATGTGTTACACCCACAATTCAGCATGGAGGTGGTCGTTCCATGGTATGGGGATGTTTTGCAGGTGATGGAGTAGAAGATTTGTTTGAAGTAAAGGGTATCATGAAGAAGGAACAGTACCACTCCATCCTCCAGCACCATGCTGTTCCATCTGGACTCAGACTTGTGGCTCATAAGTTTGTTTTGCAGCAAGACAATGACCTTAAGCACTCTGCCAAGCTCTGTCAGGGTTACCTAGACAAAAAAGAAGAGGAAGCTGTTCTTCAAAAGATGGTTTGGCCCCCTCAGTCTCCAGACCTTTCTCCAGTTGAGCTTGTACAGGATGAATTGGATCGATCGGTCAGAAAAATGCATCCCACGAATCAGGAGTCTCTTTTTAATGAACTTAAGAAAGCTTGGAATGCAGTCCCTAGAACATACCTTGAAAAACTAAAGCCAGTTGTTAAAGCCAGAGGAGGTTAGTTTAAAAAAAGCAAAGTCTAAGCAACAATAACTCAAACATCTAATAATTATAGTCAAAATGTCTTCTAATACGTTACTCTTTACACAATAGTCATGTTTATTGTGTTGCAAATTATATATATGAAACTATGATCTTTTTTTGTACAAATCTGATCTTGCTTCCAAACCTTTGGCCTGTAGTGTACACACACACACACACACATATATGTATATATATACATATACATATATTCAGAATAGACTAATAATTAAAAATATACATACTAGAACTTGGTATTTATTTTTTTTTTTTCAGTTGGGAGCACATTACAATCACTGAAAGCCTATTTGACTACCAATATGTCACACAGACAAACAACCAAAGAGCATTATTTTGCTGAACTGGACCTGTTCATCACCAAATACCTGCTGAATGCATGTATATTCTGCATGTATAAACACGCCCTCTTAGGTAACAAGTGCAGCCCTGTTAGTTGCCTTTTTTCTCCAACCACTCACTTTGATCTCTGAATGACCATGTCATTCATCACAAAGGGCTGAGGTAAAACTGTACAACCATGATATAGTGAACTCTGCTTTGTGAGTCATCTCTGAGTACAGAGAAAAAAAATGGATTCATCTGGACTCTTTGAATCGAAACCATGCTACAGTATTTGAAGTGCAGTACAGCCAAAGGCATTTAAGTCTAAAAATACTGTATGGAGATTTCAGCTCTCCTGCCTCGCTGACAGAATATGGCGAATGTCATACTTGTACTTTCCAGGTTTCTTTAAAAAGACACAAGTGCTGGATTGTCAATTACTGGTGCTCTCCCCCAAGCGCCTTCACAGAGGGGAAACCAAGCAGGTAAAACTGTGACATGTACAGATTTCATTCATGATATATTCTGCAGCTGTACGCCCTCGTGAGTGTACACATGAGTAGGATTCTCACTTATCCTTCTAAAAAGGTGGGTTTTGTTGATCACACAAGCTCATAAGAGTTTGAAATGTGACCACGAAGGCAGCTTTTCATAACATCTGTGAAACATACACAGCACCTGTGTGCTCTATATGTAATAAACAGATTAATTGGCATGTTATGCGTAACTCGTCCTCCCATGAGGACTCTTCTATCATGAAACACATGCTCAAAGGTGTCTAATCTCCCCACTTGTCTTGATATGTGGGGGTGAGGTGCAGCAGCCTGCCTGCCTGCCTGCTCTGTTGGGAATTCATTCCCCTGACACTCAGTACGAATCTTCATGACATTTCTCCTTTCTCCTTCTCTTCATGCTTGCATTTATTTCTTACCTTGCACATGTGCTGGCATGATTAAATTTTTCTGTCCCTGTAGACCCGCAGTGAAAGAAAGAAGGTGTGAAGGATTTGAAAACTTGGAAGCTTTGCTGTGTTGCATCGGTTGCCGGCATACAAGCGTTTCACTCAAATTTGTGCACCCACACTCTTGACAGACACAAAATCACGAAATCCCTCTCACTCCTTCAAGCCAAATTAGTATCTTCTTTCATTCCAGAATGCAGATGTCTCCGAGTGAAATACCTGTGGAAAATCGCCATGATTGGGTTCATTATCTCGCCTGCAGTTAGCAGAGACAGAAATGAGTTTGGTATTTTAGCCAGGGAAAAAAAAAAATCTGTTTGTCAGACTCCAGAAATGGGCTGCTGCCTGCCTGTTTCAGTACCATCTTTTACAGCTTGATGAGGGGCTATGAATAAATTTTCAGACGACCCTGTCCCCGAGATAATGATGAGCTCTGTTTTTAATTGTCTCACTCCATTATAAATTACATTATGAATATCTACGAGTGAGTCTCACGGGGATGTGGATCTATCCTCAGAAATATCCGCTCACTCTCTGCTCGTCTGCATCATTTATTTCCTCTTTGACCAGCTCTGCTTCTGTTTTCTCTGCCTTTGGGGACCAGCAGGAGTCATTGGTCATCATCGCCCCTGGTATCTTTCTGCCCCTGCCCCAATTGGACCAGCCGAGCACATCTGGTACCTGCACCAGTCAGTTTGGTCAGTGAACTCTCAGAAGTCATGGAGCTGGTATGGAGGTCACCTTTTACCATCCCTACAGTTTGATTTACTTTCTTTGCACTCTTTACATATTGATCATACTTGTCTCGGCAAAACTGACATCCTAACAGGTAAGGCAGTCAGGTTTTGGGCTTTTTTCCTGCTGAGCATTTTAGCCAGCAATATCTTTATCTGCTGGATGACTGCATGTGAAACCAGCTGAATTACCTGTTAAAATAAACCCTGCGATCATTAGAGAAGTCATGACTCTGTTCAGCTGTCCCTTATGCAGAACTTTCCGCATTGCAAACATAGACGGTATATAGAATGGACGCCGTCTGCCTCCTCGCTGGGTGAAGCCACCGCAAGAACAGCTCCCTCTGGTGACGGGCTGCAGTATAGGTCATAAATCCCGCCTCCTCCAGCAATTTCTATGGAGCTGTGGACAAACTTCAGAAATTAATCACATAGAATATAAATTTTTCTCCCCCCTGTTTGTGATGTTGACATGTAGTGACTGTAAGACTGGTTTCTGCTCAAGTCCTCTTTTTTCTGTGCAGCTCCATTTTTAAAAGTTATTAGGGGGTTCATGTTTTCTATGATTGACACCTGATACAGCCTTTGGGCGTACGAAGATTGCGTAGCTCACCCAGGGGATATGCTGTTTGAGCCGAGCGTCATCATAGCAACTTTTGGTGACTCTCCTGCCAAATGTGTACAATGCCACTGTGCAAGTAGTTGTTCCAGGAAGTGGAGAAAATCCCGGAAATACCAAGAGAAATTCGGCTTTGATTCATACCATAATGGAAGGCGGAGCCAAGTTGTCCATAGTATATGAAGTCTATGATTGCAACCAGGTCAAGCAGCCCTACACTGCTCCAAAGCTTTGTTTAGATTAAGTTAAGATGTAGCTTAATGGGAAGAAACAAACTAGATCTATTTTTAAAGGTATCTGTCATATTTAGTAATAATACAGATATTTCACAGTATTTATGACACCTACACGAATTTGAGTACCCTCTGCTGTTGCTGTAAAAGCGTACGTGCTAATGTGGCTTTTGTCTTTTCAAAAACAATTGCAGACTGGTATTTTTGACTCGTCTGCTCAGCTGGTCCTTTATTTATTGTTTCATTAAAATATTTCTTCAAATGAACCAATTTTGATTGTACTAAATATTCTTACACAAATGATGAGGGAGTTCAGGTTTGCACAAAACACCCAGAGAGAATTTTTAACCAAAGATTCGTGAGTAAATTTCTACCAGGAATACTTTTCGTGGCCTGTGCTTTCACACTTTTATTTTGGTAGTTAGGGACAATGCTTCTTTTATGATACAGTTTTTTGTATTTACTGCATTTCTACTCATTTTTGTAGATCTATTTCAGCGGAGGATGCGTATTCTTTCTCCATCTCTGGAGAATCTTAGTAGGACTGAGTCCCTGGCCAACATGAGGAGCAGCCTGTTGTGAATTAATAATGATTATAAGACTATTTGTGATTATTTAGAGCTGACTAGACCATGAATGACTTTCTTTTTCCTCCTCTATGTAAAAAAAGTTTATTATACATGCACATACCCTGAGGGGCTGTTCATTGCACCTTTACCTTGAAATTTCTCTCTTGTTATTGCCAAATTAGCTCCTCTTTGCAAGCCTCAATTCTGATCACATCTGGTGGTGTGACAGATGAGGCTCAGTCTTTACTCTCCTGCTCTGCCTAATGGTGAGACCGCTGGGCAGCTGCTGGCTTCTCTGGTGGTGGCAGCCTGGTTTCGAACCTAAATACTTGCAGAAAAGGAGGAAATTAGCTTAGCCAGAGTCTTGGGGGTGTTAATCAGATCATTAAATTGAGTCTCAGTTGTCTTCTTTCTTGACCTGTTTAACTGACCCACTTTTTCATGGCTACCCTACCTGTCTGGATGTTAGGGATCTTGCATCAGAGGTGCTCAGGGACAAGGAATTTGCACGAGAGGTTTGTCTGTGTGTACAAGGATTAAAGCTCCTCAGCTTCTCTTAAGTCCATCAGAGATTTGCTCCGGAAAAAAGAAAAGCTTTTAGATTCTCAGAATTTATTTCAGCACGGAGAAAAGGTCAAAAAGTCACACAAATGAAGACTTCGTGAGTACGAGTGTCCTTGTGTGTAATCTCCACTATCTCGTTTATGAATCCAACAACTCAAGGTTTCAACAAAGAGAGCCAAACGACTGATGGCAGCATGTGAAGAGGTGGGGAAACAGCAGCCAAGAGGTGTTTCTGTAATTGGCTGCTCCATATATGAGCCGTACTTGAACACAACAGCAGTAACACCACAGAAGTGTCTAGGGGATGATGGTGTGATGTACGTATCTCTCTTCGCCACTTGATACCTCCATATCCATTGAATCTCTCGAGACAAAACTGTGCTTGAAGTAGTGGCGTACACTTTGAAGGTAAGCTTCATGAAATCACTGGTGGAAGATGAGTGCTGGTACGCCAGGATTTCCTGTTTTTGTCCCCTTTTTTTTCTGGATGTGTGGTTATTTTTGGTCGCAAACTGAGGACCAAACAGAGAAGGATTAATGGTTAATTGTGCGATTAGGTTTTGGTGAACAAGTCACCTTTCGTGCGGTTGTATTTGTAACAATAACTTTTTGTGTTGAATAGTTTATAAAATGTATAAAGTTCTGTGTTGCTCCCTTGTCTTTCCTCGGTTTGGCTGATTGTGTTTTATTTTCAAGTACATGCAGCACTAATGTTGTTATTTCTCACTGTTGTCTGCTGCCTTTGGCCTCATAAGCTGGGACAAACATTAATACGTTTGTATAATACCATATCTTTGACCTTTTGGTCCAGGAAAAATACTCTCATACCAAAAGCGATTCAAATGTTTACGTGAATTGTAAAAGTAGTGACATTTTACAGGCTGCAGCCTTTATTTCCTCTCTCCACTCTCATTTTCAAATGTGCAAGCTGTTATCTACGGTAATGCCCCGAAAATGTAACTGTGCACAACTTTGGGAGGAAACGGGTGGCAAGATTTCTGAGAAAACACCAAAACAAACTATCAAAGTCAACCTTTGACTGCGCACTCTCATTAGCTTGCACAGAAAGTAGAGAGTTCGCTCTGTTCTCATCCAGCTGGAAAACCCCAGCACACTCGGGAGCACTTTGCTGTTTGCCAGGCCTCTGAAAGAGATGTTTGCCAGGAAGCCCACAGAAGACACAGTTAAGCCGGTCGTTATATTTGGTCACATAACAAAGAGTAACCACCAGCTTATTCAATTACATCACCTTTTCTACTGTACATATATTACATTAACGGCAGGCCTCCATCTAAAATTGGTTAGTATACAGGTTTGGGCTTACTATCAGGGGCGTCACTAGGTTTTAAGGACAGGGGGGGGGGGGCTTAGCCCCCAAGAGATGAACAGGATGTGAGTGAACGTAGTGAGCGAGCACAAAATTTCACAAACAGAAAACAAAGACTGAGAAATTGCTTTTCAGCTTTTTTGGACGGATTTAACTAAGATGTAGTCTCAGGCCACCAGTAGTTTTTTTGTTTTATTTCAGTCTGTTTTTTCTTCAGTTCTTGCAACCACTACTGACCAAACTATCATGTTTTATGTTTTTGGCAAACACACTACATGGGAAACAGAAAGCTGTATTCTGGTTGACTGAATATCCTAACCAGTTGTGCTTTTCAAACCAGCTGTAGTGAAATGCTCGCTTCTGTGTACCAAAACTATCTTGTGGGTAGCTCTTCAGCTTGACCTGTCTAGGCCCTGTGTCTTTGTCACCTAAATCAAACCCTGTAGTGGAATGAGTTGCTGCAGCTGCTTCATTATTTTCCCTCTCTTGGCCTGTTTGCTCTCAGCTTCCTCTGCCATTTGCTGCAGCTCCTCAGCCTTTCCTTCTGCCTGACCCTCCAAGATACATTGAAACACATTGAATTAATAACTAATCCAACATAGAGGCTAATGTCATGACTTAAGCTCACACACCACAGTAATTTTTTGCTCCCAAATAGTAAGATGTTACACAGATTACATTTTGGGCCCATATGTGACTAAAATGGTTGCAATTTAAAGCCCTGAAAAATATTACTAAATTACTTGACTTAAAGTAATATGAAAATAGAACCCCCAAAAATATTTGGGTCAGGCTAATTTATCTCTTGGCTCTCTCCACTTTCTCATCTTGACTCTCTTAAATAAAAACTCAAGTGAAATAAGTCTTATATGGTGCACCATGACTGAAATTTCATATCCATATTGAGTTCCATAAAATTCTAATCAGACTGTCTGCATCACTCCTGTGAATTCTTTTAGACTCACCTCTCCAGTAGAGGTGTCTCCCCTCTCACTTGCTGTGCTCCTCTGTCCTGACTCCTACAGGTCAGTGGGGATGGTGGGGTGAGTATTATTAGTGTATTATTATTATCCACTAATGATAATCATACGTGAATGAGCTCAGCTCGGTTTATTCAGAGCTAAAACAAGTGACAGAAATCAACATCATGCTAACAATTTAACTTGGTGTGATAGCCAGTTTTTTATTTATCAAAATGAGGAGCACCTGGTTCATAAATTACATGGGACTATTTGCTGTTAGCTGGAACTTATTGTTACTACCAGCAGCTATAAAGACTTACTTTTTTGAAAAACTTGCATATGTCCATGATGCTGCTCTCTGCCTGGCTCGTGACGTGACCATAGACATAATAAAAGATAGACCCCACATCGGCCGCTACCACGAATGGGCGCTGTCGAGAAATGCGGCCGCCATCTTGGTCCGGTCATCCGCCTCACTCTGCACCGCTGTTTAACCGGTGGAATGAAGTCTGAGCGCATTAAATGAATCATAGTTCGCTCAATACTACGTAATTTTCTTCTCTGCAAACGCCATTCAAAGAGGCATGATAGAGGCCATATTTTTTTTTTGGCGTTTTCAAATACTCAGAATGAATAAAATGATATTTTAGAACGTGGCAGCAGTGGCTGTATTATAGTATAACAATTAATCAAGTATATATCTAGGTTTAGAGCTAGGTTCCTGCTATGTCTCAATAATTATTAATAACTGGCGGTTTTAATAGGCCAATTCATTATATATTGATTTGATTATATTTTATTTAGTTTAATTTTATTTATCCATTTGTAGACACACACACAAATAATGTCATATAGAAGCACTATTTGAATAACTGGAAAATACACACAAAGAAATACACACAAACATATAGCCTACATATTAAAAAAATTTAAACACAAGAACAGCATGACAGGACAGCATCTAAGCTACATATCAATTTGCTTGTTGGCTACACAGCACAGAGGAATCACTTGCTGCGAACTTCTCCCTCTAACAGCAATCTCCCACTTCTTCCTCAAGTTTTCGTCCTTAGGGAATCTTCAAAATGAAACAGGAGATCACCACAAAGAAATCTTTAATAAAACAGATAATAAAACAGAGCTCACTTTCTTCCTTCTTCTTTCTATTTTATTTCTTAACGTTTCTTAGAACTTCTCTCAAACAAAAGTTTTTCAATCTAATGCAAATCTGTTGATAATAGAGCAAAGTTGCTATTATTGTGAATAAGCTAGCTGTTCGCAAATGCTGTTTCCTTTTTGGAGTTGACCGATAGTCTTCCTCTTTGGCCTACAAATGACTCAACAGTCAAGTGTAATGTTTAAAAAACGTTTAATCATAACTGTGTAGTTATTCCTTGAGCCCTGTTCTCTGCTGTCCGCCTGTTGGCACAGGAATACGCCGCACAGTGCTCCGGTATCGCTGAATGAATGAATGAATATGATTGACCGGAGCGTATGGGAAGCTTGACCTGACCAAGATGGCGGCCGCATTTCTCGCTGCGCAGCACCCCGAGCGGGGTCTACCCTTTTATTATGTCTATGGACGTGACCGTCTCGCTGTGACTGCGCAGGGAGCATGTAGGTGTTGCTGCTGGCAGCAGTGAAAACACGGACTGGATTTTCAGTAATGTGGGCGTTCTCTATATCAACAAGTGGAACGGATTGAATAACTAAGCGCTGACGAAGGCTCTCCACCTTACACAGTGAAGTCAGGGGAAACCAAATGATTTGTGATCATATTTAAGTGAATAATGACATGTTATATTATTATTCATTTAAACTCATATTCCTGCGTCTTTGTATTGAATTTGTCTGCACTTTTTTGTAAAATATATATATATATTAAAAAAAATATATATTTAGGGGGGCTAAAGAATATTTTAGGGGGGCTTCAGTCCCCCTTAAATAGGCCTAATAACGCCAATGCTTACCATCATCCTTTTAAGCCTCATCCCGTGGTGTGTTTGTTACAAATAAGTAACAAATCAATAGTTCACCCCTAAACTGACTCAGCCGGTTTAAAGGGATGCATCAGGCTATTCTTTTTTTGTGTGATAAATAGATGCACAAGAGGGAAAATTTGATTTTAAAGGACTGTCCATTTGATTTTTTTTTTTTTTTTTTTTTTTGTTAGTTTCATTAGATGACAAGATATCATTTAAGCATTATTACTGTAGAAGTTCTGATATCTTGTCATCTTGTCTTCATCATGAAAGTGGGCATTGGCAAAAAATCTATCACAATTTTGTAAATAAAAAAATCCAATAAATCCAATGCGATTTTTTTCTCAGAGCCCAAATATTTTTTGTCTCAGAATTTCTAGATGGGTCAGAATTCAGACTTTTACCCCTTCCCCCAAGAATTCTAACTTTAAAATAAAAAAATTTCAGATTGTTAAGAAAAAAGGTGTCAACATTTTCAGTTTGAAGTCAAAATTCTGAATAAAAAAAATCTGAGTTTTGAGATTTCTGAGATTTTTTTTTCAGAATTCAGACTTCAACATTGGAATTCTGAAAAATATAAAGACAGAATTCAGATTTATAACTCAGGTTTTCGAAATAGTCGGAATAGAAGCCGTAATTAGAAGTCAGAATTTTGGAAATGTTAAATCTTTTTTTGAATCCTGATTTTAAGTTAGAATTCCTGCAAAAAAAGTAATAATTCTGACTTAAATCTCTAAATTTTGAAAAAAAAATGGAGGTGAAAAAAAAAATCTGCTTTGAGTTGTTTCCTTTGCTGTTGTGCACAGTTGTAATTTTACAGGGTAAGTTTATTTAGGTTTATAGTTTGCCATAATTTGAGATATATTGTTTAGAATTTAACAATGTATTATTGAGCTCAGAGGGATGACAGCCGAGGACAGATTGAGGCCGTTTTTAGAAAGTGACTCTACTGCTGAACTTGTCAGCTGTCAGAGAAATCTTAAATTTTCTCTGCCATTCCCTTGAATATTAAGCTCTATTTCAGTGTGAAGCCAAAATGGAAAAATAAATTGTAAGTGAATCCAAGTATGCCAGCTCACTTTATTTGTACTCTAGGGAATCTGGATCTGATAAGGAGTTATGTAACGAGCAGAGATTGGGGCAGGATGCGGCGCAGAAGGCAGCGCTGCTGCACAGCGATGTCAGCTGCATTGTTCATTCATGTGCCTCTCTGTCTCTCTGAGCTGCGATCCTTTTAACATCCTGATGGCAGAAATCCCAAAATCCCTGCTTGTGTGTGTTGGAGATTCACACACACTCGTACAGATACCCCTCTACTCTCTCACTGTCCTCTTTTCTTGGTTTCTGAACAGCTAAAGAAGCGAAACTCAAAACACTGTCAGGCCTGGAAATGCTCTCGTCTTTTTCCTATTTTTAGACTGGCAGTGAAACAGCACATTTCAATTCTGCTTTGAGAATTTTGCCTCCTGTCTCAAATCTATCCTCGTGCAAAGACTCTTTTTTTTCCTCTTTGTCATCTCCGTCTTCCTGTGCATATTCTCTATCTCCGCTCCTCTATTGCTCTTCCCCCTGCCTCATTCTCTGCTTTAAGGAAATTATTTAAAACCCCAGAAGAAAAATCCCCCCAAATATACCCAATGACTCACTGAGCCTCAACAAAACACAAAACATTAACTCTGCATATGGTGAAGTGCTGGTGTCTCTGGCAGTCTGTCCCACATTTCATGCTTTCTTTCTCTCTATTCGCTGCCCCACGAATCACCTCCTCCTATCTCCTTTCCTCCTTGTTGGATGGTGCGGCTGTGTGACCTATTTGCTGGCATTCAGAGCAGTAATATGTTTTGGCTTGTCACCTCTTCGCTTCTCCCAGACATTGTTGATTTGCATAGATGTCCATTTGCTGCTGCTACCATCAACTCAGTATAAAGACACTGCATTATTCAGTCTGTATGGTTTCTATATAAAACTTTACCAAGACAGGTGTCCTCGTTAACTCATCACTCACACCCTATTGTATGAAAATAGCAAAAATCCCTGTATGGCCACTGGAAACAGTCATAATCATGGTTACCAGGCCTCAGACAAAGTGCATATCCAAACACTGCAAAAAGGAAAAATACTGCAAACACAACTACATGAATGCAAATGCTACAACTTAAGCGCAAATGCCACAAGACAAATGCCAATGCTACAACACTGTTGCAAACACTACAATTCAAATTATCAAAGCCTAGTGTTAGATGCTGAATCAGTGTTGCATAATATGAGAAAATACAGACATTGAAGAAGATTGCCTGTCTAAGATGGTTACACAGTGACTCATACGGTGAGAAAACACTCTTTAACCTGGTCTCACAGTTTAATTACATTGGGGATAAAACGTCCATCTAAAACTCTGAACCAATTTGTTGTTCATTTTTAAAGCTTTTATGTTGATTTTTGATAATAAAATAAATGTTCGATTTATATGTAACCCAAAGATGCAAAAGCTCCGACAGTTTTTTGTTATACATGACAATAAACCTAAATGACAGTTTTTTAAAAATGTCTGATTGTCTCTCAGGGGGATGCTACAGCTAGCCTGCTGTTAGCTGCTGCTTTTTCTCTGTTTACAGTGTTTAACTTTAGTTGAGGCCTTTTGCATTTGTGTTGTTGGGTTTGCATTCATGCCTTGGTGTTTGCATGTATGTTTTCTGTTAGTGTTTTACCGGTGAAGACGACATTTCCACTATCATCAAAATGTGGCTCTTACCGAAGTGTACGTTTGTTGTGCACCTTAAATGTAAATTCTCCCAAATTCGGTAATGAAGAATACCAAGCCGTTGGCTTAAACCCCAGTTTGATGCTACACTGTGGATGTGGGAGCTGTGAGCTGTTAGGCCGCAATTAGCTCGTTATGAAACAATTACAAATGACCCTTTAAGCCAAGGAAGTTAGATAATGATCTTCTTCTTGGGCTTTGAGGCAGGCTGAGAATGGCTGTGCTAACAAGCTTGGTATGCTAACCTTTGGGACCCTTTGGGAGCTTACTTTAGGATATATGTTTTACCAGCCTCTTGCTCTTTTGCCCTTTTATTTTTGTTTTGAGAAACTCTGAAAAACAGCAAAACCCAGAAGACTTTTTAAAAGCATGCCAGTGTTAAATATCCAGACCTTGGCTGCTTGTTTCTTCTTGGATGCACCAATTACTGACACGGCCTTTGCAATTTTCCTGCATAATTTCCAGATGAATGCTATAAAACCAATAAACTACTGCTTAATAACAATAGTGTCGATGAAAGAGTTAATACCAGGCAAATGAAGTCTAAAACATACATCCAGAAATCCATTAACCCTGCTGGCTCATATTTACATCCATTCAAAGAACCTAAAGGGAGAGAGAGAGTGAAGTGTCATTCCAGTTTCTAAGTGCCTGAGAGGGACATTTGTTTTATTAATAAGGGGGCTGTTCATTTACAGAGGGGTCCTCTGGCTCTTAATATTGCACAGACATGAAAACCAAGGGCGTGAGATAAGCTTCAAATATTTGAGAGGCGAAATGGAGCAAAGCGTAAAAGATTGACTGAGCTGAGGGGCGGCTTTGGCTTGAGAGACGGTCTCCTCTCAATCGGAAGGTCGGGAGTTATATCCTAAGGGCTGTCGTCCACATGCTGAAGTGTCCTTGGGCAAGACACTTGACCTCAAACTGCAGCTGGTACCATTGGTGTGTGTGTGGAACTGGTTAATGCTGATGGGTGCTTTATATAAAATCTGCTATCAGTGTAAGAATAGGGAACAAATGGGTGAGCTTTACATCTAAAAGGGTCTGAGTCTTCAGAAGACTAGAGGAAGAGCCATAAAAATACTGTCAGTGGTGTGCTCAAAGGAGGGATAAGGGGATCATCGCCCTCCCCCTGTGCCCTTGTGTGAAAAAAATGCCACCTTAGTGCCCTCGTGCAGCTGTTGTAGTGGATAAAACATCATGAAAAGGCCCTCTCTGGTGTCCTCTCAGAGGACACCATCATAGAACAACCTAGTAGATGCCTTTCCAGTGTACTGAATGTAAATAAAGTGCCCTAAAAATGCAAACTAATTGCCATCAGTGTATAAAATGCAGACAAAATGCCCTCCGGATACCCAACCATGGTATTAAATGTAAATGAAAAGCCTTCTGATTGCTGCTCCAGTAGATTAAATGTAAACTAAGTGCTCTCTTGTTGCTTTTTTATTGGGGAAAGAGTAAACCCCCCCCCCCCCCCCCCAGAATATCCTTCCTGTGTCCAAGCTGTTAACATGGTTCCCTCTGGATGCCTAACCAGTGTTTCAATAGTAAATTAAATGCTCTTACGATGCTTCTTTGGGAGGAAAAGTAAAAGGAGGGCCCTGAAGTCACACTTTTAGTGAATAGAATGCAAACAAACTTCCTACTGGAAGTCCTCCCAGTGTACAAAAAATGTTGAAATGGTTCAGTTTGGAAGCCTTATAAGTATATAAAATGAAACCAGCTTTGATTAGTTTACCAATGAGCTCTGGTTGCATGCTGTAAACAAAGTACACTCTGGTTCCTCTCTCTAGAATCAAGAAGTCATCCAGAAGACATATCATAGCATTTAAAGTCATCTAGGGGGGAAGTCGCCCCCTTGCCCTCTGCCTGGAACACCGCTGCATAACCACATAGTGAAAATGTTATCATTAGGTGTTAACATAACAGAGTACAAAATCCTTGGATATAGAGATTTCTTTCTCTCAGTATTGGCTCGAGAATAAGTCTTGTCGGCTTTTAGGGTTGTTTGGCGCTGTGACACCTGCTGCTGACTCTTCCAGCTCCCATCACCGAGTGTTGCACAGATGGAATACAGTATGTGTTAAAATGCACTGCAGATCGTAACTGAGCAGAGGCCAGAAAATGAGCTCTGAAAAGCAGACACCTGAGCACCTGTGGAAGTAGGAGTTGAGTCAATTCCATCTACCAAAGCCACAGACATATGGTTAATTAGCACTTCA